TTTGTGCTTTTTTCGGAAAAAAAGATTCAAAACTATTCGATTTCGATAGATTTTCATAGAGAGGGTGGTAAAAATATAGAGGCCAGACACGAGGAATGTCTGCGCTCTCCAAGATTTCCGTGATCTTTTTCCGCTGATTTTATTATAGAAATTGCGAAAGTGTCGAGATAGTGAGAGAAATCAGGAGGACGAGATAGTATGGAAATGAAGGAGACATCCAGATTGGAAAGATCTCTGCTCTCTCCGATTTTCCATTACTCTTTCTTCATTGTTTTTGAATAGAATAACTTACAAAATATTCGAGTTTTCGAGGAAATAACGAGATAGTGTTCAAAACAAAAGACAGGAAAAAAGGCATGTCTGCGCTCTCCTCAAATTCAGTACTCTTTCCTACTTTCGAAGTAAAGTACCCAGCGATGAGAGAAAAGGAGAGCGCAGAGGATTGAATCATTCCAAGCCCCATCGAATGAAATATATCAAACTGGAGGAAGTTCTAAACCCTCACTTGGAAGTGGCCAAAAGCTTCGAAATCAACCGACTCATCTCCAAATCCCGAGGAAGTGGGCGTGGCCTGAGGAGAAGCCTCCCAGCCGACGGTTTCCGGCCGTTCCTTCTTCTTTCTTCTCTTTGTTCTTTCTTCTTTTTTTCGGAGCTTTTTTTGTTGTTTTCAATAGCTATCTACGAAAAATTGGGCTCACAACAATGTTATTGTGGCACGACGAAGCGTTTTTGATGCTTTGGAGCTTTTCCTTTGAGAAAAAATGGCTAGAAATCGAATTTTTTGAAGATTCAGAAGGAAAAAAAAACAGAATTGGAAGACTAGGACCTACCGCAACGCGACCGTGACGCCGTTCTGAAAAAATATTTTTAGTATTTGTCAAGTTTCTCCTTTTTTTTGAGTCGAGATGAACTGTGGAAGATTCTTATTATAATAGATTCTGACCACTTAAAAGACCACTTTTATATATCCTTAAGACGCCACTCACAACGCAAATCCCTTGAGGAACTACTTGAACTTTTCAGCGACTTGTTTCGGGCTTTTCATTGAGTTTTGAGCATTTTTCACCTACAGAGGCCACTTCAAATATTTTGAAAAAGAAAAATGTTTTCAAGTGGCTCCTTAAGTGAAAAATTAACTTGAATTTTTTTTTTCGTTCCAAAGAGCCGACCGACTTTCATAGGACCACTTGACTTGTTCTCTAAGTTCCTATACTTCAACTTAATAATCATAATGTTAGACACAAGTGGTCCCTTGAATGAATTATCAGCTCAGAAAGAACTGCGACCGGCTTGTCATGGGATAATCGACGCAGTTGTCGTGCGCAAACGTCACAACAACTCTTTATTTTCATTTTTCGACTATTTTCCCAACCTACGCTACAAAAACAATAGCTTTTTTCTCAAGCCTGATTTTTTTTTCCCATGAAACTTGTTTTTTTGGGAGCAACTTCCTGTTTTGTCTTTCCTTTTTTGGAGTGAAAAATTCATCCTAAAATGAAAGATTTTTTTAAGCCCGCGGATTGAAGCCTTACGATGGCATTCATTTGTACTTAAGGAACTGAACTAATCCTTCTGGGTTGAGATGAAAAAAGCCTCAAAATAACTCTTCTTGACATTTTAGCGGAATGAAAAGATAAGATATTTCAAAGAACGTTTCCAGGCAACATGAATGTTGATTTATAATGATAATTAGGCGGATTAATCAGCTATTTTCTGTCAGAATTTGTTGAATAATGCATCGCGCCCACGTATCCGTAGTATGGCGCTTTGAAGGACTATTCTTGCCTTCTTGGCTCAGTGTGAAACGCTTTGTCTATGATCCTGAGGTTGAAGGTTCGACCCCCGTCTGCGTTTTTGTGAAGTTTGCCCCAACTTTTTTTTTCCAGATGTATAGGAAAAAATCTTTGGGTTTTCTTCTGGGTAATATAAAGATATAATTTATGAATTCTGCGACTTTAGCGCAGTGCAAAATCTTGTCGCTGCCATTTTGAGGACCCCGGTTCAACACCTGGGGATTTTTGGACCCTGAATCATTTTGCCGGTTTATTTTTTGCAACCATTTTGTGGTACGGCGGTGCCACATAATGTTCCTGCTTCCTTGGCTCAGTGCGAAACCACTTGTCTACTAATTTCAGGTCGCAGGTTCGACTCCTGCCGACGCTTTTCTCCGTTTTGCTGAAGTGTATTTACACCTTCCTTATTTTTTTCTTGATGATAAAGAGAAGAGAAGTCTCATCCAAGTAGTCACACATATTTTTTTTGAACTTTCTTCTCCGAAAAAAATACTTTCCGGTCATCATTTCCGTAATAAAGTTTATGGTGCAAGTGCCGCCCTGAAACAAATCGAATCATACGCGTTTGCCTCTCGTATATCTTTCTTTTTCCTCTTCATTTTCGTTTCAAAGTTTTATTTTCCGACAGAAGTTCTATATTATTGTTGCATGTGCTTAGAAAGAGCCATTTTTTGAAATTTTCCTGGTGAAAAAACTTTTTTTAAAATTTTTTTTACCTTTAAAAACGGTTAGCGCCTCAAAAATATTTTTATAGATTTTTATTATCAAAGTCTCTTGTTTTTTTGTATACTGTCTCGTTGATCGTGTCAGTACCTTTTTAAAGGGCTTTTAAGAAAACTCTAAATGAACTACTTCAAAAAAATAGATTTCTAGATGCCTCTGAATGGATACTGAAAAAAAATTTTTAATTTTAACTTTTTTTCTTCATTTTCAAGTTTTTTTCCGTCTATTTCCGTCTTTGAACTAATTCATGAACAAGTTGATTTTTTTAAGCTTATTTGAAAATTAATTTTTTTGAATAATTTCTCCACGACACGCGATCCTATGAAATTTGCACTTTCTGCTTTGAAAAAAATTAGTTTTTTCCACTTTTTGCTAATTTTTGGTAGTTTTTCGATGAGAAACTTCAAAATAACTTTGTTTTTTTGTGTTTAGAAGGATTTTGCAGGAGAAAAACAAAGTCATAAAATTCACAAAACTTTCAAAGTTTTGAGAAATTTGAGAATCCAAAAAGTGATCTGTAAGCATGTTTTTTTTTTAAAGTTCCGAAGTTTTAAACAAGTTTTAATCTATTTTGAGCCTATCATGTACTAAACAAGCTTAATTTTTGAGAAAAGCCTCTTTTTTTGAGATTCATGAAGACTTTTTAAATTGCCTTTCATAGGAAATTCGGTATGAAAATTAGCTTTTTCTTCATTTTTAAAGGCTCAACTATTTTTGGTTTTTGTTTTAAATTGGAATTCTCTAGTTGAATTTTAAGCGTCCGACCAAAAAAGGCTTACGCGTAAGGGCAAGATATAGTCGGCCGAGCTTTTTCTCACCAGGCATAAAAAAAATGAAGTATCTCTGCAAAAAAAAAAAACCTATTTCTGCAGAAAAAGGCTCCTTAAAAGCTCATCGACTAAATTGCCGGAAAATAATTGGCGGAAAGGACAAAGGGCCATTGTCCTCTTCAGCACTTTGAAAACTTCATTCCTCTGCCAATCCCTTCTTTTTCTTTCTGCTCATCATTATTCAAAACTTGGCAAGTTCGTTAATTTTTCCCGTTGTCAGGCGAGAAGAAGAAGGAGGAGAATCCATTTGCCGCCCAGTCAGACGCCCTTTCATTTTTTTTCCTTCTAATTTTTTTTCGGCTGTTGTTAACTCTTTAATTAACTCCAATGTGGCGTCGGCGCCGTTGCGCTTCACTTCCTTAGCCTCATTTATTCGCGTTTTTTGGGGCCCTGAAAATTTTCGCCTTTTTATTTTGATCCTTTTTGCATTTTTTCAGTTTACCATTGACAGTTCTGTCAGAAAAGATACGAAAAACCCTTTTTTGAGCAAATATTTTCAACCTTTCTGAATTATTTGTAACACTCTTATGAAACTTCAGCTCGCGAAAAAAACGAAGCTTAGAAATTTTCAGAAAGTTTGAGCTCCATACAAAGAAGCTGTGATCAAAAATTTTTATTTTAAATTTTCTTTTTGTATCTTTAAATCTAAAATATAGATTCATTTGATATTTACAGTACTAGAAACAGCTCAAAACACACTTGAGCTGCAGTTTTAACGCTGATTTTAGATCTAGGCTCAAAAATCGATGAATATGATTTTTTTTTATCGGGGCTCAAAGTTGGAAAACTAAATTCTTATTGATCTCATTTTAGAAAACTAAAAAGAACTGACTTTGGTGAACACCAAAAAGAAGTTTTTTTTTTAGAAAAATGAGCCAAGATGAGATTTTTTAAAGTTGCTTAGGTGCTTTCAGAGATCGATCTTGATTTTTGAGGCTCTTTTAAAAAGTTTATAGCAACTTTTTGAGCTCAATAACCAAAAAATCTGCAAAAAAAAACCGCATTTAGTAATCTCGTTTGAGTCCATTTCCTGGTTGAACGCCTCGGCCAAACTCCGAAATCCAAAAATAACTGAAGGGCAGAGATTTTTTGGCTGAGTTTCCCAATTTTGACATTTGTTCAACCTCGAGGGGATTCGAACCAGCGACCCTGTGGGCGTTGGAAATGAATCCCATCCACTGAGCTATGTAGTGCCCATTTCCAGTTGAACTTTTTGGTCATGTTTTTTTGGGTGTAGCATTTTTCATGCGATTTTCAAAGTGATTTTGCTAAATTCAAAACAGCCGTTAGAGAGTGAAAAAGATAACTGAATTTTGGAGGGTCAGAGATATATTTTAGACTTCTTTTCTACATTTTAGAGAGTCAGAGATATTTTTGCACTTCTCAAAAAAAATTCTAATACTCATATAAAATTTGAGGAGATACTGACTTCTTTCCTTAATTTTATGCAAAAATATTTGCGTTTGCCCCCGCAAAAGTCGGCTCATTTCTTACCTTTCTGTGTAAGACTTGTTCTAGAAAATCCTCACATTTTTCCCATTTTTTCGCCGTTATCCTGTTTGATTTGTCTCCAATCTCGTTTTTTTCAATTCCCGACTGTTGCTCTTTTCATTTAAAAAATCTTCAAATTTTTCACACTTTTAGGTCGGAAAAAATGACAGCAACGGTGAAAATGCTCGGCGAAGAAATGCGCAAAGTGTCGTTGAATGAACCAAATGGACAGGCGAAGAAAAAGACGAGTTCCGTCAGCATCATCTCCACTTCTTCCAGTTAGTTTTTTTTCTGAACTTTATGATTTAACTTTTTTTTTAAATGTGATATTATTTTTTGAATTTTTTCTGAACAATTTTTTTAGAGAAGTAAGCTCAAAGGGTAGGTCGTTTTACTTTGCGGTTAGGAATTACCTGAAAATTGGCCAGAACTCTTTTTGATGTACCAGAAAATTATTCTGAAAGTCTCCTGCAAAACTTCTTGATTCTCGAGAAATAAGGGCTCAAAGCCTCAAAATAGCCTATTTTTTATTATGAATTTTGAGGGTTTCCTTTGATTTCGAGGCGTCTTCTCAGGTTGAACAGTTCAGAATCGTCTTCTGGTACATCAAAAAGTGTTCTGGCCAGTTTTAAGAAGATCCCAATCGTAAAGTGAAATGACCTTCCATGTCAGAAAGAAGTCGAAATAGAAAAAAAAAATCAAGCCGGAAAAATAATTTCTTTCATTGAGAAAAATCCTCAAGTTAACAATTATGTATTTCACATTCGAGCACTAACTTGAAAAAAAAAACAAGATTTCAATAAAATTTCGGATTTTTCTATTCCAATCCCGCTGTCTTTCCAAATATTGATTGATTTTCGGCTTCGAAAAAAAAAGTTCTTGAGATTATATAAGGTGTTCTGGTGGAGCATTTCAATTGTGATTCCAAATATTTATTTTTATAGTTTTTTTGAAGCTTTAGGTTAACTTGAACGGGAATTGGAAGGCAAAGGTATCGTTAAAAAGTCGAAAAAAATGCTTCGATTTAGAAAAACAGAAAAAAATCGACAGTCTGGATCTCTTTCGAAAAAAATGGTTGATTTTGAGATAAGTTTTATGGGATTTTTGAAAATTTTCTTTTGCGATTTTTTTTATTTCGACTGGTTTCACTTAAATTTTTTTAGATTTTTTTCTAACACTGAATGAGCTCTAAGCTTTCAAAAACCCAACCTCATTTCCTTGAAAATCAGTCATCAAATGGAAAAAAAGTTTCAGATGAAGACCCTCCGAGGAAGAAAAGTTCGCTCAAGGAGAACATTGTCAACGTTTTGCGATCGCCCAATTTCCTCCTTCGACGGGAAAATACCAAGTATGGGGACTAGATGAGTTAAAAGAAATGGAATGCTTAAAAAACAGACGTCGTTGGGACCAGGTCCGGGAGAAGCTGAAACTGAATCGTATCAAAATCTCGGTCAGGGACAGGAAAATCAGTACCGGTTAGTTGATATTTTGAGGGGTTTTTTTGAAAATTGAGTATTTTTTCAACTCTTTTAACAACTCAAAATAAAGGTAAAAAGGTTCTCAAACTTGGGGTCACACGAAATCAGGTGTCAAATGTTCAAGAACGAAAATCATCGGTTTTTAAGAAATTTTCCGAATTTTTTCTCTGAATTTTTTTTGTTATTAAATTAAAATAGTCTTTGGAAAAAGCTGTTTTGTACCGAGAATCGAAAAAGTTCAAAACTTGGGGTAGATATCATCTCAAAGTTGTTGAAAAAACAGACTTTTGAAAAGAAAAATCAAAAATTCAATTGAAAAAAAAAGTTCCTACATTTCAGCGATATCGGGTCTCAATAACACAAATCGTCGGTTCACGAAAATTTCAAAATGTTTTTTTTCTCTCAAATATTTTGTATTGGACTGTAATTTTCACCTTAGGAACGCCAGAGAGGTCCCTAGAGATCCAACCTTAGGGGCACTTGAAGGTTTCCCTCTAGGGACCACTGAAGCTTGCAAAAGCAGTCCCTATAGGGGTTGGTAAAAAGGTCCCTATAGCTGACATTCTAGTCTATAGGGACTGATTTATCCCTAATCCCTCTAGCGACCACTCTGGCCTTTTCAATATTGGACTAATCTTTTTTTCAAGCTTTCTTTTTCGAGTAAACTTTGATAGATGGAGAATTTCAAAACTTGGAATAGAAATTTGGGTACCCCGACCATACTACATACATCTTTCAACATTTGCAACCACTTTTCTGCAAAATCCTGCCTATTTCTGTTTCATAAGTGGTTCTCGTGATCCCGAACCGAGGAAAGAAAACAGGAACTTCCACGGTCGCCGGGAAAGAAAATTGGACAGACCCATAAATCTGGAATTGAGCCCCCTGAATAGCTTCCTGAATGGAGAAAAGACGTTTTTTTTTCTGGAAGACGGAGACGTTTTTTTTCTTTTAGGAGCATCCTATAGACTTTTTTTCTTTTCTCTATACTTTTTCGAAGATATTCTTTCCGATTAATTTCTGGTTAGAAGAGGATGGTGTAGTGGTTGGCGAGCTTGCTTGTAAATTTGAAGAGGAAAGTTCGAGTTTTTTGCAAAGTTGAACTTCTTTTTTGATGGTGTTACTTGGTTCTGTGAAAACTAAACTTATCTGAACTTTTTTAGAAACTGAAACTTGCTAGGAATCCTTTTTCTTCTGGTTCTCGTTTTCCATATTGAAAATGATCGAAAAAATTCTATTTATGCTCGTTCTCATCTGAATTCGCACAAGCTTTTCCGATAAAACCTTTAAGAACTTTTTTTTTCAGGACCTCGATAAAGCTTTTTTTCACTTTCCGTTTGCTCTTTTGTTTAAAACTCTCTGACTTTTCTATAATAATTTCGTGAAATCAGGTTTTTTGAAATTTTTCTCTCAATCAATAAATGATCAAGAACGACATCAAAACCAAAAAAATTCTTTCGAAAATGTTTCAACTCCGTGACTGTTATCTTCTCGGCCTATTAGGCTTGTCATATTGATTGAAAACCACGAAATCCCCTTTTTTTTCGCATTTTTCTATCCCAAACCTTCATCTCCGTGACTGTTATCACCAAGGATCGAAGCCAAATATTATCGAACACCGACCAAAATGACGATTTTTTCCGCGTTGTCTTTGAACTTCACGCGGCTATTTATTTTCCACGGCAAAAATCGTGTATTTTTAGCTGTTTTTTGAGCCATTCCCCGTGAACTTTTACGATGTTCTGTGCCGCGCATTGGAAAGCCTTCAACCGCGACCTCGGCTTTTATTGCCGTGGAGTTTTTTGCCCTCTGATATTTATTCATTTCTGCAAGAATCGTGAAGAAAAACGAGAGATTTTTTGCAAGAAAATTGAGAGAATAATGGATGGTTATAAGAAGTTTAAATTAAAAAAAGGCGCATTTTAAATTTTTTTCGATTCAGTTTTGAAAAGTTACAGGGAGATCTGCAACTTCAAAAAAATGTTCATGGAAAAAAATTCCGAATTTTTTTAAATTGAAAATATTATCTTAATTTCATTTAGCTATGAAGCGCACAAGCTTCTTTCTTCAAGGCTATTTCTTCACACCTATTTTTTTCATTTTTTTCTTTTGAGATTCGAGTGGATAAAGGTTAACGATTATTATTGAAGAAAAAAATCTATTTTCGAGAGTTTTTCATGCTTTTTTTTCGATCAATACATGATCTAGTACATTTCACAACAAAAAAATTATTAAAAAAATTTTTTTCAAAAAAATCTCTTTTTTTATACTTACAGAAAGGAAATTTTTTTCATTCAAGTCTTTTAAGTTATTTCACTTGACCCCATTTTCTTTTCCCATAACTTTTGACAGAACTTTGAGTAAAAACTTTCGACTCAAGCTTTCAAGCTTCCTCGATATTTCTGCAGTTCACTTCCTCGTGTTTCTCTTTTTTCTCTTTGTTTTTGGATTCGAAACACTTGAGCTTCTGGCGCCTCCAGCAAAACGTGATAAAAAAAAATGGCCCCTTTGCGACTTTTTCCTTCTGTTCTCTGTTTGAGCCTTTTTCGGATTTTAGGGGAAGAGTGAACATTTTTTCAAAGTGCTCTTTAATATCTGAAAGTAATTGAATCATTTATTTTTAAATTTCTTTTTTTCTGAGAGCCTTTTTTTGTCGTTTTGGACAAATTTTTTTAATTTTAAATAAGCGAATTTTTAAACTTTCTATGGTATTTTGATGCCGAAAAATTGCAGTTTTTCCATGAGAATTAGTTTAAAAAGACCTTTTATGTCGAAATTCCGGGTTCAAAAAGAAATTCCCATATTTTTTTAAAGATTTAAGAAATCTATATTTGGTCATTTTTTCCCTAAATTATGATTTTTTTCGAAATCTTTTTTTGGTTCTGAAAGCAGAATAAAAACAATTCAAGTGACTCTTGGAAAACTAAAAATCGAAAATCTTCAATTTTCAACCCAAAAAACGCACTTTTTGACCGTTTTAGCTCATTTCCTTTGCTTCCATAGACCTGAAACTCATCAGTTTTGACGAGAAAATTTAAAAATAGGTTATTGTTTTGGGGACGAAAAAGACATGTGTGAGTTTGACCTCCGGCTGTGTGGATGACGCACGGAAAAGTTGTAAAATCCACCCTGAAAAGCTGCATTTCCGGTCATAAATCGCGTCGAGACGGCTTTTCCCGTACCTGGCTCTTCGGATTGAATATTCTGGAGCTGGATTTTAGTTTCCAGGCTTGGGATTCATTTTTAGGAATTTCTAGAAGGGTTGGTTCTTGAGAAAGCGTGCTCCTTTGACCTAGAAGTTTGAAAGTTTTTTCGGGGTTTTTTGAAATTTCCATTGTTTCCTTTTTAAAGGGATTATAATTTTCATTCATTAATAGTTCTATTCTGTGAGTATTTTTAAATATTTTATCCACTTCTCTTCTTTTAAAACGAAAAAAAAAACGATCTTAACGGTGTTTTCCTATTTTTCGCTTCGAATCGAAAAATTACGGCGCATTAAAAATTCATTGCCTTGGAAAAGGCGTCAATTTCGACGCACCCACAATAGAATTATATTCTAAAAACAGATAACTTAGAAAAATTTATTCCTTTTAAATTAACTTTTTTTTTGAATTGTACCTAGACCTCTGAAATTTCACGTCAAAGTGTTGAAGAGTGACTTCCATTTCAAGAAAAGACAGGATGAATTTTGAACATTTTTTTAATCTCAAAAAAAAAATTTAAAATCTCACGTTTAAAGCTGAAGGCCTGGGGATTTTCATAAGAGTAATGTATGAAATCATGCCAAAAAGGCTGGAATAACACATTTGAAGTTAAAAACTACTTCGAATTGTCATCAGGTCTTAAAGATTCCTTGAAGTTACGCCAAGTTTTCATGACTCGAGAAGCTTCGCAATCAAGATTTTCATTGGAAAACGAAGTTATTCGAGCCAAAAAAGCTGGAAATCAGGCCAAAACGACAGGTGGCCCTACCAAAGCCACGAGGATCCACCAATCCTTGTTCTCTCCTGACAAACTTCAAAATCGATTCTATGTTGCAAGAACTCAATAAAAGTCATCAATAGGGCATTTCAAGTGACCACTTTAGTAGCGTCAGCACTCTTAAGTGATCCCTAGATTTTCTCAGAAATGTCCGGAGCACGTCCGTTTGGCATTACCAATGTCCGAGCTTTTTCATCTCACTGATGAAGTTTAAGCACTTATGGTCATAAGTTATGGAGCTGGAAAATCCAATTCAAGATTTTAAGAACGTGCAAAATCTACCAGGAAATAATTTCGAAATCGCTTCAAGACAGCTGAAAACCCTTGTAGACCTGCGAAAATGTGAAGTTTTTAACTTCCCTGATAACGTCATAAAGCATAGAGTCACCTGAAAAATGTCCTTAAGATTCTCGAAACTAGCAAGGAACTGAAAATTTAAAACAAAACTAAGAAAGCTGAGAAGCGTCTCAAAGAGTCTCCTGTAAAAATTATGACGTTTTCAATCTCCTTGATGACGTCATAAAATCAGCTCGACAAGTGGCAGTAGATCATTTACAAGACTTCGGGATCAAGCGTAGAAAATTCGAAAAGCTGTCATTTATGAGAAATTATGACGTTCCCAACCCCGTGGATGACGTCACGAAACCAGGTAAAACAATCAACAGATTGAAGAACACTACATACACAGAGAGGGAGAGAGAACTGACCTGTGGGATCCGCCTTCGCGTTTTTTTCGCCTCCCTTCTCTTCCGCATTTTTCTCTGGAGCATCCAAGAGAGAGGGAGAGAGAGCCGAGCGGAGCTCCCAAGAGGCTCTGTTCCTGCTTCCTTCCAACAAAACGACCCCCCTTCATACATCTATACAAAAAGATATATATCAAAAAGCCCTCGAGGCCACGCCCATCGACTCCTTTCCGCCGCCTCGTCGGTCATTCCCCTTCTTCTGCTCCCGAAAAAGGGCACAAATGCCTCTGAAACGGCTCCCCAGATCCCTGTCGGCTCCGGTATTCCTGCAGAAGTCGCCGAGAGGACTGTTTAATATCCTGCTCTTCAAACTCCGCGACATGCGCATTCTCGCCTTCCGTACGTTTCAAACGTGTTTTTTATTGTTTTTTTGGGGTGTGTCGATGAGTTGAGATGTTATAATTAATGTTAGATTCTGAGAGGTGAATTCTGTAAAAAAATCAATGATCGAGCTTAGTCAGGCATATTTTAAATGCAAGTAACTTCAAAACCCGTTACGCGACCTCGACGCGCCGAGCCATTCCACATGCGACCTTGCAACAATATTTTTTTATTCTCTCTTATTTTTGACTTCATTCCTTATAAATGACTTTCTAACCATTGCTCTTTGAAAAACGATCACTTTATTGGGCACTCTCAACTCCTTCATATAAAAAACGTATTTAAAAAAAAACCGTAAATCTTATCGTTCAAGTGCGCGCTAGTGGAACGTCAAGTGGAGCGTCGTAAGCGTCATTTCCATTTTCTTTTTTTTTAAAATCGTTTTCATCCATATCCAATTTCTTCTTAACTTCCTCGAAGACTTTTCAACCTTTCTTCTTAAGTAGTCGCTATTCGAAGGTGTCACTCAAGGGTTTTCTCCCAATTTTGAATCTTTATGAAATATTCAGCATTTTGTTCAGAAAACGGTCACTAACGTGATCACTTAAGTTTCTCTTCCTTTTTTTTGCAAAACTATCCTTCCGAAAAACCTTGTTTTGAACAAGTTTTTGAATAAATTCGCAAAAAAATTGAATTTCTTCAATTCTCCAACACCTTTTTGAAGTATTTTCCTCTGCCGAAAATAAATTATCGAATAAAAAAGCCTTCAGAATTTCGAGAAACAGAAGATAAAAGCTTTTAAAGAACCAAATGAACCAGATCCTCGTTAATTTTTGGTCCTTTCTTTCCCATTTGTTCACTCAGCCATTAATAACCGTCTTCTTTTTATTCTCAGGGGGTCCTTCGACTTATTTCTGATCCATCTTTTCTGCGATTTCTGGTCATTTTCCAAGTCTTCTCCAAGTTAATTTATTCATTTTGATAGGGTTTCCTGATTAAAGATGGACTTGTTAATTTCGCCCCAACTTGAGCGTAAACAAACTTTTTCGGAAGTGAAAATCTGAGGAATCATGGAATTTCCAAGGAATAAGTCCTGGCACGATTAGGGAATGTGTGGAAAAAAGAGAGGATTTTTTGGTTTTAAGCTTCATCCTTGTCAAAAAATAGTACTGAAAGCGAGAGATCAATGGAATTCCAGCTTTTTCTTATTTTTCAATTTTTTTTTAGCTGAAATACAGCTTAGAATCTTAATCTGAAGGGAAGGAGCAAGAGAGAAGGTAGCCTGAAGAGACGGCAGAGAAACGAGTGTCTCTAACTTCTCTGGTGTCTCTTAGCCTCTCGCGAATCTCTCACTTCCTTTTTCGAAGGTGTCAAATTGATAAAGGATTGAAAAATAAAACCATCCTTTACTCCTAAATCCCATCATTGTTCGTCTTCCACTGGTTACGGTATCTTCTTTCTGAGACTTGTTACAATTGACCGTAATCCGTTCCTAATCCCGGTTAATGAGGCGATCGGAACAAATTTTTTCCTTTCTTTTTTGCATCTTTTCATTCTCGCGCACACGAATTGGTTAGCAATTCTGGTCGGTTGGCGCGATTTCGCCTCGAAATGCGATTAGAATCGCGGGAAACCCTTTGAAACAATTGCTTGTTGGTGTCTCGAAAAGGAGCTGAACAACAAAAATGAAAAATAGAACTTTTTTGCTCCGGACTATTCCAGACAGAAATGGACTACGGAAAGTCACGCAAATAGCCTAATTTTCGACGTGATTCCTAGGCACGCTTCACAACAAACAAATTAACTCGACGAAAAAAACCCATCCCCTTGGCCGAATTATCCAAATGGCGGGGGAAAAAAACGGCCGACGCCACCGCTTTTATTGCTCTAATCTCACATAATGCGTGTGAGCCTTCGACGAACTTCCCCCCGGCCACGCGCAGATTTCCAAAGAAGATTCGGGAACGAACCGAAAAAAAAAACAAGAATTGAAATACTACGACGCTTAAGCCCAGAAGGACCAATCAAATTGTCAACGTGTTGACGGCGCCGAGAGAAAATTTCGGACCCTCTAGCCATTTTTTCCTTATTCCGTGCAGAAAGGACAACGGCGTTTATTTTGGGCCTCTCTATAGCCTGTCAAAAAATGGAAATAGCCGGCAGATTTGATAAAGTTGAATAAAAATTGCATTTCCAAAAACCCCACTATACGAATTTCAAAAAGCTGCATATGAAAATAGGGAAAAACACCTGAAAATAGTTCTGCTTCATAGTTTTTGCTTTTTAGTTCGAATGATCGGGACATGGAGGCTTTTTCAGTGCTATTTCAGTTCATGCAAAAATTTTAACACCCTAGAAAAGTTTTTAAAATGTATTATAACCATTTAAATGTGAAAAAGCTTTTAAAATGAGATAAAGTAGAGATTTTTGGAAAAGCTTCAAAAAAATTGAGCCAGAAGGGGAAAGAGCGCTCTACTGACACTTGAAGGTTATGGTATCTCTTCGAGCAAAAAATGATTTTTCCTGTTTTTTTTTGTTTTTTGTAGTAATTTTGTTTATTTTCAGTTTGGTTGTCGAATAATTTGGTAGCACTATTGAATCGTATGGCAAAGTGACCCTGGTAGAAAAAATTCTGGCGAAAATGTGAATATTTTTATTTTTTTTTAACCTTTTTTTGATCATTTTCCAAAGTGCTCCCAGCGTTTTGATTGACAACACAATGAAGGCTTTCATTAAACGTTCAAAGTAATAAGAAAGCGCGACCACGTGCTTTCGACTACGTATTATTTCAATCGTCTTTCAATTTTAATTTTTCGAATGCTGTTATTGTCAAACTACTCAACTGGACATCAAGAATCGGACCTATTCATTAAGAAAAGTGTAGTGCAGGGGAGGAAATCCGAGATTTTTGTGGTAAATTTGACACTTTCACGCTTTTTATCCAAACAATTAAGGATTCCTCTTGTTTTTTTTTTCGCTTCATTTGTCGAAAAAATTAATAAAAAGCCTAATCTCCTTGAGTGTTCAATGAACCGCCCCGAGAACTACTAGCCCGAGGGCACGTCTGTCAATCTTTCGTTTGCAAAATATTTTGTGCTCAAGGGGATTAAGATAAATGATCGCTGGGAATTATGAACGGGTGGGGGAGAATAAGAGGTTTTTTTTTGACGAAAAAGGATTGGGTTCAAGTTAAGATGGCTTTAAATAAAAAAAAAATTTTTTTTTTCGAAATTATTTTAGTCTTTCTCACATAAAACCACCACCAAATTGTTAAAAAAAGTTTTTTTAGGCCTCAAATTTCTAAAACCAAGAAAAACTAATTTGCTTTTGAAAAACTTCACTATGAAGAATGATTGAATTTTTTTGTAATCAAACGTTTATCATCGATTATATTGAATTTAGCTGAATTCATGTCAAATCATTATTTTTCATTATTTTATTACTTTTTCAAGCTTTTTTTCCATTTTCCCGAAAAAAAGTTTGTTTAAAACATCTCAATTTTTTTCAATTTTTTAAAATGTCTTTTGAAAGTTTTTTAACCTGAAAGAAGTGTTTTTGAACAGACTTCATAACTTTTTTTATCGGAAAGAAACTATAAAATAAATTTTTTTCTGATTTTGCTGTCACTTTTTGTGGAAGGTTTGGGAAATTCAAGCCATTGGAAGTTTTTCCAGTCATTTTTTTCTTTTTTTCGAGAACTTCTAAAGGTATCTTAGCCCTAAAAAAGGTTTTCAACGTTCTCTGAACAATCCTTATCTTTTTTTTTCATCAGAAAAGTCTAAGTAAAGGAAATTTTTTTTGATTTCGCCGTAGATTTCCGTGAAAATTTTGAAAATATCAAGCTTGTGAGACAGTAGTACTTTTTATCAGTCTCCTGCGCTTTTTCACGTCCCAGAAAGCTTTGGTAGTTGAACTATATGTGCGCGAGAACGTTTCCGACGCCCCCAGCGAGCTGTTTCGAATCAATTTTAGCTAATTACTCTAAAAGCCACTCTAATTTCAATTTGAAAGGTTGCGCGGTAAGCTTTTTCTCCTAAGCGCTTCCTTCATTTCACTCCCACCCACACACAAAACACATATGTTGGAGCCTGGCAAATTAGCCTCTTAAGGGCCTTCTTCTACGGAGAAAAACGCGATTCAATGACGTTTCTTTTTTTTTAACAAACAAAAAAGAAAAAAAAAACGAAAAAATCCCTCCGACAGTTGCATCGAGGGATTTGTCTCTCTTTGATATGTTTGCTCTGCGGCTCGATTCAAGAACTTTTTCCAGTTCTTTTTTCCTTCTTTTTGGTATAAGTGTCTCTGAGATCTTTGGATAAGTCAATATTGATGAGTAGGAAATTCCCTCCGTTGACGGCTATAAATTTTTGATCGCTTTTTTTTCCTTCACCCAAAAATATCTGCTGACCTTTCTGTTTTCTCTAGGGAAATAAAATATGTATTCATTTTTGGAGGGCTTTTAGGTTTAAAAGGATGAGAAAATATTCGGGTTAATCTGCAGAGAAGTCAAACTTTCAGTTTTTTTTTGAGTTTCACTGATAAGATTACTGTAGACAGTCTAGAAAAAATACGCAGACACACTCAAATTGAACAGCCTGACGTCACAGTTTTCAGTTATTAATAAAAAAATAATTTCGCGGGCTTTTTTTTCAATGGTTTTCTTGAATTTTTGACCTTCTATAACCTTTATTCAACTTTTGAGAACCTAAATTAACACTGAAAAAAGCTTTTCAAGCCGATTTTTCGAATATAATACTTTCACCTGTATTTTTTTCATTTTTTTTTTCACTCGGAAAATGGTTTTCAATCAAAGTAATGTCTTTTTTCTCCTTCTCTTTCAGGAACTATTTTGAAACCCTTATCTTTTGATTCTGAAGAACATCGAAGTATATTATGTATCAAAATTCCAAGATTTACTTTTTTTAAAATTTTTTAATCCCTAGTGTTCAGCCAGTAAACTGTGCCTTCTTCTTTTTCTTTTTACTTTTTCCTCTTTTCGTAAATTGATCTCGACGGAGGTAAAAGATTGGGTGAAAAGTGTGTTTTTGTGGAGGCTCGAACAACTGCTTTTGACGCATATTTTCTCACACACACCAGTTGCTCTTTCCTTTATTATTACAATATTTATAAGCATTCCTGTCCAATAAATTTGCGTGAAAATGGATGGGTTTCTCCTCGTTGAATTCCAAACGTTGTTTCGTAAATCACGAATTTTCTTCACTTTTAAAAATGAGTTTAAAAATGGTCTTGAAGCGATCAGAAAAATGATAAGATCTACAAAGACTTTTTGGGTTTTTAATGATGAACTAACTTGCTTTTTTTTCCAGATTCACGAAAAACTTGATTTTTATAACTGTCATGAACAGTGGCTGAGGTTATTGGAAAACAAAAAGAGGTTTTTGCATTTGCAAAAAAAAACCGAGCTTCATCGATGTTTTAAATATTTTGGAATCGAAAATTTGAAAATTTTCGTGAATGGTTTTGAGACGACAGTTTTGTATCAGTCTGGGAAAATTATTAGTGGTCACTTTAGTGTTCTTGAGGACCCTCTTAAGTGGTCACTAGGGTTTTTCAGCAAATCGATTAAATTATCCACACGAATCTTTGAAATCTTAATTTAAAATAATTCAAAGCTCTTAAAGAACCCATTTTTTTTATAGGGACTAATAGAAAATCGTAATTTTTCCTTCTTTTTTTTTACAGTTCGAAGATTGAAATTTGGATATATTTCACTATTTAATCCATTTTTTGGACCTGAATCGACTTTCGGACTAGAAAAAGCTGGGAGCAAGATTTTCATTAGATATATGTTCCCTTCTACCGGTTCACGATTTTCGATTCCTCGACCATTTTCCTCGTTTCTCGTCGCTTTCCTCCCCTACTTTAATTGCTTCATGTCCCCCCATTTTTATAGAATTTGAACGGCAAATTAATGCTTGCCGCCTCCGCAATCGTTCGTCGACACTCCTCGAACCGCGGAAAAAGAAAAACCATGAAGAAAAGCTCGCTGCGATTCCTCATGAAATGGCCGTTTTTCCGTCGTAAAGGTTTTTTATGAGCACTCGAAGTTCCGAGGAAAATTATTGGAAATTCCACATGGAGAGTCGAAATTTTGAGGTCAATACGGACTTCAGAGCACTGTTTTTATTAAAGTTCAATTTTTTTTTCTACTTTAAAAATTTAATGAAGTTTTTTATTATCTATCCTTGATATCAAAATTGTGCTTTTCAAATCCGCAATTACAGAAAATAGTCAAAAAAAACTAACTTTTTGATCAGGTCCTCAAAAAAGGTAGTTAAAAAAGAAAAATAGTTGAAATTTTGAGCTTTTTTGGCAGCTTTGGCAAATTTTTAGTCTAAAAAATAATAATTTCTACTTTTTCCGCTCTAGTGACTGTAATAATGGCGTTAATATAGCGAAAAAGTTCCAAGTCATAAAGAGATGAAAATCCTTGAAACGTGGATTTTTGGTGGATTTGGCGGTCAAACTTGATATTCTTATCCTCCTTTTCTTGTTATGAGCTTTAGTTATAGTTTCAATGGGGAGTAGATATCGAAATGAAGATGAAAAGAGCAAAAAAAAAACTGGAGAAAATTCAAGATTTTTGGCGACTTTTGCGACTTTGAAAATCGAATTCCCTCTTTTTTCTTTACAAGAGTAGTAAGCATAGCTTCCTTCATTATGTTTAATGTTTAAAAGATGAAAAAAACCTAAGAAAGTCGTTGGAAATCGAAGATTTTTGGTGACTTTGGAGTCTTCAGAAATTCAAGAACTGTAATTACAGTTCAATCAAAACTTCACGTCGAAAATAAAGTTCAAAAGAACAAAAACCAGTAGAAAATCGTTGAGATCTCTAGAGATTTGCCGTTTTTGAAAGCCTTGAGACTCCATATCTTGTGAGGATATCTTGATAACTGCCCAGGGGGACTTGGCCAAAGATTCCGAAATGAAGAATCGCTTTTTTTCCTCCAAAAAGTTTTTTCTTCCTTTTGTTGACTCGACTCTTTGCACTTTTGTGGCTTTTTGGGGTTTTTGGGGATTTAAACTATAAAAAGGGTTTTTAAAAAAAGCTTTGCTTTCATTTTTTTACAAATTACTGATTTTTTTGGTGACTTCAAATTTTTCAGCAGGAAAGAATTTTTAGATGGTATAGGAAAAAAAATAAAAAAAGTAAAAATTAAATCATGAACTTTATAAATATTATTAAATAATGCAGGAATTTTTTTATTTAAAAAAAATATTTTTTTGTTGCTTTTTTTAAGTTTCCTTTTTTTCAACTAGAAAAAAATAGATCCGCAGTTTGAAAAAAACGAACATTTTTGAATCAAGTTTTTCCTTGAAAAAAAATCAGAAAAAGTTTTTTTGGGTTTTTTTGAACCTTGAATTACTGACTTCTGTGTTTCAAGAATGATTTTTAAAACGCGAAAAGTTCTGTATTTTTTTCGATGCTAATTAATAATTCTTTTGCCGGGCTTTTTTTGTTCAATAATCTAGATGGGTTTGCATAGAAAGAATGAACAAGAAAAAAACTTTTTATAAGTTGAAATTTTTTTCTCATTTTTTTCCATTAGAAGTTTTATTTTTTTCCTTTCAGTAGTATTTTTTTACAGCTCTGTTTATAGTTTGGAAGCTTACTCTATGGCGAATTTTTTTAAAAATAATCCCTAAGCCACTCTTCACTCGTTGTCTACAAATAACAAGCTTCATCTTCTTCACAATCTTCTCCTGTTTTTAGCTTGCTTTGTAAAGAGTTTTTTTCTGGAAAAAGTGTTATAAATAGAGAAATAACTTTTTGTCACGTGTTTACTACATTATTTGGGGAAAAAATGATCTTTGTTCGAGGATTGAAGATTTTTTTCAGAGAGAATAACATTTATACTAGGTAAGGAGAAACTGATTTTATACAGGAACGTAGGAATAGTTTCGAAAAAAAATATAAGTTCGCATTTGGAGAAAAAAATTATTTTTTTCAACAGGAAAAAAATCAAAAATTTATTAGTCCCTCTAATAATTTTTAGGCTCCATATCATTCCCATTTCTCAGTCTAGAGATCGAAAATTTCTCATTTTTCCAAAAAAAAAAACTGTCACTCTTTTACTTCATTTCCGTGTTTTTCATGTCTGGACGGACAGCTGTACTTTTCTTTTTCCTCCTTTTTTTCCGACCCAAAATCACCTGCTTTTCCCAGCGTAATTAATCATAGCCTTTTTTTCAAATAAATTCAAATTGCTTAAGGAAGTGAAGTCGCATGGGAGAAAGAAATTGGGATTTCGACGAATTGGAACATTTTTCTCTTGGAAATAGACTCATGTTTTTTTCTTTTGATTAATTGGACAATTATGAAATGAAAAAGTAATAGTGCAAAAAAAATTAACAGGAGCGGGTTGGAAAAAAAGATTTGAGCTTGAAAAATTTTTTGCTCAATTATTGGCTCATTAATTAATTATTTCTGAATTAATCTCACTTTTTTTAAGAGTTAGAGTTTCCATCTAATGATTGACTAACGTGACGAGAGTTGATTTTTTTGTTTTTTTGAACTTCTAAAGTCGAATTAGATTTTTTTCTTTCTATAAAGCAAATGGCTACTGTAATAAGCGCACCTGCGCATTTAACTTTCCATTTTTTTCGATAATTTTTCCATCCTAATGATAGGCTAATATTAGCCTGAACTTTCAAATTCAACTTACAAGTTTTTGAAATTCATTTCAGCGTTTTATGGAGTATAACTTTTTCCAGATCTCGATGAGCTTGAACTTGGGAATTTTTAAGCTACCGTAACCCACCTGCGAGTCTAACTTTAAAAGTTTTTCAATTTCAAAATAACTCAACCATATCTCATAATAAAACATTGATGCAAAAATTATTATAATTGTATGGTTTCCGATTTTCAAGTGAACCGATTCCTATTCAGCTTCTCTGAAAAACTCCAGAAGAATAGAGAAGAATAGCGTTCCCTGCCGAATAATTGTCCGAATCGGAAATCGGCCAATTTGCGGTTTTCCTTTCATTCATCCAGAAATGAAGAGTGGCCCCTTGAAAAGCCGTCTGAGAGGCGCCGCAGAAAATCTCCCAATTGTTCGCTTTTTAAAGGCTCGGACTCGAGATTGCACTGGTTTTGATGGATTTTTGAGAGAATAAAAAAACTTTTTCGAGAGTTTTACTCCTGAAATGTGAATGTGGAACTTTTTATTATTTTTTTTAATGGTTTCAAAAAATTAGTTTTTCACTTTTTTTGGCCCATACATTGTTATTATTGTGCTGAAATGTGGCATTACAAAAACTAATTTTTAATTGCTTAATTGGTTTTTTTGCAACTAACTTATGGTTTATATAAAGAAAATTTGGGAAAAAAACAAAAATTCATAAAATGGATCATCTAGATTTTTTTCCACTAAATAAGGCTTTTTCTCGAGTTTCCAATTTTATGGATGAAATCGAAGTTTTTTTTCTGAGAAAATCTGAAGCTCATGAAATCCAAAACTTTTCATTTCGTTCAATTTCTATTCAAAAACTGCTTTTTCCACTAACTTTATACCCTCTAATTTTAAAAATTTTCAAAATTGAGACCTGAATATTTTGAATAGTGGAGCAAAGTCGACTACTGAAGCTCTAAACAGCAGACGAGGATACCAACTTTTTTTCAAATTTATCAGCTAAAATCGGCTTTTTCTTTTTTTTGTCATAAGACTGGTGAAGCTGAAATGGATACGATAATCTTTCTTTCCATTTTTTTTTTTTGGAAAATTCTAACTTCCTTGTATCCTTCCCATGCAAACTATAAAATTTCAAATTCGGAATTCAAACAAAAAGCGGAAATGACTAATCATCTATCTCTTCCAACACGTGAAAATACAAATCGAGGGTGATTTTTCCCTCTGAAAAAGGAGAAATTTTTCCATGAATGGAGAAAACTCTTGCGTCTTTGTATTTAAGATGAGAACCTGATCCGGATGAATGGAGAAGAAAAAAAAGTAGGAAGTCGGGCAACTGAGTCATTGGCAAGATCTATGTAAGAAATTCAAAAAAGGCAACTTCTGAGTGTCATCTTTGAATGAATTTGAATAATATTGGAAAAGTGAGTTTTAGACAAGTTTTCGGAATTTTAAAAGGAGAAGCCTCACTTTAAAACAAAAAAATAAAATAAAATAAGGAGGACTCTAGAGGGGAACCTTCAAGTGTTCCTCTTGCCCCTTTAGGGACCAATTTGGGGCTCCCAAGTTATTAAAGTTATATTTGTGCTTTATGCGCCTTCTGCCAACTTTTGAATAAAACATGAGTTGAAAAAGTTGCATTTTTTATTAAAGATTTTCAAAATAGGTATCTCGTCAGAAACCACTTTTCAAGCCACTCTATGCGCCTTTAACTCTTGAACTTCCGCTAGCTGACAAAGTTACATTTTTTGATGATAATCCCATCAATCTGCAAAAAATGAAGCCCTTTTTTGCTATAAACTTAGGTTCTCATCACATTCTCTTTCCCACGATAAGCTTAAGCTTTTTATTAAGTTTTTTTGTAGCCTCATAGCAAACAACTATGACAAAGCACTGAGGAAATAGAGAAATTTTATTTAAAAGCTCAAAGTTTAAGCTAGATTTGTGACGCTTTGAAATGAATAATATTTCCTTTTTTTCCGAGAATATATCCCTGGTGACGCTCCAGTGATAAGTAGTAAAGCTCGGTTTTTCTGGTGACGAAATCGAGAAATTGGTGTTTTCGCGTGATTTGATTAGTTTGTTGGTTTGTGACGGCTCTGGGAATAATGTAATTTGTGCTCTGGCGTCGGAAGGGTCACGAGATCAATCCCGCTTCAGGAAAAAATTTCAAAAAAAGAAATTTTTACTTCGTAGTTCAATTTATCGATTTATTTCGATTTGGTGGATTTTCAGTACTCCAGGAGTCGAAAAATGAAGCCTTTTGCAACTTTTTTGATTTTTCTACTATTTAATTTGATTTGTATGATCTTTCACAATAATTTCTTCTTCTCAAGCTTTCCTAGTTGGAGCAAAAAATATTGGACAAGCTAATTTTGTTTCACCTCCTCAGTTGGAAGCAGAGCAAAAATAACGGCTTGTCAGAAATTCCAAAACCTAGCCAGAACATTATACGTTTCAAAATGATTTTTTAAAAAGTTTAAAACATTTTGCGATATTCTATTGTTCTTTTCGCAGTTGTAATTGCCTAATCATGGAAAATTGAAAGGTTCCCGTCGATTTTTATCCATTCTTCAGCTAAAATTTAGACTGAGCTCTCGAGCTTTTGTGTCTTCCTTGAGAAATACGGCTTCACGATGTTAATCGAGAATGCTTCGAATTTTATTGGGTTCAAAGTCATCAGATCATTTCTATATTGATCTGCTTAATTGGTGAAGTTTCTTTGAGCTTTATTAGGTTCAAAAGATTTTCTCAAAATCAATCTTGTCAGTATTGTAATCGATATTCACCCCTCTCAAACCCTCATAGTTGAAACTAACAATAAATGATGAATTGATGATTTTTTTTTGTCCTCGTCAAGTGGGAGCAGAGCGATTTTTTTTTTCAAGCTTTCTTGTGTTTCTCGGGTATCGCGGTTTCGATATTCGAAATTTTAGCTTAAATTTGAGAGTACATAATTCAAAAGTTATCTCATAACAATTTTGATAGATCCATTCATTCAATGAAATTCTCTTAGCTTCCTGGGAAAATTTTTTGTGGCCACTATAGAAGTTCTCTATTTAGTGGCCACTTCAGTAGTTTTTTATCCAGTATGCCTTACAGTAACTCTGATAATAAAACAAACAGATGGGAACAGTTATGTCGATTCATTGACCCCTAAAGTGGCCACTAAAATTTTTAGTGGTCTAGTAGTAGTACTTAGGCCTCTTAAGTGGCCATTAGTTTTAATACTATAGTGGCCACTAAAAATTTTCCCATTCAAAGAAATAAAAAAATCATCTTATCAATATTCTGATTGACCTGCTCAATCGATGAAGCTTCTTTGAGCCTTAATAGTTTTTAAAAAGTCATCTCATCAGCTTGCTAATTAATTAATCTCGCCCAATAATTCCTGCCCTCTCAAACTCCCATAGTTGAAGCTGACGGAAACGACCGTGAGCCGTTTTCAAGGCCAGAAGCCACGCCCACATTTGAGCGGTCCTTCTCGCCCCATTGCTGCCCTCGCCTCGCTGCATTTCTGTTCCATTCTCTTCAGCTTCAATTCATCTCATTTTTCTCTTTTTCGACGCTCTGACACCTTCTCAACTCCAGTTTCATTCTTCTATACAATTCTGTTGATATGAGGTCACCGCGGAAGATTTTCAAGCAACTTTCCCTGCCACGAGGTCTTTTTTCCATCTTGAAATGAAGTTGGGCTCCATTTTTTAGTGTTATTGCTTTTTTGAGAGCACAAACTAGGCCATTAGCTCAGTTAGAGCCGCAGAATGGTTTTAAAATGGGCCAAAAAAAAGCATTTTAGATTGAGGATCTTATTAGAGGCGCAGAGGTCACACAGAAAAATAGTCTTCGCTTTCGATCAGGGCTATAGTCATTCAAATTTTTTTTAATTTTTCAGAATTTGAAAGATCGTAGGATCAAGTTTGAAGTGATTCTGTGATGCTCCCGGAAACTGTCGTATTTCTGAAAGTACTTTCATCTTTTTTAAAGGCGCAGACATTAGGAACAATAATAATTCCGATAAGAATCAAAAAATTGAAGCTTGATTGGGATGAAAATGATCTTGATGCGATTCGAAATTTTTATCCTATGTTCCTTTAAGTTTATGAGAAAGTTTCAAAGATTGCACCTGCGCCTTTAAATCGGAATTTTTCTCTCGTTCGAAGAAAGTTTAGATTGGAATTGTCTAGCCGAGATCGGAATTTCGAGAAACTTCGAAGAAAACCGTATAAATTTTTTGATGATTCCGTTTTTTGCTCTTTCGACCACAATGATCCAATCAACGCAAAGGCGTTCGTCAATCTAATTCCAGTTCAAAACAACTTTTTCTCGTTTTTTTCGGTTCGAAAAGTATCCAAGGCAATTAACTGCAGAACGATTCGATTCGTGTGACCCCTGAGTAATTGTTTCTTGAAAGGAAATTGAATGGGTGGAAAAAAAAAGAGAGATCTGCACTTGCCTAGCCACTGAGAGAGAAAAAAAGAGGCCTATTATGAGTGATGACGATGAAGTAAGAATGATTGTCAGGAGGGGAAAAAAACAACTGCGAACGGAGGAAAATGGGTTATTTTTGCAGGAGAACGACGGCGAAGATCGGCGGAAAACACGCCGACAAGCGTTCCGCCCGGCTCGGCGTCGCCCCGACTTAGGTACACCCTTCTTCTTGTTTTTTTTTTTCTTTTTGCTGGGACGCACACTGTTAAATTAGTGGGACCATTCGTAGTGGCCACTTTAGGGTTTCGGGGTGTTAATGACCACTAAAACGTAAAATAGTGGCTTCTGTAGAGGTGGTTTTAGTTGCCTCTCAAGTTGGTCCTTGAGGAACCTCTTAAGTGGTCACTAGAGTTTTTTGCGGTGTATCTTAAAACGAGAATATTGCGCAGGTGAAGGCTTCATCCAGACGTTTCAGCACTATTTAAAAAAAATTCCAGACAAATCCAAACCGCAAGCTAAAATAACCTTGCTAGTGGGAAAAGAGAATTTTTGAGCTTTGAGGGTCAAATTTGAGTATGTAAGCTTTGAAAATAAGTTCAATAAGTTCAAAAAGAGTTCTTTCAGATAATAAATACTAAAGAACGCTTTTTTGATCATAACTTAGTTATAAAACTAAATATTCCTTCTGAATTTGTGATGGATGATATTCGAAACTAACTAAAGAAGATCCAGCTCCCAGAAAGTTTAAGAAAGTTCGAACTTCATAAAAAGATATGTTCAAAAAGTGTGTCTTTACTGACGAATCAACTTTCGAAACAATTGTAGGCTTGAAGGAAATATTAAGCTTGATTTTCCATTCGAATTCCGGTTTTACAGTGGTTAAGTGCGTTTTGAAGGGTTTTAGGGTTCAAAAAATGAAGGTATAAAGTTAAGAAAAGAATATTACTATAGTAATGATTTCAATTTATTTTTCCATCGATACAAGTCATTTTTCTACTCAAAATTTGGACCGAAAATAGCTCTTGAAGAGTATTTCCTTTTTTTTTCTTCTTCCGCCTAAATTTGAATTTTGTTTGCTTCATCGGCTTGAAGACGATGAACGTGAATTTGAAAGAAGAAAAAAAAACGGCTGCGAATTATGCAGTGGATTCTGGCCAGACGGCAAACAAACCGGAAATCACATTGAATTCGTCGGAAATTTGGCTTATAAAGTATAGAGAAAATTCTTTTTTTATAGCTCAGGAAAATATATAAATATAATATAACTTTTTAACCTCGAAGCGTTTTTGTGGACAGACGGGATTATGACGGCTCTGACGTCGACTTGAAGGGCTTCTGACCTTTTGAATAGTTCTGGGAATAGTCCTTTTATATATTTAAGCGCATGGGAAACCGATTTTTGTCAGGTTTCAGCTTTGGGCAGATATGGATTTTGAAAATTTAGAAATATTTATGAAAAATGGATTCAAGAAACATTTCCAAAGGTTTTCCAGTTCTATAGCAAATAATTTGTTATTTTTTTCAACTTTAAATTTCGATATTATTTTTTTCCCAATGATCCCTTTTTTTCAATGAGACTTCAAGAAAAAGGAAGCTTGAAAAAACTCAGAAATGGCCGAAATTTGAGAAAAATGTAAGGGTGCAAGTGCGCTCCATTGCAAAAATGATTGAAAAGTTGTAAAAAAATTTTTTTCAAAAAATTTGTGTTTGTGAAGCTTCTTTTCTCAAATATTTTTAAAGTGTCTAGCTTTTTTTCTCTTCATTTCTTTAAAAAATTAAAGTAACTTTCGGCCCAAATCCCAAATCGTTCTTTGAATCGATGTGGAATTTTCCCTTCTAAAAGTTGTTCCCAAGCCGTATTATCGCTATAATCTCTTCATCGAGCGTTTTTTTTTCGCCATAATCTGGACTGAAGTTTGGTTGAAATCTTAGCTTCTCCAATCTCTGTACTTTTTTCGCAGAGAAACTTGAAGTGTTTGCTCTGAAAAGAAGAAAAATTGCGAATTTTGAGGATGTCACATGATTCAAACGGAAAAATAGGTTGAAAACAGAAAAACTTGTTCGCGTTTGGAATGGATCGAAGCGTTGCGGTCGCGCTGCGGTCCGAGTTAAGGAATCGTGGAAGTTTGAGTTTTCGAACGGATTTTTCTGCTTTTTCCTAGCTTTTGTCGGACTTTCGATCTAGAAAAAGCGATCCCATAAGGAAAGTAATATTTTAGCTTTATCCCAAATTTTTTCCAAAAAACTCCAATTTTCGGAGAAGCTCGACGTTCTCAAAACTCCCCAGGCTAATTGAGTCATCAAAACCCGTCTCCTTTTTCCAGGAAATATGACGTTTCTTCTCGTTTTGAGTGTCTGAGAAATCCGATTGACTTGTCTCTTTTTTTTATTGAACCCCACTTACTTCCTTATTTGGACCCCTTGCAATTTTAATTTGTTGCTTGCCTTTTTGAATGAAAAGGTGGAGAAAAAAATACTGAAAAACAGGAAAAGTATTTATTCTTTTTTTTCACTTTGTGCTTTAGTCCGTTAACGGTGTAATTGGATTCTCAAAAGTCTATGCACCATGACGAATTCCGGGCAGGTGTTTTCTGGATTACGGTAGATTAGCACTCGTCAAGCTTCACCTGTTTTATTAGGAAAATTGAAGAGAAACGGGAAAAAAAGTGTTGTTAAGTTTAAAGGGAAAAGGTGATGTTTGGGGCAAAAACCTTCGAAAAAATCAAAGTCTATGCGGATTTCATTTTTTGTCTTCAAATTTGTGAAGAATCGCAAGAAAAGAAGTCATCCTCACGAGGAAGTCTTCCTTTTTTCATCCCAGAAGATGTGTCCATTCTTTTTATTATTAATAAGGCGTATCTTTGGAATACGGACGTTTCACGCGCCTGTTACTGAATATTTCATAAGTCATCAAAGGGAAATCTTTTTTGAATGCGCAAAAAAAAGTACGTGACGTCTTCAACTTGTCTGTCACCAGCATGGGAATTCAATACGCCAGAGATGCGGCTTTAGTTTCATTTTTTTTTTCCACAATAGATCTCCTCCTTTTGAGGAATTCGGAGCAATTGAAATTGAGAAACGTGGGTTGGAAACCTTCCACTTGATTTCGTTTCCTCCCGGAGAGAAACGTCTTGGATTTCCAAGTAAAGATCTTGTTACTTTGGAGAAAAATTACGAAGAGTTATTTACCAGTTCCGGGTGCTTAGAATGGATTGTGTGACGTTTCGAGAGAAGGAGAAAAAAATCTGGAGAGAAAACGGCTTTTTTGGTCATCTTTTTCGGTGGGAAACGCTTTTTGAAGGAAGAATGAACTGGATTTTGAGCATTTTTTTTTTTGAGAGATTCGGTTTTTTCAAAGAAATGGATTTTCAGCAACAAGTTATCCGATTTAAAAAATACGGTTGTTGAGAAAATTTTCTTTTCTCATCCATTTTTAAAAAACATATTTTTACCTGTTGCGGTTTTTTTCAGACTGCCCTTTTTTTCGTACCTCAATTAGCGATTTGAACACAGAAAAAAATTTTTGAAAGTTAAAGATTCTAAAAAATTGGAAAAAAATTTGAGCATGTGCGCTCCATTGACAAATTACGGAAAAGACGGTTTTTCTTCTTTTTTCTCCAGGGATTCTCAAATTCGTTAGTTGAAAATTCCTACTTTTTAGGTCAATATTATTTAACTTTGGGATCATTTAACAAAAAGGCCCGCTTACCACTGAAGATAAGGTTTATACTCAGTCTTTAGTCCGAAAAAACTTTTTTCCAGACTAAAATTTAAGAAAATGTCTTTTCCACAGCTCCTCTTGTCCCATAGAACTTTTCTATACGAATCTCTCGCATATGATCATACTTTTGACGGCTGAATAACGGTCTAACTACATGCTTTTGTGTCGAAATAAATCGGATTTGATGGGCTCAGCAGCCGGGGAAAAAGGCAGAAAATGCCCCGCGCGAGATGATTCGTTTAAGTCGCAGCGGACGTCATGGCTTTTGCCCCCGTCCGTGAGAACCAAATGTTGTTTTTCTTGTTTCGTATAAGGGATTTTTTTTTTTGCTTTTTTTCCTGTTTTGCATTCAAATTTTCGTAGCTCTTGGGAATTTTCCGGTTTGCCTCCAAAAATTATTTATAAGCTTTTGAATACGCCATCTTTTCATTGTTTTTGATGGGAGCAAGAGAGAGAGAATCTCTGCAAAAAAATGGGATGGAAATCTCAAAAAACAGAAGAATCATTCATTTTTTCTAAGTGTGAATCACAAGGCGAACTACGTTGTCTCGATGAAAGGAAGTCTGAATGGAATATTCACGAGGCCTCCCACCGCCATCTATTCAAATTATTCTTTGAACCGTCTTTCCGCATTTTTTCCCTCTCGCTCTCTGCAGAAGTTTTTTCCGCAAAGTTGGAGAAATTTGAGCCGGGACTGGAGTTTTTTGAGGAGTTTCGAGCGGATTGCTTAAAAGAATTTCCTAAGTGTCTGAGCACCAGCTGTTCATATGAAATACAGGGAAAAACATACAAACTGAAAAAATCAGAAAAAAAAAATTGGAAGAAAGAGACCGCAACGCACACGCGACGCGTGAGCCATTCACAAGTGATATGGGACATTTTTTTAATCTGAAACGAAAAATGCACGAAATAGAACCAAAATATCCAAAAATAATAATAATAAAAAGGCGAAGAAGTATTTTCGAAGCCGCAACGCGCACGCGACGCGTGAGCCATTCCAAGCGATATGAGTCAATTTTTTTAAAAATTGATCGAGTCTAAATGATCAGTATGAAGAGAAAACTTGGTTTGAAAACAAAAATAAAAAAAATAAGGTTTTTTAAAAGGCAAGGTACTTTTCTGAACCGCAACGCGCACGCGACGCGTCAGTAAAACTACAAAATAGCTCTGCTATTTCAAAATTTTCCATAGAATGTTGCATCCAGAAGTTACTTTATCAGAATTTTTAAAAAGATAGTCTAGTTAATTTTTTTTTCTTCAAGTGATGCCCATTCGTCAAAAAAAAAAAGCTGGAATTAAATTTGGTAATTTCAGCCCGAACGAATGGCAATTTGCATTCGACCACGTCATTTGTGATCCTGATGGACGGGCGCAATTCACAAAGTTCCTGCAGTCGGAATACTCCGAGGAGAATATTTTGTTCTGGTGAGTTTCGATTTTTCCGTCGGACTTTGAACGGAAAATGAAATAGACTGACGAAAACTTGGGACTTGTTGGTATTTCCCCAGGAAGTTAGCTTGGGACTTGACAGTGTTTTTTCCGAGAAGAAGGCTTGGGACTTGACAGTGTTTTTTCCGAGAAGAAGGCTTGGGACTTCATGGTATTTTTCCGAGAAGAACGCTTGGGACTTTATGGTATTTTCCCAGGAAGAAAGCTTGGGACTTGAGGAAATAGAGTCTGAATATTTCAGATGTTACCTTCAAGGTACCTTATCAGTGATATGTATTTTTCTGGTCTTGCCTTTTCACCCTTTTTATTTCAAAGTTTCAACTGAAGTCCTGGAGTTTGAGGTTTTTTAAGGGAATTCATGTGTATGGCCACGATTAGAACGTTTATTCTCAAATCAATCGTAAAAACCACAGAATATTCTCGAAAAAACAACTTGTAGGTGGGCTGTGGAAGAGCTGAAGGCGGTGTGCAGCAACGAGCCGCGGCCCAAGTTCGAGGCGACTGTCCAGGAAATGTTCGACACGTTCATCGCCTCCGAAAGCCCCCTGGCCATCAATATCGACCACGACACGCGCACGGATATCATCGAACGGTGAGGGATAAGGCAAAATCCGAATGGTCGCATTTGGAATGGCTTGGAAGAGATTCATGAATTAGGGTTGAGAGAAACTACATTCAAAATAATAAAATGAGAGTAAAGATGTGAAAATACTCTAAACTTGTAATCCGGGACTTGAAAATGGTCAGAAAGAGAGAGAGAACTCCCTGATATAGAATATCAAAATCCTGTGCCAACCTGCTAAACTTCCTAGTTTTCGAAGGCTCAAAATAGCCTATTTTTTGGACGATTTTTGTCGTTTATATCCGAATTTGAGAAGTGGCTTCTCGAAAAAATGGGGAAATGTGGAGGTTAAGATTTTTAAGATCTTCCGATTTTCTTAATTTTTTGATCTAAATGACTATCCTTGTAAGAAATTCCTGTCTTACTTAGCTTGAAATTTTTTTTTCGTCAAAGTCGTTTTGTGGTCGGGCGCATACCTGAACCATTCTTCATGCTCTTATTTTTTTGTATTTTTCATAACGACGGTTTTCTTTCGTTTGTACGGTAGAGCGCAGTTTCTTCGAAATTCAAAAGGCGATGATTTTTCTACCATAAACGTAGCATGGACTGCACATTAGTCGAAATCAAAAGCTTACTATCAAAAAAAGTTTTTTTTTGCAAAAATATCTGTTTTTTTCAAATTAAGCATTGATCTTTGTCGCTGTATAACTTTTTTTTCTATTAGTTTTGCTGACGAATGAGATTATAAAGGATTACCGTAGAAAGTCAGAAAAAACGATGTTATTTTCAGGAATCGGAAACAAATTTCCTCTCTTATATCTGCTCTATAGCTATTTTTGATGCTTTATCCAATCAGAAGTCGTTTCCGATTAAGTTCTCTCTAAACATATCCCTATTTTGGAACGTCAGGATTAGGATATCATTGCTTGTAGTTTGCCAAAGGGAAAAACAGCGAAAATGTTATATTTAGTATTTTTTTTTCGTTTGTAGTTTGGTCTCTTGAGGAGGTACAGCAGAAAGATGAAAACAAAACAAAAGTATAATCAAACAACTTTTTTTCGGATGTTCTTTCTCATCTTTTCCGACTTTCAGAGTGGAAAACAAGGAGCCGAGCACTTTCCCCGAGAATATCTACGAACGCGCACAAGCTCACGTTTATCGATTGATGGAAAAGGTGATTTTGGAATTCATTGATCGATAAAGTCCCGAAAGAAGTTGAGCTTCGTTGAATGGAGTATTCATGGCATTAATAAAGTTAGGAGAAAATTAGTTAAGAGTACCTCCGAAAACAGTGAAGTTCGTTATTATGAAACTTTGACAAAAAATGTTTTTGGAAGTCAGAAATCGAGAGTAAAGTTGTAACTTTTGAAGATTTGATGATAAATTTGGAGTTTTCACTTATTTTCATGATAAGAAAGGCAATTTTATCGAGGAAAAATGTCATTTTTGTGTCTAAAATTTTTTTCAGCTTTGAAAAATTGTTGAAAACCGAAGTTTGAAGCCAGAATTTCTTTAAAAGATTTCCAGTACCAAAATCTAGAGTAAATTGCATAAAAAAGAGGTTGTTAGAAGAGCGAGAGATCAGTAGTGAGATGAAGAGACGCTAGAGAAAAGGGTGAGTTTGCGTTTCTCTGACGTCTCTTCAGGCCCTGTTGGTCTCTCGCTTATCAATTTTATTCCCTCCCCCCTTTATACTCAACCAGTAGGTGTTTCTTGTTCCATTATATCGAAAAAACTAAGTTCTAGAAATTTTTGAAAACGGATTTTTGGCGGTTGTTGTTAAAAATTTTCGAATAATGAAGGCAGTATTTCTTATTTTAAATATTGAAAAAGGGTAGATGAATTTAGATTAACGAATTTTTCGTATTAAGTGTAAAAAAATCCCTGTGTAAAAAAATTAAATAAAGAAATATCTATTTTTCCAGGACTGTTTCTCGCGATTCGTCCACACGCCGGCCTACAAAGACGTGGCGAAGAAATTGAGCCTCCCACAGACTTTCCGTTTCAACGGCCGTCTTTCGCCCGCCAGTTGAAGAAAGGAAAGAAAAACCAATGTTCTATCATTAAGAACGATATTGTATATGTACACACTAGAAGAAGAAAACCCTATACTTATAAAAATGAGAGCCATTCCTTCCGTTTTCCTCCCCCTATTTGCCCCCCGCTCTTGTATTTTTTCGATTATTTCTTAACTATTTCATATTATCGATATTATATATTTCTACTGACAAACTTATTTGATCTCATCTCTCAATCACACACAAAAAATAATCTTTCTTTCTTTCTTTGTCCCCCCCGTAGACCAAATGATGTCGTGTAATTTTTTCCCTATTTTATTGATCTGATTTTTCGGAAAATTTGTATTACGTTGAGATAGTGCACGACCCGACGGGTAACTCATCATTTTCCCTTTAGAAAAAAACGACAACAAAAAACAAATTTGTTGAATTTTCCCATTTTCTTGCCCTGTGAACACACCTTTTTTTTCATCTCGGTATTTTTATTTAGTTTTCTTTAAAGTAACAATAAACTTGATATTAAAATATATATTTCTTTATCCAGCCTGACGAATCGCAAACTTGCGACGGAGTGTTTGAAGTACGCGGATCTGCAAATTTTATAAGCTTATTTGAGTGGTCACTTGAGGAAAATTTAAAAACTCATTTTTCGATTAAATTTCATAGAAAAAATTATTTTTAAATGCATCTTTGATGTGACTAAAGCGGTTACTCGAAGTTGACCTCTTAAGTGCCCCCTTGCTGAATCTTTTAGAAAACTCGTTGAATATTATTAGAACTACTTTTTCCTCCAACTTTAAACGTAGTTTGAGAAATCTGCCTCTTAAGTGACCACTAAAATTCCGAAAAAATTTACCCTTTCTGTTAATTTCAAAAATTCCACTTTCCCTATGAAGCTAATTAAGAAATTAAGAAATTGAGAAAAAAAGAGAGACCGATCAAAAAATCGAAAAAGAAGGCTCCAGACACCCCGAGTTAATTAAATGAGCGTCCCACGCAAAAAAAAAAGGAGAAGAAATTGAAAATGAGCTTTTTTTTCTGTTGATTTCCAATGGGAAAAAGGGGAGAAACGACATCAAAGTTTGTCTGGGAAAATGATTCGATTGAAGCTTTTCTTTTTGAGATAAAGATGGATTTTTGATGCTTTCTGACAATTTTCAACTTTGAATTTCTCTTTTTTTATACTTTTTTTCAAAGTTAACGGAATAATCTCAATTTCACTATTTTTCAACAGAAAATACTAGAAAAAGACAGATTAGCTTGATTTTATACGAATTAAAAACTTCAGAGTGGTCCCTATAGGGGAAATCTTAAGGACGAAGGGTATCCTCCAGGGAGCACTTTACCAACTACAGGGGCCACTTAAGGTTGCAAAAGTGGTCCCTATAGGGGACATTGTAGTCGATAATTGTTATGAACTCTATGCGAAAAAGCATTTATATGGTAGAAACTGAATAAAAAGCGTTTTTTGAATGAAATTTAAAGGCCCCATAGGGTCCACTTGAGCTTTAGGGGCTAAGCGGTCAGACTAGAAACCCCTATAGGGAACACCTTAATTGTATCCCTATAAGGACAACTGATTCTATAGAGGCTGTTTTTCTCGCTAAATCCTAAAGGGACCACTCTGGAATTCCTAAGTCCCTTTAAAACTGCAAAATCGGTCAGAATTCATCAATTTCGAAACTAGCTATCGTTTAAAATTCGCTTCAAAATTCTCTTCCATTTTTCAAATACAACTTAAAAACGAATAAAAGAAATTTTTTACAGGTCATTTTCCTTGTGGAAATAATTTTGAAGATATATAACAGCAGAAAATTAAGCTTCTATTTTCTGACTGGTTCCCTATGAAGAGGTCGAAAAACAGCAAACTCACATTATCGCCTTCGATTTCGCGGCCCAACTCCGCATTCACGCAATCCAAAACTTGAGATCTCAGATTTTCGTCGACTTGTGATGGTTCCACTGATGAAGAAATGTACTCTCTTTAATTTGATCAATCAATAAAAGAGGAAATCGAGACATTTCCACGGGCAAAGTCCAAAACGTCTTAAAAAGGATTTTTGAAAAAAAAAGCTCATTTTTCTCTTGGCCCTTTTATGAAAAGGACCTTTTAAGGAGGTAAAACAAAAGGAGGCGGAAAAAAGGAGATTCCGAGAAAATTTTGACACCTTTTTAGGAACTTAAAAAGGGGTTTAGACTTTGCCTGTCGAAGTAAAAATACCGAATATAATCGATTTCATCGACGGGAACATTTTTGTTGACTAGCTCCACGTAACACTCACAGACTGTTGGTTTCAACGAATCGCGATATTTTTCTGGAATTATTGGCCATTTTCGCTTAGAGAAGAAGTTATTAATCAGAAAAATATGGTGCCTGTAGAGGTTCTTCAAGGACTACTTGGAGAGGACACTAAAGTGACCACTAAAACCACCCCTATGAAAGTCATTTTTCGTCTTAATGACCACTATAGTAGTTTTAAGTGGTCTAGAATTACCAGTGAGACGTGTAAAGAGGCCAATAAACTTTATTCACTTAAGTGGCCACCAAAAACTTTCCTAGTATCATGGTTTCTGAAGAAATGACGAACTTTTTTAAACACCAAACAATAATTTCCCTGTTTCGAAGGGACCACGAATATTTCTATATTTTTCATGATATAGTAGGACTTTTTCGCGCATAAAAAACCGATTCATTTGGATTTCTATGATCTTGTAAGAACCATAAAATTTTTTTTTAATTTTCTGGAATCTCTGAATAACTTCTCTGTTTCTGATGAACCAGAAAAAAATTATTATTATTGAAAAAAATATACTCTTGATCATCTTTGAAGAGACTAGTACAGGGATTCATAGGAATATTGGCACGAGAATAAATTATTTTTTTGATATTTAGATAACTTTCCTGTTTCAAATGAACCAAAAAAAAAATCGATATTGATAAAAAAATCATCTGTGATTTAAAATATCATAGCTATCTTTGCTCGGAATAACCTTTTTGGGAAGTTTAGTAAGGAATTATATTCACTCTATGAATCATGAGATCTCAAGAAAACTCAAAACTGGATCATCGAAAAAAATATTCAATTACTTTTTCTAGTTATCATTTTCATTTTTCCTGATGATTTTTTTCACGTACTTTCAGGAAAAAAATACAACAAAAAAAGATATCAATAACCAACCATCATCATTCAAGGTGAAAGATATGGAAGTAAGTGTTCTCGCGGTTTTTCCCGCCAATTCCACCTCATTTCGAACGATTTCCGCCAATTTTAAATGACCGTTCAGTGCGAGGAAGTCTCTGGAATTATAAAATATAAGTTTAAGATTCTTAATTTTGCGAAAATCTCACTCAAAAGATGGAATATGAGACCGGATAGTGGCTGAAACGGCGGTGATGGCGCTTTTTCGAAGTGCCTGCAAATATTTTTGATTTTTCTGGGTTAAAATGTAGTTTTTTTCTCGTTTTATGAGGCATTTTTTTAAGAAACAGGAATTTTTTTAGCATGAAATAAACAAAATTCATTTTTAGCTTGAAATAAAAAAAATTTTAATTTCAAACGAACTTTTTGAATAATTTTTTTCACAAAATTGAATTTCTTAGAAAACTTATCAAGTATTTACTAGTTCCCACTATTTGTAAACAAAAAATCATAACATTTAGAGGTTCATCCAACAAAAATGAAATAGGAGTTAACACGAAAAATTATCCGGAACAAAAAAAAAAAATCAAACCTTGGCTTTGCCCTGATCAACAGCAATATCCAGTAATAAACTGAAAAGAGGCGATTTTCTCAGAATATCCTGACCAATCGGATTATTCTCCGCCCAGGTGCTGATTATCAAGGCGAATCCCACGTTGATTTCATCATCTTTACAATCTTTCTGGAAATTTTCCTTAATTTTCAAATATTTTATGATAAACTTACCAAAAACTTTTCCAAAACTATCAATCCACAATTTGAAACGAAGAGCTTTGTGAGATCGGCGCATTGGAGTAACATATCCAGTCGGTCTACTAAATCCTGAATAGTAAGGGTAATTCAAGAAAATGAAAAATTGAACCGACCAAAACTTTATCAACGTCGTCTTCACTCAAATCCCCAGCCGAAGCCGCATAACACTTCAAACTGGACATTATCGAGATCAATTGCCTTTCCGGGTCCACGTTATTTACGAGGCTTTTCATCACGTCTTCCAGCCATTTTCTGCTCTGAAATAAGTGAATTCCTTTTCAAAACAAGAAAAACTGAACACCAACCTCTTCATCAAGAACCTTTGGGATTTCCTGAGTCTCGCCTTGAACTGATGTAGAAAGCTTCAGCAGGTTTTTCCAGTAATGAGCGGGAATTTCGTCAGAGGACATGACTGCTCAAACTAAAATTTAAGAATACCTTTTCAAGTTGAGAGTTAAAAAAAGCAAATGGAGGAACTCGGAGAAGAAGGAATTGAATGGAAAGAAGATGCGAGCCTCTTTTGAATAGAACTGGAACGAAGGAAATGAGAAACGTTTCGAAAAAGAAGTTTCTTTTCAAATCGAGAAATTTCTCTTTTTTTTCCGAACACTTTGGGGAAAGTGCGCGCCAACGCGAAAATCCCAGACTTGCGGTCAACCGGTCATTTTGCATTAAAGCTGCCGTTTTCCATCGATTTTTAACGTTTCTCATTCATAATTTCCAGGTTAAAGGCCGCGACTCTTCGGGCAGCCAGAAAACATGGATTTTCTGAGCAGCCGGAGCAGTTTCCGCGCCAGCGCCTTGGGTGACAGCAAATCGCAGGTTAAAATTGTTTTTGCTTAGAAAAATATTATATTTTGTTCTTTTAGAGCATGTTCAAGGCTCTGCGACGGTTACATGGCCAAAATCTCGAGAGTCGGGGTCTCAACGACATGACCGAGGCTTTTCAAAGCTTCGTCACCCGCGCTCGCTTCTTTTCGATCGGAAAGTTGAGGTAGGCATTCTGGAAATTTCATCTTTAGACTCACAAAATTGAAATAATCAAGACAAACTAGAAAAGGAATGTTTTTCAGAAGAACTTGGTCTCATTCGGCCGCTGAGTTTATCAAATATCGCCGACTTTTACCGATGCTTCTGGCTGATGGAGCAGTTTTCGATGGACATGAAACAGACGGTTTGATGATCTTTATAGTAGAAAAAAAGATTTTGTTAACCTGAACTTTTTTTTTCAATTCGTCAACTTAGCCTGAGAAAAAAAAAATAATTCGTTGCTCAGGCACAATAAATTTCCAATTTATTCAGATTTCGATGCAAGTCTGGCCTTCCAAGCGGCGTCGAGAGATGACAAAAAAATTGTCGTGACGAATATTTCGCCTCGAGTCACTCCGTCTCAACTACAATCCTTCTTTTCGCAGTATGGAAAGGTTGGTTTTCCAAAAATAAAGGTTTAATCTGTACCAAAAATAATGGAATTTAAAAACAAGGTTTCTGGTCAGATCCGAAGAAAGGTCATAAATTGAGCAATTAAGAATCTTTCTTTCAAGTTGATTTCAAGCTTCCTGGAAAAAAAGTTGGAAAAAAAGCTTGGATTTTTTAATCGTTGTTATAGATCAAATCCAATCTTAAATTCTTTTTTAGGCGTCTAGTAAATATTGGAACTCTTTTTTCTCGCCTCATTGTTTTTATTATCGATCCAGGATTCAAAATTTATTTTTATGGATTTTTGTCTCTAGAAAGTTAGAAAATATTGGGAAAGTCACAGCGAAACATCAAATAAAGAAAAAGAAGAATATATACTCATTTTCAGGTCACCCATTGCTCCCTACCAAGAGAAGAAAGGAAACACTCAATGTTTGGCACAATGCCAAAACATACGAGGAATTGCGGCACGGCGACTATTACTTTCAAGTAAATATTCTTTAAAAATATGCCCATCAAAAATTGAAAAGACTTTCTCGAAGCTTGGTTAGAAAAAGAAAATTGAATAAAAAATCACCAAAACCCATAAAAAGAAGCCTTTCTGAAGCTACGAACTGGGAAAATCTCTGTGGTCACTTAAGAGGTTGCTCAAGGATTTCTTGGAAAGGACACTAAAGTGACCCCTAAAACCACCTCTAAAGAAGTCACTACTTAAACTTTTCGTGCTCTCGTAGTACCCCGTGGACTTTTAAAGGGACCGCTAAATTTTAGCCGCTTCAGTGACCACTAATTCCACTACTAAAGTGGTCCTTGAAACGTCAATACCCTAAAGTGGTCGCTAAAAAGTTCCATTTCTAAGGAAAGCCTTAGAAAAAAGTTTTTAAGTCACTGGTTGGCTTCACTGATCTCTAATACAGAAATAGAACCATTTTTCGGATAAGCTTGAGGTTTTCAGAAAAGCCGAAGGGGCGGAAAAGGCCAAAAATGCGAACCCCGAAGAATTGAAGCTCTACGATCAAAGTATGGTCGTTTCTGCTGTGAGTTTTGCTGCATTTTAAAAAAATATTATAAATTTCCGTAGATCTTTTTCCGTATTTCGCCTCATGATTTTGAGAAAAACAGAAAAAAAGTGTAAAAAAAGGCTTTTTCTTCAAATTTTTTTCATGCTCAACCATTTTCTTTTTTTACGAAGTTGCTAATGAACTTTTTGGATATTAAGGCCGAATTTCTTTAAAATTCTAGAAAATGTTTTTTTGCAGTACATTTCGAAAAAGAAGGGCGGCAAGGGCTTCGTTCTCAGCGACGATAGTAGTAAAGGTATCTGATTTTTTTTTTTCATTTAATCGTGTTCAAAGTAATTTTGGTGTTTTCAAAATTGACGTTTTATTCAAGGAAAATAACTACGCGAAATCGCAATTTTGGAAGTGCTGGGAAAGATTGGGTCCTAGAACGAGAGTACGATTTTTACGCGCTAAATACAGAATTTCAGTTAAAAATATTCTAAGTCATCCAAAAAATTTTGAATTTTACGTCATCTGGTTGATGCACTCAATTTTGAGATTAAAACGCCTAAATATATTCAAAATCTAGAATTTCGTGCTTGAAAGTAGCTATATTGTTGTATGCAGGATTTTTCACGGCTCGGAGAATGCCAATTTTGCCTTTTTCCCGTAATCATTTTGATGACTTCTTCATCAGACGAAACGAAACTCGTTCCGAAACGCAAGAAAATTGCTCCAAAACTAAAATTTTAGTACTGTTTTGGAGCAAGTTTGGGACGTTTATGAAAACTCTTTTGCGTCTTGAAGCATGTTGCGTTTCTCTGATGGACGTGTTTTCCCTACATTCACTCCGTAAATTTTAGGACTTGTGTGTGAGAAATTGAACATTTTGATTGATTAAGAGCAAGACATTGAGAAATTATCTGAATTGAAGTTTCTCCAGACGGCGGAAGTTTGTCAAGAGCGTCTTCCACACAGTCTTTGGCTTCGAATTCGGCCAGTAGCGAGGTAAAAAAAAATTTTATTTATGTCTATTTGTCGAAATGGCCCGGTATATAGAAAGATCGTAAAAAAATTAATCTAGTTGAGCTCCCGTTATTGTCGATTTTTAAGCTTGAAAACAGTAAATTCGTTGCCTGACTTCAAATTTGCTTCTAACTTTCATAAATCGAGTTTTTCTCAAGTTACTGCCGGGCTCAAAGTAATTTTCGCGAAATGCAAAACGAGATCTGATTCTCCAAAATTTAGTGATCTTTTCCTGTCTCTAACGGGTATTTTGCATTTCGCGGAATCAAATTGAACACGGCATATGATTTGATGCGAGCATTATAACGAATTAACAAAAATATAATTATTGAAACGTTGAAACATGGAAATATGTTAACAAGAACCTTTTTCTTTTTTCGAATGCCGTACTCATTTTTTAGCTCCTTTTTTTCGAGTTTTCCACGAGATAAGCACTTTTTAACTAGGGAACTACTCGAACTCGTAATCGCGGATCGAGTTGAAACTTTAGTGGTTTATAGACCTAAGTGAGAGTACTTGAAAACAAGTGAGAATATCTGCTGAACCCAATAGAGAACTGAGAAAAAATTAGTAGAAAATGTGAAAATTTGGCCTGAAATTTTTCAGTATGCTGCTTTTTACATTATTTTATACTTTAATACAATCGCCTTGAATGATCCGGCTATGATAAACTCTAAAAAACTTTCTTCCAGCCAAAAGAAGGAGGAAAGCAAAAATTTGATAATTTTCAAGCCTAAACCGTTCATTTTCGAAAAGCTTTTTCTCAGAAGTCCATGGGGTTTAGCAGATAATCTTTCTTGTTTCTAAGTACTCTTACCCGGAATAAGCCACCAATGTTTCAACTCGAAACGCGTACCCGAGTTCGAGTAGTTCCCTAGTAAGTTAAATTTTGAATAGAATAGGAAGTTTTTCAAAAAAATTAAGTTTGGCCGAATAAGAAAAAAAAGCCAAAACCCATTTTTTTAAAAAGATCTTTTTGTTTTTGAAATACACTATCGGATTTCCTAACTTCAATGAAACTTTTTCAAATTCCAGATCTTCCCCTGGAAAAATCTTCCAAAACGCGCCCTGGAACTGATCGTTTCGTTTCTTCCCGTCGCTGATACGATCAGATTGGAAAGGGTCAATAAAAAGTACCTCGAAATCTCGATAAAGGTTGGTTTTTTCTTTGGATAACGGCTTTTTTTTCATTTTGGATGCTTTTTCATTTTTTACATTATAAAAAGCCGAAACTTGAACATGAAAACAAGAGGGAAGCTCAGTTTGAATTTCAAAGCGTTTTGACGTCTTTTTTTTAACTTTTCAAAGCTCTTCGATTCATTTTCAGATTTTTTCACGCCTCAAAATTTGCTTTTTAAGAAAAGAGGAAACTTTCAAAGCTCTTCGATTCATTTGTTCATCTCAATTTTCAGTCGTGGACCCATGTGAACAAACTCGTTCTGGCCCGAGAATCCGAAGGAAATCGGGGTTTCAACAAGCAGAGACCGCTGAGAAACAACCATTTGAAGGTTTTTTTTTTCAATTTTATTAAATATTTTACTTTTCACGGCTTGAAACAGTCGGCTGCGGCAAGAGTTGTTGGTGGGAATTACAATTTTTTTGCTTTTTGAGATTTTTTGCAATGTTTTTTGTTGAAGTATTAGGCTTAGTTTTTCAATAGTTCACTTCAAATGATCATAGATCATGTCAGGATGCCTATTTTTGACTGATTTAACTATTATTGAATACCTTGGACCTTTGACTATGAGAAAAAATTCAAAAAAAGAAAAATCTGAACTAATTCGGAAGGGTTTTTCTAAGTGGCTGGTAAAGAGGAAACTCGGATTTTTTTCAAGTTTTTTTTTTCGGTTCTTATGCTCCATTTTCCTGTAAATTTTGATAAGTGGAAACTTTTCAAAGTTGGATGAATTTCAAAAAAGGAGCCGAAACGCATCGCAGCCGCGTTGCGAGTGAACGGCAAATGCCGCAACCTTCAAGTCAATGAAAATGAATGGAATTTATGAACTTTTTCCAGGCGATCCTCACCCGCGGCGGCGCTCACTTGAAGACCCTGGATTTGTCAGGAATTATCCATATTTTGGGCGATAAGGCCCTGGATATCATCGCCACGTGTTGTCCTAACCTCGTCGAGGTTTGTTGTTATTACAAAAAAAAAACACTAGAAATCGAAAAAAAATGCATTTTCCGAAAGAAGCTATGACTTTCGAGGTCCTTTTCAAGTGCGAATCGTTAAAGTTTTTTTCTTAGCTTTTTTTAATATAATTTTGTGGAATCTCAGCCCTTATGTTAATTTCGAAATGTATAAAGTGTTCAAAAAATTTCAACTGTGTTTTTTTTTTTAATTACAGCATTTTTGACAGGCCAGAAATTAATGCCGTGTTCAAAGTTATTTCCGCGAAATGCAAAATTATCTCTGACTCTCCAGAATTTAGTTATCTTTCTCGTTCTCTGTTGGCTATTTTGGATTTCGCGGAATCACTTTGAACACGGCATAAAAAAATTAGAACTCTTTGAACGCGATGAAATAATTATAATTTGAAAAATGAAAATTTCGCGAAATGAGAAGTTCTACCGAATGCGTCGCTGTGTTTGCGGAGCTTGAGATAACCGTGAATGGATAAAATCCTTTTTAGGGCTCCAACTTTTTTTTCTGAAATAATGTCAATTTTATCATGAATGACTTTGAACACGGCATATAGTCTGTTCAGTTTTTGAATGTCAAGCAGCTAACTCCACCCCCAAGGCTACAATATCTTTTGCGTCAATGTTTTATTTACAGATGATAATGCTTCTTTAATATGGCTGCATTTTTTGACTTTTTCAGTCCCGCGCGAAAAAACATCGACGCGAAAAGGTACCGTCTCAGCAGGGGCGGAGTTAACTACTTGACATTCAAAATCTGAACAGACTATAAACTTGAAACGACTTCATGTTCAACAAGCACTTTCAAATGAGCCTCCGGCGGGGGTTAGAGGACGTATCATGCGTAAATCGACAATAGATTTATCATTGGTGCGCATTTTTTCACATCTCTTTCATTCATTTTTATTTCTTCCATCTTCTCGGACATTAATGACGCAAACCGGACGTGCTCCGGACACCTCTCATCAATTCAAGGGACCGCTTAAGAATGCTGAAGCTACTAAAGGGGCCACTAGAAATGCCCGGGCACGTCCCTTTCGCGATGTCCGATTTTTTTTTCCTTTTTGAGATTTTTTTTGTGCCCATTTCGAAGTGATTCCGCGAAATTCAAAATAACGACAGCGGGAATTTCTCTCATTTCTGTTCTCCTTTGCAATTCAACACAGAACAAAAAAAAACCCTCAGCTGCTTTTAAGAGCATTGGGCTGGTACCTGGTATTTCTTGGCCGGCCTCGCAGTTGATAGAACTCGGGTCGTCATGGATATCGGCTTCAACTGGACACGCGTTCTCTCAGAATGTGGAGCTACTGTTGGTTCAAAGATTTCAAGTAGATTCTTTTGACTCCATACTTGTACCACAGCTACTTGCGAGTACTCTGATTAAACGAGACATAGTTCCGTGAGGCTCCGCCCACTTTCAGGCTTACGGTGAAAAATTACAGTAAAAAACCAACTTTTTTCCCAGTGTAAGAAATCAGCTAAAAAGCGTCGCAAAAGCAAGATGAGACCTTTTAAGGACTTTTTTGCGTTAAAACCTTTCCGATCTGAATTTTTCTTCCTATGGTAAAAAATCAAAGTTTGTCGAAAATATGAGTTTTGCATTCACCTCCGATTTTCAGTGGTTAGGACCCCCGAAGCCCTAGCTGACTTTTATTCAATCGAAGCGCCTGACCCTTTTACATATGTTGGACATAGTCCGACAACCACAGACCGGGGTCAATAGTATGTCACCAACTCGCTGAACGATTTCAACTTGAGTTTCGCGAAAACTTTGAAAAATCTTTTTTTTCGGTTCTTCCCGGAATTAGAACAAATTAGTTGTAGGACACATGAACATCAAATCTTTACAGATTTAAGACAAAGGGAAACTAGAAAAGGCGTTTTCAATTGAATTCTTTGAAGCTTGTTTAGAATATCGACCCTTACGATTTACTGGTTCGTCGCAGTTTTTTGCTCTTATTTCAAGATTGAGCCTCGAAGGCTCGTAGGTTTTCGTGTTTTTCTTAAACAAGATACAGTTTAAAGATACCTGAAAAAGTTTTCAGAGAGTTACTCCGGGGTCGCTAGTACTCCATCAACAGATGAAGTTGGCGGCCAAAAAGGCGAAAATTTTAAAAAATTGTTTCACTGTCAAATTCTATTTCTATCTTTTCGGAAAACTTTTCAAACATACATAAGCTATATTTCGAAGATTCACCTGCCGCTAAAATCTAGGAAAAACTCTATCGAAGCAATATTCTATTTGTTTTTCTAAACAAAACGTTTTTCCTTTTGTTTGGATTGGGTTTTTCCTAAATTTTTCCTAGATTTTAGTGGCCGGTAAATCTTCAAAATATAGCTTATGTATGTTTGAAAAGTTTTCCGAGAAGATAGAAACAGAATGACAGTGAAACAATGTTTTAAAATTTTCGCCTTTTTGGCCGCCAACTTCATCCGTTGATGGAGTACTAGTGACCCCGGAGTAACTCTCTGAAAATCTTTTCAGGTAATTTCAAACTGTATGTTGTTTAAGAAAAGCACGAAAACCTACCAGCCTTAAAGAGTCAATCTTGAAACGAAAGCAAAAAAACTGCGATGAACCAGTAAATCGTAAGGGTCGATATTCAAAAAAAGCTTCAAAGAAATCAAATGAAGACGCTTTTTTTTCCTTCCGTTTAAAATCTGTGAAGTTTTGACATCCATCTGTCCTACAAATAATCTGTTCTATTTCCGGGGAGAACCGAAAAAAAAAAATTTTTTTGAAGTTTTCACGAAACTCAAGTTGAAGTCGTTCGGCGAGTTGGTGACATACTACTGACCCCGGTCTGTGGTTGTCGGACTATGTCCAACATATGTAAAAGGGTCAGGCGCTTCGATTAAATAAAAGTCAGCTAGGGCTTCGGGGGTCCTAACCACTGAAAATCGGAGGTGAATGCAAAACTCATATTTTCGACAAACTTTGATTTTTTACCATAGGAAGAAAAATTCAGATCGGAAAGGTTTTAACGCAAAAAAGTCCTTAAAAGGTCTCATCTTGCTTTTGCGACGCTTTTTAGCTGATTTCTTACACTGGGAAAAAAGTTGGTTTTTTACTGTAATTTTTCACCGTAAGCCTGAAAGTGGGCGGAGCCTCACGGAACTATGTCTCGTTTAATCAGAGTACTTGCAAATAGCTGTGGTACAAGTATGGAGTCAAAAGAATCTACTTGAAATCTTTGAACCAACGGTAGTTCCACTTTCTGAGAGAACGCGTGTCCAGTTGAACTCGATAGAAGTCGATATCTTCCAATGCATTTTTTCGTTCCCATTCTCCAGACGTTCTATCTAAATGCAAGATAATTAGAAAAGGATTCTCTATATATCAAACTGCTTTATTTGAAGTTTCCGTCGATCCTCCATGAATTGATCACAACAATATCGTTGAAAGATTCCTGCAAAGTTTTCAAAATTGAAAAAAAGAAAGTCAATTGTATTATTTTAATCGTAATGTTTTGACTGATTAGTTATGGAAAGTCGTAAGTAAGTTAGGGAAGTCTTATCCAGTCAGGAGAACTAACTAGGCGGTGCGCTAGAGCTCCGCTCGGCCTTGTCAAAACTAAGATTCCTAGGCGCCGAAGGCCGTGACGGCATTTTCCGTGGGGTTCCCATCATCGCTTTGTCAGCATCGCGCTGCCAACAGTTTATGCTTCAGCCACAGCAATGGGCTTCGGCGTGACTTTGCGTATCCGATTTGCAAAGCAAAAAGGATCGGCACTCCGGGAGTCCCACGGGCCTACTCTACTAGCGCTTACGACTAAGAGAACTATTTTGAGATTTAGAATTTTTTTGGAAGCCTTAAACTCATCTTGACGTAGAGTTTAGGAGCAAGACGGCGTCGTGACAGAAGTAGAAATGAGATTTGCACCCAAGTCAAAAAAGAAGAAATGACACGTTGACACGTGGTTTTTGTAAGCGTTCAATTTTTATAAACTGACGCCTTCCCGAAAGGTTCACGTTTTATTTTTTGCAGAGGATGAAATTTTTATTTTTTAATGTCTTGTCAAGTTACGTGAGGCAAGCTGTAAAAATACCGGAGGCTCTTTCAAAATAAAAGAAATGAAATTGATGATTCGCTCTTTTTTTTTGCTTAATTTCTTACAAGTTTCCTCACTCATGAAAATAAATAATTCTATGACTATAATACAAAAAACGTTTTCATGTTCAGCTCGACATCTCCGGCCTCCACGCCCACGGTGAAGCCCTCCAGGAACTCGGCGATAATCTCAGAAGTCTGCGCCAACTTTCCTACAGAGGCATGGAGGTCACTGGGGACAAGGTTAGAACATCAACAATATTTTCCCGTTTTTTGTGTCTTTTTTTGGTTGGGTCATGCGAAGTAGAAATCAATATTTCATCTTCAAAGGTCCAAAAAAACTACGCTTTTTGTTTTAATTTTTAAACTACGGCGTTTTTTTCTCAATGAACCGCTCGAACCAACTTCCGTTCAGCTTTAAAGCAAAGGGGGTTCCATCAATTTTTCCCGAAAAAAGCCCGTTTCTCAAATATGAAAGATTCGAAAGCTTCAGAAAGAGTTGATGATTTATGAATTTAGCCTTTTCATAAGATGATATCTTTAAATCCATTTTCATCGGATATCCTTCTGGTTCATGTTGAAGTCTCTTTGTTAGTGCATAGCATAAACTCGATTTTTGCTTATTTCAAGACTTTTGGTTTTTTCAAAGTCTTTTTCGAAGTTATTCTACTAGTCCATCTAACTAGTAAGAAGATCAAAATTTCATTTTTCCAGGCCTTTTAGCCATTTTTGAAATCACTTTCGAAGTCTATCTGTTATTGAATTTTAAGAAGTCGGATTTTCAGGCCTCCTAGTTCTTGTTGGTGCCTTTTTCGAATTCTCTCTGTTAGTGCATCGAATAAAATCGAGTATTCGCCCATTTCAGGCCTTCTGGTTCTTGTTGAAGTCGTGCGGGTCCTCCCTGAAGTTTGTCGACCTCAGAGGAGCCAAGCGGTTACACGGCCGAGCATTCCGATTGTTTGGCTCCCAACTCGAGCAGATCTACCTCGACGGCTGCACCAAGGTCGATCCCCTGGCCTTTGAGGATCTCTGCACGACGGCCGCCGGCCTCAAGGAGCTCCGAATCAACGAGTGCTACAGGATCACCGATGAGAACTTGAGGTTTGCCGTAGGAGAAAATTTTCTTTCAACATTTTTCTACTATTTTTTGACATGATCCCCTCTAGGGACCACTTTACCTCCTCCTATGTGGACCACTGAAGCTTGCAAGCGTTTTAAAAAAATGAAAATAAGATGAATCGATCACGTTCTATCTATTACTTCTTTTTAGTTTTAAAATCTGAACCGAAATTAAAAGACCCCTTCAGAGCCTCTTTAATTTTACGCCTCTAGGAGGCACTCTTTCGTCCTCTATTGTGGCTGTTTTTACCCTAATCCCTCGAGGGACCACTCTGACATTCCTGAGAACTATCTTGAAGTTGCGAAGACAAGCCTTTTTGCGAACTAGAAGTCTGGACGGGTAGTTGATCAAGTTGAAAGCATGGTCTCACTGTCCTTCGCTTACTTACTTTGTGCGTAGTTCCTCCATTTGCGCCTTGACGACCTCAAAATGTAGTGCTCCGTAGACCGTCCTCCAAGTCAAAATGAGAGCTACCACTTAAGACTTTACACGAAATTTGGAAGAAAATGGCGGGATTTCAGTATGATCTCGCGAAGAATGAGCGACCTGACGGTTCTGACCCTCTGCGGAGACAGTTTCAACTCTCTGACTGCCGCCGGCCTTGTCCACATTACTCATATGACGAGCATCGTCGAGTTGGCGTAAGTTGAAGTTTCGAAAAGTGTGGATCCAAAAATCTTAAAAAAGAGAGAAAAATTTTTCTCACTTCTGATCTTTCAGCAGAAAATTTTGTATTCTTTCGCAAAAGTTTCCCGTTTTTTTCATAATTTCTTCTTTTTTGTTTCTTCATTATGGTACTTAAGGATTTGTAAAAGAACTTTCAAGACGTGAGTTTTATGAAAAAAATATTCTAGCGATATGGAAAAATTGAAAAAGTTGCCGTTGAAAATTCGCCAACTTTTTATTCATACCACCCGAATTTTGAACTATCCACCTTCAGTTTGGACTACAACACCCTGGTCAACGACGAACTCCTGAAACGGATATCCACGGGCCTTCCGAACCTGTCGTCCCTGAGCTTGGCCAACTCTGGAGATGATCTTTCGGTCACACCGGATGGCATCGCTTCCTTGGCCAAGTTGTCAGAACTCACGCAGGTTTGATAATGAAAAAAATTGACCAGCTGTGAAAAAACTTAGTTCCTACTTAAGAAGCCCTTCAGGAACTAAAAAAAAAATCTATTGAAGCCACTATTTTTCGATTCAGTGACCACTGTAGCAGTTTTTTAATCCAGTAATCTTCTTCCAGTGTTATAGTTTGTTCAGATTCCCACTCCCCCGCCCCATGAAGATACAGTAAATTTTTTTATTGATGCGGGAAGATGATTTTTTATTAACGCTATATTTTTCGATTTTTTTTTAAATCAAACAGTTTGGAAAAAATCTGAATGGACTATAATGCGATTAAAAAAACGGATTTTTCGAAAAGTTTTTTTTTACTGAGTGTTTTTTCAAGTGCTCTGCATTTTTATCACGACAGATTCGAGGTGTTCATAATCTCAAATTAATTATTTTTGTATTTCTGAGCTGTTGATTTTTCATAATCTTCATATTACAAAAAGTTCACGCCTTTTTTCTCAAATTACAAAAAAAATCAAGGTCTCCCTCATTTTCTCATGATATCTCAACAATCTCATATCGTTTTTTGACTTTAATCAAATAAAAAAAATTTCCGTTCCATCAAGTTTTTGTTTTCCAGCTGGACCTCTCTTCCCTGGCGGCGGTAAAGACGGTTTCCCTTGTCAAAATCGCGACGGAATGCAAAAAATTGGAACTTTTGCAGGTGAAACTTCAAAAAGAACTTTTTGAATGTCTGAATCTTGATTTTCAGCTGAGAAACTGTACATATCTCAACGACGAGGGCGTTTCCGGCATTTCGAAAAACAAAAATCTGCGTCACGTCGACCTGAGTGGATCGATTTTGGTTTGAAAAATAGTATTTCAGTAAGAAAAATGTATTTTTTTTTAGATCTCGAATAACAGCGTCCAAGAGTTCATCAAGGCGTTTCCTATCGAGGCGAAGGTTTGATCGGATTTTGTCGTAATTTAGTTCAAAAACAAAGAAAAAAATTATAAAAGGAAAAAGTTCAAACCTGCATGTGTAGCATGTAGCATTTCACGCAATCAACTTTTGTCAGTTCTAAAATCTGTAATTTTTCCATATTTTCAACCAAACTTCCCATTCTTTTTCAAGTACTCAGTACTGAAAAAACTTGGAAACTAGTTGATTTTTCGAGTTCTTGATTGAGTTCACCGTTTCTGAGATTTTATTAATGATGTAAAAATTGAGATCAATTTATTCAGGGAACTGGTGTTGTGGTGTCATCTTTACTAGTTATAATCTACAGTTTCCAATAATTTAAAAAAATTGTTTAGATTTTTAAAGATTTTTTTCACAGCTCGAAATCGATTCGAAAAAAACTTTTTTTCCCTTTTTTTGATTTCATGATTTCTTTTTTTACAAATTTTTCAAAAATTGAAGGCACCGTTAGATATTCAGGATTTTTCTGTTAACTTTAGAAAAAAATATATGTCCGCTGGAGATAGTTTTGACTGGTTGAGGATTTTTTGACCAGTGAGAATTTATTGAAAAGCAATGGAACTTCCAATAAACGCTACTAAAGACTATACCTAGCCCGGCGCGAGAGAAAAGCGAGGTCGGTCGCGGTACATTTATGATATCGTAAAAATTTTGCTCTGTCCACGCGCAGGTCTCGCGTTTCTCACGCACAAAAAAGTTTGAAAGCTCCCAAAACGGGAGAGGACAGAGCGATATGTTAGCGATGTCGTCAATGTACACCCAGCGGTCTAGCCTTAAGATTGGCAGTTATTCTTCACAAAATATAACGGCCGAGTCTGGAGAAAATGTGAGACGGTCGCTGTACATTGACTATATCGCAAAAATTTCGCTCTGTCCTCGCGCGGGTCTCGCGTTTTTAGGCGACACTCCGCATTTCTTTAGCTTTTCTCACGCACAAAAAGGGTTTGAAACTTTCCAAAACTCGAGCGGACAGCGACATTTTAACGATGTCGTCAATGTACCGCCAGCGATCTGGCCTTAATCTCGGCAGTTGTTCTTCACTAAAGATAACGGCCGAGTCTGGCGCTAGAGAAAAGGGAGACGGTCGCAGAACATCGACGATATCGCAAAAATGTCGCTCTGTCCTAACGTGAGACTCGTTTCTCACGCAGATGCGAGACCCGCGCGAGGACAGAGCGATATGTTAGAGATGTAGTCAAAGTACCGTCAGCGATCTAGCTTTAATCTCGACAGTTATTCCTAGTGACATTCCTGCTGGTTTTCAGAAGCCGGCAGTGACTCTGGTCGTCGGCGGAACTGCCGCGGACGCCTCGAAATTGTCGGTGAGAGGAAGTCGAGTCATTGTCGACTTTTCCGACTACTCGACGATCGTTTCGATCCCTCCAGGCGGTAGCTCGTCGACCTTCCGAATTGGTAAATTTTTTTTTTCTTTGATCGATCAGAGCGCTATTAGATTCGCTCTTAGTTCAAATCACGGCGTTTTTGTTAGTGAAAAAAAAAAACAATGTGAAACCGAAACCACAGTGGGCGGAATCAAAACTTCCGCAGTTCCCACGTGACGTCATAGGAACAGCAGAGATTTCGACTCTAGGAGCGTAAATAACAAGGCATATTAAAGGCGCAGATGGCCGTTGTGCCAGAAGTCTTTGAAACGAATCGAAACCTTACATAGACGAAACTTTCTGCAAGAAAGCGACGCAGTGCATGCACACGACACTTTACGGAGAAAAAGTGGAAACGCCGTGAAATGAATTTAATATAGCCGATTCACGGCTAACTTGGAACGCTGAAGGGGCGTGGCGCGCCTGCGCTCTCCACCAACCAGGATCTATCTCTTTTATTATCGTTTCAAGACCCTTTTTTCGATGGCTAAAGTCAGATGTGAATCAGCTATAATCTTCGATTTTATCTTACATTTTGATCATGTGCCTTCAAATCCAATTTTTCAGGCTCCTGCTCCGACACTGAGGACGCCAGTTCGGACGACGATTTCGAGGCCCTCACTGCACAACGTAAATTTTTATATTTTTTCCTAGATCCTGTGAAAAATATCAATTCCAGGCTCTTTCTACATTGATGCGGTGTGCGGCGAGGACGACTCGCCCGTGACCGACCAGAAGGATTTGCTTGAGTGGGCGGAGCGAGAGGCTCGGAACTTGGGTCTCATCAAAGACTGAAATCATTGGCTTTAAGCGAATTTTTAGAATGGCTGATGAGAAATTTCTCTCTTATCAGCCACTTGAAATAGTTATTCGAACGGAATATTAATATTTATCCACTGTATATTATAGTTTTCTCCTTGCTTCTTTTGGGTATGTGAAAGTGTTTCTCACGCTCATCGATTCTAGCATTTTTTGTTTATATGTCTTGTCATTTTTTGCGATCTTTTCGAGCTTCCCATACGATTCTACTAGTCTCCCTCAGAATGTGACCAACTTCTTTTTCTTAAAACTTTATCATATGTGCATAAATATTGCCTTTTTTCATTACGACTAATAAAAGTTTTTTAAAGCCTTGTTTTATAGTGATTTTTAATATGTATCTTCAGCTCAATTTGAGGAATATTTTGTTCTCAAAGAAAAAAAACTTTTTTTTCAATAACTCGTCATTCACAAAAAAAATTTACCTGATTACTTTGAGAACTAAACTGAGAACATATTATTCCACTTAACAATTGAAAAAACAAACATGAACTGAAAATTATCAAGAAAATAAAAATGATCAGTAGGAAAGCCTGCTCCAATGAGAAAGTTTCAAGGCCAAGAGGCTCCTCCAGTGGCTTGATGAAGTGGTCACAGCGAGTTTTTACGAATATTTTTCACATGTTTGTCAAATTTTTCTTTGTTGTTGTTTGTAATTGATTGTTGATGTCTCTTTCAAAGCGTATTCATTGGAAAAAATCGATCTTTTACGAAACGCAAAATTACCTCGAAATAATGAAAATTGCTGATTTCATTACCTCTTATTTTTACCTTTTTACGCCTTTTCACATTTTGCACGCGCCGTTTTCCTTTTCATTTATTTAATAGTTTTTACTTCCGAATAAATACTTTTTCAGGTCTTATGCCTCCACATCTTCCGTGAAAGATGTCGATGAAAAAGTTCTCCGAGGCGGCCAGCCTCATGGCTCAAGAGGTGGTTCTTATTTCGAAGAAAACTATGTATTTTTGAATGTTACAGTTGTTATCTCTGGCCGCCAGCCGAGCCAAAGGTGTGAGCCGATTTCTTCCGAGGATTTTCCCGACTTTTTACAAATTGGGCGTCCGAGTCCCATTCGCAAAAACGCCGCCGAGGATATTCATCAGCGTGGTTCATCGGAGATTTTCATTAAAATGGAGATATTTATCAGGTTTAGGGTAGATTAGTGATGCGGAATCGATTCTATCGGCCTTTCACCACCCTAGCCATGGAAAGGCATCGATTTAATCAATATAATTTTGTGGCCAAACGGTTTAATCCATTGATTCGGAGGAGAAGGGTCGCTTTGTTCCATAAAGACGCCTTGGATGGGATCAAGGTTGAGGAAAGCTTAATTTTAGGGGTTTTCAGAGGTTTGATAATTCTGATATGTTTTTGTTTTGGTTTAAACAAAGTTATCAGAAAGAAAAATTTTTTTAAATCTATTGTTCTTCGTTTTCAGATTCAAAGAGACTGGAAACTTAACATTTCCTTCAACATTTTTTTTTGATTTTTAAAAAAGCGGAATCTTTTTTTTCCTTTAGACACATTTTTCCAATGAGAAGGAGCAATTATGGAGTTTTTCACGTTTTTTTTTCTGGAATTTTTTTTTGGAATATTCTTCTTTTTGACTGCTTTTTCTACAGATCTGTAAAGATCTTTTCATTTTTTTGTTTTTTGAAATAAAAAATTTGACCTCAGTTTGATTTTTTGTACCTACTAGCACGTTTTTTTTTCAGAAAGTATTCCAAAAAAATGCCCGTTACAACGACGATCTGAACAGTACTGATTTGCCGGACCAAATCGACGCCTACGAATTTGGTTTTCATAGATTTCGTATAGTGAAATTGATCATTTTCCAGGCCAATTCCTGGGCCAAGGTTGCAACGCGGCAGTTTACGCCGCAAGATTGGTCAATCCAGAAGATTCCCTCACTTTGGGACCGGGCTTCAATGAAGTCTCTCAAGTGATCGCTTCGGAGCCGCCGAACAACCGGTCCGAGTTCCGAAGACAGGTGAATTTTTTTTAAAAAAAAAAGGACATCTTGAGAATTCAGGGTTTTTCTCTCTTTCCTTCCCTAAAAAAAGTTTTTGTTCGAAAGTTTGATGAACTTTTAAGATCATAAACGCCTTCTCCGTGTTTTTTTTCTTCGAATTTCGATTTCACGCTTTTTCATTGGTTTTCCTATCCCTTTATTTATTAAATTTGAAGTTTTTCTTTAATTATTTTTCGACTTTCTTAGTAAATTACTTTCTGATCTTACCTGTAAGAAGGATTAATTAAAAAAAAAAGGTTCCTGAAAATTTATCGAGCTTTTCGAAAGTAAAAGGAGTTATTTTGATTCTTACTAGTTAAAAATGTTTTCAGAAACGAAAAAATTGGAAGCATGTTTTTTTTGGTTTGAAAATAACTTGTTCGATTCAAATTTTCAGGCCTATCCATATGCTGTCAAGTTGATGTTCAATTTTGAGCACGACCGAGTTTCCATTGGAGATAACCATTTGTGGAGGTTTTTTTTCTGACTTTTCTGGATTTATTCCGAACTTTTTTGTCTTAAGATCGATGGGAACGGAGCTGGCAATGTACCCGAAAGCCGCACAAATGCTGAGAGGCCGGATTTCTGAGTAATTTTAAAGTCTTTTTTGCTTTAAAATTTGACAAGAATTGTCAAGAATATACTGTTAAATTTTCCTCGTTTTCCTAGAAATCTTTGTTTTCAATGTAAAACCGAATTTCGCGTTTTTTATTCTATTTTCGTCTATCATCGTAGAAACTGATTACCAATTAATGAAACTTCCAACGAATATGATTTTTTGGAAACGTATTTTTCGCCGTTTTACTGGAAAAATTTTTAGTGGCCACTATAGGTTTTTGACGTTTTAGTGGTCACTATAGTAGTCAAATTAGTGGACACTTAGGAGGTTAAAAATTTATTGATCACTATAAGGTCTGAGTGCTACTACTAGACCACTAAAATTTTTAGTGGCCACTTAAGGGGTCAATGGATCAACATAACTGGTCCAATCAGTTTGTTTTAAACTTATCAGAGTTACTGGAAGGAATACTGGATGAAAAACTACTGAAGTGGCCACTAAATAGGGAACCTCTAAAGTGGCCACTGAAACAGAAAATAGTCGCCACTATAGAGGCCGATTTAGTGGCCACTTTAGTGTCCTCTCCAAGTAGTCCTTGGCGAGCCTCTATAGTGGCCACTAAAAATTTGCCCAGGTGAGCTTTTTTTTTATCATGACCTCACTTTTGAATGTATATAGGGACATAAAAAAAGAGATTTATTGAAAAAAATCAAGAAAAAAAGTTGCTGGTAATCTTTTTATTTCGTAGTTTCTAACTTCATTTGTAGTTTCATTCGTTTTTTTCCTTCAAAAATTATTTTTTTACCTTCAAAGCTATTTTTATTCATAAGCATTGAAAACTAGAAACTTCTCGATCAAAAAATGACGCCATTGGATATTTGGCTTTTTTTTCTCGTTTTTGCCTTGAAAAATTCTTTCCAACTTCTTTTGCATTTTTTATTCAACTTCTCTAATTTTTCCCTTTAAAAGTTCATTTTCAGCTTCAAACCTCTGCCCAAAAAGCATCCAAACGTGGTCCGGGTCCACACGGCTTTCATAGATTCTCTAAAAGTTATGCCCGATGCCATGGAGAGGTTTCAATTTCTTTTTTGAAGTAACAATTTATTACTTTAGGTACCCTGACGCCCTCCACACGGCCAGATGGTATGAATCCATTGCCAGTGAACCCAAAACGATGTACATCGTTATGAGGAGGTCTGAATTTCATGAATTTCGAGAAAAACATAGGATTAGGTGATAAAATAATTCAGGACTTAGTTTTATGGTTTTTTTTTCTTGAAGGTGAATGATTTCTTTGTCATGTCAAAAGCCTACCTTAATAAGAAGAGAGGCTAAATACCTGAAACTATCAAATCTTTTTCCAGCAAAAATCAGACTTTCAAGGCGTTTTTTTTTTCATTTTTTGTACCTTATTTGAATGAAATGTCATGGAAGCATAAGTAGAGGTCCTGACATTCTTAGGAATTCCAGAGTGTCTCCTCTAGGCGATAGGGGGGAAACTATCTCTTCCCCCAAAGCTTAAGTGGACCCTATAGGGGTCTTTCTATTTCATCCAAAAAACGCTCATTTATTTATTTTTTACTTTCCTTCTTCCTTTAGAGTTCATCACAGTTATCGAATAGAATGTCCCTTATAGGGGTCACAAACTAAAACCACTATAGGGACCACGTTTGCAAGCTTCAGTGGTCCCTAAAGGGGTTGGTAAAGTGGTCCCTAGAGAAGCCCTAACAATGCCCCTATATGGACCACTCTGGAGTTCCTAAGGTAGTCGAGTTCATTCCAATATCATCTCACAAAAAGTTATTTTTTCTTTTTTTGCGACAATACTTTAGCTTTTTTGAATTTGATCGTTTATTTCGCACCGTTTTCGACGTTCATATTGTTGGTTTGAGGTACCGACAAACGTTGAAAGACTACGTCTGGACCCATCAACGGAATTATTGGGTCGGGCGGGTGATGTTGGCTCAGTTGTTGGAGGCCTGCGCCTTCCTCCAGGACCATTTCGTCGCCCAGCGGGACATGAAAAGCGACAATATTCTTCTGCAGTACGATGATGATGGTCCGGGTTTTTTTCGGAATGAAAAATCACTCAAGTGTTCTTGTTTTTGATCATAATTTCATTTTTTTCTTAATTTAAAAAAACTAAAAAAATAATTTTTTTCAAACACGACTAGATATGTTTAGGGAACGGGAAAGATCACAAAAAGATCCAGATTTTTTTGAGATTCTTTATTTTTATTTTTTAAAAAAAATTTGATTTGATTTTTTTGAAAAAAACGGATAATTGAAGTTAGAGCTTTAATTAATTTTTCAAAGCTTCAAAATGTTCCCATTTTCTTGAAAAAAATTCAATCTTTGAGCCTCGAATCAGTTTTTTTAAGCGCCTTTTGAGAGCGTCAAATAATATTTTTTGGATTTATTGGAGCCTTTTTTTCATGATTTTTTTCAAAATTTTTATCAAGAAAAATTCGGCGAATAATAAATTTGAAGCAACACAGATTTTTTTCGAATAATTAGGATTTTTTTGAATTCAAATGATTATGAATTTTTTTTTTTTGAACGTTTTTCGATTTTTCAAGTTGTAGAGTTTTGTGCAGAAGTATGTTAATTAACAGATAATTTTCGTAAAGTTCTTAATTTTTACTCTGAGTTTTCAGAAGAAATTCCTCACTTGGTAGTGGCTGATTTCGGATGCGCCTTGGCTTGTGGTTCTTGGGAGGTTTATATCTTCAAAATATTCGAAGTTTAGAAAATTTGAGTTTTCAGGTGAAATTTGAGCACCAGGACGACAATAATCTGGGCGGGAACTTGAAAACTCGGGCCCCTGAAGTGGCCACTGCGACGGCGGGACCTGGAAAGTGCGGTTTTGAGTTTGATTCGAGAAAAAAGACGGGGAAATATGAGATAGTGAAATCAATGACGGCTCGAATAATACTCGGGGTCTTTTTTTAAATGAGATAACTTTTTCAATACTTTATTAAATTTAACAGTCTGCTCTATACTGTACTTCCGTCTTTCAAAATAATTCAGTGAGACTTCGGAATACCCCAATAGATTTTAATTTAAAGGCGCATGATCCCCGTTTAGAATAAAGTCTCATCAGGAAATCTGGCTTTTCTCCCAAGTTGTAGACGATACTATCAAATAATTATTAAAAGAATGTTTACAGTAATAAAAAGTTCAATTTTAAGGCAATCGAAAAGACTTTGAAAAATGAAGCAATAGAATTTCGCTTCAAGATATTTTTGACTATATTTTTCATGCGCCTTCAAATTTTTACAAAAAAAAATTTTTCTCCGCATTTTTTTCTACATTGAGCATTAAAAAAATCTTCTTTTTTTCTCTTGTTATTATTATCATCATTTTGATATTTATGAAATTAATTAATTAGAACATTTATGCTTTAAAGGCGCAAGACCGTCTTGTCGTAAAATATCTCATCGCGAAATAGGTCCTTTTTTTCGAGATTATCAGTTCTAACGTTTAAAAAATCGATGAAACGATTCAGAATGGAAAAAATTTCAATTCGATTTCTGGAAAAATTTCTAGTGCCCACTTTAGGGCTTTGACGCTTTAGTCGTCACTATAGTAGTCAAATGTGTGGCTAAAATTTATTAGCCTTCTCAGAAGTCTCATTGGTACTACAAGACAACACAAAAACTACTATAGTAGCTACTACGTTGCAAAACAGTGGCTCCTATAGAGGTGGTTATAGTGATCACTTTAGTGTCCTTTCCAGGTTCTTTTTGAGGAGCCCCTTAAGTGGCGTTTTACCGGTTCTACGCGGATTTCCTTAGCTCATTTGTTTTGATTGAAATTGTCTGACTTCTCTGCGACGCTATTATTTTAACTTGCTCTTTTCGTTTTTCTATGACCATGTCTCTTAGGGAAAAGAGAGCGCAGACAAGGCAGGATCTTTTTAATTTGTGAAGAAGAAGTAAAAGCCTTCCTTCCAAGTTATCATAAAACTGAAAAAAGAAATGATAAGATTTTTCCAGAACCGTCAATTTCAAAATGGCGGACACCTGGGCGGCGGGTGGCTTGGCCTACGAGATTTTCACGAGGTTTTGATAATTATCCAAAAAAAGCACCCTGTAATTTTTTTCTAGGGTAAATCCATTCTATGAGCAAATTTCCACTGTCGATTATTTGGAAACCGAACTCCCTCAACTGCCCAAAAAACTGCATCATGTGGCAAAAGATGTGGTTAGGGATCTGCTCAGAAGAGATCCAAACCAGGTATTTTTGAGAATTAAAAAAAACAGATTTGAAAATGAACCATTCATCGCACGCAAAAAAGGAGAGATTTTATTACTTTTGACTTGAAAAATCAAGAGAAAATAAGTGGAAATGTACAAAAAGTTGGAAAAAAAGTCTCCTTTTTGCTTTAGATCTTTCACAGAAAAAAATAATAAAATTTTTGCTCGAGGGGAAAATGTTTTTTTATAGTGATTTGTAGAATATATTTTTCTTTTAGCTGTAAAAAAAATCTGAATTATCAAAAATTCAAAGATGGTAGAGTTTACAAATTTCCCACGATTTTTTTAGTTGGAAAAACAGGAGGAAATGGTTGAAATTATACAAAAAAATGGGAAAACCTTTTATTTTTGCTTCCGATAACTACAGGAAAAAAATAATGAAATTTCGTTCGAATAGGAATTTTTTTAAAAGGTTCCAAAAAAAAATTTTTTTGAATAATGAACTTAAAGTCTCAAGAAATTTGAACTAGAAGAGTTTTTCTTATTCTCACGATTTTTTTACTTGAGAAAAATAACTTTTTAAGAGATTTTTACTACATCCTTAGTGGGCAAATTTAAAGCTGAACTCCATTTTTTTCGAAATTCTCTTTCTGAAAAAAATCATTCCCAAAGAAAGTTCATAATATTTTTTTGAAAGCAAATGAGAGATTTCAAACATTTTGTGTGTTCCAATACATTATCTTCGAGTAAAAAATTTTTTTGGACCTAAATTTCATCGAAAATTTTTGAAAAAAATGAGTTCGGATTGAAATTCGTCCAAAAAAAAGCTGTCAATAATTCTTTTCTTTTTTTCTTGTTTAATTTTTGAGATTTCTGTTTCAATTTACTCTGAAAAATGTGTGCGATAAGTTTAATTAATACGGCTTTCCTGGCGAAATAAATATTTCAGAACCAAATTTTAAATAGTTTCTGAATTTCTGAAAAAAGGTATTATTTTTCCTCAGAGAGTGACTCCTCACGTCGCTGCCAACGCCATCAATCTTTCCCTGTTCCGATTCGGGAGCGATGTCCAGAAATTGTTAGCCGACTGCGGCTTGAACAAGTTGGCCATGCTCCAGAACCTCGCCAAAACGAATGGATCCTCGGTAATCGACAAGGTTGGTTATTCAGAATCTCTGAAATAGTCTATTTTTGGGGCTTTGACCTTTTATTTCTCGGAAATTGGGTAGGTTGGGACTTTCAGAATCTTTTTTTTGTATGTCAAGAAATGTTCTGGCCAAATTTGAAGAAATTGTCAAGCGTAGACTAAAAGGACCTCCCTAGTAAGCATTTTCATTTCTGTAACTTCAGTGTTCACCTTTCTGTTTTATTATTTTCTTCTTACTGGTTACGCACTTTTTTAAACTCAAAAAATGAAAGAATTCCTTTTTTAAAACTGTAAGAAGAAATTGAAGCTTGGAGTTACGGCGAACCGTGCTTTGGACAATGTGATGGCCCTCTTGACGGCGGAAACGATCACCGCGACTTTGGCGCCGCAGTTGGTCAGCCGTGCTGAGAAACAGGTAAGATTGAGAAAAACGTCAAGCATTTAAACAACATTTTGATGATAAAAAAAAACTAAAAAATGTCCGGGTATCTGAAAAAATAGCTACGAAAATGAGCTGTTTTAGCGTAGAAGAAAATCGAAAAATTGAAAATAAAAAATTTTCGACGCTCTTTTTTTGCGGGTCTCTTTTCAGATATACATTTTCCCGTTTTGCCAACTTTAAAATTTACAGTTTCGCCATAAAAAAACGGGTTTTGATCACAAGTTTCTTGTATTTTTTCAATCTTTCTGGAACTTTCTGAAGTTTTGATGTCTGTTATTTGTAACACCAATACGGAACTTTTGTATGCAGAAAAAAAGTAGCTTGGCAAATTCTCAAAAAGATTGAGCTTCATACAAGGAAACTGGGAGCAATAACGATTTCTCGTATCTTTACTGACGGTACTGTACAAAAATCTTTCTTTCAATGTTTCCAATGATTTAGCTCCGAGCAACGTTTCTCTCGAGAGTGACGAGAGAAGATTTGTGGACTTCTCTCCACTATTTCTTCAAAGAGACGGCCCTCGTCGACGCCGATTCCTTGGCTTCGTTGGCCCCTTCGAACTCGCCTTTCTTCGGCTCCGATGGAAGCTCTCTGGAGAAAAATTCGAAGCCTTTGCCTAACATATTGCCCAACAACAAGTATTTACCTGACTCTAATGGAATCGTCCACAGGGTTCGATCCAAGTAGATCATTCTGTTCCTAGTAGCAACTCACTCACTTTTGAAAATTTTAAAAATTGTCGACTTTTTGGAAAAAATGGGTCCTAGAACGAATTTTAGACGACAATTACTGTAATCCCCGTTTTTTCCAAAGAAGATAGCTTAGAAACACCTGTGATAATCTCACAGGCTTTGTCTCAAAGGCCCTGTTAGGCTTTGTCCTGCGCCTTTAATTATTCAAAAAGAGCCTAAAAAGGGTCTCGAAACGGTGAGCGATATCCTTGCCGAAAAAGGAGGAAACAAAAAGTAATATATGGTTTTTTTTTAGTGAATTTAGCTCAGAAAATCTAGGGATTCTTTCACAGCTACATTTTTTTAATCCACACCCTGTGCCTTTAAAAATTGGGTCGTGTTTCAACTGGATTTTTTTTGAATTAAAAAATTTTTTTTTCAAAGGTATGGGTTGTTTTTGACTTTCCTTTAGGTTCGATTAGATGGAGTTTTTTCATTTTTTTGTCTTAATTTTTTTTTTTGGGTAGTTTTCTAGGTTAGTTAAGATGTAAATTAGAATTTCGCAGCTTTTGAATCATGTTGAATGAGATCAGAACATTGAAAAAAAACATGAATTTTTATAAAAATTTCGTCTTTTCACCTTGGAAGTTTTTTTCTTCGATTTTTAATCTTGAAAAAGACTTTCTGACCCTCCAATGATCCTTTCCTCATCAAACTCTCCCTTTTTTCCAATCCTCATCCTTCTTCTTTGTAAATAAAATCGAAAATTGCAAATGTTTCCTTTGTACATGTATTTTTGTATGAAAAAAGTTATTAGTTTGATGTATAGTACTTTTTTATCGATTTATCTGCCAGACGATTTTACGGTTTTTTTCCTTGGAATAAAGAATTTCCTTAAAATTGAAATGATGGAATATGGTTGTTTTACCCATTGATTAACTTTCATTTACTGCTTTTGACTTTCTTGTGAACAAAAAAAATAAGAGAAGGTGAGGTATATGGGCACCTTGTACGTGCCGTTGATCATTCGACTGGAAATCGCTGAAAACGCGCCGATCGTCTCGTTCCACGAGTATTCCTTAACAGGTGGGTTCTTGAAAACGTTATGTAATTTATTGAAGTTTTTTGGACAGTTTCAAGCTTTTCCCTTCTTCAAAAATTTTTAAAAAAAATTTCCCGAGAAATTCAAAACTTTCTCCGGCTCTCCAAAATTTAGTGATCTTCTCTACTCTGACGGTTATTTTGAACCTGGCAGAATTAATTTGAACACGGCATTTTAGCTTTTTTATCAGCTTGAAATCATCAAAATTTAGTTTAATCATCGATTTTAACTGAATTTCTGAACTGAGTAACCTTTTTTTCTGAAAAATTCAGCAAGGTTAGAAAAAAAGTCCATTTTTTTCATCAAGTCATATTTTTTTAAATTAAAAAAATTTAAAAACGAAAAAAAGTTTGAGAATATTTTTCCGTGTTGATTCCTCAGCAGGTAGGGTTTCGGAAACTTGATCGAATTTATCAAAGATTTTTGAACAGTTCTGATTCTTATGTTTATGCCGTGTTCAAAGTGATTCCGCGAAATTCAAAATAGCTGTCAGAGAAAGAGAAAGATAACTAAATTTTGGAGGGTCAGAGACCATTTTGCATTTCGCGGAAATTACTTTGAACACGGCATTAGCTCCCACGGTGTTCCGCGCAATGAAAAAAAAAATGCGAAATTTTGGGTCCCAGCGGCATATTATCCGTGGCGCATTATTGCGCCCTTCTCATGGTTTCTGATGCAAAAATTGAATTTCTTCACTTTTTTTCATTGGTTTTTTACTTTTTTCTATTTCTTGCATTTATGTGATCCGCCTCTCTATGGGTACATCTTGTGGAGCTTTAAATTGCGCACTTTTTCTAAACCGGTTTCAGATCTTTAACTTTTTTTCTCAAAAGAGTTGAAGATTTTTTTCTAAAAAGTCCTAATTTTTTTCAAAAATTTTTGAAATCTGTTTCGCGACATGAAAAGAGTCTTTTGATATATGAATCATCTAGATTATATATTTTTTTCTAGCTTTTTTTGATTGTTTTTTTCGGATTTAAACAAAAAAATTTCGCCATACGAGGTTTTTTTCTAAAATTTCTGCTTTCTATCCATTATTTGTTTTTTTCTGAAGCTAGGTTTTCGAGGTATATAAAATGTTTTCATTTGCTCCTCGAATTTTTCCTCATTTCAATATTTTTTTCGTATTTATAAATGCTTATTCAATGGGAGCTGATTCATTTTCATAATATTTTTTGTTTTTATTTTGTAGTCAGTAATTTAGAATTTTTCCCTTTCAAAATCGTTCCTAAATGTTTTTTTAACGTAAGTGAATTTTTTTTTTTCACATCATATTCTTCAAACTGACAACTTTCGAACATTTCAGGAGCTATTGTCCTGAAATCGCAAATTCTAAAATTGAAAAAAAACATTTTGAGTATGCGATAGTGCGTCTCGGTGTGCTTACACCCTAAGCATCAAAAAAATTTTTCCAAGCATTTTGGGACATTTTTTGAATTTATGAGGGAAAAACTAGCTAGAGGCGGTTTTTTTTTTCGGAATTTTCTTCTTAAAAATATGATTTTCAATCTCAGATAGATAGATAAAGGATGAAAATCGATTTTTGCAGAAGTCCGATCACCGACGGCCGGTGAAAGAACGCGACAGCGGCTCCGCTCGAGCGGAATGAAGAAAAGGAGCCCGAAAAACACGTTGATGACGTCGGAAAGCGAGTTTCTGCCGCCTGTCGACGAAAAACATCATGTTTATTAAATTCTTTGAAATAGATGTTCATAGGCAAAGTCGGAAGGACGCTTTTGGGGGCAATTGGAGCGTCCGTGATGAATCAAAAGTTTTCCATTAATTGTTCCTAAACGAGTGGCAACGGTTTCCTTTTTACTGCCTTTTTCCGTCCTTTCATCGGCCTTCATCCACCCTTTTTGGACCCTTCTGAGAAATACAATTTTTTTTAAATTGAGAATAATCTTCACCAGTGGCTATGTATGGACCAAAATTTTCTACAGTAATAATTTCGGTAATCATTAATGTCCGAGACTTTCAGCACCCTTTTTGCACCCCCAAATCTTTCTTCACCCTTCTTTGAGGCTTTTTAGCCCACCAAGAAAGAAAGACTCTAAAAAAGCCGTAAAAAAGGGACCCTTTTAGCTGCCATTTTGCAGCCACTCCCTTTTTTCATCCGTTTTACGCACTTCGGACTTTAGCGAGCTCGGGGAAAGTCGGAATGGTGGATAATGACCGCTATAAAGAAGAGGCTCACAAAAGGTAGCAAAAAGTGTCCCTTTATCGAGCCTCCCATTTTCTTCTAGAATTTTAAAGGCTCAAGAAATGGTGGGAAAAAAGAGAGGTATAATTATAAATTTGATGATGAGAGCGAATAAGCAAGAAGTACCAGCGAAAAATCAGAAAAAGATTCTTTTCTTCCTCTTTGGAAGCGTATGTATCCTTGTTTTGATAGTTTGTTCTAATTTTTCTGTTTTTTCTTGTTTTTAATCATAAACTAGGAACTTTCATTATAAAACTTATATAGGAACTTCAAAAAAACTAGGGAAATATATATTTTTTGGTTGTTTCCACAATATTTTCTGTTTTTTCGTGTTTCTCATCATCTCATTTGAAGAGAGCCATCAAAAACTAAGAATTTATCGAGGAAAATTCGGGTTTAATTAGTGGTAGGAAAAATTTATTAAAAGTGCCTCATAATATCAGAAATAACTGAAAAGGTTCCGGTAAAGCAAAAAAAATTGCGATGTATGTTGTCCATAGAGCAACTTTGCTGCAAAACGCCCTTTTGGCGAGAACTCAAGTTTTTTTTTTCTGATTTCGAATGACTTTTTCTCCGAAAATAGGAACCTCTGCACATTTTCAAGTAGACCGTTCGATTCGCAATGAAAAACTATAAAATTTCATTTCACACCCGGTTTTTACTGTCCCTACGCCTTTAAAGAACAGAATAATCTCATTTTTCTTAACCTCAGAAGATTCTTTTCGAAGCCCCTCGAAGCTTTCTTAGTTGCCTTTGAGCATTTTTATGGAAAGAAAAATTTCAAAAAGATGCAAGAATGAATTAAAAAAAGATCATTTGAAAGACTCTTTTCCGTTCTACAAGAGCTAAATTTTCACCCCTTTTACCATGTTTTTATACGAGACGTTTTGCAGACGGTAGAGCAAAAACCGGCCAATCATCCCGGCCGCCGAACCTATTCGGAAGTTGTCGTGGAGACGTTGGAAGGAGATCGAATCCTGGGACCGGAGTCGGAACCTTCGTCCTCAACTTCCAATAATACTCCTCCGCGGTCCATTAAAAGCGCCTCTGAGCCACGAGGTTCGTTTTTAATTGATACATATTTTTTAAAAAAAAATGAAGCGTATTGGTATAGTTGATTCACGGCTAGCTTGGGAGCAAAAGGGGCGTGGCCTGTCTGCGCTCTCCATCAACCAGGCACTATCTCTTATTCTGTCGTGTCAGAACCATTGTTTCGATGGCTCAGAAAGACGCGAATCAGCTTTATAGTCTCTTCAGATTTTGAATGTTAAAACTCCGCCCCTTTAGCTACAGTACCTTTCGCGACGATGATCGTTTAATAGCGCCATATTTCTCGACTTTTTTTCAAGCTTTCAGACCAAAAAAGATCAGAAAAAGTAGGGCTATCAACACGAAAGATACTGTAGCCCATTTATTTTTCAACTTGAAAAATGTTTGACTTTTTTTTTCCCTGGAGGATTGATTTTTAAAAAAAGGTTCTGAAACTGTTTTTGAATATTCAAACTTGGAAACGCCAGAGTGGTCCCTAGAGGGGCAACGTTAGAAGCTTTTTAAGATTCTCCTCTATTGCCAACCCTACCACTCCTAAAGGGACCACTAGAGCTTGCAAAAGTGGCCCTTATATGGGGTTTTAGTGAGTGGTCACTCTAGGGACATGCTAGTCTATTTTATGAACTCTGTGAGAAGAAGCTTTTCCAAGCTGAATCTTTTTAATTTTCAAATTTGAAAAAAATTTGATAGGTCCCATCACTTGAGCTTTAGTGGCTCAGGGGTCAGATCCTAAACCTAAACCCCTAAAGGGTCCACTTATATTTTTTAAACTGTTTTTTTACTCTATCTCCTATAGGGACAACTCTGGCGTTCCTGAGAAAGTCATCTGATGAGGAAAATCAAACTAGTTTTTCGAAAATCCATCATAAAATGCTTGTCCTCTTTCAGACATTGAACAAGCCTCGTATTACTATGGAAATCCGCTTCTGGAGAAGACGGAAGGGATCATGCATTTCTACAAGTACAAGTGAGAAATATCGGCTCTGAAAAAGGATTTTCTTGTAATTCTAGCGATGAAAAACTGGCCCAGACGGCCCAATGTCGGATGCTGTGCATGATGGCCGTTCCAGCGCAGCTTACTGTGGCTGAAATAATCAATTTCATAGGTTTTTCTTTGAAAGAAATTCAATAACCTATTCTAATCTAGGCGGCGCAATATCATCGATTGAACGGGTGAAAGTGGTCCGCGACTCGACGCCCAACCAGTATATGCTCATCCTGAAGTTCAAAAGTCATGTAAGGCATTTTCCAGGCATTTTTAGGGAACTATGAATGAATATCAAGGATTGTACCCATAAATGGGCAAGTGAAGAACTCAAAACGGGAAGTGGGTTGACTTACAAAAATGTTAAAAAATTAGGTCTAACAATAAGTTTTAACCCCAGGGAGGTAATAATGACAAAAGTAAAATTAATTTTTTACCTTTGGCTCTAATTTTGAAGACTCGGGAGGAGGGGTCGGCGGACTTCAAAAATGGTGTGCCCACTCTACAGAATTCTTGCAAAATGCAGTGCAAAACCTCTTGAAAAAAAAAATGTGGTTTTGAAAATTGGAGTTTACATTACTGCTTCTTCTGACTTTTCATAAAAATCATTTTTCAAACGGCTTCCAAAGCTTTTTTTGTATATCTTTTTTATCTATTTCTCAAATCTGAAAGGGGAAACTCTTCAGAACGACACGGTGATGTTCTACGAAGAATTCGCCAACAAGCCGTTCAATTCTCTGGAACCACATCGTTGCTTTTTGCTCTTTGTCGATCGGATCGAATGTGTGAGTGGATTTTCTGTGTTTTTCCTTCGAAAAAGAATTAACTAATTGTATAAATACTCGAAAAAAAAGAAGCAAAACGACTTTTTTCAGTTTACTTCTCAGACGCACGGTTTCAAGGCTTCATCTGAACTGTATACTGTAAATTTAGATCAAAATCGTCACTGAAGCCGCTATAAAATAGTGGCGATTTAGAGGAACGAGAATCTTTGAAAATTGGCTGAAAACTGTACTAAATAAGGATTTTCATTCTAGAGCATCTAAAACTGAGTACAGAATGAATAAAAGGATGAAACAATTTTAAGATTATTTTCAAGAACAGTGAAATCACCTTTTGTAATGTCCACCAGAATACAGCTGATTCACTGCTGGCCATCGAAAAAAAGTGGGTCCTGACACGTTAATAGAAGAAATAGTGCCTGATTGTTGGAGAGCACAGACAGGCCACCCCCCTGAATCAGCTACATGACACTTTCCAGGCCTCGTCTGAAGACATGTCGGAACTCTGCGCGTCGACCGCCTTGACGGAGCTTCCAACGTGTTCGGTGTGTCTGGAGCGGATGGACGACAGCGTCCTGGCCATCCTCTGCAACCACACCTTCCACGCCAACTGCCTCGTCCAGTGGAGCGACAACACGTTAGCTCCTTTTTCTGGCTCAATCGAAAATTTCAGTAAAGAAAATAGTTTCCCAGCTTTTGGATACAAGAAGTGAAAGGGACGTCCTCAAAACTCTCAGAGACACTTTTTTCATCGTTTATAGTCTGTTCAGGTTTTAAATGTCAAGTCCTCGCTCAAGCTCCGCCCCCTAATGGCGCGATAATCCAATAAGAGAGCGAGCCATCCACAGAGCGTTTTTGAATGACGTCATTCTACTTGACATTCAAAATCTGAACAGACTATAAATAAAAATTAGAAGTTTCGGTCAGAAAATCAAGAAAAGAAATGGTTCTTCAGCTGCCCAGTCTGTCGATACATTCAATCGCCAGAGCTGGTGGCCGAGCAGCGCTGCTCGGACTGCGGCCAGAGCAACGATCTCTGGATCTGCCTCATCTGTGGAAACATCGGATGCGGCCGATACGCCTTGCAACACGCTCAGAGGTTCACAAAAAAACGAAAAATATTTTCATCGATGACCTGCAGACACTGGGAGCTGACCTCGCACACGTTCAGCCTGAAGGTCGGCGGCGAAATCGTCTGGGATTACGCCGGCGACAATTATGTTCATCGACTGATTGAAAGTGATACCGATGGGAAGCTCGTCGAGTATCAGAGAGAGAATAATTTGGTTAGTTTTTAAGAAATCAGGCAAAATACAAAGATACTCCAAAGGTTCCTAAAAATTAATGTTGAAGGCCGGAAAAAAGCTTTTTTGCACCCTTTCTTTAGGGTGGCAAAAAACGTTTTAAAAAAAATTATCAGGGCGCGCGCTGGACAGCGCTAGTCCGACCTTATAAAACAAAAAATTAAAAATTCATTTTTTAAATAAAGTTCAATTGATTGGCAGAATCGAAAAGGGGGAACTTGGCTTCATGCTCATCCCATGTATGCCAATGAAGGCCCCCTTCTCTTTTTGCGACAGCCTTCAAATCTTCCGACTTTGCTAAGAAAAGGCGCAGAGCAGAAAGTAGAATTAAAAGTAGACTTTTTCGAGAATTTCAGCCAGATCTCCATCAAGTATGATGGAGGGTATTATGAAGAAGCCCCTCCTTTTTTTCTTGTTTTTTTCCCGTTTTTTTAAAAACTTTATTCTGGATAAAATATAAGAAACTGTTTGAATTTATCATTCATTTTTTCGTGTACGTACACAGAGAAGTTACTTACTTACTTACTTACTTAGATACTTAGATGGTCCATCTTTGCTTTCGACCTTTTATTGCCTTTTATTGTCTTTCGATCGAAGCGTGGACCACACGTTTTCCAGGAGGTCTTATGCAATCGGTCATCCAGTGTTGTCGTCCTGGTTGACTGGTATTCTTGCGAAAAAGTTCCATCCGTGGTGTTGAACGTGTTATAGCATAATTGTGGTCTGATTATCTTTTTTGCCTTGCCAGGGCTAAAAAAGACCGCCCGTTCTGTTAGCAGAAGCAAGCCGAACTGCGTGACCGGTGTACCGTTAGCCGCCATAAATGGCGTTGCCTCCCCATCACCGCTTAGAGGTGGTACTTGAAGGGGCACAGAGAAGTTCAATCAAACTATTATTGAGAAGAAATCTTATTTTTCAATCAAAGTTAAGCTTTAACCAAGAAACAGCTGAATTTTCATAAGTTTTTGCGGTTTTTCAAGCCTTTAAATTTATTCAAAAATAATAAAAAAATATAAAGTCTACCCAATCTTAGTTTGATAAATAGTCGAAAATCTCGTTTTGTAGTATCCTACTTCTATATTTTTTTTCCCATTAGTAATGATTTTTTTTGTCAGCCTTTTTCATCTATGGTTCGTTCTCGTTTCTTAATTTTTAGACAACTTTTTCATTTTATAACTTTTTTCAGTCGACCTCTGATGACAAAGACGATAAGTTGGAGGGGATCAAACTGGAGTATACTTTACTTTTGACCAACCAACTCGAAGATCAGAGAAAGTATTTCGAGGTAAAAAAAAGAAGAAGAAAAAATAATCACTTTGGAAAGGATTTAGGGCCGTTTGGCAGATGTGGAGAAAGCGATGAATAAAATGGAAAAAATGGCGTATGCGCAGGTGAGAAATTGATAGAAAGGTTTACAAGAAAAGATTCATTGAAGGTTGAGTCGTTGGAATCGCAGCTGGAAGGACAAGGACAGGAGATGAAGACCCTGAAAGTCGAGCTCCAGGAGGCGGTGACGGCGAGGACGAGCTCCGATAAAAAGCTCGCCCAGCTCAACGAAAAGCTCGGCAAGGTCACACCAAGAATATTTAACGAGATAAAAACGGGGCGGTACATTGACGACATCGCAAAAGTGCTTAAAAGCGATATCGCGCCTAGCCTCGCCGGTCTTGTCATTCTATTGACGTCATCTTGCTTTTGTATCTTTGATATTTTAAGTTTATTTCAGTGCGGGAGAAAGGCGATATCGCGCCTAGGAAAATGCGAGAACAGAACGACATATTTGCGCGCCAGCGACATCGCTTTCCTCTTGCCCCGTACCATGCAGTTATCTATGGTGCATATCAGGGCCGCGTTTGGAATGGATCAAAAACATTATAGCCATTTTCGTCCGCCGCCAGTTTATCAGTTGATATGAGCCTCTGGTTGCATTTAGAATAGATTAAGCCTTGAGAAAAAGTACAGCTCAGCTCATAGTTCGCCGCATTTGGAATGGCTCAATTCATGTCGATGAGAAAAAAAGATTTATCGCTAAATTTCCTGGTTTTAAGGCGAAATCCGAGCTGAAAGATGAGCAGGACATGAACAAAATGCTGCGGCAAGATCAACAAGTCTGGAAAACGCAGTTTGAAGATCTGCAGAAAAAACAGGCGGTCAAGGAGAAGGAGTACACCGAGGTTTTATTAAGAAAAGAGACGGAAAAAATTAATTGAATTCAGAAAATGGAGGACCTTCAAGCGCAAGTCAACGACCTTCTGCTGCATTTTGAGACGCAGTCGAAAATCGCGAATCAGCTGGCCACGGGAAACGTCACCCAACAAGTCCGTTTTTGTGTGAAAAATCGCCTTTTTCCCCCAAAATTGTGGTTACATTGTAATATTTGCTGTAAGGCTTACTCTCGTAAACGCAAAATGGAACCGCTTCGGACGTTTCTGAGCATTTCTAGCGGCTTCAGTACCCTTAAGTGATCCCTAGACCATCCAGAAACGTCCAAACCAAAGCGCTTTTTCCCCTAAAAATGTAGGTGCAATGCAATATTTGCTTCAAGGCTAACTCTCGCACCTTGTAACGCGAAATGGAAGCGCCTCGGACGTTTTTGAGCAAGTTTAGTGACCATTTTAGCGGCATCAGTACCCTTAAGTGATCCTTAGACCACCCACAAACGTCCAAACCAAAGCGCTTTTTCCCCCAAAAATGTAGAGACAACGTAATTTTTGCTCCAAAGCTAACTCTCGGACCTTGTAACGCAAACCGGGAGCGCCTCGGACGTTTCTGAGCATTTCTAGTGACCATTTCAGCGGACTGAGTACCCTTAAGTGATCCCTAGATCATCCACAAACGTCCAAACCGTAGCTCGCCTGGCTTTTTTCCTCTAAAAGTTTTGGATACAATGTAATATTTGCTCTAGCGCTTATTATAGTCTGTTCGGATTTTGAATGTCAAGTCGTCTCTCAAGCTCCGCCCCTAATGGTGCGATAAACCAATCAGAGAGCGAGCCATCCACAGAGTGTTTTTGAATGACGTCATTGCACTTGACATTAAAAATCTGAACAGACTATATCACTAAAGTCGTTAACTCTCGGATCTCCGTAACGCAAACCGGACACCTCATACTTTTATCCTTTTCAGGAGGTCGAAAGTGGACAACTTGGAGTAACTCCAGCCGCTAACAAAACTCCGCAAAGACGTCGGAGTAATCGCAAATCTTAAAATATTTTTTCTTTCCTGTATTATTCGTTTTCTTGATCTCCCTGCTCAGAATAGCCTTCCCCTTTTTTGTACATTTGCGCTCCAATGCGAAGTTTCCAGCTTGTGATGCTTGATAATTTGTGATTCAGAGCTTGAACAATGGTTTTACAGCATATCTTTCACTTTTTGCACTTCTCACAACGAAATTGCTTTCTCATTGCTTTAATGTAATAAATTTTATATTGCTTTAATTCATTTTCGATCCTGTTTTTAAGGTTTATATCCCTTTGCTTTTTTTCTGAATTTTTTTAATCATTTTTTTAGAAGAAGAATGATTTTTTTGAAGATGGCCGTCACATTACACACAACGTCTGGCGACATCAAAATCGAACTTTTCGTGGAAGATGCGCCGAAAGCTTGTGAGGTATAATTTATGCTGTTTCAATTTTTTTTTATATTTTTAACCCAACTTATTTCGTCGTGAAGTTAAGTAGAAAATAGAAATGGGGTAGAATTATCTTTTTCCCAGTCTGTAGTTCTCAAAAAGTTTCTATTTCATCACTTTTTGTACAAAAATGTTGTTTTCGATTCAATGGAGTGTGCAAGTGGGTGCCGTTCTGTGTATGCACCAAAGACGTCATATATTACGAAAATTGTGGGAGGGGCGTCGTAAAAAGAACGCCGTGAAATGTGATTGAAACGTTTGAATTTAATTTTTAGTCTGATGAAACGGAAAAAAAGAGCTGCTGGAGTTTCGTTTTGAGCTTTTTCATTGTAATTTTCAACTTCAGAGCTTTTTTTGTCTCAAAAAAAGTGTTAAAATTCAAACCGTGAAATTGAAATTGAAAATTTATCGGCGGCTTTTTCAACACGAGAAAAAACGAGGAATGTCTTGAAACCAAAAGAAAAAGTGCATCAAAAAGGAGAAACTGACTGTTTTGGAGCATTTCGCTTCCCAAAAAATGTAATTTTTGATTTAGAAAGGTGTCAAGTTCCTTTCATTGAGCGTTACATAGATAAGCAGATGAATAAATTTTGAGGTAGTCTGTTCTGATTTTTCTAGTCAAGTATAAAATGTTGTCGTTTCAAAACGCTCTGTGGATAGCTCGGTCTCTTATTGGTTTATCGCGCCATTAGGGGCGGAGCTTGAGGAGAAAACTTGAAATTCAAAATCTGACCAGACTATAAGTTGAATGACTGCATTTATTTTATCATTGGAAGAAAAATTAGGGAGTGAAATTTTAAATAAAGATAAAGTGTAAACTTTTTTTCCAGAATTTCCTCGCTCTGTGCGCAAGTGACTACTACAACGGATGCACGTTTCATCGAAATATCAAGGATTTCATGGTCCAGACGGGAGATCCGTCGCACACGGGCAAAGGCGGCATGAGCATCTGGGGAGAGCCCTTTGAAGACGAGTTCGTGACCACTTTGAAGGTCAATTTATGCGTCTCTTTATAAAATAGGAGCATTTTTCCTAAATATGATATTCTATGATTTTAAGTGCGAAAAATTCAAAATATTTACCGTCTTTTCGATACGGTAGTTGAGGGGCGCAGTTAGCTGATTGACATTCAAAATCTGAACAAAAAGGTTTCTTGGAACCGGATAATTGAATAATAAGAATTTAAATAGAGAGAAAATGATCTTCAATAAACTTTTATGCGCGTTTGTATGAACCAGAAAAAAAAATGGAACAAAATGAAAATTTTCAAATTTCAGCACGACAGCCGAGGATGCGTCTCGATGGCGAATAATGGTCCCAACACGAACCAATCCCAATTCTTCATCACCTACGATAAACAGCCTCATCTCGACTTGAAATACACTTTGTTTGGAAAGTAAGCTACTCGAATAACCTTCAGAATTGTAATTAACCAATTTTCAAGAGTTATCGACGGATATGACACGCTAGAAGAGCTGGAAACGATCCGAGTTGATAAAAAGTACCGGCCGGTCGTTCAGCAAGTGTGAGTTCAAAAAAAAAAATCAGAAAATACTATCTTTTTAGCATCCACAACATCACAATCCACGCGAATCCGTTTGCGAACGAGTAACTTATTTGTAATTATTGTTATCCCCTTTTTTGTTGTTCCACTCGATCTTCACTTGCTGGTATTTTGTTATTTATCTCATTTCCAACTAAATATAACAATTATTAAAAATTTACAACAGAAAAGTTTGCAGCGTAAAAAAACTATTTCGATTTGTATATCTTACTGTATTTTTTTCTGGTCGCAGGCACAGTTGCAGTGAATGCGCATTATTTTACGCGCTTTGGGGATTTTTTTCGATTCAATTATAAAAAAAGGTTTAAAGTGGATTACTGAATTCTAAATTAATAACCAAATAATTATAAGCTCAAATAGCTCATGACTTCTCAAAAAGATGATTTTCTTTTGCAATGAGAACCTTTGGAAAATTACTTGAAAAAATAATTGAAGAAAATAATATTTTTTCGTGTTTCTTTGTACTTTATCTTGTTTTAATTCTCCTTTTTCATTCAGATACATTCTAAAGGAACTGTTCATGCAATATTTTTTGATCATACAGAGTCTGGAATCTGGAATTTTTTTTTTTCACAAAAATGGCGAGTCTGCTCTGATCAAAACTTTTGACCCCATTGACGTAGAGTTTGAAGCTTTTCATTTTTTTTTAATAGTTATATTCCCAATTTTTCATCAAAAACCGATGAAAACAAAAAAAAACGGTGAAGAACAACCAATTTTGTAAAAATATGGAGTCTGATCCGAGCGAATGTTTTGACCCCACCTCGTAGAGGTCAAAGCGCCAAAAACTTTCTGGAATGGCGGCAGATTTGAGCGGCGAAAAATATCCACCCCAGCGTCATTCTTTTTTTTTCTGTCGTGCTGTGAGGTTGCTGCCGGTTTTTTTTCTTGTTTTGTGTTTTAATACGATGTAATTCGTTTTATAGTTCTATTTTGTATTAGTTTCCGAATCCATGTTCACAGAAGCAGTTTCAAATGTTTTTCAATGGTTCGGAAAATTCTAGGAAACATCATTTACGCTTTTTTTTTCAAAACCTGGCTGTAGTTTCAACTAGTTATTATTTCCGTTCGTGTTTTGCTTTTTAATTCAACGACAGTTTGTCACGGTTTCCTTTCCGCCAAAAATTCCGTGTACCAAGTTAGATTAAAATTGAGCATCTTTGTTTCAAGACCTTTGTTTTTTGCTGTCTTTATATCAGTTTTGTAGAGCAAAAAGTTCGTATTTACCATTTTTTTTTTTCTGTTCTTTTGAAACGTGACCGTCTCGCGCGGAACGCACTATACATGCATTTAAGAAAAAAATGTTTAATAGTTTAACTTTTAATTTTTTTATTGTTTGATTAGTTTAAAGATGCGTTGCGGACCTTCGAACTTTCTGTTGTTTTTTGAGGCAAAGGGATTTTTTTTTTTCAAATATCGTCAATTTTTTTTTTCGCATTCTTGAAGGTTTTTGATTTTTCAATGGCATTTTCCAGGTCAAACGATGAAGTCTTCTGGCTCAGACGCTGGTGATGCCGTGGAAACTCTTTCTTGACCATTTGGATATAAGTTTTTGAACTCTCCTTCGACTTGAAAATTAATTGCAGTTTTTGATTTCAAATTTTTCCAGAAAATTCCGAGAGGGTCAACTCAAGGGACGCCAGCCAAGACGCAGAAGAAGGAGGTCGATGACTCCACGACGACAACGAAAAATGGTAGCTTTGTGGTCGATTCTTCTCCTTTCCTGGTTTGGGATCGTCCAAAACTGCGCGCGGCTGGGCGTTTCTTGCCAGGAAAATTCTCAAAACCAAGCAATTTCACGAGTTTTCAAAAGGAATTCGGTTTTTCTCATTTTGCTCAACGAGATTTGAAATGATTTTTTTTCAGAGAATTTTTTCAAAGTCTTCACACTTTTATAAATTTTTTTCAAAATTACTTTACGACTTAAATTCAAACTTCACTGTTTCAGAAAAACTTTTTGATTCGAATCAATGTTTGATAGGAGTTTAACTAAACAAAATGAGGGAAATAATGTTATTTAATGCATTTTTTTTCAGGATTTGGAACTTTCCGGTGAGCTTAAAGATTCGCATGGGAACAACGTTTCGATTGAGCTTCGAATGATTTTTTCGGCTCTAGGCGTTTATGAAACTTTTTGTACCTACGATACACTACATAGTATCAGAAAGTCTTACGGTGGACTCAATAAAAAGAATTTTTTTAGACTTTCGCATTTCCATTTTTTCAGATCATTTTTGACTTGAAACATTTTTTCCAAGCGTCCAACTTTTTTTTTGGTTTAGATGAACGATTTTTGTAGAGCTTAAATGTTTAAATCAAATTCTTGCAACTGTTTGTTGTAAATTCTATTCAGTTTTTCTCCAATTTTTCAAAAAAATTTTTATTCAACATTTTTTTGTATTTTTTTAGCCACAAGGTTTTTCTGATACTAGACTTCGGCTCGAAGATTTTTTTTTTCTAAAAGAAACAGATGCTCAAAAAAGCGCTGTTTTCATGCGAAATTTTCGGCCACTATTAAGAAAATTGATTGATTGCTTGGTTTTAAGAATTTTTCTGGTATAAAAGGCTCAGGATCGGCGTCTTTTGCCGGGGCTCGGGTGGATGGCCGACGGCGGGTGCAGGATTTCCGCCAAGCAATAATATTTATCTTTTTGTGAAGTTCTCGAATAAAAATAAGAGACTTTTTTATGGAATTTTTTTCGTGTTGCAAATTTCTTTCTTCATGTTTTTTTCAAGTACTTTTTGTGAAGGTTTTCATAGACTCATAAAGATGATTTTTGTTACATTTCTCTATTAATTTTTCGCAATGTTGATTTGAAAATCTTTTTGAAATGCGATGTTACTCCTTTTGAAGCAGTTAGTTCATATTTCCCATTCGCTTTTGATTTAAAATTGGGCTTTTATTTTATTATTATTTTTCTTTTTAATTTTTTACAACATAGGATTTTTCAAGAACTCGAGAAGGTTAAAGTGAAGACCTACAGATGAACAGGGATCAGTTGAATATGAAAAAAGCTGTAGTTAGTAGAAATTAGGGTTCATTTGGTTGACATTAATTTGAAGCCACTCATGATTCAAAATCGTTGAATTTTTTTAAATTTCTTCCAGTCTTTTGCAAACTGCTTCAAGTTTATGTTAATGATTAGAGTTATGAGTTAAGAAAGTTCTTCCAATACTTTTATTTACATTTTTTTTTCTCAAACGGCCTTGGATATATAAAAAATTGGTTAATTTGAAGCGGTTATGAGTTCAGGATGACTCATTTGAAGCTATAATTTTCTTTTCAAAGTAACATTTTGGACAAGTTTATATGATTTCAATTTGATGTAAACTTATTACCGTTTCAAATGATGCTGACTATTTTTTCAGCTTAAAGTTTTTATTTTCGTGAAGGAATGAAATTTGCAACAAAAATTGAAACAATAAGTTTGTCTGGCGAAAATATTGTACCCGTTTTGGCTGGGGGCGTTCGGATAAAGGTTGATTTTTGTGAAGCTTTTCACAAAAGACCGAGAAAAGGCTCTGTCTTTCTCGGAAATGACGAGTTCGTTAAAGCCAGTCTCAAGCTTTGAGAGTTTCAATCGAACTCTGGGGCTCAGTGGCTTGTGAAGGAGCTCTGGTCAAGTCTTGACAAAAGTTCGAGTACTCCATATTTTTTTAAATTTTTGTTGGGTTTCTTTTTCAATTCTCAAGATTCTGATGAATAGTTGATTGAGTCAAACATACTCAACTTTTTTTAGAATCTTATAAGTTTGCTCATTATTCTTTTTCAAACGAGACGAGCTTGCAAGTTTCTCAAAGTTTTGAAGTTGGCAACTTCATTCATTTTTTTCTTCGAACCTTTATTTCAAAGTTAAAATTCTTGCCCAAGTTTCGATCTACTCAAAAATGAATCTTTCGTTTCGAATCTAGGCATACTCAGACGTTTCCGACTAAAAAAATCTATTTTTTTGAAGTTCCAAAAAAACTAACAATTTTCAAACTTGCAAGCTTATCTTCAAGCTTTAACTTGAAACTTTTTTCGATCTAATGATCCTTTGGAGTTATTTTTGAAGGTGGACTTGCAAATTTTCAAAACTTTCCGAACTCCTTTTTTGAAAAAAAACTCTTTGCTTTTTGTCCTTGAGAATTTTTGGTATAAAAAAAGCCGTTCTTTTGTACTTTTTTGCCAAGGCTTGCAAACTCACATTCAACTCAGAATTCTTTGAACTTTTCAAAATCGATCGGAAGATTGTCATCGCGCAACAGTAGAACTTCTTCCAAGCTTCATCCTTTGACCATTTTTCAAAAAAGTTGAAAAAGAACCTTGCGTGATCAATCTTTCTTGTGATGATCAAGAGCTTTAAAGATTTGTAGCTTCAAAGAACACTTCATGAAAAAAAAAATACTCGAAAATTTTTATTCATCAGACACTTGAAAAATGACAAAAAAGAAACCAACATCATTTGATGGACTTCAGCTTTTACCATTGCTTGACCGAGGCTCCTTCACTTGGACACTGGGCCTTCGAGTCATCTGAGGCTCTCAAGGCTTGAGAGGCTGGCTTTGAGGGACTTTTCATTTTTCGAAGAAATACAGAAGTTTTTCTTGATCTTTTGTGGGAAGCTTTGCAAAAATTGGGCCTTTCTGAACTCCTCCAGACAAGGCGGCCTTCCACTTAAGGCCTTGGCGAAAGAAAAGTCGGTCCTGAGTCATTTGTGTGAAACGCCCAGACGCGGCAGTTTTGGAGGGTCCTAGACAGGATGGAGATGGAATCGAGGGGCTAATGGGGAGAGCTTCAGATCGATTGATGTGACGGGATGGATGCCGGACGACGTCGTACTCCGAAAGTCAGCATTGACCCGGACGCTCGTTTCCAGAAAATAAACTTATAAATTTGATAAATTTTGAAAATAAAGTGTTCTACTCCCTTTTGTTTTCTGGTTTTTTCCGGCAGGGTCGACGTCAGCCGACCTCAGGCTCCGCAGTTGTGGCCTGGGGAGCCTTCAGCCGGCCGGGTCCTCTGTTCCCGAACTTCACAGCTGCCACAGAAGCCTGAAAACCAAGGCCTCCACCTCGAGCTCCACAGCCTGAGCTGCAGAGCCCAAGCCAAAGACCTCAGTCTCAGACTTCACAGCCTAGCTGTGAAGTCCGAGCCAGAGGCCTTGACCCCAGGCTCCACAGATCAAGCCTGTGGAGCCCAAAGCCAAGGTTCCTTTGGTAGGTGGCTCTAGGCTCGGTAGAGGTCCTGTCAAGCGAGGCTTCTTTTCTCTCACAAGCTCCTCTTATGACAGTGTCTTGCAAGGAAACTCATGCTCCTTCCGTCTTTTCATGCCCCTGAGCTTCACCTCAAACCATCCGAGCTCCAAGTCGTTCAGCTCAAGTGCAAGACAATGATGAAGCTCGCTTGCAAGGTCATTGATCAAGTACTGTTAGAGTTCTAAGCTGCTAATTTTTTTTTTTGAAGAAACCACAAATCTTTCAAGCTTTCCATGAAAACTTTAAAAATATTGACTTTTTTTCTCAAGTCCCACAAAGCTAATTATTTCATCAGTCATATGTTCGCCTAGATAGCTAAATCAAACAATGGAACAAAAGTGAAGTTTTTGGAGTAGTTTTTGAAAGAGCAAGGTCTAGATGAAAAAAAAAATGGAAATCTTGAAGTTACCAAGAAGTGAGGCTCAAGCTTTAGTGACTGACTATGTTAACTTGAGAAAAAATTTGAGATCTCTTAAGTCTTAAAGCTTTTAAATTTTTGTTAAAATCCTTAACTTGATTCAAAGTTCATCTGCAACCCACAAATTTTTTTTTTGAAAGGGTCAAACCTATGCTGTTTTTTATCAACTTTTTCTAATCATCAAAAACAGAAACTTACAAAATATAATTCAGGTAAAGGTTCAAATTCAAAGACAAAAAGTTATGTGAGGTTGATTTTTGAAAAATACAGTTTCAAACTGGTTTTTCGTTATTAATGACCGTTGTTGATAGTCTGAAAAAGTTCTTGAAAAACTTTCTTTGGAAATTTTCAAAAACGTGATGATTTTCAGCATCTTTCCCAATTTATCACAGCCAATATCTTGAAAAGTTGGTTTCGAAAATCTTTTTTTTAAACAATCTTTCATTAAAAAGTGCCCAAGCTTTTTTGACCCAAAAAGTACAAAATTGGCGTTTTATATTCGTATCTCTGTAGTGACCGGCCGTGAGAAGCTGGAAAGAATCTTAAGATTCACCACATGATTTTTGATAAAAGTTGGAGCAAATTCAAAGTATTGCAGATAAACTTTGAAAAAAAAACCTCTAACTCTCTAACAGCACTTTTTCATCAAAGCCCCATATTGCAAGTCTCGTTTCAAATCGTCTTGCAATCAAGTTAAAGGACTTCAAGCTCAAATGGCTCAGGATAAAGCTCAAAAAGAGCGGAAAGACAAAAAGAGCATGAATTTTCTTGCAAGACACTGTCAGGTGGCGCCTCGGAACCCACGCAAAGACGCTGAACTTGCCAAAACATTTTACTTTCTTTTTTAATCAATATAAAGCTAAAAGTGAATTGTAAAAAAAAAATGAAGTTAAGAAATCCGTCACACAAATTGAAAAAACTCTTGACAAAGGTTCAAAAAAGCTACGTAAGTAGATTATATGATCGGAAAAGAAAATTATAACCGAGTTAAGCTCACACGTCTCAAACTTGTACAAAAGTTATGAGAACTCGACCCTATTGCAGCTGTTTTGCTTTAAAAGTTTGTAAAAAGCTATTTCTACGTACTAGACTTTTCGAACAGTGGGATAAAATAAACTACTTCAGACAATGAAAAATTGAAAAAAGAGACTAAAAAATTCGAACCGTTGTCTACAATTCCTCGTACTAGATTCTAAACAACTAGACCAAACGGCAAATTCAACACCTTTGCTTGAGGTTTCATCACTAGGTGGTGTACGAATAAACTCCGCTTTTTAAGACGATTCAATGAAACTTATGATATAAAAATTGGAAGATGCTCAAAACTATACTCTCTACTCTCAAAGATTTACGGTCCGTAAATAGGTTACCTAGCTTTTTAAAACTATAACTTTTGAAAAGGAAAAACACTTTTTAGCAAGTAGAAGCCAGAAAAAACTTCGAAAAAACTAATTCCAAGTTTGATGAAAAGATTGGATGAAAAGATCAACTTATTAACAATGAACAGTGAGAGAAAATGAATATTTCACATGGAGATTCAAAAATCTCCTTCGATCAAGAGTTCGAACAATTTTGAAGCGCGGCTGTTAAAAATTTTCCAATTTCGTGGTTTTCGGTATCATTTTATTGTGGGCTAACATCTGGAAAAACTAAAACTGAAAACAAAAACAAAAGTGCGAAAATAATTGAATTACTACTATAACTTTTAAAACTAAAACCGTAGAACTGTGAGTTTCCGATTGAAAAAAGAAGAGTAAAATTATTAAGTAAAAAGTCTCCAAAATTTAATGACCGCACTTCAGAACCGTTCGTCCTGTAAAAATCGAAGATCAAAGTCTGAAAGTTAACAGTTAAAATTTTAAACTAAATAAAATAAAAAAACACAAAAATTTCATAGAAAAAGTTGAATCAAGTCCGAAAAATTACTAAATCTTCAAAGCAGCTTCAATTCTTCCTCTAAGTTTCCTTGTGAAAAATTGCAAATAGTTCTGAAGTTTCTGAATTTACCTAAACAAGTTTAACGGAGCTCGCTTCAAAATTCAAATTTTTTCCGTTGTTGACGCTCTCTCTTCCTAATAAATTGCCTTGGAAAGCAGACTTTATTCGTACACAACCCAGTGATCGGACGCCACCTTTCGAAAAAATCTGAGCTTGTGAGAGATAAAACACCTCGCCCCACAGTACCCCCACCTAACAGAAGATAAAAGCGCATGTGTGCTCGGCTGCAGATCGGCTAAAGAGCATGGCAGACGAGGAGACGAACCAAACTACAGGCTCTCTTATTTTTTCATACTCTCTAGTGACAAAATGGAGCTGAAGACACAAGCGCCTTTTTCTCTGTCGCCCAACCACCGACCAAAGGTCCGGCAAGGATGACCCCAGAAGGACAACACAACATGCACAAAAAACACTTTTTCTTCTCGAAAATTGATTGATTACTTCTAGATAAGATATCATTGCATGAAGCTTGAGTAAAGGAAAACCCCATAATAATTTTTGAAACTAGGACTTGAAAAAAAAATATTACTAGAGCCGTGTTTCAAATTACTTCAGAACGAAGAAACTAAATTGAAAAACTAAAGAGAAAAAATCCCTCAAAAGTAAGTTGGGAAAATTCGGACGGATTTTTTTTCAGACTGTTTCAAAGTGTAGACACCAAACTATGCAGTCTATTTCAACTAATTTTTACAAAAGTTCAAATTTTTCAAAGTTTCTCAAGGAATCTCTGAATTTTAAAGAACAGTTTAGAATAAAAGACCGTTTTCCGAGATGAAATAACTTTTTGATTATCAAAATCTTGAAAAAGCTACATAAATGGAACAAAAAGAAATTCGATGTCCACACTCTAAAAACTATACAAAATTTGAAACCACTTTAAGAAAATTTTTATGCTTTTGATCGTCTACTAGCTTCATAACTGCATTCTTTTGTAAACACTAAAAATAATATGGTAAACAGGAAAAGAGACTCAAAAAAAAAAATGAAATTATGAAAAACCGTCCAAAGTTCCTATTATAAACAAATAAATTGATACCAATTCATTTAAAAAAATCGCCAAAAAGTCATCAGGAAAAAGCGCGTTTATCCATCGAAAAACTAAAAATGGGCGCGACGCGGTCGCGTTGCGGCTTTGCTGAAATTTCATTGACTATATACACGACCAACTTGTCAAGCTGTCAGTTCAAAAAATTTTTCAATCAAACAAATTTCCAATAGCTTTCTATTTTTTTTATTTATTAAGAAGCTGTGAGATAACACAAAGAATTAAAAAAAAAACGATTCTACAAAAATATCCAGATTGGTATCTTGAAGCGAAATGAGAGGAGTACTGTAGCCAAGGCTCGTCAAGCTGGTCGTGGATATACTACTTCCTTTCTACTAATCTGAAACATGTTATATTATAAAGGGAAAAGGGCAAATTTGAAAAGAGGAGCCGCGAAGCGACCGCGTTGCCCGGAACGATTCTGGAAGCTTCTAGATTCCCAGTCGGGGCTCCATGCAATGATATATGATACCTGAAGTTAATTGAAAATTATATCTTTTGGTAAAATTTCGAGATGAAAAAAAGTGTAATTTTTTTGAATCATTTACGCTGTGAAACACCGATTATTATCGACAACCTTCAAAAAAATTTTGGTTTTTCTTCAAAGTTTAGGCGTTTCACAGCGCAAAAAAGCATGTGACACATTTAGAAAAAAATAAAAATATACCTAAAAACGGGATTATTCGAAGTCGACGCCGTCCTTCCTTCCATCCGTCAGTCCTTTGCTCGATCGATAATTCTTTAAGATAAGCCGGTTTTCTGAAAAACAAAAAATAACTTATTGAAACAAACGTATTTTTTTAAAAAGAAAAAGAGAAAAAAACTTATATTTATTTAAATTCAAAGACGAGGTTATTGGCGCCGCCAAGGTCTGGGCCATTGAAAGTTGTACGGCCTGAAATCAATGCGAGTTCATTTCCTTATGAAATAAATTACAAATATTCGAAAGCGAACAAAAAAATTTACAACGAGTAATGGTTAAATAAAAGTACACGAACTAAAAAAATGAATGAAAGTTTGGAAAATAAATCAGCCTTCGAATCAAAAAAAAATTTTTTTCTGACAACAAAAAAATTCATACAAATTTACAGCTAACGTTATAAAAAAAGAAGCTAAAACAAATTACTACCATTAACCAAAATATAAGGGAACAATTTCAAAAATCGATTTACCAAAAAGAGAAAAAGAACCAAAAGCAATTCGAAAAAAATTTTTTTGATCGATAAACGTTTAAAAACCGTTCAAAAAAATCACTTTTTTTCAAATACTCAAATATTTTTCAAATACACCTGAAAACTAATATTAAAAGTGATTTTAAAACAAGATTCCTTACAATTAAACTACAAAACAAGAAAAAAACCGGCAGCAACCTCACAGCACGACAGAAAAAGAGAGAATGACGCTGAGGTGGATATTTTTCGCCGCCTAAATCTGCCGCCATTCCAGAAAGTTTTTGGCGCTTTGACCTCTATGACGGGAGGTCAAAACATTTAAATGTTGCATTTGCTCTGGATCAGACTCCAAATTTTTTTACACAAAAATAGTTGTTTTTAACCGTTTTTTTTGTACTCTCACGGCTTTTTGATGAAAAAAAATTAGATATATCCTATAAAAAAATGGAAAGCTTGAAACCCTACATCACTGAGGTCAAAAAAACATTGTTTAGACCGGACTCGCCATTTTTGGATTTTTTTGTAAAATAAGAAAGCAGTTGGTAAATAATATACATAAATGAAAATAATTATGAAAAACATCTTTTTGCGATGTCGCGCTGTCTTATAAACTTGTCGGAACGCTCTCCATCCGCTTTAGAAACACCCAACTAGCTAACAACTTCTCGAATTTTGCTTGTGAGAAAGGTTAGGAAAACTTAAAAGCCGGTCGATAGAACTTTAAATCAAAATAGTTCTCTGATGAACACAAATAAAATACACTTCTTAAATATTAAAAAATAAATTTTGGAAGAAATAAAAATTTCTGTAAATCGACAAGAGTTGCGCGTAAAATAGATTGAATCTTCGTCAATAACGCGATTTTCACACCACAACATAATACAGTAATCCGAAAAACAACTTTTTTTATTATTGAAAAAAATCAACTCTTTTTTTGATGGTGCCTTTCTGCTTTCCCTCAACGTTTCTCTCTCTGTGTGAAAATTCTCACTTTCCTCTTTTTTCAATGAATAATATTAACAACTATGAAAATTGACAACAAGTACACGTAGTGTTTGAGCAAGGTGAATTAAAAACTAAACAGTAAATGGTCCCGTTGGAGCGAAAAATTGCAAAAATCTGTGCGCCTTGGAAAGCAGTCGAAAACCCTAACTTTTGATTAGACTCGGTGTTCCTCAATTGAGCCCTAGAACGGGGCGCGATTGTCAAGAAGGTGAAGGTTTTCGGGCGGACAGTACAAGGAGGCGTTATGATGGCCCATCCGTAAATTGCACATCAGTTGACGGCTACATGTCGCGTCGCAGGCTGGCGTCGATGTCCGGAATGCGTTTCTGAAAGAAATTAGTGGAAATTGTTGAATAGCCTAGTGGGATGGAAGGTCGGCGTTTTTTTTTTTTTTGAAAGTTCAAAGGGTCGATCCCTAGCTTAAAATATATTGACTCATTTTTAAAAATGCTTCCAACTCTTAAGTGATCACTAGAATTGCTCAAACCTCCGGAAAGCGTTTAGTTTGCGTTAGGTTGAAGACTATCAGCAAATTTTTATAAATTCTTCTCGTCTATTTTTATTCAGCCGATTCACGGCTCGCTTGAAACGCGAAAGGGCGTGTCCATCCTGCGCTCTCCACCTAGCGCGCACTGTCTCTTTTTTTAATCGTGCCAGGACCTTTATTTCGATGGCTCAAGCCAGCCGTGAATCAGCTATAAGGTACAGTCCAATGGAGCGCAATTGGTTTCAGAAACAACCGAAAATGAAGTTTCCGCTGAACCGACCTCAAAAACTTGTGTTTGACGTCGGCGTCGACGAATATCCGATTTGCGAGTTGGTTCCAGCTTTTCGGCGACAAATCTCGGAGGCCGTATTCTTTCTGAGTATTTTTCTTCTTTTTGACGTCTTCCAAAGTCTTCAAACCTTTACTGAGTAGAGTTTTTCCCACTTTGGCTCTTCTGTCGGCTTTGTGGACTCGTTGAGGTCCGCCGAGTAGCTGGTATAGTCAAGGATTTTCTGGAATCATTATTTCTGTTCTCCTTCTAGCTTCAAGTATTCTAATATAAGTTGAAGGAAAAAACTCTTCAAAAAAGCTCATAAAACCAGGATTTATTTGGAACTCATGGAACTCTGATTTTTAATGATATCTTCATGTATTTTAAGTTATTTTAACGCTTTTTTTTTAAATTTTCAGTTGAAGCCGAAAAAACTGTCATCTAAAAACTGACAAAGCTACTGTAGGGATCCACGTCATAAATACGATAAGCTGGGTTTTGATTTTCGAACGTCGTGACGCTCGGAGCAGCGTATCCAACCTGGAAAAAGTCATTTTGAACATTTTTCTAAAGGCTCAAAAAAACTAACACTAATGGGTTTGGATGTCACATTGTGCATGTCTTCATAGAAAACGGTGAAAAAATCGAGGTGGTCGTGGCCGAAAAATTGAGCCCGGATCGTGTCGGAGAACCTGAAAGGAAAAAAAAAGTCGGCTGTTCAAAAAAGCAGAAAAAGATAAGAATATTGGGTATTCCTGGAAATTTTGTGGAGATGATCTTGCCCATTTACGGATGGTATTTCAGCTTTTGTGAGTATTTTCAGGAACAATTTTTTATGATAGGAAAACTTGATTTTATTCCAATACTCTACAATTCTACTGGACTTTAATCCTTCAACGAACCTCTGTATAACACGGTAGTAATTGATGGCCCAGCCTTCCAAACACTCGCTATCGCCCGGAGGAATGTGTGCCATCACGAAAACCGCCTCTCCAGCTTGTTCGGCCTTGAAATTGCTCAAGTCATACCAAAAGTTCAACGAAGGCTTAAAGAAAGGTCCGGTTTAGTCCAAATTTTCAGCTTTTCTTGATCGGATTTAGCAAATCCATGTAGAGTTTAGTCCTTCACCTTTTCCCCCAACAATTCAACCTGAATTTCCACATATTCTAACTGAAATTTTTTCATATAAAGCGTACTTCAACAATTTCTGACTCAATTTCAAAACTATTTTGAGTTTTTCGTAGTTTATTTTGACGTTCCGGGCCAAATTTTAACATTTGTTCTTTCTAAGATGCTCGCTCTACTTCAATTCTCACCTCACCTAAATTCCAAGGTGTTCTATTTCTTTTGAATGATAGTCTGATTTTTCCAGTCAACTTCAAAAATATTCGAAAATACAATTTTCATCTTGGCCATTCAAACTTCAATCTGTTTCCCTTTTACAGAAAGAGGCGGTAGGAATGAAATTTCAATCGAATTCAAAATTATTCAAAAAGTCGAACCTCAAGAGTTATTGATTATTATCAAGTTAGGTCCAGTTTTCAAAAATGACCTATGAAAAAAATGAATTAATCACCTGGTAGAGCTCCTGGACGAACCAAGACATGCTCGAGTCGGGATCGCTTTGATTGATGTACAGAAAGCTGAAAGAGGGATCGATATACGGTTCAAATCGCTAATATCTCTCACAAGTTGGTCACTTCGCAGAAGCCGGTGTTCAGCGAAATGATACGGAGCCCTCGCGTCACTTCAGTCGAATAGGAACCTCTTCTGAAATTGTCATTTCCACTCAAGATTCTATCGTGGATCAGAAAATCAAGTTTGGAGGAAAAAAGTGAAGAAAATTATGGCTTGAATCCTTGGGTCAAAATGAGCGAAAGGCGTTTTGAATATAGAAATATAAATAAAATCGGTAAGCTCGATACAAATGAAAAGGAAGCTAGTTTAGAGTCAAAACTGCAGAAAATCTCAATAATGAAGAGAAACTGACGTCAGTAAAGGCGCGACGTCTTCTTCAGAAAAGCCACGGATCGCCCATCGTTCGGAATTGTTTGTAGAGCCAGGTGGGCCAGAATCTCTCGTGGACCGTGTGAGGAGCGAAGCTGTTGACCGGGACGCCTTGATAAAAATAAAATAAGGAAAAAATAGCAAATAAAAGTTTTTGAGTGTCTGCGTCTCTCTGTTCCCTCACTGGCGAAGTCAGAGAAACATGAAAAAACACGTCGAAATGAGAGAGTCGCCTAGAGGCGAGGAGGGCGCAGAGAAGTCACAGAAAATAGACGTCACTTTTCCGAGAAGTACAAAAAGGTAACCTATAATAGCTGATTCGTGACTGGCTTGAGCCATCGGAAAAAAGGTCCTGACACGAAAAAAGAGACAGTGCTTTGTTGGTGGAGAGTGCAGACAGGCCACGCCCCCTCGTGTTCAGAGAAAAAGAAACAAAAAAGCTTTCTAACAAGTTTGTTAACAGCTCAAACCTAACGGAAGCCGAACGCGGTCAAAACTTAAGTGGTCACTCAAGAGTTCTGACGTAATTCTGAGCGTTTCTAGGGGTCACTTAAGAGTTTGGCTTTCAAGGCTTCAAGTCGGACCCAAGGAATGATGCTGAAGAAATGAAAACCTTCATGATTTCCCAAGGCCCAGTAGGTCGGCGTCTGAGGGAAGTGACGTCGGACGAGGTCGTCGAGCTTCCGGAGGACGCCGAGGTGCTCCTCGACCGTGTAGGACCAGTCGGCGTGGTTGATGAAGTCACCGGTGAGCAGCAGAACGTCGACGTCTTGAGTCGAGCTGATGTGGCCGAGCATGTGGTCGACGGTACGGTAAGGCACGTCGCAAGCGCCTACCGTACCCCAGTAGCCGGCCGGCTTGACGGGGTTGGCTGAAAAGTGGAATTATTAATTTTCTGTTTTCAGTCATTTCGCACCTGTTTGACTATGACAACAAATCGGATCACCACAGGCAGCTTCAGCAGGATAGGCGTAGTCAAAATCGATGTGAAGGTCAGTCAGCTGCAGAACTTTCAGCGGTCGGACGTCTTCTGGAGCCAAAAAATCTGTTTATCCTTCTCAGCACTTTGATCTCACTCCAGTTCTTCGGCTTTCTAATTCTCTGCTTCCTGGGGATCTTCTGCGGTTTTGGAGGAATTTCGACACGCCAGCCGGCTTCAGAAGGATCCGTCGGATCGGCACAATCACTAATCAAAATTCCGCAGATTTCAGAGGGGTTTTTGGAGGCGAGTTGTCTGAAGACGTAGAAGAACTCGTCCTGAAAAAATCTTCTGGAAACTTGCCAGCATACTCCTTGATGTACCAAAAAGAAACTAGAGAACAAAGAAAAATCAAGGAACGTCAAGGAAGCCTTCAAAAACCTTTAAAATTATATCTGACAAGAACATTTTTTCTTTCCGCTGGCCAACTTCGATGAAACTCCGCTAAACTTCTAATCTGAACCTTCCTATATCACAGAACAAATTTCTGACAATAAGTCTTCGTTTCGAGCTTTCGAGATCCATTGAAATTTACAAAATGCAAAAATTTGGAAAAATGTGGTGTTTGAAGCTTGTGGAAGCTTCACAACTTTAACAAATAATTCTATTTCAAGCAATTACTTTGGGAATTATTCTTTAAAAACGTGTAATCTTCCTCATTTTGCAAGCTATAACCCACCCGAAACTGGGTCGAAATGCCATCGCAAACGGCCCAACTCTGCTTGGCGAACAAATTGCAAATGATCGTCGCAAGTTCAAGGATCACGGGCTCCGTTAGGTCAAACTTCAGGATTAGGCTGAATAAATTTCGTGTAGAATAAACTAAAAAAACAAAGTTCAAGCAGTTTAATTTCGATATTACTAACCTTTTTTCAGTTCATTTTACACGATTATGTTTTAACGTTTTAAAATAATTTTTTTGCAAATATCGATCTTCTGTATTTTGGCACAGAGTAATGGTAAAAGGACCATGTTTAAAAAAAATTATTTTTTGAAAACTGAAGAAAATAAGATTTTACTCTTCACAATATCGACTACAATGGAACAGAGCCTTGCAAAAAAAATTATTTCAATAAAACAAAAATTTCAATTTTCACCTGACCGCAGATATGGCTACCGTACACGAAGCACAAGTCGGCGAAAATTGCAAATACAGATCCTTAGGCTTTTCTGAATAATATCCAAGTCAAAGAAGTCTCACCTGGGATCAAAAAAATTACCTGATCGTCTCTTAATCGAGTAGGCATCGAAGGAATATACAAAAAAAGTAGAAAAAAATATAAGAAATGAAGTAATCTCATCGATAATTTGAGCCTGGAAAAATGAAGATAAGAAAGATTCTTTTTTTCATCTGATCACAATAATTATTTTTAAGAAAAAGTTTCATTTTTTTTCAGTTTTCACAATTTTTATATTGATTTCAAAACATTGTGCAAATCAAAAAATATAAATTTAGCATAATCTTTTAAGAAAGTAACCTAAAAATTACATCAAAAAAGCCAAAAATTTTAAAAATATTTTGAAAACTCAAACTGTTCTTTCTAGAGCTTCAAAATTTGCAATCCAAAATAAAAATCCAATTCCTCCGACAGATAATACAATTACAAAAAAATGAGTTCAAAAACCAAAATCAAGTCCAAACCTTCAACGAGTAATTCTTGATCTTTCTTTAAAATCTACTAAACACCCAAAAAATTCAAAGATTTTGCCACACAACTTTGAATTTTATCAAATTCAAAAAGTAAATAAATCAGCTTTCCGGCAAACACTAGGAACCAGTTAAAATTCGCTGAAAACAGCTTCAAAAATAGATTTCTCAAGTCTTCAAACTTGCATGAGTGAGTATCATAAATCAAGGTGATACCAGAGAACAAGAAAATCTGATCTTTCCTCTCAAAAACGTAAAGCCAAAGAGACAAGGACAAGTGGGATTGCCCAGGAAAAAGAAGAACGGAAATAAATAAAAAGAGGATGGGGGGAGAGTCGACTTCTGTTAAACATCGGGAGAAGATCACCTGACATTCACGTCCAACTTGTCGACTGACGTGTCCCACAGGTGTTCCCAATGTGTTAGTGTTGTATATATATCACATTGGGTTGTGAAATGTGTGAGAAGGGTATAAGTAATGAATTTGGTCCATCTTAGATTGGATTTTTCAGCTTTCGTTAAAAAGTCCGTTTTTCGCGACGTGAAAGAGAGACTTCTCTGCGCCCTCCTCGTCTCTCGGCGATCCTCTTATTTTGAAGTGCTGTTTTGATGTTTCTGTGACATTGCCGGTGAGGGAACAGAGAGACGCAGACATTCGAAAAGTGTCAAGTCACGGCAGGCGGAATATACGGAAAAAAAGAAGGACAAGGAGAGGAGTTCTAATGATACGGAAAATGCAAGATTTGAAGTCGCATAGTCGGTTTGCCGCGACTAGACAGTTTTCGAATGTCTGTGTCTCTCTGTTCCCTCACCGGCGAGGTCAGAGAAATATGGAAACAGCACTTCAACATGATAGAGTCGTCGAGAGACGAGGAGGCCGCAGAGAAGTCACGCCATTTCAAGTCGCGATTGACTATTTTTTCTATGTTATTTCAAATATATATCGTAATTGGTAGTGAAATTTGAGAAAAAGACAATATTTATGGGTTCATTACTAGTTTCTTCTTAATCCTTCGTCAATTTTAGGAACAAATTCCCAAGCTTTGAAAGCTCAAAGAATAAGATACTATTTAAAATGTCATTTATTTTGACTGATTTTCATTGACGTGACTGATTTTGTCCATTTTATAGACTGAATTTTAAATCCTCAGTTAAACTTGATAGGAACTTTTTGAGCCCCCCTTGAATATACGATGCGACTCGGGTAAAATAAACTTCAAAAGCTGCTTATTTCGGAAAAATCTTGCAGTAAACTTTTTTTCTTCAAATTATGATTTTTTTAAAACCCCCCGCTTTCATTTTTTTCTTCTTGTTTGTGTATTTTTGCAGACTTTAAAGGGTCACAATTCTCAAAAAAGATCAAGGACACTTTAACCAGGCCTGTAAAAGTTCCCTTCTCACATCGATTTTTGTCAAAATTTGTCGGAAAATGAAAACTTTCAAGCTTTCGCTAACAATAGATCTAATAAAATGTTGCTATTTTGAGTCGAAGTTGTATTTTTTGCGGTAATCATTTTTATTTCCAAAAAAAAGTCCCCAACTTCTATAAATACGATCTCGCTGTTAGAGAAACGCATTTGAAAAATCCTCGAATCGTGCAATTTTGCAGCAAATTGCAACGATGGCGATCAACAGAGCTGTCGATCGCATTCCGTCCACCTGGGTGACGTCTCCGCCTCCTTTTTACCTTTCACCACCTTTTTTTGCCGTGGGTATTCGAGAATTGTATACATTTCGTTCGGTTCACTGGTTTTTTCTCTGAAATTCTAATATCCAGGTGTATTTTTGTTTTTCTTTTTGTAGTAACTTTAAGATTTAGAACAGGAAAAAAGTAGAGTTTGGTTCAAATTTCTCTAAATGATTGAGAGATTACAATAGCTTCTTCTTTTTATCCTTATTTTATCGGAAAATTGAGTAGCTCAAAATCATTTTTCAACTATGAAAGTTGTGTTTGAATGAAGTGCGTTAAAATCTTTATATTCCACCCAACTACTCAATTTTTAATTCTATCTGAAAAAAAATAGGAAACAGATTTTTTTGAATAAAAAAAGAAAAACTTCTTCAAAAAAATGTTTTTCTTCAACTCGAATCGCAAGGTTTCTAGTCATTGAAAAAAACCGATCAGAAGTTTTTGAAAATAATTTAAAAACCGAAAATCTTTCCAATCTCCGACCCAATGTAGATTTTTTTGCAGCACAGGTTTTTAGAAAAATTTTTTTATTTAATCGATTCGTAACACCCTTTTTTTCTTCTTTTTCATGCATCTAAGGAACCTCCTTTAGTCCCCGGTTGATCCCACTTTCTTGAGGTTCACTTTTAGACCTCCCGATTCAAAAACAAGAAGAAAAATTCTCGCAGTAGATCAGGTTTTCGAGTAAAAACGCTTCAAAAGCTTGAAAAATAGCATTTTTGTCATTATTTTTTTGTCACTTTGCAAACTTTGAAGCTTCAAAAATCGAAAAAAGATCTAATGCGAGACAAATTTGTATTGTTCTAGAATCAAAAGGCCTCAAATTACACTTCAGAAAAGTTGTATCAAAAGTTCAACCGGGGCCTCCAAAGCGTTCCCCAGCAAGTAAAGTTATTTTTAAATTCTATGAAACCAAAAAAATAAAAAAATAAAAAAATTCAAAAATATTGCAGATACGGTATTTTTAAATTTTTTTCCAATCAATACCTTCAAAATCCACTTTGAACGGGTCCAAACTGACCCCGCCAAAAAAATGGCCTTATCTCATATCAACTATCATTTTTTTCACGGCTGGGCGAAAGTGCCACCGCCGACAGCGATGAAATCGACGAAAAAAAAAAAAAAAAGTCTTTTTCACACCCGTTTCGTCGCCTTTCATTTTCCTACCAGCGAAAAAGTGCCTTATATTACAAATCTTTCACACTTTTTTTATCGTTTTTTTATTTCAAATTATTGATTTTTTTCGGAGATTATTTCGTCTTTTTTTCTTCTCAATGATCATGTTTGCTGGGCATTTTTACACATTTCGCGCCGGTTGAACTTTTTTATCGACTGGGATTTTATTTGATAGCCAGAGATTCTTTCACAGAAGAACTACGTTTTCTAGCGGTTTTTTTCTTTTATCAATACATTTGGCGATTATATTTGGTTTGTTCAGGAATAAAAAGTCATCCTTCTCGAAAACCTATATTTTGATCCGATATTATTCTTTTGAAGCTATAAAAAACTTTTTTTTTCCGGCTTTAAGGTTCTAGAAAGTTAGGCAGACCAAAATTTAGATTCCAAAAATGTTAAGTCCTTCAATGATTTATACAGTCGTATTATACTAGAAACCGGGGTTCCCACTCAAAAATAATATTTAAATCTTCGAAAATGCTAGGTGAGAAGAATATTGAGAAAAAAATATTGTCGCGTTTTTCGATTCTCACATTTTTCAAGAGAAAACTGAGAAAAAAATTGTACTTTTTCTTCAGAAAAAAAGAATTTTTATTAGAACATTTTTCTTTTTTTAAAACAACGCCAGCTTTCTTTTCAAATCGAAGTCAAGGATTTTTTTCTTATTCAAATCTTTAAAACTGTTCAATAACTCTTTTTGGAAACTCAAAGGAAAAATTCAAGCTTTAATAACTTTCTATTAACTTGAATTGTTCATAAAAAAATTCAAAGTTCAAAAAAATGTTTAAAATTTAATCCTGGAAACATGATCAAAAAAATAAAAAGGAAAAATTTTTCACAGAATTTTTATAAGATTCATATTCAAAATTTCACTTGAAAAAGGTCCTCTCAAAGCCCTCAAACTTTTCTTTTTTCTACTCAAATAATCGGAAAATCAGTCATATCGACAACCCAAGGACCCAAAACTTCTCATTTCCCGAAAAACCCTATGAAAAAGTATCGGAAATTATCGGAAATCGGAAAATCGAATCAAGATTTATGACGTCGATAATTTACAGGTTTACAACGACGCGGAACTGGACCTGTTCATTAGTTATTGGCGAAAATTTGGAGTTCGAGAGAGAAAATGGACGGAAGGAGGGCCAGAAGGTCGCCCGACGACGTTCTTGGGTTTCTAGGTGGGTCAGGGGGAAATCAGAGAGATTTCTGAGATCGAAATTTCAAATTATCACTGTGAAGAAGTGTTTGCAAAAAGAGTTTTTCAGAAATTATCTGTAGAAATATTGGCGTTTACCGAAAGTAAATTACCAAAAAAGTTCCTAAAATGAATACCTGCTAACCTCCAGGAAGTGACAGCCGCTTTCTTCTGACCTGCATCGTGGTGAGCGGGTTCGCCTGGACGCCAATCGCTTTGACGGGACTTTGTCCGGCTTTCATCGTCAAGCACGGGCACAACACGAGCTTCCTCGCCGTCGTCGATGAGGTTAGCCTCGAAAATGTCTTTTTTAAGCTAAGAGAAAAAACAATGGATCATGCTTTTTTTTTTTCGTATTACCATGCTTTCAACTACAGTACTGGCCATAAATGTATTTCAAAGTGGTTATTCGAGCATAACTTCTCTGAAAGTGGCTCAAATGACTTGAAACTTTGCAAAAATTTCAAATAGCTAAGCAGTAACTTTTTCCCAGAAAAAAACTTGTTTGCTCAAGTCAGACCGGATTTGAGAGCAAAAAACCAAAAATCGTGAAAATCAAGATTTTTCTCTTGAGATTCGAAAAATCATATCTTCAAAGAAACTTCGTTTTCGAACCAGAAACTTTTTTCCCCAGTAAAAACAAGTCTTCGGCTTTCCAAAAAAACCTAACCAGCCCCTCACCAACCCGATAGTAAGAGCGTAGTGACTTTTTTTCTTCGAAAGGCCCTTGCTTTTTGAAGCCTCCTCATTCAAATGGACTATACGAGGTCATTTTTTTGTTTGAGAACACCCTGTATCATGTTGAAAAATTTTGAAACACCCTCAAAAAAAGTTTCACACTGATTTCTTCAGCTTTCTCACTTTATCTGCTCTCCAGAACTCACTAACTTCACTAGGACCGATTTTGAAACCTCTGATTTGAAGCGGTTATGCTCCTTTTTCAAAAATCAGAACATTCTCGATTTTTTTATTTCAGATTTCAGAGCTTCTTTAGAACCTTGATGAATAAAAAAATAAAAAGACCCACTGTGTTTTTGCTTACTTATTCGAAAGATATAGTGAGTTATAATGAGTTTCTTAAAGTTCTCAAAACTTCGTTTCAGCAAGTGTTGCTTAGAGGGCTCCAAATCTTGTGGAAGATGATAAAAACCCCTTTTTTCATATTTTTAAATGTTTTAGATCATGAGATAAATTTGTAACTCCTCTTTCTAGCTCTCAGTTCGAAGATAAGCACTGTAAAAAGTTTCTTTAAATTTTATGGGAAAATAAGTTTTTGATCTTGTGAAACTAATGCTTCAGCAAAAAATTTAGCAGTCTTCAGGTGTAGGAGCCTGAAATTTAGCCAATTATTATTTTCAAATTCACGATTTAAAAGCGATTGACCAGATAAAAACTACTTTGAACGCCCGAAAGTCCAGAAAAACTGTTCAAATCAGAGGTTTCAAAATCGGTCCTAGTGAAGTTAGTGAGTTCTGGAGAGCAGATAAAGTGAGAAAGCTGAAGAAATCAGTGTGAACCTTTTTTTGAGGGTGTTTCAAAATTTTTCAACATGATACAGGGTGTTCTCAAACAAAAATGACCTCGTATAGTCCATTTGAATGAGGAGGCTTCAAAACGCAAGGGCCTTTCGAAGAAAAAGTCACTACGCTCTTACTATCGGGTTGGTGAGGGGCTGGTTAGGTTTTTTGGAAAGCCGAAGACTTGTTTTACTGGGGAAAAAAGTTTCTGGTTCGAAAACGAAGTTTCTTTGAAGATATGATTTTTCGAATCTCAAGAGAAAAATCTTGATTTTCACGATTTTTGGTTTTTTGCTCCCAAATCCGGTCTGACTTGAGCAAATGATTTTTTTTTTGGGAAAAAGTTACTGCGTAGCTATTTGAAATTTTTGCAAAGTTTCAAGTCATTTGAGCCACTTTCAGAGAAGTTATGCTCGAATAACCACTTTGAAATACTTTTATGGCCAGTACTGTAGATCATCTACACGTTCGCCAAAGGCGATTTCAATAAAGTCTCAAACTTCTTGTTCATCGCCTAGTCGATTACGTTCCTCACAATCTAATGGAAAAAGAATAAATCAAAAATGATTGATTTAAAAAAAAATGCTGCAAAACTCGGCACGTTTTTCCAAATTTTCACTGGTTACATCGATTTCTCGGCAATCTTCCAGTTTATAAATAGTGCGAAATAAATATTGATACACGTTTGAAACGGCCTAACTCCTTAGAAAGTGTTCAAAACTACACAAAACTTTTTTTTCTCGTTGAGAAGACTAGTTTTTTTTTACGAAAAAGTCTTTCATGTCTTCACACCTCGAAAGTTTGTGGTTACCTTTTTGGAGCGTATACCTTCAAGTCATGAAAAAAATGAAGTTCAGAAAAAAATAATTCTTAGGAATGGGTACAGTTTTTTTGAGTTTCAAAATCAGCTCATCAAATTTTTGTAAAAAAACACTTTTTTTGAACTTTTTTTATCACAAAATTTTTCTCAAATTTTATTAAAAGGCCTATTTTTTAGAAAAAAAGTATATTCTAATGTGAACTTGAATAAAAAAATATTCGGCCTAAATTTCAAACGAAAAAAAACTCTCTTTTAGACGTTGAAAATCCGATTTTTTTGGTCCTTTTCCCACTTCAGAATTCAACCCAGTTTAAAGAATTTGAGTATTTGAAACAAAAAAAGCTTGAAATTAAAAAAAAAATTTTGACCATTTTATAAAGCATCCAAAGCTACCGGCATTTCCAGCATGGAAGGAAAAAGCTTTTTAAAAAAATTAAGAGCTTGGTGAATAAAATATTTTTTTTCCTGACACTACTTATCCAATCTCGTCCATATCCTCATTATTTTTGATTTTTGAATAAACCATCCGTTTTCAAAATGAGATTCCTTAAGTTCAACCTCAAAAATGAAAGCGCCTTCCTGGCCGACGGTACGACGACCGCTTTCATGGTTGGGAACATGATCGGCGGGATTTTCATCACCCAGATTGGGGATAGGTACCGAAAAAAGTGTTATTTTTCTTGGAGAACTCGGATTCAGATACGGGAGACAGCCAGTTTTTATCGCATGTCTCATGATGATGGCCTTTTTCGGACTGTTATCAGCCATGGCTCAGGACGTCTACCTTCTCTGTATTATGAGATTCATTCACGGCATTTTCTACACGGTATGTTAGAACTGAAGAAAATTCCAAAACCTATAAATACAAGGAAGGAGTCCTCAGATTATTCTTTGTCTTTGTTTACTTTGCGGTTGAAAAATCACTAGAAATTGCCCCCAGAACAGTTCTTGATGGAGTATAAAAAGATCCTGGAAGTCTCAACCTATGAAAGTTCCTTGTTTTCAAGAAAAAAGACTTCAAAGCCAAAGAAAACCCTCAGAATCTCTTAAAATAAGCTGTTTAGGGGCTTCAGTTCTCTCCGTTTCATAAAATGAACTTCAAAAAAGTTTCACTGCCAACCAAGAAATCTTCGAAAATCTCAGGCAGCAGGACTGGTCGGCTGGGTACTGGGCTATGAGAATACGCCGGTTTCCCTCCGATTCTTCACCTCTGTATACTTTGGCCTGACATGGGTCTTCGGCACCTGTCTTCTGGCTCTAGTCGGCTACCTGACTCCCAATTGGCGTTACCTGATGGTCGTCATTTCCCTGCCCAACTTCGTCACAGCCATCGTCGCTTACATGTGAGTTATAATCTCAAAGCAGAAGCTTAACTTTTTCAAAAAAAGACTCAGGTTCCAGCTTGTTGAATATATTTTCATTTCCATACCCTGTTCACTCCAAATTAGGTCTCATAAATCTATCTCTCTGAACAATACTTTTGAGCAACCCTGTATTTCCAAACAAATTTCCAGGCTGGTCCCAGAAAGTCTGCACTTCTTGGTGTCGTCCAACAAACGCCGCCGAGTCGCCAAATGGCTGATAAAAGCCCGGAAATATGACGGAGACGAGCTTCTTGGAGACTTGCGTGCCGAAGACGTCGTCGGAAATGGGCCTAAGAAGGCTTCCAAGGGATTCTGGGAGCTCATCTGCGAGATGTTCGAGCACAAGAAGTTCCTGGTCTACACCGCAGCCATGGTCTATCTGTGGATCGTCGACACTTTCATCTACTTTGGCTTGTCTTTCTACGCCAAGGACCTCGCAGGGAGCTTCTACTTGAACTTTGTGCTGATGAGTCTGGTCGAAGCGCCAGCCTACGTCTTCGCTCCAATCATGATGAATCGGTTGGACCTTTTGAAGTTTCCAAGTTTTAATGAATCTAGCTTTCAAGTCACGGTCGCCGGTTACTCGTGTGCTTTTCGCACGTCATCGCCGGAATGTCATTCTTAGGAATCGTCTTCTTCGACGGTAAGTCTGACTGAAACTTTTGTTAAGGCTATCTCTGATTCAGAAGCGCTTCATTTGCCGTTCTGGCTCATCGGAAAATTCTCCATATCCTGCTCATTCATGAGCATTTATGTTTACGCTAGTGAGGTGAGGTCCAATAAAAGTTTAAAAAATAATAGAAGGTTCAGATCTTCCCAACAGATGCTCGGAATAAGTGTATCGGTTTCTGTGAAACTATGTCGAGGATTGGTGGCATGTTATCGCCTCATTTGGGCTCACTGGTGATTTTTTTGCGAGTCTGCTAGGACTTGTCAGTACGGTCCCCTGTAATTCAGCTCGGTCTGAATCTTTCAGAACAGTTTCTTAAACAATCAAGATCCTAAAACTCCAGATGACCTTATTGGAAATTTAAAAAAAAACCCTTAAAACTATCAAACTCAATATGCTCAAAAAACTTGAATCAGCTAATTTTCTACAAGCATCTCCTCGCTCAATTTAATCGATATATCCATTTCGAGCCGTTTATCCATTCTAAGACAGTCCAAAAGAAGAAATAAGCTATCCTTTTCCAGGAAACTCCAAACCCAATCTAATTTTCTTACAGGCGCAAATCACTCCATCGCTACCGGCCATAACTCTCAGCGGAATTTCGGTTCTGGGAGGCGTTCTGACGTTTCTTTTGCCCGAGACGCTGAATACCCAATTACCGGCCACAATCTCCGAAACTACCAGTCGTCGGCGTCCGCTCAACGACATTGAAGATTCGCCGTTTTAGCAGCCGAAAGAAATGTTAACAAATACCTAAACGGGTCTTGAAATTGTTGTTCGTCAATGAAAATTAGTCTTTTTATTAGAAAAGGAAGATACCACATAAGAAGACAAATGCGCCCATTATGCTCAAAATTTGAGCTCTGAAAATTTGAGCTCCTTATAATTCTTTTTCAAAGCTCCTGATCTCAAGAGCAAGCTAAATTTCAAACTTGCTTTTGAGGGGATTTCTAAAGACCAAGGAAACCATTAAATTATGTGGGAAGCTTTACAGGCCTTCAAAAATGCTTCGAAATGCTCAGACCAACTACAACCTCTGTAAAAGTTGCAAAAAGGCTCTAATCTCTAGACAAAGACCCTAAAAACGAGGAATAGAATCTTTAAGTATCAAGGAGTTTGATTTATCTAAAAATAAGATCGACGCATGAGAAAAAAAACTGGTTGAAACTCACTAAACAAAAGCGTATTTTGAAGAAATCTTTCTAAAGTTCAGTTCAGCCAAAATCTTAGGAGAAGTTAGAAAAATTTCCTTTTCAAATCAACATGAGGATTTTTTGAGATCTTGTCTCGTCTCAAAATCTGGAAATCTCGAGACATATCTCGAAATATCGAGACAAAAACAAGAAATTTTCGAGAACTCTGCAAAAGACGGTTCACGGGTTCCTGATAACCGCTACATCTGAAAAATCCAAAGACACCAGTTTTTCATCAGATCTTCAAACAAATTGAAAGTCTCAAAAGCTTGGTTTTATCTGAAGCGCAAATGCATACACGAGAAGTGAGATGGAGAGACGTCTTCTCAGACCTTGAGCGACTTCTGCTCGGTGGACGGGAAGAGCGTGTCGAAGAGGGGGCCGAGGAAGCAGCGGTCGGCGGCTCGGTCGCCACAGTAGGTCCCGCCCTCCTGGTTACTGTAACTATCGAGTTGATACACTGTGACAGGGTCGGCGAGAAGGCTCACTCGGGCTTCGTGACGCGGACCTTCGATTTTCTGCCGCCTTTCGGGATCATGGGCGAAAGTTCGTAGGCGCCGAAGGCTTCAGCCGTGTCGACGTCTGGAAAAGTGAGCTATAATAAAATAAGAAATGAACATCGAAAGCTTTCAAAAATATTAAAATCGGCATAAATATATCCATTTTCTACAAAAAGTCATAAAAACGACCTCTAAAGCGCTCTTTACTTTGAAATTCTTATCCTTCTTCGAGCCAGCTTGGACAAGGCTGGTCAAGGAAAAAAAAATAGACAAACGATTTTTTTCAAAATTGAAAGACGGATATTGAGAATTAAGCCGCGCCTTGATCAGAAAACGACCAAGATTTTCAAAAAATTGAAATATTCTGCGATTTAGCGCGAGTGTCCCTGCGGAACAAACGCCGTGGTTTTAGTTCCCATTTTTTCTGGGGAATTTTCAAGAAATGGCCTTGGGAAATACCAAAAAGTGTGTACAGCATTTACAGTGTTACCTTCGATTTTCTGAGATTAAACTCGGTTTTTTTTAACTCGCGTAGTTTCATTTTCAAGTAAACGATCTGTACCCTTTAAAAACTTTTTCCAAGCCCTCTTTGGCAATTTATCTGCAAAAATAACTATACTTTAAAAAAAAGAAGACACGGTTGTTCTATATCAAAACTGATTATTTTCAGTCTCAAGCCATTGCTTAATAGACTATAGCCCCTGAAAACTGTTCCCTAACCGGCTTCGGCGAGTTGTCGAGTCCGTTCATCGGCGAAACAAGCCCGTGGGACGGACTCCACGAGAGAGGCCTTGCCGGGAAGGTCGATTATCACCTGGAAGCTGTTATTTCCCAGAGAATCTTTGGGTGTTCACTTTGTTGGCTGCGAACGACGACTCGTCGGCGACGAAATGAAGGGTTTCGACGTGTCGGTGCTCTTTTTCCGATGCTCCGCTCTCCAGCCACGATCGGAGATCATGTCTATTAAATTTTGAAATTATTAATAGTTCCCAATAATTCTAAAACGTTACTTCTTGACGTCACATAAATCCATAATTGAACAAAAAAAAATCTTTTTTTTTTCTCCATAAATCTTTGAAACCCGCCGTTTTTAAGCCAAATTTTCCAATCAATTGAACGATTCCCAATCTTTGGAATCCATTATTTTTTTAATATATGAATCTCGGTCAATGATGGATGTTTTTTTGGAAAAAAATTTTTTTCAAAAAAATATTGATTCAAACTCACGATGAAGTCAGAAGATGCAAAAAAAGGAAAAGTTAAAAAAATCTAAATACAGTTTTACTTTTTTTGAAAAAAAGCTGGGAAAGACTTTTTTTGGCCCATTTTTTTAGGGACTCAAAGTTATGAAAAATGTCTGTTTTTTTATCCTTTTTTTCTGTTCAATTGTAAAATTTCCTTCTAAAAAATTTGTTCCCATATTTTCTTGAAGTCAGTTTCATTGAGAACAATCTCAAACGTTTTTCGCGAGCAAACGCCTCAAAATAGGTTTTTTTTTGAACCCAAAACTTAATTTTTTTAGAATCAAAATATTTTTTCTCACTTGTTAAACGAAGTGATGGGACGCGCATAAATCTGAATGTCGGCCGCGTCTTTCTGAAGTCCAAAATAATGATAAAAACTCGGATATTTCAATGAAACCCACCACTTTTCTCAAACTACTCGGTGCCGTGAAAGTTAGAACGATGTACTTTCCGGCCAGGACCAGGGCACTGAAATTGAAAATCGCAGGGACGAGTTTGAAAATGAGAGAAAAATTGATTTAATAATATGAATTGAATCAAAATGGTCAAAGAAAACTTGAAAAATAAGAAAAAAACGGGCAAAAAACAAGCCAATTTCGAAAAAAGACCTAAAAAGGACTTTTAGAAAGTCTTCCTAGCTTCTAAAAAAGGGCATTTCCGAAAGAAGAAATGAGAAGGTGTTGGGAAGAACTCGAATGCTGAGCAGTGTAACCCAGCCGTGCTAACACGGGGTCTCCGCGGGTGCCCCCGTATTAAACCCGTATAAGCCCAGCCCCACAGCTGGGTTACATATTTTTCTTACACCCGTTGTTTCCCCGTTTTAGCCCAACTGAGACTAAAATAACCTCAGAAACACGGGTTTAATACGGGCACACCCGCTGAGACACCTGCTCAGCATGCGAGAAGAGTATCACGGAACGTTTCGAAAAGGTCCTTTTTTTTTTGAAAAGACGACTAAAAAGAAGATTAGAAGATTTTTTGCACCTTTTCAGAAGCTTAAGAATGAGTTTTTGTCCCCAATTTAAGGCCCTTAAGAGGTCACTTGGACTTTTCACACGTAAACCAACTTTTTGCGTTGAATATGCACGATTCCTGAGCGGTTGACAAACTGGAAAAATCGAGCTTATCGAAATTATTTTATACAAGGGAGACCTTGACGACGACATCGTGACAAGTCGTGTTGCGAATAATAAGCTGTCGATCGGGGTCCGCACTGTGGCGGAGGATTACGGTAACCGACATTTTACCTAAATTTCATAAAATATTCTAAACTTCTCTTGAAATATATATAGAAAGAATCTTTGGATATTATAATTCTATCAACTTTATCGGAAAAGGAAACAACGTGACATTGGAAGAGAGAATCCGGTTTGTAATGGAACGAAGTTCGGTTTTCAGCCTTTTCCATGATAATTTTGGTGTTGAACAGACTCCTTGAGATGGTTTATTGCAAGCCCGTGCCGAGCGTCAGCTTTCGGTGCTGGCAGGGGGTAAGAGCAGGTTTGTGCGAGGGCCGGCCCGCCTCGGCCTTAGCGGGGCCTCAAGAAAAATGGCCGGCCCGTCACAAAAAGCTTAACTTTTTTCAAAAAAGTCACGTTTTTGCTTATTTTTTTACTAGGAGTTCAACAAAGACTATGATTTAAAAATTAAAAGAAATTTTTTTAATGAGACCTCGCGTTTTTTTGTACGTGTCGAATTCTACATATTTTCGGTAATAACTTTATCACGATTCTACTAAAAAAATAAAGGAAACAAAAAAAATATTCCTGAAAGTGTGAATCTGTGGATGGTGTTTGAAGGAACATTTTTTTGAAAAAAAGTTAAAAAAATAATTGACTTGATGAAATTTTAAAAAAAACTTCTGCGTGATCCTTCAACAAAAACCGAACCTGCACAACTTTTTGTAAACGCAGAAAAATGTCAATATTGCTGATTTTTTTTTTGACATCCTGTCATAACCTCCAATATATTTTTAAAATCATCAATCTTATTTTGAAAAAGAAACTTATTTTGAAAAAAAAAAGTCAAAAGCCACAAACCAAGCAGAGACGAGTGGAGCAACGGATCCAAAAGGCGGACCAAGAAACAATGAGTCTCATTTTACGCAGAAATTAATTATCTTTCCTAAAACGACGTTAATTCCTGTAAAAACATCCATAAAAAAGTAACGTTCTCTCTGAAAACTTCAATTCGATTTCCTTTCAAAGTTCTCTTTTTTCTTTCAAATATAAAATAATTTATACCATCAAACAACAGAAGGGAAAATAGTTCAAATAAAAAGGAAATAAATAAGATCACAGCCGTCGAGAAAAAAGAAAAGAAAACAAAGAAAATAGGAGAATAAAACACGCACACACAACCATTCTATTAGAAAGAAGTATCCCATTTTTTTTTTCAAAAATTAAGCTGAAAAAGAAAAACCCGATTTACTTACAATAAAAAAAACACTTATTTCTATTCGATTTAACAAGGAACAAATCACCAAGTATTATTACGCAAATTGATTATATAGTTCAACTTTTGATTGATCAAAAACCGGCCTCTGAGTATGAAAAATTCAACAAAATCGCTCTAGTCTTTGATAATTTAAAGGCGCAGGCTCCTTTATGCGCCTTTAAACTTTTTTTTTCACTTGAAAAAAGAAAAAAGAAAATAAATGCGGCTAAATGAATAAAAATATATTAGGACAGGAAGAATTTAGTGGCAATACTGATATGGTCAAGTGGGGAAAGGCTGTGGAATCTTTTTATTTTCTGCAGTACCAACTTTAATAGAACAAGAGATCAGGCAGCCTGAAGAGACAGCTGAGAAAGAGGATCTTATTTTTTTTCTCTGGTGTCTCTTCGACCGCTGTTGATCCCTTTCAATCAAAATTGTCTTCTTTTTCCGATAATATTTAGAGATAGGGCAGATTGAAGAGACGCCAGAGAAAACAGAACGACTAAATTCTCTGGCGTCTCACCAGGCGCTCTAATCCATCTTTTTTGTTACTTGTTTTTTAGCTATAAATGTTTTCAAAAATACAACTCAACAGCTGATTCCCCAGTACAATCTATTATTTATCGATTTTTGAGCTCCTGATGGACCCGTTTGGTGGCGCGGCCGCAGCAGCAACCAATGAACAAGATCAAAAGGACGAAGGCGCCCAGATATCCGAGGATGGAGACTTTTTGCGGGTGTTCCATCACCAACGTCGCCAGGTCGTGCCACGTCTCCGGCATCGCCATTTGGTATTCCTAAACACTCTTTTTTGAAAAAACATCTAAAAAAGGCTCAGAAGCTGCTCTCAGCCAAATTTTTTTTGAGAGATCTTAACTAGGGAACTACTCGGTTTCGAGTATTCGTATCAAGTTGAAACTACAGTGGTTTATAGAATTGGGTAAGCGCTCTTAGAAACAAAAGAGATTATCTGCTAAATCCCACAGGCTTCTTAAAAAAAAGCTTCTCAAAGAGATCCAAGAAACCTCTAAGCGCTTCTCATCGAGGTGGCCTGGCGCATTGGTTAGAGGAGCAATCATATAATTAACTTTTTCAAGTAGGTTCGATTCTTGTCGAGGGTAAATCTTTTTTGCATTTTTCCTAAAAAATCAGGTATGTTCAAGAATAGATGAATCTCGTTTCAAGAACGAGTTCATCAAAATTCCACTGAAGAAACCCTAAATCTTACTATCAAATCATTAAAAAAGGTCTTTTTTCCAACCTACCGCATGAGCCTTCATCCACAACTTGTTGCGATCTTCAAGCTTGGCGCGGCAGTGTTGGCTCATGTGAGCATTGGAGTTGTCGGCGGCGTTCATCAAGCACATAATGACTGGAAAAAATTGGCGTTTCTTTCAACAATGTATTGACAAAGTAGAAAAAGAATACTAGTTAAAAAGGAAACTAAGGGTCCCATGGACGGAATAGCCGAACAGCCAAAAAAGCATATTTCAATACTTCAAATCCGATTTTTAACGTCTTAAAGAAAATTCGAGGCACAGTTCATGATGAAATTTCAAACAGTATACTAGAAATTACATGAAGTTAATACTTGTGAAACAAATGTGAATTAAAAACTGTAGATACAAGTTTGAAATCCTGAAAAAAGGGTGAGAAATTAAGTTCCGGTAGGACAAAGAATCAGTGGATGCCACGTAGTTCAAGGCATCTTTTATCCTTTCTTTCTCAAAAAACTTCCTTTTAATCACAAAAAAACTGTGAACCTAGATTTTTCTTTGACTATAACTTTATTTTGACTGTTTGAAATCAGCCACTAGGATATTTTTAGGCTCAAAACTGACGCTGAAACTCCCACGTCTAAAGGAATTTTATTTTTTTATTCTCCTCATTTTCATCTTTTGAATGAAACAAAAAGCTAAAATGCGATTTTTCTTAGCTATCCATTCAAAAATCCTTCCCTTCAACTAAAATATTGACTGACTCTCAAAGCAAAAACTATCAAATGGACCATGTTTTTTACCGTTTTCCTTCGTTTTCTTTACTCAAAACTCACTGCGACTGTGTCCAGGCGGAACTTCGGCACAAAGTCGCTGAATATCGACGGCGCAAGCTTCATGGAGCGAGGGATCCAGGTGAATGTCCACCAGGGCTTCTTGCGTTCTTCGGGCCAACTTAACTCATGTTTTTGAACTTTGAACTATATCATAACTTTTCTTCTACGATAGTTGTGTGGCGGCCCGTCAGCCTATCGGCCCTCCGGCCATTTTTTAGGCCCGGCCCGACCCTAGGGAAGCCTCAAGCAAAAATGGACGGCCTGGCCCGTAAAGCTCATATTTTCTTCAAGCCGAATGAATATAAGCATTTTCTTAGTTTTCTTAGTTAAACTATGATTTAACAAGTAAAAAGAATTTTTCGATGAAAATGTTTTTTTAATGAAATCACAAAAAAATTTTGGGCCCAAGCCCCTCAAGAATGAAGCCCAAAGCCCGGTTCAGGCCGACCCAGGCTTTCGGGCCTGTAAGATAGAACGGAACAAAAACACGAAAATAAATCTAAAGTTTTTTCCAAATTTTTTTTACCATGTCAAAGTGATTACCTGATCAAATTACGGTCCAAAATTCAGTTTTTGAAAGTTTTCTGAACGCGCAAGTTGATCTATTCATTTTTTTATAGAGTTTAAAAAAATTACTTTTTACATTTTAAAGAACTCTTGGTCATTTTACCTGCTCGTTGCACTCCTTGTTGGAGATCGCATTCTTATAAAAGTCGGCCTTCAAGCATTCGAGCACATTTTCGAAATGACCACCCTGAAGATTAATCAACAAGATGAAAAAGGAGAAAGTGCGCTCTACCGAGGCGATGACAGCTTCCGAGCAGTGGAGCGAGATTACGCTTTTGCAGGCATTGTAGAGCGGAGGGTCGAGTTTTGGGTCCAATTCGGCTTCGACGATCGTCCGCGAAACCTTACAAACAGAATTTTTGATAAAATGATGGAATTCTGATCTTGAAAATAGGATAATCAGAACTGGGCGAGAAAAATTCTGGTATTTTTTTAGTCGATAAATAAACCTCTATGAAAGGTTGAGTCCTCAAAAAAATATTCAAGTTTTTCCGTGAGAAAAAAACGCATTTTTCAAAAATAGGTTAATTTTTTTAATTTCTGTTCGTGCGAGATTTTTGATTGTGTACTCTTTTTTTCACATACAAAAAAATCATTTTTAAAAAGTTTTCGCCCAAAAAACGACCTCGGTGTATGCACAAATTGAACCTACAGTATGCTAATTGGAAAGAAAAGATCCGTTGTGAGCTAAGGACATTCTAGTACGCTGACCAAATTAAAGATTTTCTATCCACTTTTCTAATCGATAAATTAAAATCAGTCCTCTTTAAAAGGTTGAGTCATCAAAAATATTAAATCTTTTCGTGAGAAAAAAAACGGATTTTCCGAATGCGCCAGTTTTTTAAAATTTCTGTTCGTGAGAGTTACTGGTTGTGTATTCTTCTTTACCATACAAAAAAAAAAAAATCATTTTTAAAAAGTTTTCGCCCAAAAAAACGTAACCAGTGTATGCACAAATAGAACCTACAGTATGCTAATCGGAACGAAAATATCCGTTGAGTGAATTTTAAAAAAAGGAAAAGTTTCCTTTTTAATGGCAACAACTCGAAAAAGAGCTGAATCTATTTTCCACTACTTTTTTTGAATGGTGTTCTGGTTCTTGGGAAAAAAAATCACTCAAGCGGTCACTTTCCATTTTCTCAGTGACCTTGCCGTTTCTCATAGCACATTTGAAGTTTTTTTGTGGTGAGACTTTTGATCGTTAGAATGAAATTGACGAAATTTTTTTTTGGAAAAATCTCATGGATTGATCTGAAGCAGCACCTCATGCGTACACTGCTGCGAGAAGTTGATCTGCGATTTGTCGGAAATCGACTGTCGGAACTTGTCGCGGAGACAGGACACGACGACGCCGTCCAAGACCTGCTGCGAGTACTGCGGCATGTTCAGCTTCTTCATGTCATCGGGACAGCTGAAATGTTCGAATTTTACAACTACGAACCTCATAAGGAAAGAGTCGAAGGTGGAAACGGTATATCTGGTGCAAAGCTTTTTGTATTGAGTAGTCCCAGAAGAAAAACCTCGAATAAAAGGATTATCTGCTTAATGAACACAGCTCCCGAAGGAACGCCTGTTAAAATAAAAAAGCTCAGAAACTGCTTTAATTGGGCTTTTTCAGCTTCTTCATATCTACAGGAAAACTAAAAAAATCTCAAATTTTTTTAAATGAGTGTACAATCTGGTCCAAAATTTTATGGAAAATGTTCCTAGGACGCCCAAAAAAAAATTTCAAGAAAAAGCGAAAATTTGTTGAAAAAAAACAGGTTTATTTGGACTCTTTGAGGCTTTGAAAAACTCTCGATCTGATAATGTGCAACACAAAAAAAGCTCGTCTCATCGAAAAATCTAAGGAAAAGCAGTTTTTAAGCTTTCGTCTGTTATTTTTCGGAAAAGGTTTTCTAGGATTCTTTATGGTCATTCGCGGGATTTTGAACAGTTTGACCTGTCTGCGCTTTCTTGTCTCTCAGCGAAAAGGTTGGGCAAGCAAGAAAATAGAAAATGAACAGAAGAAAGTAGCGAAGAAATATATTAAGACTACGAAAAAAATTTGAACCTCGATTTCGTTTCGTTTTGAAAAAAAAAAAAGATTAGAAGTTTTTAATTTTTTTGGGAACGGACTATAACGGTTTCTTTTTTTTTGTTTCAAAATTTCCTACCACGAAAATTACTATCATATCTGCCTTTTACACCTGAAAATTTATCCTAGCTCTTATCTACTAACTAAGTCTCCGCCTCCTTGCGGCAGGCGTTCAGAAGACCGGGTCGAAGGCGAACGTCTCGAGCCGCTTCTTGCATTCGCTCCTGAACACTTTCGAGTTGCTACGGATCATCTACATCTTCTGGAGACCTTGACGATGGCCTTGCATTCGCGCTGGAGGAGCCGGACGATCTTCGAGTTGGTGAGGCATTCGAGGACGTGTTCCGGGTCGCTGTTGGGGCAAAACTTGCCGAGGTCGTACTTGCACTTGCGTTGAAGCTCGTCGTCCATCGAGTTGTCGACCGCCTCGATCTTTTCGCGGTAGAACACCATCGACTTGCATTCAGGGCCTGTAGATTGTCTTTGAAAGTTTTGTTTGAAGAAAAAGGATATCATGAAAAAAAAATCAGAAAAGTTTTCAATCCTTCAACCCTTTTTCTCTATAGTCCGTTTTTCGCAACTTGAAAAGGCGTGTTTTCTCTGCGCCCTCCTTATCTCTCGACGTGTCTCTCATGTTGACCGGCGATTTCCATTTTGTGTGACCTCGCCGGTGAGAGAACAGAGAGACGCAGACACTCGAAAAGTGTCAAGTCGCGGCGAACGGACTATACTTTTCTAATTGTCTTGTTCTTCCTAGGTTTTCTGACAATCCTTATGAATTTATCTCTGCGTCTCTTCGTATTTCATACTATTTTAGTCTTTCCACAAGTTGGTCACTAAGCTAAATAACAAGAAAAATCTTATTTTCTCCACTACTAAGAAATTTCGCCCATTAGAACTGTATATTAAACTACATACCCATACCAGGAAAAACGGCCTTTATTCTCTTTCGATCTCTGCGTCTCTCATTTTCCAAACACTCTTAATTAATCTACATTGAGCTATCAAATTTAAAGTGAAAGTATAATAACTCGGAAATCACATGAAATTCCAATAAATTTTTATTTTTTTTTTCTCTGCGTCTTCGCGATCTCCATGGTCTCTAAAACATGTTCAAAATTTCACTTAATGTACTAGAAAAGCCTCCAAACGCAAAATCAAAATAAATTACATTTTCTCTAGGTCTCTCTCTCTTCCCTACACTCTCTATAAACTCTGAACAACGTAACGCAAACTGAAACTTTATTCTTTCAAGTGACCTCTTTAGCGGTGTCAGAGTTCTTAAGTGATCACTGGAAATGCTCAGAAACATCCGGTTGCGTTACCGAGAATTTTCGAAACTTATCGAAAGATTGTCCTCGGAAATCATATAGTTCTAAACCTTCAAGATCTTGAATTTTACTCTCTGCGTCTCTAAATCCTCTACACTATCTAAAACCCACCCAATTGCTCAAAGTTGAGCCGAAGGCACTCGACGGTATCCTCGAAGGTGTCGGCGTGATCGCACTTGAACTGAACGATTTCTCTGGAGCATTTTTCCGAGAGTTTCGGATCCGCCTCGGACATGTGCTCCTTGTCGTCGAACTGAAAACAGCAGCCAATAAAATCTGAAAGCTACTGGGTCGTTTTTACACATTCAACTTTTGCTCAATGCTCAGCCGACCTATCCCGATTAGTCAATTAGGTTTTATTGGGAAAATAATCGTGAAAGGTTATTAGTTTCTAGAAGCCTTGGTTAAAAGAAAAGTGAAAAAAAGTTTTATATAAAAAGTCAGCACCCAAACTTCTTTAAAAATTTACAAATTAATATTATTTAAAAAATTTCCCGTAGAAAACAAAAATCCCCATAATTTCCAAATAGCTCGAAATCCTGACTAAAGAACGTTTTTGAGCCCCCGGTTAATCTTCTGATGAAACTTGGCTAAAGTGTATTTTAATAACTCCTGTTTTCAGAACAAGAAAAAATTTTCTAGCAATAGATCATTTTTTCGAGCTGAGACACTTCGAAAGCTGAAAGTAGCCCTTTTTCGTCATAATTTGCGTATTTTGCAAAGTTCTGTTTATTAAAAATAGCTGAAAAAATCTGAAAAAAAAACTCAAAGAACCTGATTTCATGGATTTCCCGTCCTAGGTTCAATTGGACGTTATATCTGATTTAATTCAAAAAAAATTTATGAAACTGGTCGTTCTAATTTTTTTTTTTCATTTCGAAGACATAACTCTTATTCCGATCTGTTCATGCCAAATGAGAGCGTCATAAAACAATCCAAAAATCCCATGATTTTTGTTAATCAATCAATACCGGGGTTACAAGTTGTTAGTTGTGCAGAAACGGCTAAAAATCAAGGGGAGTGAAAAAAAGGTCTCAAAATCATGAAAACTGTAAAAAAGGAAAGGACTTTTTTTTTTTGCTAAACTTCATGTTTTCTTCGAATTTCGCCAAAAGGAGCTTCGAATTAAGATCGAGCAAACAAATTCTGCCCAAAACTACCCAAAAAAAAGTTTTGGATTCCACTTTGGAGTGAAAACTCGTTTAAAACGGAAAGAAATTTTTTTTTTTTTATGGAACAAAAAAATCAACTAAAAAAATAAGGCCAGACCTGAAAAAAAATCAAATCATTGTATCATATTCTCCCGACCCTAAAGCTTTAGACAGCGCGAAAAAAGGATAGAAATACCCGAAAACTTGCAAAATACCATGAAAACCGCAAAAATTAAACATTTTCCTAAGAAAAACATGCTGCCCCCAAGCAAAAGTCGAACATGGTGGATAAATAGTACCACGACGACACTCACTTCTACCTGTTCTTGTTGGAGATAGGCCACTTTCAGCTGCTTCCGGCACGCGTCTGACAAATCTTTTGCCGTCCCCAGCACCTCAAATCAATTATTTACTAAACTTTCGATGAACCTCTAACAGAAAAATATCATTTCCAGAACGTTTTCTAGATGTACTTTTTTTAAAATTTTGTCAACTACTAACTTTTTTTACAACCAAATTAAAACTAGAAATTTTTCAAAGTGGAAAAAAATTTCCATCAAACGAAATAGTTCGACAGTTCCAAGCTATTGTAGGTTTCAATTAAGTAATAAAAGGAAGAAAAAAAGAGGAAATTTTTTTAAATGTCGATGTGGAGTAATCAAGTTTTAACGCTATGAATAGCTCAAAGTGAGTTTTTTTAAAACTTTTCTTTGAAAAATAAATTAAATTTCAAATGAAGTTACATTCTATCGTCCATGTTTAGTTTTTCTAAATTTTAAATTTTTTTCGAAAAAAAGGTGAGCAAAAAAATGAAAAAAATTACCCTTTGACTGAAAAATATGATCACTTTTTAAAACTTTTTCAAAGAAATTTTTTTCAAACTTTGTTCTCAAAAAAATGAGTTTTTTTACTAACTGTGCTATTATGATTAAAATAGTTTCCGCAAATATATATTTTTGCTGAAAATGATGGCATAAATTGAAAAAAGGTTACCTTTTTTTTCCGAAAGACGAAAACATAAGGACTTTCTACACATTTTATCGGGAAATATTTTTCTTTTTTGAATTTCCTTACTTTTATGTCTGAACTAATTCTCATGAATTTTTCAATTATTTGAAAAAAATGGCAAAAAGAATCGAAAAAGAAGTAACCTTGCGTTCAAAAAAACACAAAAAAAGGAGAGTTTTTGAAACTTTTTTTCGAAAAAAAGATTTTTTTCTTTTTAAGCTTTTTTTCAAAAAAAGCTGTGCTATTTTTTTATTCGAAGAAGTTTCTGTGAGATTGTAATTTTTCCAAAGAATGAAAAAAATTTACTTGAAGCACAAAAAGATGAGGATTTTTTTGAGGAAAATTTTCTCGAAAAATAAAAAAATTTTTCTGTTCAATTACATTCAAAATATAACTTTTGAGTATCCAGTTGCTCTAAAAACAATTAAAAGAGGATTTTTTTAAAACTTTTTTTCTCGAAAAATCAATGTCTTCTTTAATTTCTGTTCTTTCATATTGAAGTCAGTTCACTTGTACTTCTAATTTTCCAAAAATAATGGAGAAAAGTTACCTTGTGTTCGAACCGGACCTCAGACAAGCATCGGATGATTTCGCCCCTGGAAAAACCGAATAAGTCCCGATTTCCTCCTTTATCACCCACTTGTCATTGCCGTGATCTTTGCAGTTCAGTTCAATGTCCGCTTTGCAGGCCTTTTCGAATCGATAATTGAAATGATAGTCTCTCATGGAGATGAGCTCAAAGTGATTCACGTAGGATCGGCATTTTGGCGTCATTTCTGGGGTGTTCTAAAAATAAATTCCCTCAAAAAACTTTTCAAATTCTGGATTTTTTTTCCATGGGTATAAATCTTGATTTTAGCGCAAATATTCTTGTTCTTTCAAAAATTTCCTGAGCAAATTCTTACCTAGCTAGAAGTCCTATCCACCTGGAAACGCTGATAAAAAATTCATAAGAACTCAAATTCACAGAAAAAAAGGTTCACAAAGGCAAATATCCACTAGAGTACACTCCAGTAGTCAGAAAAGGCGTGAAATTGACTGAAAATAGTCGAAATTACCTATAAAATGCTTCCTGTTTTCTAAATCTTCCTTCCAGAAATTGCCTGAATGAATTCTCAACTAGCTAGAAGCCCTATCAACCTGAAAAAGCTGATAAAAATTCGTAAAAACTCAAATTCATAGAAAAGGTTCACAAAGGCTAATATCCACTAGAATACACTCCAGGAGTCAGAAAAAGCGTGAAATTGACTGAAAATAGTTAAAACTGCCTACTAAATGCGCTATCAACAGAAATAAAATCGATGCAATCTTATTTTAAATATTTTTGTCGACAGGGAGGTAAAAATTAAACTTTGTTCGAAAATCTGAGAACCCTTAAATCCACAAGAAGTTCGAACCTTATTCCTGAGAAGACATTCCAAGACGTCTCCATGGTCGATTTCTTCATTGGCGAATTGTTCGCAGTGCGTCGAAATAACTGGTTTGCACGCTTTGGTCAGTGCTCGGTTCAATTTTGTGTCCTGAAAAAAAATGAATAAAAATGTTTGATCTAGCCCTTAAACAGTTCCCGACCTGAAACTACTAGCGCTAGGTGGCATTCTTAAGCCTCAGAAAAAAGTCGGCAAAGGTCGGACGCAAGTATTTGTGAACTCACAAATAAACTTCATTTTCGACCGCAAAGGCGCGCATTCTTCGGAACACCACAGTGGCCACTAAAGGGGTAACCTTGGGGCTCTTGTAAGTTCTCTTAAAGGAACTGCCTTACCTCCGTCTCTTGAGGCACTAAAGCTTGTAAAAGTGGTCAGAGTGATCAGACCCCAAACTCCTATAGTGACCACCCAAAATTTAGGCCTCTATTTAGTCCACTATAGGGGCTTTTTCCCCCTAACCCCCTAGTGACAACTCAGGTATTCTTTAAATTTTTACAATACTTTTTTAGTTTGAAGAACTCTTGAAATAAATGATTTCCTAGAACTTCAGTTCATTTTTTAACTTTCTATGAAGACTATTTTCGATCCTCACCCCTCTAGTGACCCCTCTTCAGTTCCTCACTTTCTTTTTCAAACTTGAAAAGCTTCTCTTGCAATTGATTTTCCAGTGGTTCCAATCTTTTTTTTTTTGAAGACTGTTTTCTTTCCAAACCCTTCTAGTGACTACTGTGGCATTCCTAGGTGTCTAAATTTTTTTTGCAATTTGAACAATTTTCTAATAAAATTGTTTTCTCCCAGTTTTTTTCAATTGTCTTTGTAACCTTCTACAAGACTTTTTTCATTCCTAACCCCTTTAGTGACCCCTTCCCAAGTTTAACACAACTCTGTGTAGTTTGAAAAACTTCACTAGCAATGTTTGATTTTCTAAAGCTACCAATTTTTTTTACCTTCGCCTCCATTTCGGTGAATCGGACGAGTTCCCTATGGCAGTGCTCGTACTTCTTCTTGAAGACGTCCTTCTCAAAGTTCTCTTGGAGACACATCATTTCCTGATAGAATAATCTTTGTTACAAGGCTGAGATGATCATCTCCAGTACCTCCATGGGCTTGACATTGTTGGAGCAGAACTCGGAGAGGGCTTCGCGGCAAGAATCTTCAATCTCCGGGATCAGGTTGACACGGGCGGCGCGCATGTGGAGAAGCTGTCGGACTTGTTGGCCGCAGGGGATGGAGAGCTGAGAAAGTTCATTTTTCAACAGAAGAGAGCTCTATTTTTCGAGATTTACCGGATTGTACTCATCGTAGGCGCTGCGGTACAAGCAGGCAAGGACTTGCGGTCCTGGATCGACCTTATTGGCCGCGTTGTTCTGCAGATGCCAGTTGTCGATCGCAGAGCATCTGGAAAAGAGAATATTTGAGGAAGAATACACTTAAAACAAAGAAAAAGACTTTCAACTAGTCATTGTTTTCAGTGGTGGAGGGGGAGCGCTTGGGTGACGGATCCTAAAATTTCCAACTGTAATCTTCAAGGAAGGGGGAGAGCTTTTCGATTGGCCATTTTTTTGAAGCGGGGGGGAGCTTTTCGACTGGCTATTTTTTTAAAGCGGGGGAGTCTTAAAGTTTTCAGCTGGTCACTTTTTTTCAGGGAGGGGAGGGGTCTTTAAAATATTTTTTTAACTGGACTTTTTCCAAGGAAAGGGGGACTTTTAAACTGGACATTATTTTAAGGGGGAGTTTTAAAGTTTTCATCTGGACCTTCAAACTGGCTATTTTTTTCAAACAGATGGGTGGGGGGTTGGAAACTTCACAACTGGCCATTTTTTAAAGGAGCTAAACTTTCCAACCGGTCGTTTTTTAATGAGGGGGAGTTTTTTTCAAGCTCTACACCTTCCACTGCCTCACAAAACTCACCGACTGACAGCCTCGGCGTGGCAGGCCTCATAGAGCTGCGGCTCGAGGGTCCAGTCTCGGGACAGGAAGTACTGGACCTCGAGGAGCCTCTTCTCGCAGTCTTTGCTCATGTCCGAGTTGTCGACGTGACGCATCAGACAGGTCAGGGTGGCCATTTCGGAGACGGCGTCCTGGGCGCAGGGGCCGTCGATCAGAGCCCGGCAGGAGCCGTAAAGGACCGTGTCGACCTTGTAGTTACGTCCAATGTCGGCCGCCTCAAAACCAGCTCATAACTCTTTCTACGTTGTCTTTTTTTGAATCTCACCTTGACGACATTGGCCAATGCTTGCTGACACTGAGCTCCTAGCTTTTCTGTTTCGTTTCGAGACTGAAAAAGTTCGAATTTCGTACTTTAGAAGCATATTTTCTCTCGAATTTTGCTTTAAAGAGACGAAAATTCTGAAATATAGCTCGGCAAATGCAGAAAACTTTACAAGTTTTCTCTAAACGGACACACTTTTTGTCTTTAAGCCATTTTTTGTACATTCAAACGTTTATTAAGGGTACTGTACGACCCTGTAATTTTAAGGGAGCCCTATAAAGGCACTGAAATCCCTTAAGTGATCCCCAAACGACTCGAAAAAACTTGCAATAAACCAGAAATTTTCCTCCAGATACAAATCTAAGAAGCGCTAAAAAAACGCTGAAATCACTTAAGTGATCCCTAAATGACTCGAAAAGTTTCAATAGACCAGGAGTGTTTCTAAAACTATAATTTAAAGTTACCACTTAAAAGGCGCTAAAAACTCTCAAGCGATCACTAAATGACTCGAAAACATTTAATCCCCCGTAATTATCCTCAAATCATTATTACAAGTCTCTATTAAACGACAATCAGAAAATTCATCCATAGAGCGCATCATCTCCCACCTGAGCATGGCCCATCAAGCAATGCATCGTCCTTCCTTCGGCTTCGATGTCTCCCCTTGGACTGCACCATTTGTCAATTTCCTAGAGAAATTATCATTATTCACGGTTTTGATGAGAAATGGAGGCACCTGGGCACATTGCATGACGATCTCGGGGGCCATTTGGAAGTGCTGCATCATCATTTGTCGATGGGTCAACATTTCGTGGCCGCATTCTTTCGAGGGACCATTCTCCTGGAAATAATTGAATCTAGTGGTCAACGGATCGGGAAGGGATGAAAACGATGAAGAAGCTTCATAGACTTTTCGATTTCACAATGACCTTAGTCGTTCTATTATGAAGCAAAGGGAGAGTTTGAACCTAAAAAATCCGAAATGGTCATAGAAATTCCGCACTTATTTAAGAGTATTTTAAACCAGAAAAACAATAGTTTAGATTCTCCACTTTCTCAACGGTCTTCATTCAATATGATTTATCGAAAAACCGAGCAAAATAAGATAAAGAACGAAGAAAAAAAAAAAGTAAGATTATCCCAATTTTGAGCTTCCAGCGCAAACTTCTTTATATTTTTGATCATTCTTATTCTTAACTTGAAAAATAAAACTACCAACATGGTTCTCTGGCAAATTGGCTCCATTTTCCAGGCAGAGTAAAATCCAGGACATGTGGAAGTGTGCCGCGGCTTCCAGTTGAGATTGGGGCTCGCATTTGTATCTGGAAAATAAAAATTTTGTAAAACAAAAATTCTGATCAATTCTTTCGACAAGATTACAATTACTCTCACTCTTCAAATTGGATTATAATAAATGGTATTTTGAAGTGATCCCTTGAGGGAACCAGCGAGAACTCCTATGGTTGCCACTTTAGAGACCCCTCTGGCGTTCCTAAGATGAGATGACAGAAAGACGCAGACATGTTCCCCTAGAGTAGCCACTAACTAAAACCCCTAGAGATATTATCTCAAACAAACTTGGTCATTTCGGCCTGACAGGCCTTGGTGAGCGGATGGGCGATTCGGTAGTCTCGGCCCATCATATAAGCTCGTTCCGCGAGCAATTTCGAGCACTAAATCTTCATTTTCTATCAATTTTCAGCCAAAAATCGCACCTCAGGGGCCATAAACTGATCGTTTCTGTGCATGATGAGACATTCGAAGACTTTTCCCTGTCCCGAGGGCACGTCTTTACAATATTTCTGGAAAAAAAACCGAATAATCATCAAGAATAATCTTTTTTTTCAACCTCTCGATCCTGTCGGCAGGAAAAGTAGAGAGGACGGTCGAGGTGGAAATCGTCACTTTGCATTTCAGCCAATCGGAGAACCTGGAAAGACAAACGAATAGGAATACTTAAATCTTCCGACGGAAACATGTTTCAAAGGTGTCAACTTCTTTTTTTGAAATTTTCAACCGAAATCGAATAGTTCTTTCGAAAAAAATGTGACAAGAAATGAAAATTATTCTTTGAATTTCAAAGCTGTTGTATTTCGAGACTAATCTGTGACTGTCAAGTTCTATCAAGTAAAAAAATAAGAAAAAAATATATACAGATGAATTTCAGAAGAAAAAAATTGATATTGAGCGGTTTTACGATTTTTAAAAAAAGTATTGGAGATCATGAAAAAAATCCAAGTTTTTTTCAAAAAAACATTTCCACGAATATTTATTTCAAATTATTCTGTTTCAAACAGTTTATTTCAATTTTTTTCGAAAGAAGTTGATTGGAAAGATGAAAAAAATATTTTTCTTCTCGTTGATCAAATAATTTTTGCATTTTATTTATCTGTTACAGGTTCATCTACTTTCTTTTTCCACCTTTACCTATTCTTTTTACATGAATTTTTGATCTTGCCGTGAATAAAAAAATTATATTCTATCCTTAATATTTATTCTAAAATTTGCGGTTCACCCAATTCAACAAATAATTTTAACCTTATTTCTCTGAACATGGTCCTTTTTTGAAAAAAATTTTTTTCCAGTCTGAAAAGCGCTCAAATCAGCTCAAAAGGGTCAAAAAGAAATCGAAGTTTGTTCGGAAACCTGCAAACTACCCAAGTCATAAAAACCTTCTATTTTTTTCTCACCCAAGCTTTCTTTAATTTATTTATCACAGGTTTGTCTGCTTCCTTTTCGTCTATTTACCCATTTTATACTAAATTTTGATCTCACCTTTGAAAAAAATACTATTATTATCGTTAAAGTCCAAATTTATTGTCTTTCAATGATTATTTTTTTGACTTTTTTTCAAACCTCATGTTTGCAGTCCTCGCCTAGGGCAGCCAGGGCGTCGGCCTGAGTTTTGGCGTTTTTAACGACCCGGTCGAGGATGCACTCGAGAGCCATTCCCTGGGTGTGCGGCACGCGAACGCCTTTGTGCGCAGCGTTCGGCGTCAACGTGTTGCAGCCGTATCTTCAAAATAGGGCGTTTTTTCGATTAAAAGACCTGACTCTATGCGAATTTTTCAAAAAAATTGTGGTAAAAAAAATTTTAAAAAAAAATGAAAAACAGGAAAAATGTGGCGCTTGGGCATTGGAAAAGTCTAACAGACTCCATATAAGTTCAGTTAAAAAAGTGAAAAAAAGTTTCTAGATGCTGCCTTCTGGAACCTCTTAAGATTTTCATCTACTGTTCCTGAAAAGGTAGACAAAGGTCCCGTTATGCTGCCTTTTTGCGCTTTTTTATGGGCCTTTAGTGAGCCGTTTTGCTCCCCCTCTTTTCTCCACCTTTTCTTTGGTCTTTAAAATTCCAGAATTTCTAGAGGCTAGATGAAAAGTGCGAAAATTTGATTTCCTGAAACTTACTCTTAAAAAAAATAGATCATTTATTTCCACAAAAACACGCATCTCTAAATTCTCAAGTTTATCATATCAGATTTCTCTCAAAGTTTGGAAAAAAAAATTTTTTTTATCAAAATAAATTTTCAAAACTCACTGATCCAAGACAGATCGACACTTGGTGATAAAAGGTCCAATCAATCGAAAATCGGAGAAAGCCAGGCGTTCCGTTCGGGCTGAAAATCAAAAAAAAAGGTTGTAAAAAATCAGTAAAATTGAAAAATGAAGTAAATTAAAAACTTCAAGAGAATCGAATTTTTTCTGTTGTACATTCAAAGGCTTAGAATTCCTTGGTGCAGAACTCAAACGATCATTAGAAAACTTTTGAACAGTTTCCCGTGTTTTTTGAATAACCAGCTTCTTCAACACTTCAGTAAGTAGTTCTGAATACAGTATTCACCTTAAAAAGTGTTTTTTTGCAATACAATGTATGTTGAAGACGGAAAGAAATAATACGGAATATATAAACTTTGGCACAAAAAAAAAATTCGATCAGTACTTTAGAAAAGAAATTTAGGCAAAATAAGTTTATCGACACGAGTTTCCTATTTAGGATTTGATTTTTCTCCGCTTTTTCATGATGTTAGTGACTTACTCTATAAAAGCGGCTTCAAAATACAAAACGAGAATATGGGAAAAAATATAAACTTTCTTATGAAAACTCATTCACAGCTGGAAAAAGAAACCCACAAAGGAAAGCGTAGCACTTGGAGGTCTGGGTGACGTTCTGAACGTAGTCGATGAGGCAACTGAGGGCGTACCCGGGCTCGGTCAGGGTCACGCAATGGCTCATTCCGGCGTGTTCTTTCAGTTCGGCCTCGCAGTACTGCTTGGCCGCCGTGATGAAACGGTCGTCTTGTGTCAGTTTCACCTTAATTTTATAACTATAATAATTTATACTCTAGTAAATTCAAGGATCCCTGGAAAAGTTGAGAGTCCCGAAAACGGGCACAAAGTAACAGTGAGAGAGATTCCATTCTACACTCTTCAATTTTCTTAGAACTTCAAAGGCGAGAACTAAGAAAAGGAGAAAAGAGAGTGGGAGCAAAACGGGTCAATTTAGGGCGAAAAATGGGCGCTAAAGGACTATCGAAATATGAAATTTTCCACCTTTCCGGGAACAGTTAGTGGAAACACTAGAGGGTTCTTCTCCACAGAAAAATTAGTAATTTTTCAATTTTTCTTCGCTTCAAGACCTTCTTAAATTCAAATGAAACAACCAAAAAAGGAATTTTGAGAATACTGTACCCCGTTTAATATATTAAAAGGTCTTTTTACACGCTTTTGAGCTTCTTATCAACCATTTGCTATCCTTTTTGGTTCAAAATCTAAACCTTGAAGTCCCAAACAAGGCTCTCGCACTGTTGGGTCAGCGTGGTGCTTTCCGATTGACCGGCGTCTTGGAGACATTCCAAAATCGAAATGTCGCTCTTCAAGTCGACTCCGTCCTGAAAATGATGAAACTTTGATATAAATAACTGAAGAAAACATAAGTCAAGAAAAAAATTTTTTCCCTTGATATAAATTAACAAAATGTTAGAGCTTTTAAAACCTTTCTTATGGATACCGATTTTTACCATTTCAAAAAGTTGTATTTCTATAAACAACAAGAATTGATTATTTAAGGACATGTCAAATTGCTAATTTTATGAAAAAAAGGGTGGAAAAACTTTTTCGAAACTCAGAAAATCTGTGAAAAAAACATTATCAAAATAAATTCCAACAAAATTGTGAATTGACGAAAAAAACCCTTGGAAATAACAAAATAATCTACTTCCTCCATTTTTTTAAATAGTTTATGATCGTTGAAATCAGAAGAACCTTTCTTTTTTTGACCAAGCAAGCATTTAAAAAAACTTTCTAACTAAAAAAAATCGTCGCTATTCAAAAGCTTTTTTTCTTCGATTTTTTTCTAGTTACCCTGAAAAAAACCTAAATTTTTTTACTTTGTTTGAAAAATTAGAAGCACTAAAAAAATTTAAAAAAATTTACCTTATTACAATATTTGTGAATATCCTCTTTACACGCATCGAAACTGAGCAAAGATTGGTCGGCCGCACTGAAAAAAATATCTTTTTAATAAATTTCTTAACTCAGAATATAAATATATATTTTTTTACTTACTTTGCATTGGCGGCTGGCTGCTGTTGGGCGTTTTGTCCTGTAAAAAAATATTTCTAGTACAAAAACCGAATTCCTTCAAAAAAATGATGAAATAAAGTTACATGAAAAAAACTACACAACACCAAAAAAACTCACTATTGTTCAAATTCGCTGAAAAAAATTCAAAAATGAATCATTCAAAACTCGAAAATGATAAAAAAACTCACCAAAAAAACTAAACAGGGCAGGAATAAGAGTGGAAAAAAATCCACATGTCGCAGAGAAATGAATTAAATAAAATTTAATTACAAAGTCGAATCGTCCCTGAAAAAACAGTAATTAAAAAATTTCGATGATTGGGAAAAAATATCAACGGGAAATAGAATCGAAATCGAAAAATGTGTTTATAAGAGGCTCGGGAATAATTCAAAATAGCCGAATATCGTACAATTTTTCAACAGGAAATGTCTCAAAAAAAGCTTTAAATGTTCATTTTTCCTCATTTTTCAAAGCTTTTTTTAAAATTTATTTCAAGACACATTTCTCGCAACTGGAGTGCGAATAGAAAAAAATTTCGAAGATTTTTCTCAATTAATAAAAAGTTACTGAACAAGCAATGAGTTTAGAAGAATTTTTGAATTTTGGAGCATTTTCGCTTAATTTCAAGACATGTTCTGTTTTCTAAAACTGAACAGTATATTGAGATGTAAGTTCCAAAAAAATCGAGGATCTTCAAATTTCATGCAATGTTTTCAACAGCCTTCTCACTTCGCAAGGTTTTTTTACAACTTTTTTTCCATTGAGAAAAAAAAGATAAAAAAACGCCTGAAAACATTGAAAAAAACGCACTTCGAAACATTCAAGAAAACGAGAAAATTTTTTTAAACATGTTATTTTGCTACAATAAATAAAGGAAAAAAAAGATGAACGACCAGGAGGAACCTAGAAAACAGTTCAAAAATCGGAAAACAGTATTCAGTTTCCTTGGGAGGGATAGGAGTTATAGACCAAGTGGACGAAAATGTTATTTTAATCATATCTCAACCGTATTTTAGTTCCGAAACGCTAATTTTCGATACATATTTACTTTTTTCTATTTAACAAAAGCAACGAAATAACGCCAAAAAATAGCTGAATGATCACGGAGGAACCTAGAAAACAGTTCAGAAACCGAAAAACAGTATTCAGTTTTCTTGGAAGGGATAGAAGTTATGGCCACGTGTACGGGGGGAAGGCGAGGGGCGCCAGAGAAATTGCGGAAAACCCGCTGTCTCGTCGGCCTCCATGCATTGACTAAGGGTGCATCTCTCGCGCACCCACACCAAAAACAAGGTTTATTTGGGAATCGGAAAAAAAGACGAACTGATCACTATTCGGCAAACCAAACAAAATGGCTGTTTGTTGAATAGATCCGGGAAACTTTCAGTTTTTAGACGAACTGTTAGCTCAAAGCGAAACTTTTTTTGAGGAAAGTTTGGACCATAGAACTCGGGTATTTTGCAACAGAGTTTGAAAAAGTCCCGTTCGCTAGAAAATTTGGAATGCTTCGACCACTGGCTGAAAACTTTCAAGGAGAATAAATATAACATTACGGGGTTAAAATTCATCAATTTTGAAATCAAAAAAAATCATTGAAATCGGTGAAAATTTATCAAAATAACTCAGAGAACAGAAAGAACAAATCGATGACAAGATATGACAACTTTTTTCAGGTTGTACTATTGTTTTTCCAACTTTTATTGCTTTTGGACAACACTGGGAACTGAATATAAACTTTTGGTCGTGTGAAATATGTTGAAGAAGAGTTTTCTAGTATACTTCCGATGATAAAGGGTAAAAAAAGAAACGAGATTAACTTAAAAAATGAAGAATGAGTTCGAGGTTATCAAAGAAAAATCGCAAATTTTTCGATATGAAACGGTAAAATTCAATTTGAAATAAGTTTAAAGCTTCGGAATTCTTAGAATGACCTTATAAAGACACTATGAAAAAGTCGAAAAGAAACATCAAAAAAGCTTTTTTTCATGACTTCCTAAGGGTTCACCTAACTAAAGTACTCTACAGTGGCCCTTCCAGCTCTCCAAACTGCTTTTAAACTATTCAATTTACATTTTTCACAAGGATCTAAACTCAAAGTCCATCCCACCACACAATGCAAAAAGTTAATTACGTTAATTGAGTCGTCATTATCCCATTACGAGACCTAAAACTCGGAATTTAACGACTAGAAAAAGCAATAAGAAGAAGATCTAGAGTAATATCCGAGACTCAAGGTCGACCGAATATGACTCAGAAACGAGAAATGGTCGATTTCAGGCAGGTTTTTGTGGGGGGCGAAAGTTGTCGACCAGCCGCCGACCGTTCGGCAAACACCAAGGCCGAGACACAGAGAAAAATGATCGGGAAGAGGACAAACGACGGGTTTCCAGAAATCCCAGGAACCCTTTCCCTATCGATTTGAACTGTTTTTTTTTTTTGAAAAAAATCTCGAAAAGTTTACTTTTATTTTTGAATGCCTTGAGGATAAAGCTCCTTCTTCACTGCCAAAGTCGGAAGTGCCGAAAACGGATGCAAAAAGAGAGTGACTGAAAAATGGCTGCTAAAAGAGTTCTTTTTGGCGAAATTTTTTGAGCCTTTTTTTCTCGGTGGGCTGAGCCTTAAAAAAGGGTACAAAAAGGGTGAAGAAAGAGTGAGATTGCAAAAATGGTGTTGAAAGTCTTGGCCATTGATGATTTCCGATGTTATTACTGTGGCACATTTCGGTTCATACACAGTCACTGGTAAAGATTATTCTTTATTTAAAATACTTTTCTCAAAAGGGTCCAAAAAGGGTGGATGAAGGCCGATGAAAGAACAAAAAAAGACCGTAAAAAGGAAACCGTTTCCCACCAATTAATAGAAATCTTTTGCACCATAACGGGCGCTCAAAGGGTCCGTGAAGGGTCCTTCCGACTTTGCCCATGTTATTGATCCAATTTCGTAAACAGATACATGAAAACAATGATTTCAACCCTGAAGAAATTCAAAAATCGTCTCCTTAAATAATATAGCTTCACTTCAACTCGACAAGGCAACGATGATTGGGCAGCCATAAAAATGGTGATATTATACCTTTCTAGACTTATAGACTTCAAAAAACCGCAAAGTCATTGAAATTGAGAAACTTGAGATTGGAAAGGTTCCTTTTAGAGTCATTCAAAAAAAAAAAAAGTTTTTCAAAGTACCAAAACATTTTTTTTCTATGATACTTAAAGTTATCCACAAAAGCGTTTCCGTTGGGAGCGTTAAAAAATAAAAAATATTCAGCTTCAAATCGATTTTGAAGGTTATAACTATGCTAAATCTCATTAAGAATCCAAAAAGCCTCAAAAGTAATAAAATCCAAGAATATAATGCCGATACTTCGATTTAATTATAAAGATAACAAGCCGAAATAAAAAATGAAAGCGCGATCCGCGAGATTCCCGGTGTCTATCTCGCTAGGGACAGGTTTCTTTTTCCGTAGTTCCATTCCCTTTAGAACGTGTTGCAAAATGATCGGCTTTTCGAAAGAGTCCAAAAAGTTGGAAAAAAGAAGAGAAAAGGAGCTCGCATTACTCATTTAGCACCGAAAGAAAGAATCGATTTCGAACCTTCTTCCACAGAAAAAAAAACTTGGTTAAAATATGAAAACTATTGAATTTAACCAAGCATAAATTCTTCAAAATTTGCTTCATAAGATTCAGAAAAAAACTTGAAATTACTCAACAGAAAAGAAAAAAATACGCGTGAAAGGCACTTTAAACTATTATTAGCCGCCATTTCGGGAACAAAAAACGAGAGCAAAGAAGCGATCGGACGCCCACACCCTGACGTCATCTAATTCGAGTCAGAATGCGGCAGAACGCCCTGCGGCCCTTTTTTCTGCTGTTCTTCCATTAGTGGATTAGAGGTCTTTTAGGATTTCGAGCAGAAAAACGAGAAAGAGTTCAGAAAAAGCGACCTTTTCATGAAGTTAACTCAATAAAAAGTGATTTTTTTAAAAATTTGAAGCTTTAAGCTTTCTAGAAAACCGCTCAAACACTCTCTGAAGGTCTAGATAAAGTTTCCTCATTACCGTTAACTTCGAAAACTTTCATTTTTTTAAAGATATGAATATTCAAAGTTCGCCTTTAAAACAACATCCGAATACTTCTTGAATTGATGTATAATTTCAATAAATAACAGTTTGCGACCAAACTTTGAGCTTTATTTAGACCTTCAGAAATTGTGGGAAGTTCATAGGAAATTTATAACTGAAAAAAAAACAATGAAATAGGAAATAATATTCATAGTTTAAGCTGTTCTAAAGTCCTCGCTGGATAATTAAAAAGAACATTAAAAAATTTATAAAATGCATTATGAGCCATTCAAAACTTCTAAATTTTTCAATACCCAAGAAATTTTTGTAAAAAATCATCCAACATCTCCACGAAGAAGTTGCTTTGAAAATTGTGTGAAGCTCGAACGATTTTCAACTGATTTTTCTCATCTCCTTCCGAAATGCCAGAATGCTATAAAAACGTATCTCTATCCAAATAACGAAAATAAAATTAGAAAAAAACAAAAAAATTTCCCAAAAATAAATCTGCTCGTAAATTAAAATGCCTGCAGTGTACAGAGTGCATCGCGTACTGTTGGAATACAGTAATAAAAAAAATAAGAAATTCTCTCTAAAAAGTTTACAAAGAGTTATTTAGCCCTAGGAATCTGACTATACTAAAATCGTGAAGACCTGTGCGCCGAAATGGTTTGAATTTGAAGAAAGAATGTACACGTCGCCTTTCGTATAACTTTGATTGGACTTGTGAGAACGTAAGAACCATCCATGGGAACGTGAATTTCCATTCTTTTTCGAAAGATACATCTACAAAATAGTGAAAAAAAAAATTTATACTTGCAATAAATTCGACTAGAAAATTGAAAAATCAGAGGTTGTTTCGTTGTGGTTTGTACGCGTAGGTGTAGCTGTTGAAAATGAGGAGGAGGTGAGAAAATGACAAGAAAAAAGCGAATTGAGGGAAAAGCCGGGTGCAAATAAATCAAAATCGGACATGAAATGGGCATTTTAGAATGATAGTTGGGAAAATATAACAAGAAGCACAGGAATATTTTCGAATTTTTACGAATTTACAAGAAATTTTGGCACAAAGTAATGCAAAATTATTACAGAATAAAAAAAGAGAAGCTCGGGAATTCAGGTATTTGAGGGAAAATCCAGGTGATAGTAAATTGAAGAAAAGGAGGTCAGAAAAAAGAGCGCGATTGGGTGTCGGGAGTTCGGGCAACTTTTGGACGAGCTCCAAAAACTGCCGAATAGTCGTCGAAGCTGGAAAATTCGTTGATTGAATAATTAATCGGGTGGATGAAAATATAGAATTCGAAGCAAAAGTTTGTAGTATTTTTTTTGAAAGTATCTTTCTTTCTTTTTGGTTCCGTGATTTTTATCCCTTCTTAGAAACGCCAGAGTGTTCCCTATAGAGGTTAGGGCCCTTTTATGGCACAAAAAGAATGGTCCCTATAGGGGCAAAATTCAGGAGAATTTTCAAGGACCCCCAAAGTTGTCTCTGCAGGGACCACTCTAAAGGAATGCCTACATAAGTAACGGCTCAAGCTGTTGATTTAGATTGCGCCCGACCCAAAACGACTTTCACCCAGAGGCATTCAAAACCAAGGAAACAAATTCTAGAAGAACTATTCGACTTCAGTTTTTATCGAAACCGCAACGCTTTGAACCATTCTAATCACGACCGAATAGAGAGACCAGAGAGAAAATATCAAAGCGAGCGCATATCCTTAGTTTTTGATTCCAAAGCGTAGCGGTCCCTAGCGAGTTGTTCAGGTACAGACTTTCAGGATCTGGTACATCAAGCTTTCTGGCCAATTTTCAGGAAATTCTCAACCGCAAAGTGAAATGACCTCCCTAGTCAGAAATTTCAGAACAGCCATAACATTATACGTTTCAAAATGATTTTTTAAAAAGTTTAAAACATTTTGCGATATTCTATCGTTCTTTTCGCGGTTGTAATTGCCTAATCATGGTAAATTGAAAGGTCCCCGTCAATTTTTATCGATTGTTCAGCTGAACTTTAGACAGAGTTTTCGAGCTTTCGTGCGATCCTTGAGAAATCCGGTCAAGATTTTAATCGAGGATGCTTCGAATTTTATTAGGTTCAAAGTCATCGGATCAATTTTTTGATTGATCTGCTCAATTGATGAAGTTTCTTTGAGCTTTATTAGGTTCAAAAGAGATCTTGTCATTATTTTAATCGACATATTCCGATCATTTTTCCCCTCTTAAACCCTCATAATTGAAACTTACAATATAAGATGAGTTGGTGACTACCAAGGAGGTGAAAAAATATCCGCTTGCCCAATATTGTCAATGGTTAAACTTTATTGAGGAGATCCAAAAATTTAGTTTCAAAAGTTTTTTTCTACTGGTTTATGAAAGCTTTTCTCACTCACTATGAATTGAAAAAAGAACGAAATTTTTTTCAATGTTTCATTCTTCCCGTCTTTCTGAAAAATTTCCACAGAAATTTACCTTTCCTGCTCTACAATCCGTTTGTTAAAAGCTTCCGAGTCCAAGTCGATTGACGCAGACGAGCCAGTGCCACTGTTCGTGATGGGACCTTAAATGGATCTAAGACTTTAGAAAATCATTTTTATTATCACTTTTTCTCAATGGTGTTTTCGAAGACGGTTTCGACGGTAGAGCCTTTTTCGAGTTCTCTTTCAGCTGGGTTATGGAAGAGGATAACTCTTTTCTGAAAAAAGTGTGAATGATACTATTTGTTATAAATGTCCTGACTAGGAAACGTTTTCAGTCCCCAGTTGAACTTATGATGAAACTTTAAAATCTTCTGATTCCAGAAAAAGAAAAAAATTCCTCGCAGTAGATCTGATTTTCGAGTTAAGACGCTTTAAAAGCTTAAATATCGCTTTTTTTAATCATGATTTGCGTATTTTGCAACACTTTTTCATATCTTGAGAATAAGACCTATTGTGCGGAATTTCCTATCCTGTTCAGAAGGTCACAGAAACTTCAGAGAATTTTTTTCAAAAGTTCAACCGGGACCTAAAAACGTTCCTTAGTGAGCATCTTTTAATCAACTCTGCGCGAATTTCTCGAAAGTTCATCCGATTCGCTGAGAAACTACCTAGTTTCATTTCGAGTTTTGTGAAATTTAAAAAAAATTATCTTTCTGATTTCAGGTAAAGGAGTAGTGAGAGTTAAAAGTTTTTCAAAATTATTAGTAAAATGCGGTATCTCGGATTGAATCATGACCTCCGTTTCACTCTTTCCCATTATTAAAAATTTAGAATCCAAAAATTCACCTGAAGAAGTTTAATTAAGAACAGGTTAAGGAGTGAAGAAAAAGATGTAATTTTTGATTTGTAAATGAAAAACCGTAAACGATTTGAGTTAGCGTACAGCTTCAAGTCCTTGAAAATTATTTTTTTTTTTCGAGGTTACAACTCCAAGACCTGAGAAACACCTTCGAGTATAAGAAATATATATATTTTCAACACTGAGAACCTAAAAAAAGCCATATTTGTCAACTTCAATGCATCAAAACTTCAAATTTTACGCTTTCAAGACCTAAAAACGTTTCTAATTACACCTGAAAGCTTCAACACCTAAAAATCCACTCTTTTTTCAACTTCACACAGCTTCGAGACCTTCGAAATATTCTCTTTTCCAATTTGAAACCTTCTAGTCTTATCGAATGTTTTTTTTCCAAGTTCAAAGCTTCCAACCCCAAGAAAAAATGTATTCTCTTTTTAACCCCACAGCTTTTAGACCTGAAAAATGTCTTCTTTTTCAACTTCATTCCTTCAGAACCTAACAATTTATTTCCCTCAACTTACTTGAGCAAAGACGGAGCCTTCCTGGAAGTCAACTGAAGGTGCCGGAGAGCTTTTTGGCGTTCCTTTTCCTTCTCGGCGGCTTCGGCTTCTGCCTTCTCCAGTTCAACTCTTTTCTTCCTTTCTTCTTCCTCACGAGCTTTCTCTTGGGCATCCAACAGTTTTTTGTACTCCATCGCACCTGAAACTTCAAGAATTTGATAAATCTTTCAACTCAAATGTCTTCCAAGCTTGAACTGAATTTTCAAAATCAAAAAGGTTCCTTTGAGTGATAACACTGTTTGAAGAAAAATAATTAGAAAAGTTTCTTTTTCATTGAATAACTGAAAAGGTCTTTTTTTGCGCCCTAGTTCAAAGGACTTTCTGAAAACGCAAGAAACACTGATCTTTTTTAGAGGATAACTTCCAACAGTCTTTCGAAAAAGCTTCAAAAAATTGGAAGAACTTGAGAAACTTTTTATCATGTTCAGACCAATTCGAGCTATTTTTCTTATATTTCCATCATTTTTTCCCATCAATAAAAATCAAAAAAACATTTTTTTGAATACCTCTAACAAGGGCTTTGTGCGCGGTGAACATCGAGTTAGAAATTGAGGCTTTTATGGTAGATAGACCTAGGGGAGAGGGCTCTAAAACAAAAGAGAAAATCTGCTAAGCGCCATAGGGTACCGAGAAAAAGATCGTCAAAGTTTTGCCGCCACGTATATGTCCGCACTCGGAATGCTAGGCTAGCAGCTGGGAGCGTGGTGAAGTGGCAGTGTTCTTGAATGGCGCTGACGCTATGCTAGGTTCGATTCCTTTTGACGTGAAAATTTTTTTGCTCTTGTTTTTTCAATTCTTCTACACTCTATTATCAAAAACAGCAAAAAACGTTTGAATTGGAGGAGAAGATTGAAAATTGGAAAAGAAGGAAGGAGAAAGCACAAAAAAAACTTTTTTGCGTCAAATTTAGTTTTTTCGTTGAAAATGTCGGAAAAAAAAGTTCTGATAATTGGTTCATGGCTTTCGAGATCACAACACGATGGAATCGAACAAAAAATATAAGTGAAAAATCACTCATATTTCTGTGAAAAAAAAGAAACCGAAGTATGAGTACGAGCCCGAAGAGCACAGGGAGTCCTGTCAATGTAATTTCGCATTCTCCATGAAATTTCGAAAATTTTGGTGAGCCATAGAACAAAACTGTCATCTCGAGAAGCCGCCCGAGCATCAATTATTTGGACGATTTTTTTAAAGAAGTTTTCGACGGAAAAAATAAATTTGACGCAAAATAAGTTTTTTGTGCTTTCTCCTTCCTTCTTTTCCAATTTTTAATCTTCTCCTCCAATTCAAACGTTTTTTGCTGTTTTTTTTTTTGATAATAGAGTGTAGAAGAATTGAAAAAACAAGAGCAAAAAAATTTTCACGTCAAAAGGAATCGAACCTAGCATAGCGTCAGCGCCATTCAAGAACACTACCACTTCACCACGCTCCCAGCTGCTAGCCTAGCATTCCGAGTGCGGACATATACGTGGCGGCAAAACTTTGACGATCTTTTTCTCGGTACCCTATGGCGCTTAGCAGATTTTCTCTTTTGTTTTAGAGCCCTCTCCCCTAGGTCTATCTACCATAAAAGCCTCAATTTCTAACTCGATGTTCACCGCGCACACAGCCCTAGTTAGTTTATTGGATTGGAAAGCTGATCATGAACGACCTTTATAACTTTTTCTTCACTCTTGTAAAAAGGTTAGGTAAAAAGGAAGAGTTTTCTCTGTTAAAATGAAATTTTTTCAGAATGTTACTTTGAAAATAAAGCTTCTTCTCATATCCTTTTCGAGAAGAAGTCACAAAGTTCAAAAAAACGTTCGTGGATATTTTTTTTCAGAACACTTTTTCTCAGCTATTCCCAAGGGCCTCTCCAACAAAAACTTTATAAATTCACTGAAAACTTCTTTATTATTTTTTCGAAGAGAAAAATTTCTAGTTCTTCTGTGTTTCGCTGTTTCGAAATCCCTTCAAATACATTATTTTAAGACTCACGCCGCTCCCAACGCCAGTATCGAGGCATAAAATCAAAATATCATGAAAATAACTTGAAAAACTGGAAAATGATTTCACAATTTATTTTAAGCACGGGCTAAAGTTTTTTTCTTAATCAGAAAACCTTCTCCCAGGCCAATATTCATCATGAGCGGCCGACGACGTTCGGTTTCCACGACGAAAGTGTGCTGAGAAGTGGCCGTGCCGATTCGCGGCTCACTTTTGCCTCGTTTCGACGCGGCCGACGGAGTGTTTCTCAGCGTGTTCCGGTAAGGCACCTGGCCAGGTACTGGCGTCTGTTCTTCCGAGCCTCCATGGTTCTGAAATTTTTTAACTTTTTTTTTTATTTTGTCATAAATCAGGCGCCGTAGCGCCACAGGTCGTGTGTCTATGTGGGTTACAAGTCCGATTAAAAAATCTGAACTTTTTTGTCGTGATTTTTCTCCTTTCTTCACTTTTTGACCGGTCCAACTGTTTTCATAATTTTCTTCATCATGAAAGCTTTTTACCTCTTTGAGGGCTCTCCGAATGAGGAGTCGAGCCCCGCTGAGTTCATTGGTCGACGGATGTAGGGGGTCCAACGAGTCGACCTCCCTTTCACAAGATGTTCCGAGCTGGAAAAACTTCGGACTGTTTCATAAATTTATTTGTAAACTCAAATGTGGCCTGCAAAAATTTTTCTCGTAACTGTGCTTAGTATCTTTTTTTATTCTCACCAGTAGATTCAAAACGGATTGTTGAATATATAATATATAATTTAGCCCAGATTAAGAGAAAAAAATTTCACGAAGTCATACAGATCATAAGGATTACAATCGTGGGGATTTTTTTATACGTAGAGTTCATTCCGAACCGTAAGATATATCATCTTATGAAAATGATCTTTTAGTTTTTTTCTGTTTTTCTGAATGGTTTCAATTTCTCTTTTTTTCTTGAACTGAACTAACAGGGCGAGTTATATTTTCGATTATTTGAGACTTTGAGACTTTTTAAAGCTTTTTATCTCTCATATCTACAAGTTTATTATTTCAAACCACTCCCAAAAGAAAACTAAAAAAAAACTGTCCCTGGAGCAGCCACTCAACTTTCCAGGTACCTCCGCCGTTTCATTTTCCGTCCTCACTAATCACCGTCAACACCCATTCTCTTATCAGCACCGACACTTGCGCCGCCGGAAAAAACGTCCGCCGCCTGGCACCCCGCGCGGCTCTTCGGCAATTTATCCGCCTCACTGCTCGTCCGCTTCTCTCCGAGTACATTTCTTTCGAATAAAATGCCGCACTTTGGCGTGTGATACAGGCAGTGGAATGAGGCCGTAATCCTTTTCGAAAAGTTCATGGAAATGAGAAATTTTTACTCAAATACTTGATAACTTTTGACCATTTTTGCTTTTTTACGAGTGCTTTTTCGAAAAAAAAAACCATCAAAAGGCTTTCATACGGACAATAAAAGAAGGCTGGAGGCGATTTCAAAACAAAAACGTATGGATTTCCAGGTCAATCTTAAACTTTGTAGCTTTTTTAGAATTAAAACTTTTTTAGAAATTTAGAATTCTTAAGGTCATAGCTGCACTACCTCATATGCTTCAGGAAAAATTCTCAAAAAACTTTTTTTCCAGTTTCCAAAACCATCAAAATCAAAAGCATCGCTATGAAAATGAGAAGTTGGTGGCGTTTTCATCGAACAAAACGAAAATTGCTTCGAAACGCAAAAAACTGCTCCAAAACAAAAATTAGTACTGTTTTGGAGCATTTTGGCGCGCAGATGAACACGCTTTTTCGTTTTGAAGCATGTTCCGTTTCTCCAATGAGCATGAGGCCCTGAGTTCAAATATCATAAAGCTTGTAACTTTCGTCTCTGCTCCTTTTAGAAAAACATTTTTTGAAATCCGTTGATTTTTTTTTTCGGAAAGGAACGTCACAAGGCAGCCGTGACAGAACTCGGTTTATTTTTTGAAAAACTACGTAATCAAACAAGTTTCGGATTACATTATCAAACATTGAGAGCAGAAAAAGCCTCTTGGAAAATTCCAAACTATCAACTTGTATATTTTATTCAAACTTTTCCACGTTCTCATAGAGCTTTTCTACAAACGGGTCGAGCCGAAACTTTTTTGTAAGAATTCAAAAATTTCTAAGACCGTGACGTTTACAAAGCGACTAAAAAAGACTGAAAAATTCTTTCCAAACCATACATGAGCAAGTAAAAAAAGTCAATTCGTCAGGGAGGAGTGCTTGACTTACAAAAAAGTTGAAAATTGGAGTATAATAATAAATTTCAACTCCGAAAAAAATATAATTAGGTTTTAAACTTCAGGAGGGAGTATTAAATTTAATTTTTGAAAGACTCGGGAGTAGGTGCCTTGAAAAATGGTCTGCTCATGTATGTTTCAAACTGATCCTTTTGAAAATATATGCAAGAAAATTACCAGCTTCATCAATCCTCCACGAGGCATCAGTAATCTGTTCCTAATTTTTTTATGAACGACTTTTTAAAATAACTGAAAGGAACTTTTGGCTGGACTTCTATGGTTGCGAAAAATCGTCTCCAGCTTCACTGTGAAGTTGTACGAGCTTTCAGATAATTTCGTAATATTTAACCACATTTCTTATAAAATCTTTCTAGAGCTGAGGTGGATTACGACTTCCAGTACCTTCTCAAAATCAGTCAAACTTCTGGAAGTGTTCCAAAAATTGACTGAGACTACAGTAACTATTCCCTGCAGCGACATCCGCAATTCCCGCCAAAAAAGTTCAGAAATACCCATGATCCAAGAAATTCCTTCAAAGCAGTTCAGAAGGCAAAGCTTCTTCTGTTTCGAAATGAAATCATGTCAGAGATCCCTTCCTTCAAACGTTCCCTGCTTCTTCATGCTGCTTACAGACCCTGCAGCGACTTCCGCTCGCCCACCCCAAAAAAGTTTAGAAATACCAACAATTCAGGACATTCCTCTCTGCCTTCACTTTCTTCTACCGAAACGGACGGTAGAAGAAAGTGAAGGCAGGTTCAGAAAGAGGGACAAAAAACGAGGAATCGAGAGACGGATGCTCGGGATGTCGCTGCAAACGGGTCGCCACAGCTGGAATGAAGAAGGGAAAAAAACGTGCGCAGGACGGACGTGGAAAGTCGCACGACACAAAGACGTCGCTGACACAGTTCCCCCGATTCCTTGCGTAGGAAAAAGGGAAGAAAAAAAGACCTTTGTCCTTTTGAACGGTTACTGTAACCCCGGGATACGTTGTTGCGAATTATGAGCCAACTTTTGAATAAGTTTTTGCGTTCAAAAACTTTTTGTCCATCTGAGCTCGTCATAGGCTACTGTAGAACCTCTTCTTTTTGAAAAATCACTACTGACAATAATTTTCAATGAAATTCCGTTTTGTAGCGCTCCTCAACCTACAAATTCCGCAATTTTTGCTCAAAAAATCTCTCTCTTTTTACTGAAGGTGGCTACAATTTTTCTCATCTTCACGAAAAATTTATAGGAGAATAAATTTCATGAGAATTGTGACGAACGGGGATCATCGGGTACAATAATCTGCGGATTTTTTTGGAACTCTTGAAAAAGTTTAAAATTAGTCAGAAGTTCTCGAAGAAAAAAATTCAAAAAAAGAACTCATTTTGTTAGAATTAAAAAGGACGATTTCTAAGCCAAACTTTTGTATTTCTAAATTAAAAAGGGTCAAAATTCTAGAACCTTTTTTTTTGGCTTACTGTGTAATTTTTTCTTCTTCAGTTTCTTCAGAGCTTAGAATTATCGTACAGTAACCATTTCATATCATTTCAAAATTCTCTTTTTTTGAAAAATTTTTCTCCTAAGGGATACTGTACGGCTTATCATGCTGTGCTTTTTCGTTTTGATAGATATTTTTTTAATTTATAGATATATTTAGTTTAGATGTATTATAATAGATATTTTTTTAATGTGTTTTTTTCGTCTGACCATGTTTCCTCTAAACTGGTTTCTTAAAAGAAGTGTACTGTAGAAATAACTGTTCTGTAATTTTTTTGTATAATATGTACATATTTTGCAACTTTCCCCCACTCTAACTTTTCTCGCAGCACATCCGCGTCAAGACCCTGGAAAAAACTTACCGTATCCGATTCAGCGTCTGTCGGGGTCAGCGGCACACGGATGATCTCAGCGTCTGCAAATTTCTGGAATTTAGAGATTGAAACTAATTTCTTCCTCTTGTTTTGTGCATTTGAGGGATTGAAGAACTTTCTTCTGTGACTTGGATCCTGGACCCAGAGAGCCCAAGATACGAACGGCATTTCACGTCGCACTTGAGGTCTCAGGGATCAGGAATTCGTCACTTGCTGGGTTTTGAACTCACTGTTGTTTTATTATAGTTGGAATACATTCAGTATTTCAAAGGAATCAGCAGTAGAATTCGCAGAAAAAGTCCAGGAAAAGGCAAGTTGGGCTCAGTAAAAAGTAAGGAATTTCAATAAGATCTAGGAGTTCCTAGGAGGGTCACAAAGCCTTTAGACTTTTCTAAGGTAATCTTAAGACCTTTTTACGAGTTAATCAAAATTTTAAAGCGTCCCTGACTGTCTTAGCTACCCTCAGGAATAGGCTGGATCTTTTAAAAGGCCTTCTCATGTCTATAGTCACCCCTGAAGCTACATAAACTTGATGCTTCACTCAAAACAAGCCTAATCGAAGTTTTGTAATTGTAAACCTGAGAGCTGAAATTTCGTTTTAAAAGCCTTCATAGACGTCCGGTTTCAGTTAAAATTGTACTTAGTCCTTCTCAAGAAAAGCCTAAACTTTCTTTGGACCCTAGTCCTTACCATGAAGCTCGACCTAACTTTAGAACTCAAGAACTAGAAGTCATACTCCCTCTAGACCATCCTAAGCTGGATCAGTGCTTCCTCAGGCTCACCTAGACTATACTACGCTTCGAATGCAAAATATAATAAGGAACAAAAGCAAAAAGCAAAAATAAAAGCAAGAAGAAGAATCTTTGGTCGAAATTTGGAAGTGTGGAAGTAGTAGAATTAGTGGCTGATGATGGTAGTGGAGGACGACGTCGAGTGTGTGGGGACTGAGAACGGCCGAGTGGTGAGAAAAATCGAGGACCTGCCTCCACGCCCTCCTGGCGGTGCTGACCCACCAGCCGCCGAAAAAAAGGAAAGGAGGCGGAGCATGGCCAGCCTCCTCCTTCTTCTACTACTGCTGGACTTGCGGACGGCCGCGTCTGCTGGTGTCGCCGGGACGCCGGCGACTTGGCGACAGGCACCGCTGGCGCCCGCCTGGCACCCGCGGCTGCGTCGTGTCGTCGCGGCGAGTCCGTGTGTTCCGTTGCTCTCAGCCGCTTGCGAAAAAAAAGGCCCGCAACATGAGCAATACGCACGCCGTTTCTTTGCTTTCTCACGCTTTATTTCGAAAAAAAAGCTAAATGAGAAAAGAAAAGAAGAAATACATGAATGAAAAGGTCAAGAGTTCTAATTTCTCTAGTTTATATACTGAACTTTTGAGCGTTACAAATCACTAACAGCTTTTTGAAACATTTATAGGTTTAAACAAGCCCAGACTTTTTAATAGTTATCAGAACCTCACAAAAAAACTTCAATAAATATTTATTTATATTAATTTTTTTATTGAAGTAAAACTTTTTTTACTTCATCGCAACAGAAAAAAATATGCGAGAAACAGTCCAAAAATAAGAACCTTTTTACACGCTATTTTCACACTTTCTCACTCTTTATTGAATGGAGAAAAATCAAGTATAACCATTTTTTTCAATTATTGTGTTCTCACTGATTTTTTTAAGCTCAAAAATGAAGGAAAAAAACCATAAGATCCATCTCAATTTATATATAATATATTCAGAGAGCCAAAAATCATCAAAAAACTTTTTTTCGTTCGAGTTAGTTTCAACAAAACATCGCCATGGCTACAGACATATAAAAAGAACTCATAAAAATTGAAAACCAAGAGATGAAGCTTCCGTTGATGTAAATGAGCAGCAGGGAAATGACTAGCAAAGACCTCTTTGAAAAATTCAAAAACTCCAACGAGAAATTCGAATTTTTTCATATTCAAGTGAGTTTGATCTAAACTTAAAAGCGACATCGTTTAAATGGAAAAAATTTTAATTCCAAATATATCTCACAAAAAACTTCTCTATTCATTGAAGAGGTCGACATAGGTCCAAGAAACAACAAAAAAAATTCCAATTTAAAAAAAATCAAATCCATCCAAGAAAAAAGTTTTCCCTTCATTGAAAGGGATCATAAAGCGATAGAAAAGTCAGAAATAATTCAAAGGCTGATAACTTCGAAAAGGCAGTTTGATTCATATAATCCGAGATTTTGATCACTCAAACGGCATTAGAACCAAATAAATTAAAATTAAAAATTTTTAAAAATTTTTTTATGGTATTATTCGAAAATGATCAGCCATTATAGTCTAGTCGTTTTTGGATTTAGTCGTTCAATAATAGTCGTGTGGATTATCGAAAATAAAAGTTTTCTGCGCAAAATAACTTATAAACTGCCTAATAAAAGGTCACATATTTCTAAACATCAGAAATACAGTTCCCACACGCCGATCATCCATCGAAATAAACATTCCAAAGAAATGAATCATGTCTAAAACGGAACGAATCGATAGAGAACAAAATTCGGAAAATATAAAATTCACTAAAGAGATAAAAAAGATAAACCAAGACAAATAGTTGAAGCTTCAGCCGCATTGAGCTCAAAAAAAAATTGGGAAAGTTGGAAAAATTAATCGTTCCGTAAATTAAAATCGGAAAACCAAGTTCCTAATTCCAGTAGCTCCTGTATATCCAGTATTATCTAAACTGATTCAGCTCTAAATATAAATCTTAGAAATAAATCGATGAAGAAAAAAAACCAAAAACCCACTAAAGATAAAATATTTGAACATCAGTGCGTCAGAATGGCTCCAGGGGCAAAAAAACAACAAAAAATCAAGCTTTGTATGAACAAGCAGAACTCTCCAAAAACGATATCTACAGCTTCGAAGCCAGCTAATCTGAAATAACAAATAATCCCAAAAAAAAAAACCACAGCTCCAACAGATCTATCATCTATCAATAACGACGCCAAGATTGCTCCAGGACCAAAAAACCAAAAATTTGGTTAAGAGAAAATAAAACATACTTTTTCATCCTAAATGAGCCCACACCAGAACAAAAAAAATGAGAAAAGGATTTTTTAATCCAGAGAAATAATCACCAAAAATCTGTACCAAAAATAATCAGGGTCCAACAGACTGTCAATAAAGAATCCAGCATTGCTCCTGGTTCAAAAAATATTCGAGTAAAGGGTTGAACAGACTATAAAAAAAACAGAACTCTCCTGAATTGATATCCGGATACCTTCAATTTCAAAAACTAGGCTTTTTGGGAAAGCAACACGGAAAGCCGTTCCAAAAAATAATCACAGGTCCTACAGTTTAATAATTCATCCATAACGACGTCAGCCAGGACAAAAAAAATCAGCTGATTATGAAATGAAGCTACAAAAGAAAGTCCCCGGATCCGATAGCTCGATCAGAGTCAGCCTTCAAAATGAAGCTAATTCTGGACTTCAAATGCACGAAAAATCAAAAATCTTTTTCGAATATTACCACAGGTGGAAAGATCCCATCATCATACAATAAAGATGTCAGCATGGCTCCAGGACCAGATGAATCGAAAAAAAGAAGTTCCAGCAAAGTCACTATGTACTTGAAGCCTACGGACACTTGAAGAAATAGTGAAACTGCCCAGAAAAAGACTCAGATAGTTCAAACACAGCTAGCGTTGTCCCAGCTTCAAAATCCAGCTATTTCGGAGCTTCAGATGCATAAAAAATCCCAAATCTGTCCCAAATATAATCACAGGTTCAACAGTTCAATCATCCATCAATAAAGACGTCAGCATGGCCCCAGGACCAAAAACATCAGCTGATTATGAAGAGGAGCAGCAGAGAAAAATGGTGGGAAAAAAGGCAGAACGGAGCGTTCCTCTGCTCGGGTCTCACTCTCTGCGTCGTCTCGACGAAAAAACAGCGGCTGGAACGCCGGAGGGCAGAGACAGCCCAACGAACGCCCGATGCCAAAAACAACGGGGTGGCCTCGGAGACCGGGCAAAAAAAAAATGGGAGAAGAACAAGAAAGAGACAGGGGGAAATGAATGGTGTTCCAGGCAGGAAGTCATTCCGACCAATTCACTTGGATCGATATCGAACTTTTTTGGGCAAGCGTCTTCCAGCCCTTCAGAGTAGCTTTAAAGTCTGGATTGATTTGAAAATGATATATCAGTCAGGAAAAAAACTGGGAGAAGAAAGAAAACAAAAACGAACAGTAAAAATAAAAAAGAAGCTTCAGCGACCATAAAGACAGAAAATCGGCAGGCTTCACTTTAATTGATATTATTTAAAAAATCGATTTGATTTTGAAGGTCACTGCTTCAGACAACGGACCCAAGTGAGATTCACTCTGGAGATCGAAACTCGATCCATCAATCTCGAAACACAGAAAGCCGACAGAAACATGGAAAATGAAGCTTCAGGGGTCGGAAAAACTGGAAAACTTACTGCTCATCAGTATTATTTTAAAAGTCTACCCAAACCTGTCCAAATTCAACTTTAAAGCTTCAAGCTCAACCTATCTAGGTAGACCAAGATATAGAAAGTTAAGCTTCAGAGATTGAGAAAATTGAAAAACTCTGCCTCATTTGATCTTAAAGGTCAATCCAGACCTAAAAAAAAAATAAACTTTCAAGTCCAAAAATCAATTAAGCTCAAATTTCGGAAAGCCGCCATAAAAATAGAACTCAAAGCTTCAGTGATTGTAAAATATGAAAAAAGAAGGTTAGAAAAGTTGGAAAACCTATTCCCAATCGATATTATCTTGAAGGTCGATCTTGACCTAACCAAAATGATCTTCCAAGCTCGAAACACAGAAATGTAGAAAAAGAAGCTTCAGCGATTGTGAACTCGGACAAAATACCAAGGTGCTTATCGAGTCTGGCAAGGGCCCGACAGTACCAAGGACGACGACGCCGAGGGCGGCGCTTGTGAGGCCGTGGCCGCCGTCGCGGTGGCGCCATCCGTCGCCGCCTTCAGACGCCACATCGTTCAGTTTCCCTTTATCAGTTTGCCTTTTGTACGAAATTCCCTCCTATTGATTTTCGAAACGGCTGAGTGAGCAAGTTTGGAAAGTAAAATTGGGTCAGTACAGGCTCGCATTCAAGATTGCTGAGTGAAGAATTTTTGAAAAAGAGGCTCTCTTTTGGAATTTCGGGGCCAACTCGGAAAGTTTTAAAGTTGAACTTCGTGAGATGCCTACTTCATTCAACAGCTTGAAACAGTCTGACTTCTCTGCTCCCTCTTCTCCCACGGCAAAGCTCATGCTTCCAAGATTCCGCCGGTAAGAGAAGAGAGAGCGCAGGCAGGACAGACTGTCTCAAGTCTCTGTAAGCGCCTATAGTTCTTGGATTAGAAAATAAAAATTTTGTCTCTAATTAAAAAATATTTTCAAAAATGCTTTTATTTAAACTTTTTTGATCAAAAGCTTCTTGCAAAGTCGCCAAAGGTTTGGATTTACTTTTCAAAAATACTTCTTCAACAGGTCGTTGAAAATCTTGTCAAAAACGCTCTGAGTCATCCTGAGGTCGTTTTTTGTCGGTGATTATCGTTTTAAAAAATCGCATACGGTGTAATTCGCGTGAAAGAATGGTCCTTCTTTAAAAAATCATAAAACTCCAAGCTTTAGATTCAAGAAAAACCCGATTTTCACATTCCTTTTTTCGAATACGTTCCTCCTAGCGGCCTCTATTTTTTACTGCTTTTTTTACTGCAGTCCTTCTTTAGTTGCTCTTTTGGCTCTCAATATTCAAATCTCCCCAAAAACTTTACTACGATGTAATTCACAAGAAATGGACCAAGAGTGAAAAACTAAAATATTTGTCGCGTTTAAAATTTATTTTTAAAACCAATTCAACTCAAAAGACCATCAAGATCAAATGATCAATCAATATTTAAAGTTTTGAATTTTAAAGTTTTTTTTCTTTTCTTTTTTCAACACTGAGGTGCCTTCAGGGTATTTGAGGGCTACCATGAGTCATCCTGTGATTGCTCTGTTGACCTTTTTTTTAACCAAATAACCTCACAAGACATTTTCTACGGTGTATTTCGTGTGAAGGAATGGTCATGATTTGAACAATTTGAAAACTCCCAGCATAGAGGAATTCGATAAAAATTCAAAACCATGAAAGCTTTTTCCCACTCCTTCTTGTCAAATATGTGCCATCAGCTGACTTTCATTTTTAAATCTTAGAATGAGTCATCCTGTAGTTGCTCTTTTGTCCTTTTCCAACCAAAACCTTCCCAAAACTCGTCGACGGTCCATTTCGCGTGGAGGAATGGGAAAAAGTGCAAGTGGTCCTGCAGCGGAGGGCCAGCACCCAGTGGAGTCGAGTCGCCGGCTTCGCGTGAGTCGCAGGCCAGCACACGGCGGCGACGGCCAGTGTCTGCCGCCTCCCACAATGCCGCGCTCTTTCTCTCGAGTCGCGGGTGCCTGGCGCCAGCGTCGCCGCGTCGTCTCCTTCCAACACCTGCACGGGCGCCAGCGTCCGTCGAGTGACCGGCGCCGAGAGCATCGGACGGGAGAAAAAACGTCGCCGATGCTTTCTCTTTTTTTTTCTCCTCAAACGCTTTCCGAAATGGTTTCGCCGAGGGGTCGACGATTTGTTTGAAGATGAGAGTCGGACGCTGGATTGGTCAGCGGGGTCAAAGGCTTTCGATTTTTTTTTCTTCTTCCTTTCCGACCAGGGCAAAGGTTGCTGGGCTGTTCTGCAGAGAATGAAAATAAATATCTGGCTTGGGATTCGACTCAAACGCTTACAGAAGATGTTCTGATTTTCCATGGGGAGTAGAAAATTGGAATTTCTAGATAAAAATCGCAGAAGGTCTACTTAAAGTGTTACTAAAACAACTATACAAGTAGGAAACGCTCTACAGAAAAGGAAATGATGAAAAAAGTCGAAAAAAAAAACAAGCTTAAAAGCAACTTTTCCTCACAATTCTAACAAAATCATCTTTTTTTTTTACTATTACTGAAAAGTAGAAGCTTATGATTTTCGGTAAAATACTGTGAATGTACCTTATAAAACTTCCAAGATAAGTAAAAAAAATTAAATTGAAATAAGAAAAAAACACAAAAAATACGTTAAAAGAGTTTCTTCGAACCTTGTTAGTCTATCTAATACTTTTTATAGTCCACTCTAAAAATCAATTTCATCATTCAGATGGTGGACAACATCAGATATGAAGGCCGCTTTTGCGAAAAAAAAAACTTCTGGCTTCCCAAAGAATTCGCTAGAGGTCCGAAATTCCTTTGTTCACAGTCCACAGATCGGCCTTTTCTTTTTTTTTCTTCTTTTGGAGAGCGTAAAGATTCGAGGATCTACGGCTTGAACACGTTCCTCAAACTTGAAAATCAAACAAAAAACGGCTAGCCAACGACAGAAAATTGCCGAAAAAAAAAACTCCGGTCAAAGACCCCTTTGGACGTGTAATTTTGAGATCTTTTCGTCAAACTAGAAAAATCTTCTTCATAAAAAAAAATAAACTTTAAGAAAAGCGTAAAAAAGCATGCCACACTATTATTATTCATGAAAAAGTTTGAATATCAATTTAAAACGCTATAAAAAAACTTTCTAATAATATTTTTTTGAATGCAAATGATGCTAAATATAAAAAAAGCAAAAAAAGTTTCTTCCCATGCCGGGAATCGAACCCGGGCCGCGTGGGTGAAAACCACGAATCCTAACCACTAGACCACATGGGATCCTGCAGCACATCGTGAGCGGGCGCCATAACTTCGGCCGCAGGAATTGAGAATTTTAAAGCAAAATCAAAAGAAAAGTGAAAAACATGACTTTCGGAATCAAAAAGATTCAAATCATTTATGAAATTTTTGATTAAAAAAAATTCACAACGCGATCACACGCGTTTTGAAAGGCAAAAAACGATTTCTTTTTTTTTTTCAAAAGTTATTCCATATACAGTTTTCGTAAACAATTTTTTTTTCGAGTTTTTCCTGCCAAAAATTTCTCTTTCCGTAAAGCTTATTATCAATATGTAGTTTTTGTAAGATTGGCCAATAAACTTTCTCGGTAAAAAAATAAATCACACAATTTTTGTACGTTGATCTTTCGCTGTAAAATATTCAATTTTTCTCAAAAAATAGCAGCTATCCATTTCTAGCGATCGTACATGTTTGAAAATTTGAGGGAAAGCTCTACATATTTCTTTTTAAAAAATCTACGCCTTTTTCTGGACGAATCCCTTAAAAAAAAAAATTTTCATCACTTTGAAGCCATTTCAAAAGCTCAAAACTTGAATTCAAACTTCTTGTTTCGCTGGTCAACTTCATTAAAAAAAAAGCCATATGGCGGTGGGAATCGGGGTCAAAATTCTTCTCCTTCGGGGTCCGGCCAGAAAAAAGACGGAATGACCGCAGGGGGCTCTGCAATTAACGTCGATGGGGCCGCTTGAAAAACCGTTCGTCGCTTTCGCTTTTCTCCCATTTTTTTTTCCTTTCTCTTGTCGATTTCGATTTTCGGTCGACGCTAGGAGGAATGAGGTCAGCAGATGTGGTGAAAGCCTTGTCCATTTCGAAACTGGTTAAGTCCGGTTAAGGAACCGACAATGCGAATTGTTATCTTTGAATCGTTCTTTGCAGGACGGGGTTTTGATCAAAATTTTTTTTTTGATTTTTCCAAGAATCTGGAAACTAATCAAGTTCAATTGAGGAACCGAAAATGGAAACATTTGTCTTTGGATTGTTTTTTGTTGCATAGGTTTTTGAGCAACGTTTTTCAATTTGAAGTGATCTAGAAGCTTGAAAATAATCAACTCCGGGTGAAAAACAAAAAATCAGAATCTTCCTTTTTGAATCTTTTTTTTTTGCGGGAAAGGGCTTTGAACGTAAATTTTTGATTCAAACTTTCTAGAAATTTTCAAATTAAAGTAGAGTAGGTTAACTACTGAGGTTCATATTTAAAGTCCGAAGAACTTCTGGCGAACTTTAATCAAAAAATCAGAAGCACTGTTCATTTTAGAGCAGGTAGGGAATTAATTAGAAAAAAAATATTGCTTTAAACAAAAAGCTAGGAAAATATAACCCCTGTTTGAATATGAGTCATTCATCTGCAGAATGAAATTCTGTTTTGATTTTTAAAAAATGACCCGTGAGCAAGTTTTCTATACAAAAATAGCTTTAAAAACCGCCACCAAATGACAAATTTTATCTGCAACACGTTCTTTTCTTTACGAAACTGGTGTTTTTGCTGCCTTTTCCCGAAAAATTGCTGGTAAGCTTGACAGAACTAGCTGTATGGATCAAAAACGAAAACCGTATCAGGTCTGGCAAAGAAAAAAAGTCTGAGTTCAGTGCAAAAACCGCCCAGAAGTGAAATGATAGAAGAAGAAGCTTTCAATCAAAGCGAAAACAAGGCAAAGTCGGTTGCATCAAATCAGCAGTCGGTGAGACCACACAGTATACAGTCTTTCATTCCAAATGCTACCGTATGAGAGCCCAAGGTACGGTAAGTTAAGAAAGTTCTTCATCCCTCAACGCATCAGAATTTATTCTTCTCGGTTTAGAACGGCAGTTCCTGTGCGAAGCGGTTGCGATGCGTTTCAGCGCCAAGTCAGAAGATTATCTTTATTTATAAAATATAAAATTCCTTAGCAAATTCCCTGATAGTTTGATGCTGAATATCTCTTCATCATAGAAATCAGAGCAAAGCGCGAAAAATTTTCAAATTGCTTAGGATCTGCAGAGTGGTCTCTATAGTGACAACCCTAAAGCCCTTGGAGGGTCCCCTCAAGAGACCACTTTACCAACCCCTATAGAGCCTTTCAAGCTTGCAAGAGTAGCCCCTATAGGGGTTTTAGTTAGTGGCCACTATAGGGGACATGTTAGTCGATAATTTTTACGATATATGTGAAGCAGCATTTCCATGCAAAAAACTAAATGAATAAACGTTTTTTTTTGAATGAAAAGCTGTTTTCACCCCTAGCCCCTATAGGGACCCCTCTAGATTTCCTGAATGGCGCCAAAAAACCTTCGCTCTTGAGCTGAAAATGCCGCGCTTCAAGCCGAGAAAAATGAATGATGCTTTTTTCAACTTTTCACGAATTCTCCCTGTGTTTTTTGAAGTCAAACCCAATTACTTGATAAATTGAGCGTACCGTTAGTGATGACAGCCAGGAGATAAGGTACATGAAGATTGCAAAGCGGACAACTCCGTCGGCCTTCAGTCCGGTACTTCAGGGCCTCGTAGAGCCGGGTTTCCCTGGCCCGCAGCCTGACTCGACTACAGTTCAAGCTCGCCAACACGAACGTGTTGTTGATCGAACAAGCCGCCTGAAGAGTTTCATTTAACATTTAGGACCAGTTCAGCAGATACATGGGAAGATTCTTTCAAAACAAGCCAATACCTTCTCCCAAATCTTCCTAAGTCAACGCCAGTATCAACTTCTAGAGTTAAAAATGTTTAATGTTGCCAACACTACCTTCATGAGCCTTAAAAGGAATGTACAGTATAGTCTGTGTGCCACGACTTGAAATTTCACGGAACGACATTCCGCTGTGCGCCTTTGCGAACCTTGGTCGCGCTTTTAATTTTTTCTTTCTTTTATTAAGATACTCTGCTTTCATTTGCTTCCACAGCAATAACAATCAATTGAAAGCGTGACCTAGATTCGAAAGACGCTTCGCGAACGCACGCAGCGGAACAGCGGAATGCCGTTCCGTGAAATTTCAAGTCGTGGCACACAGACCATACTGACCATGAAAGTATTTTAACGCACAGCCATTCCAGACTTCAAAAATTGGCTCAAAGAGAAAGTTTTTGTTCAGAATTTTTGAACTAGTCCAAAAATTGAAAATCTTTCAGCGTTTTCGCAAGTGAATCAGAAACGGTTCAAACTTTGAAAAAATGTGGGGAAAAGTGTCTTTTCTTCTGAAAAATTTTGGAGGCTTCGCGTAAATCTGTCAAAAAGTCCTAAACATTTTTTTTCATTATTTTTCAAAGAAGAATTTAATGAATATATTGGGTGAAGCTGAAGAATTTGATAACTTCAGTTATGGAGAAGCACAGAAACTCTACGAACACATTTACGCCATTTTAGAACCTCTAAAAATTTCGAGACGGTTTCCGTAGATTCCGTGAATCCGTAAAAGTTGTCTAATAGCCTTTTTGACCTGTAAAAACCGACCCCATGACTTCCCCGATTCAAAACGCTGATGACGGCGGCGGCGATCGAATCCGCGTATCTCATGATCATCGGATGGCTGAGGTGCTGGAATTACAAAATAATCAGCGTAAATTGTTTTCTAGTTACATTCGTCGAAAGGTTGATGAAAAGGGCGGATAGGTATTCCAGAGCATAGTTGTTCAATTTTTGCTCGAAATGAGCGATCGCCCATTCCAACATCCCGCACTGGAGCAATTCTTTCTGGGCGCTTTGTCTAGAAAAATGATTTTTAGCTCCAAAATCAAGTTTTTCGAGAACCTGACGCTCATTTTTTGGATACAAGCGATTAACTGATCGTGAGTCGTAGAAGGCAATCTTTTCCCACGGAGAATCGCAACGACGCAAGGCAAAAATGACTTCAGATGAGCTGCAAAAATAGCTTGATTTAATTTCCGCAAAACTAAAGAGGAAAGCTCTTAGACTTATTCTCAGCGTTTAAATCGGAAAAATGTTTGAAAACACTCAAAATGAGCTGAAATTCTCTGAGTTTGAGGAACTGCATCTAAGAAAATCAAACAGTTGTTTCTTTTATTTTTAGCCGCGTGAATTCAATAACTTTGACTTACTAACCTGCAAGAGGAAGAAATTTTATTTTTTTTCCAGAAAAAAGGCTCATTTTCCAGCATTTTACATTGTTAAAAAAAGCAGAAATTATTCAAAACAAGCTCCAATCCAATAAAAAAAAACCCCCCTTGCAAGCATTTTTTCCAGCCTTTTTAATTAAAAATAAACTTCACACAAAAATATATCTTATTTTGCAATCTTTCCTTATAAGTGATTCAACCCTTCCCAAGCCATTTTCCAGCTCTCTAATCCAAAAACATGCATCGGTAAAGACTTCAAATGATTTGGAATACAATCAAGATCAAAAACAAAAACGGCAAAAAAGAAATGCCCCGAACCAGGATCGAACTGGTGACCTTTAGATCTTCAGTCTAACGCTCTCCCAACTGAGCTATCGAGGCTACGATGGGAAGAGACTCACTGGTGAAATACTGCCTGCCGCGTGGGTAGCTCGCCATTGTGTTGATGAGACGGGCCATTTGTTCACGGGAGTCGACGCCCTCCGCTTGCAGAACGCGTCGGACCACCGACTTAATTTCAAATTAATCTCATTTTCAAGGGGTTTCTTCTTGATTTTTCGGTGAGTTTCCAAGAAAACCTGTAGAAACTCACATTTTTCTTCATTTTCAGTGTCAAAACGTCATTTTCGATGATCCAATCGAGCGCATTTTTCGCATAGTCTTGGACGCTGGCCACAGACATTTGCTGCAATTTTATCAATTTACTTCAGAATCGTATTATTTTTAAGTATATTCCAAAAAGCCCTAATTTTTCTATTTTTGAATAAAATAAAATTTTCGGAAAATGATTAGAATCTGTTGCCTTAACTTATTTTTAAACTGAAATCAACGAGTTTTTAACTAATATCTTTTCAAAAGACCATGATTGAATAAAAAAATTTAAACGCCGAGAAAAAAATATTATTTATTATTTTTTGCAAGGCAATAAATACAAATTTTGACCTGTTTTGAGCCCTGTGTATTTCCAAAGCTTTTAAAAAAACTTCGAAAAAAAGGAAATATTGCATAGCTTAAAAGCTCAAAAAAACTGAATCATATCGTTTCTCACGTTTTTCATGAAAAAAACCTTAAAATTTCTTACAAATCTGAAAATGATGCTTTAAACAAAGCGAAGTTACTGTATCACGCACAACATTTGAACAAGATAAAAAAATCCCAAAAAAATGCTATTTCGTGGAAAGTCTTCTCAAAAGAATTCCCAGAAGCCTCTTCGAGTTTAATAACCAAAGTAAGCCGAAAATTCTTCTAAATTTCAAAAAATGCGTTATTTTAACTCCCCAATTTGTCAAACTTCCCTTTTATTTTCTTTAAACTCTCCCTTGGTTTTTTTTTTGTTGTTACCTAACAATACTAGTCAGTTCTTTCACAAGTTCCAACCGAAATAAGTATTATCCTTGTAACAGGATTATCAATAAAGTGGTGGTAAAAAGACCAGCGAAAATTCAAACGGCGACTTTTCCGATTTACTCATATCGCTAGGGAACTTTCCGACGGCCACCTTTCCGCCGAATCTTTTTCCGATTTTTTTTGTCGATGAACTTTTCGTTTTGAATCGTTCTATATAAAGTAGGTGGTTTATTCATGATTAAAACACAAAGAAATAGAAAAAAAATGTTAATAGATTATTATAAACCGAAAAATATGCGGGAAAAAGTCGGAAAGGGATCCGTTGGAAATTTCCCTAGCGATATGAAAAAATCGGAAAAGTCGCTTTTTAAATTTTTGCTGGTCTTTTTTTCATACCACCAATAAAGTTCCGTCGAAAATTGTTCAATTTTCATTTTGAAAAAAGTGAAAATAAAATTCCTTGCCCTGTCAAAAAAAGATCCAATTCTCATTTCGTAAAAACTGGATTGTTTAAAAAAAACTGTTTGATTGATTGATGAAAATTTTTTTGAAAATGATATGATTATACTTGTCGAATGGCTTGGAGCAGTAGAGCCGTCCCACGAGCCGCCGGATGTCCGTTCAGCAGCAGGATCAACTTGTGCCAGTCCAAGTCCTGCAGCAGACAATGGCATTCCCTAAAATCATGTATATTCCTTTCCACGTCATCTTGTCCCTTGTCCCAAAAAAGACCGTATACAAAAAATTCGGGCAAACTACGCGTCAAGACCTTTGCTACTAGCCCTTTCTTTCACAGTTTTCTAGAACGAAATTGCAAAAACTCTTGAAGCTTTCAAAACGTGGCGGTCTCGCGCGGATCATTTTTGATTCATAAAAGTCATGTCCGCACTTGGAATGGCTCAAACGTCGGCCTTTAATAAAGATAACTGTCTATCCGCGAAAGAAAAACAAGGCAGATGGCGGCACATTGGCGATATCGCTAACATCACGCTTCGTCCTCACCCCGAACTCAAATTTTTTCCAGGCACGACATCGCATTTATCCCGTTTTTCTTAAGCCCTTGAAGAGCTTGAAAATTCGAAAATGCGAGATCGCGCAAATGAAAATGCAAGACCGGCACGGCTAGAAAAACGGCACTTTTGCGAGGTCGTCAATATATCGCCAACGACATAGCTTTTCTATCACCCCTAGGAACTTATCTTTAGCGCAGTCCAAGCATTCTTTAAAAGACCTTAAGTTCCTAAAAAAAAGGTGCGAAAGTTTCCTTCAAGCTCTCTTTATCCTACTTTTCCAAAAAAGGTATTTTCATCGGCTTGATGGTTCTTCAAATAGATCCCGGTTAGGAAGAGGACGATTAAAGTCGTTTAAAAAATTCCAATAGATATGATCTTTGAAACCGCAATATAACTCACAACTATCTCGTGTTCTTCTTTTCGAGCAATCTCTGTCGGTATCAAAACATATTTCGCTAAATTCAAAACTATTTCTGACTCTCCAAAATTGAGTTATCTTTTTTACTCTCTGACGGTTTTTTTGAATTTTGTCGATTGAAGAAAGAAAAAATAAATTACAACGAAGGCATCGGATCCGGCGGGGGCTCTTCTGCGTCGTCCATAGTCGCTTCGGAAGTTGAAACGGCTGAAAAATTCTTCGAAAAGCAATTAATAAAAAAAAATCCAATTTTATTAGAGTTCTATGGCCCTTTTTGGAACAAAAATTTTGAAAACCTTCAAAAAAATTTGATATTAAATTAACCTAAAATAAACCATGTGAAAAAAATAATCAATTTTTCAATGAGAATTATTTTTCTCAACCAAGCAAAAAAATAATATTTCTGCGAAAAATTTTAATCTGAACTGTAGTTTTTGAATCTGAAACTCTTTAATTCAGAAATTTTATCATATGAAAAAAATTTTTTTGCAATCTGAATCCCTCTTTTTCAAGTCTGAAAAGTCTCTTATTCAAATTTCGTTCTCTTTTTCCGAGTTTCAAGCAAAAAAATGAATTAATAATATTTTTCAAGAGGAGAGAAAAAAACCTTTTGCATAACCAATTGAACGAGGTTTTCGTGGTGGTTTTTCGAGCGGTTTTCATTTTTTTCTGAAAAGAAAAAAAGGAGTTTTTGAAAAGACGTGAGAAAAGAGAAACACGAATAACGAAATTGGCTGGTTTTTTGACAAAAGAATAACGAGAAGGAAAATAGTTGGCTGGGATAATAAAAAAAGGAATGAGTCGAAATTCATAATAAAATGAAAAAAATGAAGAAAAATATGGAAGAAAAAAACAATGAGTTAATTCCGTTACATGGGAAAAATGAGCCTCAAAAAAACAACTCGAGAAGAAAAAAATTGGCCGGCGACTGGCACCGAAAACAAGGAAAAATAAATATTATTCCCGGTGGATAATAAGGTAAACTTTTCAAGAACTGGATTTTTAGAGTAGAATTCATCAAATTTATTCAAGATTTTTTTGTGAAAAAAATCAAAAAAATTCGCTAAGTCTCTCAACACTACAAATTACGTTCTCCTGGGAGTATTTCAGGAAAATATGACGTAAATTATTTGAAACGAGGATTTATCAGAAAAGTTACTCCACAAAACACGCTTCTCAATACAAACCTCAAATTAAGGAAAAATCTTGAGGCTAAAAACATGACCTACGTAATTTATCAAAACCCGACAACCTATAATTATGACCTAAAATTAGAAAATTCGTACAACTTCTGTAAGAAATTATCATCCCAAGAACCACGCCCTGCGCCTTTGAAAGATGAACTTCGGTCCTTTAACTCAAAAATTCTATTTTTTTAAAATTTCGTTATGTTTGATAAGCCAAAAAAACTCACCAATTCGCCTTTTTTTAGTTTGACTGATTTTTTGAGCAGAAATTGAATCTTGATGTTTTTACTAAAATATTTAAAATCACTATTTTGGAAGAAAAATCGAATCAAAGATTTTTGAAAAAAAAAATTTTAGAAGAAAATTTTTTCCTCGGATATTTTTTCGAAAAAAAATCCTTACAAATAAATGAATAAACATCTTCTAAACCCATAACTCAAGTGATTTTCAAGAATTTTATGAATAAGCCCAGAAAAAATGAAGCTCACAATGATAAATGCACTACCTAGACCCACACCTAACCATGAAAAATTGAGGCGAAATGGACTAAGGAACGTTTTTTTCTCCCGGTTGAACTTCGATAAGACTTTCCGAAAATTCCATTTAGAACCTCCTTTCGAATAAAAAAACACCAAGATAAACAAAAAAATGTACTAGATATTTACTGAATTTAGTACACGAGGGAAGAGAAAAAAAGTAATACTGCAGGACACGGCCCAAAGACTTCCGCAAGTTCCGCTCCAACGCCAAAGGAACATTCAAAATCTCGCGGAGAGCTATTCATTTTTTGGCGCCAACAATGGGCCGGAAAGAAACAACTCGTAAACTCTTTGTTATTTTGTAGTGGTGGTTTGAGAAAAGTAATGAAAACACAACAAGAAATAGATTTCTTTTTTTGAACTACAAAATATAAATCTTTGATGCGCATGACTCTGTGAGTCTAATCTATTTGAAAACTGCGGTAATTTTTCTTGAATTCAAATAGATAAAATTAACAAGAGAATTTCAAAAAAATTCAAGAAAAAAAAAGATTGAGAACTACAGGACTTTCCAAAGATGAAATTTGAAAAATTATTCTGTTCCTCGTCTGTTTCCCTCAACAAAAACTCGAAACTTGGCCCATAAAAAAATAAATTACACCGGAAATTAGTTTTGAGTCAACTTAATAAGTGGCTTAGGTTCGAAAATTGCACGAAATTTCTACTTTTTTAAACTTGATCAACTGAAAAGCTCAAAAATCGCTTTCACAAGCTTTGAAGTTTCCAAATTTCCAGCTTCAAAAATTAAAATAAGGAAATTTGAAAGCCCAGAACCTGTCAAAATTCACCCCACTTTGAACAAAACGCACCAGAAATGATCTTTTGAGCTAATTATCAGAGTGGGAAGCTTGAAAATCGGCGGAAATATGTACTTTATATGGACTCACGTTAAAAATTTTCCTTTTAAGGTTTTTAGGACATAATGAGGACACTATCCCACCTATTTCTAGTCAAAAGGGAAGTTCAGAAAAAAAGGACTTTCCAGGAAATGAGTTCTTTGAACAGACATTGATAAAAATCCGTAGCATTTTTCAAATTTAAACTCAGATTGTCTGAGGGTTCTGAAATATATAATTTCAATTTGGGTTTTTAAGAAAGACAAAAAAACCACAATTTAGCTTTTTCTTGGTTCAAAAAAAAAAAAATTAAAGAAATTAAATTTAAAAAGGAACTTTCACCTTTGAACTACAAAAAAAGACAGAAAATTCATTTTAAAAGGAATGATCAAACTTTTGCCTTTCAAAAATTCAAGTGAACCTTTTCTCATCCTTGACCTTTCCCAAGTCTAAAAGTCATAATTAGTAATCTGAAGCCATAAAATCACGAGAAGGATTATCGAAGTCATCACTGAAGGGATTCAAAACCTTTGGAAGACTAGAAACACGTGGAAAATCGTCAAAAAAGCTCAAAGCGCGCTGCTCTTAAGTGACCACTTGGAGCAACTTTAAAGGATTTCCTTTGGAAGTCGGCGGGTGGGTTCTCGGTTGCTATGGGCACAACGCCAGTCGAAACTCGACCAATTCACGCTTCTGCGTCTTTTTTCGGTCCGCCTTGCAATTTGATTGCAGCTGGTTCCGCAAAGTGACTTTGATTACTTCAGTAAAAAATAATGAACCTATTTCGGGCAAACTATATATGTTAGATCTTGATAACAAAGTAGGACGGAGAATAATGAAGCCAGTTCTTTGAAAAAATATTTATACTATTCTTGCAGACGTTTTTTTGTGAACATTGAGCTATCTCAAAAAAATCATGCAATATTCAAAGATATTCTTTAGACATTAACAAACATTACCATCAGACATAAAATTTTAAAAATAACAAGAAAAAAAACTCATTTTCGTAGCCAAATAAGTGAGCAAATTTTTTTGAGGATTTCCTGTAACAAAAACGTGCAGTATCTGCTACAAACGCCCCAATCAACATTCTCTCACGTTTGCCTATGAAAGTTTAAAAAAAGTAAGAAAAGAATAAGACAAATAAAGCCCCTGCGCGTGATTTAAAATGCACTTTGTGCATACATTGCCTGATTGCGTACCTCGCTCATACCGTAACTTCAAGAAACCCATTTTTTGCTCGAGCTTTTTTCGCCTTTTTTAAATTTGCAACTTTATTTCTTACAAAATTTAAAGGTTATAGAAGAACTGAAAATGTTCAAACTTCACAGAAACATTCTAAAAAAGACGAGAATCGTCTGAAAGAATTTTTACGAGGACTCTCGAGCTTAAAAATGCATGGTCTCCTTTTGGATTCCATACCCAAGCATGCGACTTTAGCGATTCATCGCCGGGCATCTCTTCCTTTTTTCAAACTAATTATTATTTAAAGTCCTTTTTTGTGTGCGAGATGATCTTTTTTTGAACAAATATTGTTTCATAATACTATTTACAATGTCTTGGGAACAATAAAATTTGAGGGAGACAACTTTTTCAGACAAATGGAAAAGAAAATGAGCAACAGAACAGACAAACGTTGATAAAAGAAAAATAATGAATTGAAACGCGAATCGAAATCTAACCGGAATATCTAAAATACCGTAAAGTGACGCTTCATCCATCGATAAAATGAACTTTGAGAGACCTTTTTATAGGGGTTTGGGACATGGAACTGTTTGTTGAACATGATAACTTTTGATTAGAATTTTTTTCATTGTGATTTGAGAAGTCACTAACTGAATTTTTTTCGTGCGAAATCATATAAAAAAATTAGTTTTTTTCGGCCAGAAACCACATGAAACCACATTGAACTCTTAAAAAAATAAATTATCCAGGATATTTCTTAAACTGGTTTTTTTATATGATGACCTCTGCTACGCAAATTCGTCTCCAATAAAAAATATTTTTCTCACTTCCAAAACTAACCAAAGCTAATATTATTAATAGAAATATTCCATGAGGATTTTCTTCTTAATCCACTGATTTTCTCTAGAATTTCCACAGTGATGTCCACTCTTGCTCGTTCAACAAACAGCCCCCCAAACTATGCCAATTGTATTTGTTCATTTAGTTAGTAACCTTGAAAAAAGAGGTTTCCCCGGGGTTGTTTATAGGGCGACGAACACTAGGAGGAGGGTAAACAAGGAGGCCAACGAAACCGAAGACCGGAAGCCTGAATTCGGGTCCTTCTCGGTTTTCGTCGTGTTCGTCTTGGTTGAAGACGTGGTCAGTGATGACGTCGAATTGGAGTCGTCGGCCGGTTGGCCTCGGTATGACGTCACGTTGGCCATTTCAACTGAGCCCCAGCCTCGCGATGGTCTGGAGAGGACTATGTTGATTTTTTTGAGAGAGACTTCCAAAAAAATTATCAAAGACCAGTTGAGCCATTGAGTTTGAAAATAACTATTGGAAGACAATTTTTCAAAAAAAGTCATTCATAAAATTTTTCTTTATGTTCTGTTTACCTGAAAGCTTACAGTCATTTGAGAAAAAAATATGAAAAATAATACTTTTTAAAGGTTTCAACTGCGATTTCTAACAGTTTAGTTATAAATCGCACGAAAATCGGTACTCGAGTTTGAAGAAATAAAAAAACTTCAAAGACTAACTCAATTAAAAAAAAAAAGAATTCACCTATCATTAAAGGTCAGGAAATCTCGAAAACTACGAAAAATTTATCTTGTTGAGTAACCTCAAAATAGGAAGTTTCGAAATAGAATGAAAAATTGCTCAGTGGACTATTTTCATAATTTTTTTAAACGATAGCCATAAAAGAAGATTTCCGGTTTTTAAACTGTCTCTTGGAGTGCCGAATTTCTCTCTTTTTTTAATTTTGTAACTCTTACTCAGTGTAAGAGTTCTCAAAATTTGCCTTTGAGGGTCTTATTCAAGGCCCTGAGAACATCAATAGGTTTTCGAAGCCGCCCCCTTCAGACCGAGACTCCCTTAATCACTGTCCTCGACTCGTAGCGACTTGCGCGACTATGCATAGGCTGTCACGGGGCGCTAGGAAGTCATAGGTAAAATAAAATTACTGCAATGTTCCTCATTTGATACCAAAGCCAAATACTTCGGTATGAACAAAGATCTCATGATTTTGTTGAACCACTGACTTTCTAGCGCTCAATAGAAGCCTATAGATAGTCGCGCAAGCCGCTACGGGTCGGAGGCAGAGATTCAGAGAGTCTTGGTCTGAAGACAACGGCTTCGAGTCTCTATTAATGTTCTCAGGGCCTTGAATGAGACCCTCAAAGTCAAATTTTGGGAACTCTTACACCGAGTAAGGGTTAAAAATTTAAAAAAAGGAAGAATCGTGATTTTAAAGCGCTTCAAATCGAAAATCCTTACTTTTTTCTTTTTATTCAAAGTTAGTCCAAAGATCCCCTACTAGAATTCAATTTTCTAACGACTTCTTGTTGGATTGCTGTTCAGGTAATTTTTTTTTCTACTTCAAGTTAATTTCAAGAATTTCTTTTTCTGAAAAGTTTTTTTAAATTGCAGTCAAGGTCAAGTTCTACAGTTCAACTTGAAGCTAATATTTGGGATATAAATTGAAGATTTTCTAATTTTTTTCTGGATTTAAACCTTTTCCAAGAAATTTGTAAAACGACTTGAGTCTAAACTTCTGAAAATGCTCACCCAATCTTCGAATTATCATTTGAGCCAATAGTCGCATTCTTGTTATCAGAATCCAAATCGTCTTGACCATCCTCTTCCGTTTGATTGTTTCCAACCTTCAATCCTACCGTCTTCGTCATCACCATGTCTTCGGTCTCGTTTTTCCTGAATAACATGCTTGAAAATTTTGAAAAAAAAAGCTTCTCTATCTTTGAAATTTCTCAAAAAAGCGCAAAAACAGTAAAAATAGCTTTTTTAAAAGTTCGAAAATAAACAGATCTTTCGGTTTCACAACTCCCACATAAAACTTTTTGGAACTATTTCAACAATATGTGAATAAGTATAGCTGATTCACGGCCAGCTTGGGACGCTAAGAGGGCGTGTCCTGTCTGCGTTCTCCACGAGCCAGGCGCTATCTCGTGCATTATCGTGTCAGGACCAATATTTCGAAGGCTCAAGCCAGCCGTGAATCAGCTATAGCGGTGACATGCTCAGCTATCCCCGATTTTCTTAAAAAAGCGCAAAAAATCATTAAAAAATAGCCTTATCGAATATTCAAAAGGGAACAGATTTTTCGGTTTCACAACTCCCAGATAAAAAAATTTCCAATTATTTTCTATTATACAATAAAAACAAAATAAAACAAAATAAACTGCTTCATTATCTCTTAATTTTCTCAACAGAGCGCAAAAAATCAGCAAAAAAGCCTTCTTAAGATTTCAAAAAGGAACAGACTTGTAAGCTTCAAATCTTCGAGACACAAAAATTTCGAACTATGTTCTGCAATACAGGTTCAAACAGGAAAAAAAACTGCTTTTTAACCCAACTTTCTCAAAAAAAAAAATCAGCAAAAACAGCCATTTTTAAATCTCAGAAAATGAAGAGATTTCTCGATTTCACAACTCCAACATAAAATTTTGTGGAACTATTTTCAACCGAATTGCCTAGCTATCCTAAGATTTTTAAGCGGAGCGCGAAAGATTTGCAAAAACATACTTCTCTTGAAAATGTGTTCAAAAGGGCACCAGATATCATATAAGACGGGTTTTTGACACTTGGTAAGTCACAGAAAGACTTGTGGTTTGTGATCAGGCACAATTCGTGACATAACAATTTTTTAATCACATCTATGCGCCTTTAAAAACTTTAGCAGGCACAAACTTGGGCTCATTTTTCGGCTCCGTCGAGTTGTTTATTCCCAGGGAAGAATGAACTTCAACAGTATGGTCATCGTCGTCGCCGTCCATAGTTCCTAAAATTTTGAATTCATAAATAAACATTCAGGATTTCTCTAACCATTCAAAGGAACTGCTGTCAAGGCGAGACCTTCACCGGAGGCAATATTTTGTACTAAAAACCAGGTAATTTTCAATTTATTGCTTAATTTTCAAGGCACCTGAGGAATTCGAAGGCTCAACTTGCGGCAACATCTGATAGTCCTTCAGAATTTCCGTCTTGACAAAAGTGAAATCGGATAGTTTGGCCTGCGGATCATTGCACTGATCTGCGTTGTCACAGGCGCATCGGTTGTCTTGGTCCGTTCTACAATATTGAAAACTACCATAAAATTGACAAAAAAGTTTCTTTTTCTTGAAAATTGCTATGAAAAAGCTTTCTTATGAAGCTTGAATGCGAAGAACTTCAGGAATGAAAACGGCAAAAAGAAATGCCCCGAACCAGGATCGAACTGGTGACCTTTAGATCTTCAGTCTAACGCTCTCCCAACTGAGCTATCGAGGCTACGGAGGCTACGGCACGCACTGGCGTATTACTGACTCCGTGGAAAAACACGTTCATTCAGTTTTAAAAGCATTTTCAGGTTAAAGTTTCAAATTTCGAAAAAATGGAGGGTAAACAGCTTGATCAATAGTGATTTAAAAGTTTCACCCGGTTTTCCAAGGCTTTTATCTTTAAAATATTTTTAATAGGATTCTGTTAGAAGATATTCTTTCAGGACTCAAAAAAATTCTGGTGATTTTTTTCACAGAAAAAGCATATTTTTCTTCAAATATTTGAACTTTTTCCTTATTTAAAACGAAAAATCTCACCTTTGACAAACGGCCTTGTCTTTGAATTTATCGCCGTCTTTCAAATTGATACAACCAGCGTTGATCGTCGAGTTGAAGAACTTGTTCACCACTAAAATAAATACGCTCAATCACTGTGCCTTATTCGGAAAGCCGCAGGGGGAATGGCTTTGAAGGCCGGAACGCTTTGAGCCATTCCCAATAAGGCCTCCGATTTTCCGAAATCCTCACCGATGAAGCAGACATCGCCATCACACGTGTCATTGCACTGGGTGCTCTGTGGATCGAGGGGCTGATATTCGCAAGATGTGCAGGTCAACGCGGATACGGTACCGATGGTAGCGATGAATATAACGACTTGGAAAAGCATTCTGGAATGAAATTAATGGAAAATAGAAGACGAGCGACTTGGGCAGGGAGGACTTGTAAGTATACTTATATATAAGCGACAGGGTGGGGGCAAATAAAAACCAAACAAATATTGTATGGAAGAAATTATAGATAGAAACCGAGACACGAATTAATGCTATTAGGCGGCCGTTGTTTGTATTTGGCTGACTTACAGTTACTCAGAAACTAGCAAGAGTTCATGATATCAGTTGGAAAAAAAAAGAAAAACATATTTTTTAGCTTCTTATAGATGTTCGAACTTCTAAATTCAGTTTGTTGGTAGCTGAAATTTCATTTAGAATCATTTTTAGTTTTATGGTTGATTTCTTATCTTCATACTTGGATTGAAACTTCCTGGTCGCATTTGAAATGGCTCAAAGCGTAGCGGTTAAGTCCATAGCTAGATAGCAATTCAGCAAGTTTTTTTGAAGCTCAAACCTAAAAAAAAAAGCAAGTCGTTTTGAGTCGGGCGCACATTGAAAAAAAAACCGCTTTGCTTAGAGCCATTCTACATGCGACCATGAGATTCCGATTCTTGGTAATTTATTATATTTTTTTGCCTAAATTACTCGCTAAAATCCTGCTTACTTATTTATCTGCAAATTTTTTTAAATTTTTCCTTTTTTTCAAGAATAATAATCACTAGCTTTTTATTATAGCTGTTCCTTTTTATTCAATATTTCAAGTTTGAATTTCAAGATTTTTCCCTAGATTTTCCGCTCCAATTCGAAAAAAAAGAAAAAAAAATGAAATCAATTAAAATGAAAAAAAAAAACTCCAGAGATTAATTTAAGAGAAAAAGACAAAATATTTGCCGTTCTACCATGAGGGCCGGACATGTTTGGATTGTTTGAAAAATGTCGTTGGGCAAATATTTTTTGCTTTGCTTTGTTGGATGCTTTAAATAACACAGTAACCTGGGGCTATGATGACGAAATCGCTTCAGTTTTGGTATTCATGGTTGCGAAATAATGGAAAAAGAGAGAAGTACTAATTTTCCAATGAAGATTTCGAAACATAACAAAAACTATTTCGAAATAGGTGAGTTTCTTCAAAATTTTTTAAAACTAGTTCTTATTTAGAAACTTCAATAAATGTAAAACTTAAAACGAAAATGAAAACTCTTAATTTTAAAACTCTCAATCTCTCTTCACAATTATGAATTTATCGATTCTCTCGTGAACTTTTTTGAATTTTTTTTTTAAATTCAAACCTTTTTTTCTATCAGATGTGAAAAGACTGAACAACAAATTCAAAATTTCCGAATTCGAAGCTCAAAATTTTGGTTCAAGGTATAAAAAAATTAATCCAAAAAAATTATTCTCAAATCTCAGATTATCAAAATGTATTGAATGAAGCGTCTGAATACAAGATATTTCAAGATGATAAAAGTTCCAAAAACCAGATCACCAAAAAAAAAAATTATTCCGGCCTAAAAATCGATTATCTTTGCCAGAATTGCAACATCAACAAATATCTCATCAGATAGTGAGATCAAAAAAAAAATTGAAGCCCCAAAATCACACCCCTAGTGAATCTAACATTTTTCTTTCACTAATGGTGTGATTACCTCTCTTGTTAAAAGTTCCTTTATCAGTGAGTAAGATCCTCAGAAAAATCAAAAAAAAAAAAATGAAAATCAGCCCCCTAGTAAATCTAACATTATCCTTCACCCTGTAAAAATACAAGTTGGAATACAATATTTGATCTCACCCTGACCGCTCAAAAAACAACCGAACAAAAAAAAAAAAGAATAATAGAAAACAGGAGTAAGTAACGACGTCGACAGATAACCCGACAGGGAGCGACGGGGAAAAGCCGAGACAAAGCGCAAAAGACAACATTTCATCTGAGGTTGAACTGAATTGAAAAGAGGACTCCCGTCCAAAAACATGTACCTTCTCATTTCAATACCGAAACCAACCGCGTGACGGTGTTTGGGGGCAAAAAAGAGAGATCGAAAGTCGGTAATCCCCCGGACTTTTTCGGTACCAGTTGCGAAGTAGGATTCCAGTTCAACTATTGAATTTTGAGGGTGTGAAGAAGACCCCTCACTGACTTTTTTTTTTGAAAGGAATTCAAAAAGTAGTAAAATTAGAGAATCTGAAGTCCAAAAATTAAAATTTTCCAAAGAAAAATCACAGGGTTTGATATGTTGATGAAAAAATGTTGAAATTTGAAGTTTACCAGTTTTTGATTTAATTACGGATCATAAACATCTTGCCCGAAAAAACATTGATTTTTTGAAAATTAAGAAAAAAAAAACGTTAAAAGTTATTTTCCTATATTAAATGTTTGCTAAAGCCAAAAATGTGTTCACAAAATGCGAAATTAACTTTTCTGAAATCAATTTCCCAATTCATACATTAACTACTTGACCAAAATCATGATTCATAAGTCTTTTTTATTCCATATCCCTGAAGAATCTTAGATAGTGAATGAGCTAGCCGCTAAAACAAAGAAGTGGTGAAAAAAACATGAATCATACTTTAAGGGAAATAGAGAAGCCGAAATGGTATTTATAGAGGCTTTTTTAGAAATTTTTTTAAACCCTCATACTTTAAGTTTAATTTTTTTAAAGAAAATAATTATTGTTGCTAATTTTTTTGATTTAAAAAGTTCAATGTGATTAGAATTAAGCTTCTTTGAAGATCTAAACTGAAACTTTAAATTTCCAGTTTTAAAATGGAAAAAGCTTAAACGCTACCAAGCATAGATGGAAAAGTACATAACCCATTCAGCCCGGAATAATTTGAAAAAAGAGGAATAAAATCAAATTTCGACACCAGGAAGGTAGTTTCGGCCACAATAACACAGCCTCAAGAAGGTAGTATCAACTTTAATTCAGGAAAACTTGGAAAAAGGGGTCGTCGATCCTTTAAAAAACTTTAAGTAAGGATCAGAGCTTAGGGGAAAAAATGGGGGAATTTTATAAAGCATAAAAATAGCAAAAAAGTGAAAAAACTCAATTTGAAAAGAACTGAAATTTAAGAAACACTCCAAAATGATTGGTTTTCTGTAACCAAAGAGACGATCTATATACCCTCAAAAAATAAGCTCGATTGGAGACATTAAAATTTCTGACTTTTGAGGGTTCATAACTATTTTTACACACGTCTTGGGCAATTTTTGAGACTAGATTCGAAATAAGCATGAAAAACTACATCTAGAAAATTTCATTCATAATTCCCACTGCGTCCAAAGACCATTCCCTGGTTGGGTCAGGTTTTAACTTTATTTTAAAAGTTTTGGCCTAGTCAATTTCAGGAAATCAAAACCTATGATTCATAAGTGAAAAACTGCACAATTTCATTTTCAATGAACCATATAAGGTAGCAAAAAGGAGGGGGGCTGTGAATATGGGTCAGAATAATATAACTCTGTCGCGCTCCTCCCTCTCCTCCTCGAACTCGAACAGCCCTCTTGATGCGCTTACCTCCGTTCTTCCCGCGTGTTTTCCATACGAAAAAAAGAAGGCAGATCTCTTGAGGAATACCAGACGTGACGCCGCCGGCGACGGTAATCGACTTGCGCAAGCTAACTTTTCCCTACGAGAAAAAAAAACGCGTGTGAATTGGCTGTGGCGCAAGGTCAAACGGGTCGGAGTAAGGACCGGAAAATCGAGTCATACTTAAATCACGTAGCTTGAAACAAAAAAAGTTCATAGCTTACTATGAAGCAATCTTTTTGGGAACAGGGCTTTGTTATTTTCGAAAAACTCCGGTGTAGAATTTTAATTTTTAATCCTAGTTGAACCGCTGCGCAGCCGCAACGCGTTGAGCCATTCTAAATGCGACCAGTTTTTTTTTGATTCGCGGCTGAAGGAATGGAAGAAGAAGGAGATGAGGATGAAGTAGAAAAAAATGATAAAGTTGATAGGAAAGTTTCACAAAAAAGTTATTTTTTTAATTTCTTATCCGTATCAAAAAACCAATTTCAAGGAATACAGGTCATTCTTTGAAAAAATATAAAGGAATTACACCTTTTTTCTCTTTCTTATCAATGTCAGACCGATTAATAGCAAATACGGTCATTTTTGAAGAACTATAAATTTTTTTGGTGTCAGGATCAATTTTGAGAGAGCTATGAGAAAACTATACTTTTTGCTTTCTAAACCATGTCGGGACTATTTTTAAAATTTTTCAGTCATCCTTCAAAAAACTACGAAGAAACTATGCCTTACTCCAAGAGAAATCCAGAAAAATGGAGAGAAGCTCAGAAGATCAAACTCCAAACTCAGAGGCCAAACGACGAAGGAAATATGAAGAAGGCCAGGAATTCGACGGAAAAAAGGACTGATGACGTTGAAGAAACTTGAACGTAAATTACAGAACAAACAAAGCATCGATTACAAGGCATCCGGAGGCGGCGAGAAAATGGCAGGCCTTCCAGAAAAGCCTCCCAAAAATTGAGATGGGTCATATTTACTTTATTTGTCCATCTGTTGCATTTGCAGCCGTTTTGCGAACGGGCCCCAAAAACAGAAAAGATCCAAAACTGTACAGCGGCGGATTGGGAAATCCTCTTCAAATCTGTTCCAATCGTTTGAAGTGGGAAAAAAAGCATCAGAGATCATGAAAAAAATAGATTTCTGGTCTGTAAATGGAATACTGTAGAAGCTCAACTCTCTCACAAAGAAGGTCATTTGGCAATTTCCAGGAAATTGACTAGAACGTTCCTTGATGTACCAGAGAGATTCTGAAAGTCTCAGCAAGCACAACTTCCTCTCTTCAAAGAAAAGACGTCTAAAAGTCAAAGGAAACCCTCAAAATTCATTGAAAAGGACTTCTTTAGAGCATTAGACCTTCATTTCTTGAAATTAAGAAGTTGTGCAGGTTGAACCTTTAAAGATCGCCATCTGGTTTATCAAGGAACGTTCTTGAAAATTTTTAGGAAGTTCCCAACCGCAAAGTAAAACGAGCTTCCTTCTCAGGGTTACGTAAAGCTTTCTATCTGGCAAATGTTAAGTGAAATTTAATTAAATTAACAGCACATTTCAAAAATTTATCATTAAATCCTCTCCAAATCTGTTCCAATCGTTCCAAAATAAGAACAAAAATCGCAGATCATGACAAAATAGATTTTTGATACGTTAATGAAAAAGTTCTCAAGCTACCAATTTTCACAGATATCACTCTGGAGTACGGTAAAATTTTCAGAGGAAACTTTAAAACAAAATCAAAAATTTTTTGAAAATTCCTGAGAAATCCTTTTACTGAAAACAGTGATTGGGTATGAAAATAAATGAAATTTTGAGAATCAAGTTACATTTAACGCACGAAAAACTCATGGTATTTCTTATTTTATTGCAATTTATTCAGTCTTCACAGTAAGATGAAGAAAAATCTCTGCTGAATCATGGTATAATCGAAGAGTTAGTCGTCGGCGCGGGTCCCACAATCTTTGTCCAATAAGTCCCGGCGTGACAGCTGGCGTTGGGAAATAATGTGGGCCCGTTGGTAGTACCAGCGAATAAACTGCTTCACCATGTTGGAACAGTACGGCGCCCAGCTTGTCCAGGGCTGACGGCCGTCGGAATATTATCTCATGAGAGAGCGGCAATGACACCGACTAGTCGACGTGATGAAATGAGATAATATTCCTACTTTTTCTTTATTTTTAATAACTAATTTTATTGCAATGTTTTTTTATTCAAAGTAAATGATTCCTCTTCTGAAAATTTCTCACAAATTTGAAACTCGAAATTCGACTTTTCCCGATGGAGCACAAACTTTCAGAGCTTCCAAACTTTTCTCAAGTCAAAAATTTCTCTTTCAAAAAAATATCTTAAAAAAAAGTACGGAAGGCGGGAAAACTCTTTTGAGCGCAATCCTTGATGAAAATCGTATCAATTTCATTTATTTCTTTTCTGAGTATTGAATTTTCAGGCATTTAAATCAGCTTCTGAGGGAATTTTCATTCTTTCGTAGGATCACGATTGTGGATCACGATTTATACATTGGCCTCGGAACATCACAAGGCTATTTCTTTCTTCCCTTTTTTCTTGTAGATTTCGATTCAACTTTCGCAGATGTGTATTAACAAAATAAAGAAGAAAGAGAACATTTATTGTTCGAATATACAAATAGGATCGGAATCATTCGGCGAGGCCTACTTGCGGCAGCACTGAGATCCGCACGGGCTGTAGTTCTGCTGGCAGGACTGGCATTGGTTGGCGACCGGCTGCTGTTGGCAGGGGGTCGTCGGCTGCTGCTGCTGCTGGCAGGAGTTTGTGCAGGACTGCTGGCAGGCCGGCTGGCACTGGTTCATCGGCTGGCTCTGCTGGACGCACTGGGACTGGCAGGACTGCTCGCAGGCTGGCTGGCACTGAGGCGACTGCTGGGAGACCGGGACGTTGATCGTGATTTGTTGAGGCTGCTGCTGCTGCTGCTGCTGCTGGCAGGACGGCTGGCACTGCTGGTCACACTGCTGGTTGCACTGGGGCATCTGCTGCTGCTCGCAGGACTGGGTGCACTGCTGTTGGCATTGCTGGCACTGAGGCTGCTGCTGCTGGTAAGGCTGGTACGGCATCGGGGTCGGCTGCTGCTGCTGAGGTTGGCAGGCTGGCTGGCAGGACTGGTCGCAGGATTGCTGGCACTGCTGGATGGGCTGTTGGGCGGCCTGGCATTCGTTCAAGCAGCCGGACTGGCACTGATTGCACTGGTTGCTCTGGTCGTACTGAGGAGCCGGAGAGGAGTATTGTCCGTAGGCGGGGAGCATGCCGGGAGTGTTGTACATCTGCTGGTTGTACTGCTGGTTGGCGTACTGGTTGTTGGACTGGCAGGACTGCTGGCATTGCTGGTTGCAAGCCGGCTGCTGCTGAGGCTGGCAGGAGCTCTGGCATTGCTGCTGGCACTGCTGCTGAGCTGGCTGTTGGAGCTGGACAGGCTGGGCGCAGGCCGACTGGCAGGTGTTGGAGCAGCTCGACTGGCACTGGCTGGCTGGCTGCTGCTGAGCGACGCAGGACTGCTGGCAGGTCTGCTCACAGGCTGGCTGGCACTGCTGCTGCTGGTACTGCTGGGCACAGCCGCAAGATGGGTTCTGCTGGGGCTGGGAGCACGAGCAGGACTGCTGGGCTGGCTGTTGGGGAGACTGTTGGCAGCTGCATGCCGGCTGGGCCTGAGGGACCGCGCATCCGCACGACGACTGGCGTTTCGCTCTCAGGGGCTGAAATTGAAAAAAATTACTTCTTTATAAGGAATACTATGCAAAAATTGTTTTTGCAAGGAAGTAAATAAAGTTCAGTTTCAGAGTCTTTTTGGCCGTCTTAATGATGATCACAATTTTTTAAAAAAGTGTTTAGATCGAAAATTTCGGAAAAACTTTTTTTCATCATCTGGTTTGATTATTTCCGTATCTTTCTTCGCTCTTCTGCTAGAAGCCATAAAAAAAAAGGAAAAAAGACATTTTTTCAAATAAAAAAGTATCTTTCGTATACAAGTATACATTCCCATCACTCAGCTCTTTTTCGAAGAAGACCTCAAAAATTTCTTCAAATTCAAGAAATTAGCGTCAAAAAAAATATATATAAAACTTTGATAATGGAAAAACTCTTTCAAACTTTAAAAAAAGGGACATTTCCATCCCTCAGCTCTTACTATTGCGAAAGTTTTTCCATTTTATAAAAATCAGGCATTTTTTATAGATAAAAAGAAAAAATATCAAGGTATTTTCACGATTTTTTTAACAAACAAATTTTAAAAGCTGGAACGGTATCAATAAAAAAGTAAAAAATATTGAAATAGGCTTGAAAAGTGGTAAAAAGTAACGAAAAAGGAAGTAAAGACGAACATTTTGAGAAGCGAGTGCGGCGGAGACGACAAGAAGCGAGATGAGTAGGAACTTCATGACGGTCGAGATGCGAATGGTACCTTGTCCCCCGGTCGGCTCGGCGCTTTTATTCACGACGAGGCCGGCGGCTGGTTTCCTTCCAGTTTTCCGGAGACGCCCGCCTCTTTCCCCCCGGGTTGCCTATCACTTGTTTGTTGATCGCCGCTTGGCAAGAGACGTGAACAAACTTCCCATGAACTCTTGCCATTCTGTTTGGATTGTTACCTGATTGTGTGCCAGCTCGAAACTTTCCGGTTTCCCCCTCGGGCAGATGAGCAAGAGCAAACAATTGGGGTCGTTCTCATGAAAGGGCTTATTTATATTTAGAGTCCATAAAAGCTCATATAATAGCTCCAAAACTGGAAGTTTGCAAAAATAGCAATTATGTAGAGCCAGTCCATAATACAGTTTCAAAAAAATCATTGGAAAAATTGGACCCTACGTGAAAAATGACTACAAGACATGCAATAAAAGTAAGCACAAGGAGTTAAAAAATTAATTTCTTACAAAGAAAAAATTTCAAACACATTTTTACAGTATACTGCCATTATTAATTAAAATTAGAAAAAAAAACTAAGATCCCTTTCAGTCGGTTTTTAAAATCACACAAGGTTTCTGTACTTCTGACTCATCGAAAAGATGGGGACGGAAAATGAATAAAATTACCCGATGACTTTGAACTTACAAGTAATTTGAACTGAACCGGCTTGGCCCTGAGCATTGCGTAGAAAAATAACTGAAAAATATTGAATCTCAACAGAAATTTAATTTTAAAACGTATGAAAATCCTCTTTGACAGGTATGGAAAAAATGAACAGAAACTTTGAGAGAAATCAACCTAAATGAAACTATATAAAATTGATGAAATAAAAAGGAGAAACGACGAAAACTCAGAAAAAAAAACTAGCTCGCTTAAAACTTTTCACAATAAGATATTAATTGAGAAAAATTCTTCTGCTACAAAAAAAGCTTTCTATGGATAAACTTCTGCTCTAAAAAGTTAGAACACTTTGAACCCGATGAAATAATTATAATTAAAAATAAATAAAAAAAGAAAAAAATTTTTCGAAAAAAATGGGAAATTCCATCGGATGCGTCGCTGTGTTTGCGGAGCTTGCAAGTACCGTATATCGATGAAAATTGTTTCTTCAAACTTTTTTCAACTTTCTTTGAAAAATTATATCATTGTTTTTCATGGAAACTGGTTAACTAAAAACTTTTTTCCGTATTATTTATATTCTGCTCAACTTCTTTATCCATTCTTCTTAAACTTTCTTGGTTTATTTTCTTCAATTTTCACGATTATTTACGTCATTCATAAATAAAATCTGTAGCCGATAGTCTAAACTAGTTTGCCGAGCGGCTCAGAAGTGCAACCATATTTTTTTTCGTCTTTCCGCCGTTCACACTTCAAGAGTGTCGTTGTTGACCATCATGCGCAACATTCCCAACAGCGCGTATTTCTTTTTTTTTTCGGCCGTTTCTTGCAGGGAAGCCTAATATCCTAAAAACTCTGTCGAAAAAAGATGAGAGAACCTGTTTTATACGCAAATAAGAAGTGTAGTTAGTTTTTTTTTGAAAGTCAAAAGTTTCAAGCATTTTTTGAGACTAGATGGCAGTGATAATTGTGTGAAACGAATATTCAAGCTCGTGTAAAAAACATTTTTCAACAAAAATAGAAGCTTACATCTTCTTACATCACCAGACACAAAAATTGACAAGTAACTCTGAAAAGTGGCTAGTTAGGACGCCGTTGAAGTGGTTCCTAAGTACCATCGAAACACCGTCTGGTCAGTAAAGCCCTTAAAAGACAGATTTTTTGGAGTCGGAAGCTTCTGACCTCTTTTTTCCGAGTTGGAAAAGCTTGTAGGGTTTTCAATTTCTGGGTTAAACCCTCTGGTCATTCTAAAAAGACATGATCTTTTTTTCAAACAATCAGATGATTTAGAAGAAGTCATGGAAAGTATACTAAATGGTCAAGAATTTTTTTTTTAACTTCAGAAAAACTCCTTGATGCATTAAATAATCATTCTGTAATTCTCAACTGGTATGACTTCCTAGATTTTGAAAAAGAACACCGCAAAGTCGTAGTAAGCCATCAAAATCTTCAAACATAGGCCCTTTTTGATACTTTAAGGCTGAAATTCTCGATAACTGGGAAATCGGGCCGGTTGCGGCTTTCAAGATCATTTGATACATCGAGGAGTAATCTGGCCAAACCAAGAAATCGATAACCTAAAAGTAAAATTTTCTTTCTTGGGACTGTTTGATTGGGACTTTCTAATTGCTCCAGATTAGGCTACTTTGAGACCGTTTCTCGATATTTTGGTAGTTAGGCCGTTTGAGATTGTATTCTGACCAAATTTCGAAGAATTCTCAGCCGTAGAGTGAAATTATCTTCCTTGTGAGCCTTCGATCACCTTCTGAAGGAAAATTGGAACAACGAACTTTCCAAGAATTTTTCTTGATTTACCAGATCATCATTCTGTAAGTCGCACCTTGCAAAAACTCCTACATTTTGAGACTTTGAAATCGACTTTTTCGAAAATTAGGGTTGGGCCGGTTGAGGATTTTAAGAATTTGGTACATCAAGGAGTAATCTCCTCAAACTTCAAGATATCCTCAACCGTAAGGTAAAATGTTCTTTCTTGAGAATTTTTGAATGGGACTTTTTTCAGATCGTTTCTCGATAACTTGGAAGTTGGGCCCGGTAAGAATTTATTCTCACCGAATTTCAAGGAATTCTTAGCCGTAGAGTGAAACCACCTTCCTTGTGAGCCCTAGATCACTGTCTGATGTTGTTGTAGTAACTAGATATTGAAATAGAAGCAAAAAACAAAGACTGGTGAAGAAAAATAACGAGATTTTTTTTTCCAAAAAGATGAATTTCCAAGCGCTCACAGGTTTTTCAGAATCTCTCATTCGGGCCGACATCCTCTGCGGTTAATTCAGGCTGGTCCTTTATGCGATTCTTTCTTTTCAAAACTGATCCCAATCTGGAACAAAATCTGCTCTAGATTCAACGTCTCTGTTCCTCCTAAAATTTTCAAATCTCATCTGGACAACATCCCCGACAATGAATTATTCATCAGCATCCCTAGACGGCTACTATGATCTCAAAAAAATCTCAATATGCATATACGTGTATTTTTATCAACTGTGATATCTATTGTATTCCCCATCCGGTGAGGTCACTCGTGAGGGTGACCAAAAACCGGTTCTTAACCTTATTTATTCTTTTCACTTTGTGGATGAGTAAATTATTATTATTAATTTATTCTCACCGAATTTCAAGGAATAAGAATTTATTCTAACCGATTTCCGGAAATTTTCCAGTCTTGGAGTAAAATCACTTTCTTCGTGAGCCCTCGATCACTGTCTGATGAAAAAACAGACATACAAAAAGAAAGTCGAAAGTAGCATTGCGGATTTGGGCGTCGCTAATGGAGTCGGCCCGTTCCGAAGAGTCGCCATCGTCTTCATTTTTCCGCCCTCTCCTCGTCAGAAGACCGCCCTCGGCGACGTATTTAAGCCAACTCGTTACCAGTTACGGTTGGCGCGAGGCGACCTAACCAATCTCTGTTTTGACATGCAATTATGTCGCCTACCGCTGTTAATTCTGCTGCTTTCTGGGGATCCCAAGCCGCTTTTTGCGTCTAACATTGGTATGTTCAGACTTTTTTTGGTGAGCAAACTGAGATTCAAATTTTTATTTTTTATTCCTCTTTGCAAACATAAGAAATACTTTCATGTGGCTAAAACTTTATAGAACCTGAATTTCGCTCTCAATTTATTTAGAAAAGATTATATACATGTCCGGCCAATATCTTTTCATTTTCTCCTCCTTGAAATTTTTTTTTTCTTTTTCAGAATTTTTTTTTCCTGAAATTGTAAATATGCATTATCGAACCGTGACTCAGAATCTTCCTCCTGTAGTTTTTTTAGATCTTTGATATTCAGTTACAATTTTTGACACTAACAAAAACTTTAATTTTAGTTTGCACTCTGAATTTGGCCAGAGTATTCCTTGATGCACTGGAAATCTCCAATTATCTTAAAAAAATTTTTTTATTGAAAATTCGGTTGAATTTTTGCTTTTTTAAAAAGCCTTTTTTTGATAAAGAAGAATTCGGGCAGACTGAGAATTTCGGAGTTTTTTGGCGAATCAAGCAAGCACTTTTTGAAAATTTCCGACTTAAGCCGTGTACAAAATACTTCTGTGAAACTCAGAATACCTGTCAGAAAAAATGAAAAAAACTAAATTTTTGAAGAGAGATAATTTTTGGATTTTGCGGAGTACTTTTTAACATGGCATCTTTTATTTTTTTCGTGTAAGATATACTTTTTATTACAAAATATAATAAATGGATTATGAAGACTTCCTATCCGTGGTGATAACTGATAATGATACCCGCTTCAGTGATAGAGCAAGACCCCAGAGAACAAGACCCATTCTACCAAGAGTCAGGGGCCAGAGCTGGCGGACTTCCTCTAGCTGCTGTCAATTCAGTAGTTCACAACGTGAAGCATCGCACCAACAGCAACTATCAAATATGGGACAGCGAGGCGCCGAGCCATCAGTAAGAGTCGGACGTCTTCTGGATAACTAGAAGCGTGTTCAGACTGCGTCGGAAGGACTACACGACGACGACGTCGACGCTGCCGCCTCCGGTTCCTCCAGCGGCACGACGAGGACGTCCTCGAGTTCCGCCGTGGTTTCAAGGGTGGGTTACTGAGAGAAAAAGAAATGATCACTCAAGTGCCCCTTTGAGGGTGAGTAGCTTTTCTAGAAGTAACTACGATGTTTCCTGAATAGTAGCCGGTTTTGACTTTTCTTTGAGCAACTGAGTGACAACTCAAGGGTTTCTGTTCAAGAGGCCACTAAAGAAATTTTGACTGGACTTTTTTTTCAACGGCTTCGTAACAAGACACAATCCATTCTATTATCCTTTAATCCTGAACTTCAAGTGATCCCTTGAGCTATCAATTCTAAGTGGTCCTTTTAGGAATGAACCTGGAAAGACCTAATGTTCACCGAAAACAAATTTTCTTGTTTTTACCCCCTTTCTAAAACGTCATTCTTGATTTTTAAATATGAAATTATCGTGCCACCGACCATGAAACGACTTGCGCGACTCGAGTTGAAAAAAAAGACTTCCAGGTACGGTAATGGCTACGATCCCTACGCTATGATGATGCCCTACGATTACGGTGGCCCCAGATATCCAGCTTATTCCCGAGCACGGTAATTTTTTATAGTCATTTACGCTCAAAAATCCAAGCTTACTGTAATTTCCTTGCTTATCGTGTCAGGACCATTATTTGATCATTCTCCAATTTTTCAGACGACCCATGCTGCCTCCAAGGCCTCGGCCACACTTTCCAGCCCCGGTCGATCCACTTTCCGAGTTGGTACACTTCAAATTAAATCCTGTTTCTTGTGTTTTGTCTTTGAAAGTTCGAAATGAAATGACTTCCAAAGTGTGACTGAATCAACAGCCCTTAAAAGTACAATAATTACAGAAATGGCGCCGAACTCTTGTCGCACATCGGCGCCGACGTCGACGACAACGAGGGCAAACAGGTCAACACTTTGTTCGCTCTATTGAGAATTTTGCATAGAACACTTGTGGAAGCTAATTATGAGTCTTTGGAAGTGTTGTAATAACTAGATATTGAAATAGAAGCAAAAAACAAAGACTTGGTGAAGAAAAAAAAAAGATTTTCTTTTAAAAAAAATGTATTGAAGTGAGAATCTAACACGTAAATTTCTCATGTTTGTTTGTCAATTTTACGTAAGAAAAAAAGTATCTTTCAACGCTTCTGACGTCCTTAAAGCTACTCAGGAACGCCAGAGTGGTCTCTATAGGGACAACGATAGGGCCTTTAAAGGCTTCCCTCCAGGGACATATTTTTACTCCGCGTATGGGGGGATGAAGAGGAGCACCAAAGCTTTCGAAAGTGACGCTGTAGACATTTTTTTATTGGTTAACACCCCTATAGGGACCACTCTGGTGTACCTGAGGATAGCAAAATGAATTTTTTTTTTTTTTAAATTGACTTAATCTCAACGTGTGAGCTAACTACTAAAAAAAACTCGCCCCTAAAATTAACACTAACAGATAAAATAACCTAGCTAGTGAGTGCTGTGCTTGAACTTAACCTACTGAACAAAAATTCCAAAAAATAAACATTTACAGAAATCAACGACCGCCGGGAAAAAAGCAACCTCCGATAATTCCCAGAAGGTTGTTGAATGTTAGACTTGAAAAAAATGTTGTGGAAGACCAACTTTCTATAGAAACTGAATAGCCGAATTTCAGGAGAAGACGTCGAAGGAGGTGACTTCATCAGAAAACAATGAAATTCGAAAGAAAAGGCAGAAAGGGGAGGGAGAGCCGGAGGGCGAGGGAACCAAAGAAGAGGAGGCTGGAGAAGCTGAAGAGGGACCTTCACTGGCCGACGTCAAGAAAGACGGTGTTCATGTGAGTATTCTGGGGGGTTCAGAAGAAACTCAATCCACAAAAAATGTTTTATCTGAGGGATTGAACCTTCTAAAGCACCTTAATTTGAGTTCAACTTTCTTTTCTGTTTTGTTAAAGCTTTTCCAGGGACTGAGAGGACCTCAAAAACCAAAATCCAAGTCCAAGAAGACGTCGAAACCAGAAAAGGAAGAAAATGAAGACAAGGATGAGAAAGATGAGAAAGATGAAGAGAAAGTTGATGACCAAGAAGAAGAAGAAGTTAGTTTTCATAATCAGATTTCTCTCTGATTCGAAAAATTTCCAGAAAAAAGAAGCGGAGAAGGATGAAGACGAGGGAACTAAAAACAAGAAATCAGAGGAAAAGAAGGACAAAACTGACAAAAAAGACAAGAAAAATGAGTCAAAGAAGAAAAACGAGAAAAAGGATAAGAAAAAAAGCAAGGAGGACAAGGAGGATGAAATCGAAGAAGTTGAAGGCGATGTTAAGGTTAGTTTGGAAGAAGCAGAAAATTGAGCCATCAAGTGCGCTCTATTGATAAGTCCTAGTAATCCACCTGAAAAACCTTTTTTCCCGAATGTATTCATAGTTTGAGAAAAAAATCATATCAATTGCTCAAAATACTACATTTTTTTTTTCTAGGTTCGCAAATCGGTCGATGGCAGTACAGAAACTGAGGTTTGCATTCTTTCTCGGATCAAAAAAAAAACTATTTGTCAGGAAAATGAAGATGAGAAGGATGAAGAAGAGGCAGACGATGAGAAAGATTCAAAGAAGAAAAAGAATAAAAAGAAAGACAGGAAGAAAAAAGAGAAAGAGGAAGAGGAAGACGATGAGAAGGAAGAGGAGGAGGAAGAAGAAGATGATGATAAAGATGAAGGTTTGTTTAAAAAAATGAATTTAGAATAAAAAAAACGAATGTTTGCTTTATCTAGAAGTGATCAATAGAGTGCCCCTTTGGTTCAGCTTTTAAGTGGCCACTTAAAAAATCTATAAAGTCCCCTGGAAGGTTACGATCTTCAAACAGCCTACTGATGACTGAAACTTTTTTGAATAGTTCAGAAGATATTGGTAGCCACTTAAGAGTTTTCTGTTCAAGTGATCACTTGCGGAGCTTTTTGTTTCATTTTCCAGATGAAGATGATGAAGAGGAGGAAGAAGACGATGAGGAAGATGATGAGGATGAAGAGAAGGAAAAGAAGAAGAAACCGAAAAAGAAGCCGACGAACATCAACAATCAGCCGACGTCGTCAAATTGTATGCCGATGACGTCACCGCCAGCACAGTACTACGCCGCGCCGACGACCACGACGACAACGACGACGACATCTGCTTATCCGGTGATTAATTGATTGATTTTTACTCCGCAACATGTGCGTTTTTTGCGTTCAAACTTTGAGGCGCCATAACTCGACTAGAACCAAAAAGACGCACTTTTTTCAACTTCTTTGAATTCAGGGTGTTCAAAAGTACCTGTATATAAAGTTTCATCGAATCCCTTGATTTCACGGAACGACATTCCGCTGTGCCGCTGCGCGCTTTTGCGAAGCTTGGCCGCTCTTTTGATTTTTTTTTTCTTTTATCAAGATACTCAACTTTTATGTGCTCCCACAGCAATAACAATCAATTGAAAGCGCGGCCTAGATTCGAAAGACGCTTCGCGAACGCACGCAGCGGAACAGCGGAATGTCGTTCCGTGGAATTTCAAGTCGTGGCACACAGACTATATCTACATTTTTATCCGCAGGATTCTTCACGGCTTCGCTAAGAGATTAAAAAAGCCGAAAAACAGAGTTTTTACTTCTTCATCTTCGACATTAATAAAAGAACTTTTTTTGGCCCCCGGTTGAACTTTTGATGAAACTGGGCTAAAATGCACTTTAGGACCAAGCTCTTGAAGCTGTATAACTTGAAAATATGATCTATTGTGAGAAATTATTTTCTTTTTTTTTGAGTCAGGAGGTCCTAAAGCGCATTTCAGGCAAGTTTCGTCACAAGTTCCAGCGGGGGGCCAAAAAACGTGACCTTGCAAGACTTAGCTTGAGGTGTGAATCGCATCAGGTCGGGTGCAAGATCATGCATTGAACTACTCAATCATAAACGAAGGAAAATGTTACGTAAAACTATTAAGTCAAGCATATACGAAGGAATATGAAATGAAATAGGAGTTACGTATTCTGCCGTTATAAGTAATCACAGCTCTACGAATTCGCTAAAAGAAAAGAAAATATTCAGGTGAACGGATGTTATAGTCAATGTTTCTCGGACTAAATGGCGAGAGAGGCGGGCAAAGGTGCGGAACGCGTAGCGTGTGCGTACGCGGTTCTTGGCACGAGTTCAATTCAAATGCCGCCGACTATTCAAAAGCTCTTCAACCGCTCATTTACTGTATTTTCTACTATTTTTTGATGCGCAAATAAACATAATCAAAAAATAATTAAGAAAGGAGAAAAAAAGCGATAAAAAGCTCTCTGATTGCTGCTGGCGGTTGAATTGAACTCGTGCCAAGAACCGCGTACGCACACGCTACGCGTCTCGCCCTCTGCCCCGCCTCCCTCGCCTTTCAAGTCGGGAAACATTGACTAAAAAACTAATCAACCAAGAAGTTCTGATTTTTTTTTCCATGCAATCTGAAATTCCAAAAACAATTACGAATTTCAGGTCATGCCGAGCGGATACCAGATGGTTCCTCCTGTTCCTCAAAACTGCGTTCCAGCATCAACTGTAGAAAATAATTATAATGAAAACGAGGATGAAGAAGAAGAAGAGGACGAGGAAGATGAAGAGGAAGAAAAGAAAAAGAAAAAGAAGAAGAAGAAAAAAGGCAAGAAGAAAAATGGGAAAAAGAAGAAGTGCGGCAAAAAATGCAAGAAAAATAAAAAGAAAGGTAATTCTGATTCATTTTTGACTGTTGAAATTTATTTTCAGGGAAAGAAACACGACTTCCTGACATCAAAAGAGAGGGCAGAGTTTCTGAAAGGCAACTCGGGAGCTTTGCAAGGTGACTACTTGAGGGACCACTTGAAGAGGGAAAATTTCAGGAAATGACGGTTTGAAGGGCGTCCGGGAGAAGAGCAGCAAAGGTGAGTTTTTTTTAAACTCATCCCAGTAAAAAAAAACTTTTCCGAATTTTTCCCCCTTATCACAATCTTCAGAATTTTTTAAATACTTAGGAAGAAATTGAAAAAATGATACGAGTGAAAAATTCTCATATTTTATGTTTCTTTTGTCAAAATTTGACTCTTTCTTTTTTCTTTCTTTTCGATAAAATTTTGAAAAACTGTCAAACATACTTTGAAACGCCAGAGTGATCCCTATAGGGGGTTAGGTCGATAAAACAGCCCCTAGAGGGGTAAGAAAAGTCCCGTGTAAGGGTAAACTTTAGGTGGTCCCTATAGTGGTTTAGGATATGACCGCTAAGCCTTTAGAAGCTTAGGTTGGTCCCTATAGGGGTCACTAACAAAAATCCATATGAAAGTAGGTAAAGTGGTTCCTAGAGGAAAGCTTCAAGGGCCCCAAAGTTGCTTCTACAGGGACAAGCTCCATAGTATATACAAGAAAGAAATTTCCAAACCGACCGCACTTTCCAGGTCCCGGAGGCATTGACTGTCGGACAGCTACGGACGAGTTTCCACTAAAATGTCCAGCCTGGAAATCGGCCGGATTCTGCGAGACGAACGAGGCGACGCGGTTTCTTTGGTGCCGGAAGACGTGCGTCTGTGATTCTGGAGACTCGACGACGACGACGTCGACCGTCGCCAGCGTCTAAATCTCCACCTTCCCTTCTTTTTTTTCTGTTGCTGCAGTTCCATAATATTGTTTTAATAAATCAAGAAAAAACAGCAACAATAACAAGGAGGGAATAAATCAACAACTAATCAACTATCGACGACGTTGACATCGTAGTAGGTGAGGGTGAACAAGAAGTAGGGAAAGGTTGCGAAGTTGTTCACCAACTTCAGGAAGTACATGACTCCGGGCTCGCGGAACACGACGGCCGCGCTGTTTTCCGATGGCGTCACTCGAAGAAGCTCAAATTCGGAAATGAGATGGAAGAGAGTGATAGGAGGAGAAGAGAGCGCAGACATGTAAATCATTTCAAAATCAGTTTCTCGATTTGAAATGCAAGTTCGCGACAGTGAAGTGACCACTGGAGATGTCACTTGAAAGCTCTTTCGACTAAGGGAGTGAGAAGTGGCCACTTTAGCGATGTTCCCATGCTTTCTAAAGTGGTCCCTCAACTCGCTACGAGTTCCTGATTTGTAATACTTTGTCCTATTTTTTTTTTACGACGCTCCAAATTACATAATCTCAGAAGAGAACAAGGAAATAACACAAAGAAATAAATCAAAGCGGTTTTTACATTACATTTCCTTCATGCTTCAAAAAAACTACAAAAATGTCTAAATCTCTTCTTTCGGCACAAAAATTTGTCAAGAATGCTTGTCGGTGCATTTAAAGGCGCAGAAGTCATAAATAGCTTGAAAATACTATTTTGCTCAGGACCTTTTTTAAATAAGTTAATGCGCCTTCAAATATACCAGCGAGAATTTTTTTTCCAACCTCTTCCTCTTCATCCTCGGCAATGTAGATCAGCTCGCCGCCGGCTTCTTCGTTCCATTCGCCAAAACCAACAAATATCTGCAAAAATCCTTTTTAAAGATTTTCTCGAGCCATTCCCACATGAACATCTAAGCAGTATCCATCCGCGGAACTGGCGGTCGCGTCTTCGTCGCCCAACACCCAATAACTGCCTTTATCCACTCGACTCACTTTCAAGCTGCTCTTGGCGCCTGAACTCTATTTATTTTTGGTTGAGAAGTCCTGAAAACCGTTCAAATTGACGCCGGTGAGGTCGCTCATCAACTTGACGAGAGTCGTCGATTTCATGGCCTTTGTGAGAGAAGCGACGTTTTCAAGATTCCCGACTTCAGAAGAGTTCAATCTGGCGATGTGCCTACAGAGTTTAACTAATGTAGTGAGGAAAATTTTGACCAAAAGAAATATTTTTAAGCTTCTCGCACCTTTTATTGGGCGGTCCGACAATTTCGAAAGAAGCTTCAGACGTTGATAATTCCTCGAACACGTTTCGATGAACTTCGGGCTGAAAATTTTTCACTAAGATGGGCTATTTATTCCGATTTTGATCATTCTGGTCGCAGGGAGAATGGCTCAAAGTGACTTTCACGGAGAATTTCATGAGAATCAGTCGAAAAGATCGTTAGTGCACTAAATACAAGGTTCAAATATCTTGATGGTTCTTTTTTTACTTCTAGGTCTTTTATTCGAAAATTAAAAATTTGAGCGGGAAACGCTCAGGGTCCTGATATGGAACATCAAATCTAAATTTCAGAGGGTTCTCAACTTTGAGAGCTACTAGATCGGCCTAAAATCTGACTCGAGCCGCAACGCGTATGATCCAAAAGTGGCCGTAACCGAATTTTCAAATTGCGAAGCACAACTTTTCAGATTTTAAAGGTGACATTCATATATTATTGCTTTTCAAAGATGTATATCGACGTTTAGAAAATGAAAAAAGACGATGGGAACCGTAACAAAGTATATTTTTGGAAAGGGATATAGAAAAACGCAGACCGCGGAATGCACAAAAAAGATTTTTTGCGGAGTGCTGAAATCGGAAAAAAGCGCCGAGCTCCGCCCATTTTCGGTGTGATGCATTCCCGCAACCACATAGATTCGCTACAAATACAAACCAAGAGAAAATCATTCAAATTGAGCTCAGAATTGTCGGCGAACGTCTTCTGGACGGAATTCTTGCTCTTCTTCGTCAAATATTCGCCATTGAGGACGTTTGACAGTTTGCGTTTCTTAAAAACAACAGAACTTATTAAAAACAAATGGAGGAGAAACTTTGCTGGGGACGAACTTGGGGATCTGTTCAACTTCTGGCATTTTGGCATTGAGCCGTCGTTTCGAATGAAACCAACCATTTATGGAAAGCCGAGGCGAGTCGGAGATGATCTCGGCGACGCGGTGCCAGGATCTTTGAGGACATTATTTTTATGGGACAATTTTTTTTTCGATTTTTATTGATTCATTAACAAAATTTTTTGATTTCTAGGCTTGAAAACTGTACGAAAGTCAAAGAAAAAATCCTAAAATTGAGAAGATTTGAGCAAACCCAAATACTTAATGATCAGAAATTTGGATTTTAAGCTTCAAAACTGTACGAGATTTGAAAAATTATGCAATACAGAGCCGTGAAAACTACGAAAATGTGAAAAATGGAGAATTTTCGAACGTTTCTGAGATTTGAACTTCAAAACTTTATTTAATTCAAAGAAATATAGTCCGTTCAGATTTTTAATATCAAGCAATAAACTCAGACTAGTATTATCCCTAGAGTGGCCACTAGCTGAAACTCTCAGAAACCTCACTTTCACCAGCTTTAGTGACCCCTATAGGGGAGGTAAAGTTGTCCCTGTAGGGGCCACTTTCAAAGACTCCTAAGGTTGCCTCTGTAGGGACCCCTCTGGCATTCCTAAGAAAGTTCAGATCTTGAATTTCAAGCATCAAACTCCGCCCCCAAAAACGCTCTACAAATGGCTCGCTCCCTGATTGGTTTATTGCGCCATTAGGGGCGGAGTTTGAGGGAAGACTTGAAATTCAAAATCTGAACAGACTTTATGCCCTGGAAGAACTCTTTCGTAAGTGCAGAAAAATTAACTTTTTTTTTTTAAATTTTTTTACTTGAAGTTTGAATGAAACAGTGTTACTATGAACGTCCTTATTACCTTTCAGAAACCTCGAAAAAGAACCAGAGAATTTCTAGTCGGTGGTAGTTCTACGGCGACATCTGTCGGTTGACCGTTTTTCTACAAAATATTTGATAATCTAAAAAAATTAGATTAAATACCATCAGAATTGAAAAGTTGCAACGCTCCACCATCGACCTTGCAATCCCAATCAGCTCCCGTCAAGTAATAGACAAAAGCAAATCGTCGGGTGTCAATCTTCAAAAAAAGCAGGTAAAAGGTAAAATCCCCAGAAGAAGACATAGGCGGAGTCGGGAGGACCCTTTACGGGCTCTTTGAGCGTCTGTTATGGATCAATCAATTGTTCCATTAATTGTTCCTAAACAGGTGGTGATGGTTTCCTTTTTACTGCCTTTTTCTGTCCTTTCATCGGTCTTTATCCACCCTTTTTGGACCCTTTTGAGAAATACAATTTTTTTAAATAGAGAATAATTTATACCAGTGACTGTGTATGAATCAAAATGTGCTACAGTAATACAATCGGAAATCATCATTGGCCAGACTTTCAGCACCCTTTTTGCGACTTCTCAACCAAGAGAGAAAAGCTCAGACAGGCCGCAAAACGGAACCCTTTTAGCGTCCATTTTGCAGTCACTCCTTTTTCGCACACGTTCTCCGCACTTTGGCAGTGGAACTATAGAAGGTTTCGATACCATTGTAAGAGGCAAAAATAGGAAAAAAGCGACTTTTAATTTTAAGCGCCCGTGACCATGTTCAACTTCGAAGAAAGTCATCCAAAGAGAAAATTTTCAGAAAAAAACAACTAGTGTTTTTTTTTTGAAGAGCCAAAAAAGGGGAGAAGAGCGTGCTGTATGCATTTGATTCATAGATTTTTTTCATGTAAATCTTCAAAAAAAAGTGATTGAAAAAAACAAGATCTCTAAATTTAAATACAAAAAGGCTGCAGAACATAATTTCCACCACAAAACTCATTTCTAGACTATCAAAAGGGCGTTTATAAGTGGACAAACATAAAATTTATGTAAAAATTTTTAAATTTAGACCTCTCGAAACTGCAATCCTGGATAGCAAGTCCTTTTAACTTACAAAGAAGCAAAAAAATTTCGAAATAAAAGGGCCAAAAAAAAGTCGCACTTGAGAAACATCTGTGGCGGGTCTAGATTCCATTAAATTCTATCTATTTTCTAATTTTCCCAAGTAAAAAAATTAACCAAATCATTATGGGGCAAAAGCGAATCTGCCCGCGCATAACAACTTCCGTTGCAGTCGATATCTGTCAATTCGATTCCAGTGATTCCTTCAAGCCATTTCCGAACTTCTTCGCAAAATGATCGCCTTAAAAAAATTTTTGATTGAAGACGGTTTGAAAAATTTTTTTAATGAGGTTCAAGAAGGTCTTCAAAAAAAACCTGATTTTTCTCACAAATTTTCTAAAGTTCGTTAAACCGATTAAAAAAGCTCGTTAAATGTACGGAACGGCTTAATTTTTGCAAAAAAAAAACTGAGCTTTGTCTTTTGCAGTACATAGAAAAGGAAATGCAGCAAACCCGTTTTTAGGCAAAGTCGGAAAGAGTGGAAAGAAGATCCATAGAAATTTTCCTTTTACGGTTAAAAAGACTCTTTTTTTGCTACCTTTTTTCACCATTTCATCGGCTCTTATGCACCATTTTTGCTGCCCCTCCTATTTCCCTCATTTCTTGAGCCTTTAAAATTCTAAAGAAAAATGGGGGGCTCGATAAAGGGACACTTTTTTCTGCCTTTTTTGTACCTCTCCCTTCTACGGGCATTATCCACCATTCCGACTTTTGCCGAGTTCTATTCGAAAAAATTCTAGAAAAAATTAAGTCAAATTGTGTAAGAATGTAACACGAAATTCAAGAATTTTAAACTTAATTATTTTTTCCTTGACAAATTAACTATAGTATATTGATTGCTAATAATTGCTCATTTTTGTAGCTTTTATCGCTAAAATTTTGCTCCCAACCTTGAAACCCTTGAAAAATTCCAAATGAGTAAAATTTTTGACAAAACTTCACGGGAAATTTTGGAATCCAAACCTAAGAATTCCAGAGTGGTCCCTATAGGGGTGAAATTGAGGTGGTCCCTATAGGGGTTTAGGGTATGATCCATTAGCCCCTAAAGCTCAAGTACCCCCTAGAGGGGTCGTTCGATTTTATTAAAAAAAAGTTGTTTTTAGATTTTCGCATGGAAATGCTTCTTATCATAGAGTACATAAATTTCCTCTATAGGGGCCACTAACTGAAACCCCATACGGGGGCAACTTTTGTAAGCTTTAGTAGCCCCTATAAGGGTTGGTGAAGTGGTCCCTAGAGGGGTCCTCCAAGGGTCCCTTTTGGGACCACTCTGGAGTTCCTCTTTTTCGAAATTTTCCATAATTTTTCCAGCTGATAGTTTTTATTTACAATTTCTATTTTTTCAATTAAAAAAGCTGTTTCCTTCAAAAACTAAACTGACCGGAAAGAATAAAGAGCAGGATACTGGGAGGCGGAAAGAGCCTTGAAATCGACGGTCTGGTACAAGGAATACAAATCGTTCTCTTTCCGTTTCCACTCGCCAAAATTCTTCAAAAAGGATTAGAATTGATGGAAGAGATGATTTTTGTTAACCTGAAGCTCTTCTTCAATAACTTCAACGATATTCGAACTATTGTCAACGATATTGCGCAGTTGCCAATGTGGGAAAGGAGAATGGTCTGTAAAATTAACATTTTTTCAAAATCTCGAAAAATAATAGTCAAAACATTTTGATGGAACTTTCATATAGCTATGCTCCTTTAACAATCTCAACTTGGATTTCACTGGGAAAAATATTTTTTTGTGGAAAAAAAACACCAAATTTATACGATTAAAATGAAATTAAAAAGCTCAAAAAAAGTGAAAAAAATGCGCGTTTTTTTCTCCTATAAATCCTTAAAAACCAACTCAAACCAGATTCCTACAACAGATTTTAGATATACCACTTAACAAAAAAAAAGCAATATTTGATGCCTTGTTAAGTAAACATGAAAAAAAGAAATCCAAAAATTTCAACTTGGTTAAAAATTTTGTATTTGCCCCCTAAATTTCCTATAAAAACAACAAAAATACTTTTTAATTAAGAATCCCGCTACTGATCCTGAATATTTCAATTGATAAATAATAATGAGTAATTTTTAAAGATTAATGTGGTAAAATACTCGAAACTGTTCAGAAATTTTCAAAAGGAAGCTTTTTTTTTGCATTTGTGAAAGGTTTCAAAAAAAGATAAAACTGACCTTTTTCGAGAACCTTCATAAAATCCTTCTTGAACTTCTCGCCGAGCGTATATTTCGCATTCAGATTGATAAAGTTCAAAACGACGGATCTTCTTTTCTTGGCCCGCGGCGATGGCGTCGTCCCGTTCTTTCTTTTTGCAATTTTCGGGCTTTTTGTGGCCATCGAAGTCTCAAAAATCAAAATTTACACAAATTTTACGGAATCTCAAAAAAAAAAATGCTGATTTGAATTTGATGATTTCGCAAAGCTTTTTTTGCGATTTTCCTTGAAACCACATTGAACTGTAGCGATCGAAGCTTCAAAAAACAAGATTTTGGCGATTTTTATCAAACTGTACGAAGAAAAAGTGTGTCGAAATGAAAAAAAAAAATGCATTGGAGCGCTTAGAAACAAAAATTTTTTTGTGGTTTTATGCCTTTTTACTAATTTTTATTCCAAATCAATCGGAAAACGCTGATATCATGACAACACACTTTTTTTCAGGAGTATTTTTTTCTGCGTTTTTCCCTGGAACCTCATGCTCTTCATAGCCGTTTGAACTTCAAAACTCAAGATTTTTCCCTAATTTTATTACTCTCCAAAAATTTGTCGAAATTAAAAAAAATAATGATCAGAACTTTCCAAAACAATAAATTTATTGGATTTTAGCACTTTTCTATTTTTTTTTTCTTAAAGCTATCCTAAATTTCCTGCTCAAAATAGCCATCGGAGTGTCAAGTTTTCAGGGTTTCTATACACTTTTCACAAAAAGTGTCTCGAAATTTAAAAAAATCGTTCTTCGAACGTTTAAAACAACATCAGGATTTTTTTTGATTTGTTCTTGAAACTATTTCTGCTCTTTTTAGTCTTCGAAACTACGAAATTCAAGATTTTCATGAAATCCATGGCAGAGCCACAAAAATTTCTCGAAATGAACAAAAGAGTCTTTTGAAAAGACTGACTTTCACGTTTCAAAACAGTAATTTCTCTTTTTCGTATCATTTTTTGCTGCTTTTCTCCACAAATTCCTTTGAAAGGGTCATAAATTAAGAAGATTTCTTAGAGAAGGTACAGAAAGTTCAAAACCTTTTAATTACAACCCCTAGAAATATCGAAATTAACCGGGCTTTATTGAACAGAACAACTTATAACAATCTTCGCAATCTCAACAAGAACAAGAAAAAGTGAATCAACGAGAAAAACTGAAAGATGCTTCAAAATAAATTTTTATCGAACGACAAATTTATTTTCTCCTTCCGCCACACAGTTCAAGCTCGTGTCGGCGTGGTCTCGGGTGATTATCTGGAAAAAATGAAGTTATTCTCAAAAAATCGATAAACATCCTACCATAATTACTGGAAGTCCTTGTCGTATTTGGAAACCGGGAAGGCTCAGAATGCTTTTGAAATCGTTCCACTCAAAAACCTCCATCAGATATTCTTCATACTCATCCGTCACGAAGAATCGCACGTTCTCATAACTGCAGAAAGTCGTTTCAAAAAGGGGGTATGAAATAAAACAAGCGGAATTTCGAATGGCAGCCTTTCCGACTTTTTTTTCTCGATAATCTCTTCGTTTTAAAATCTTCTCCTATAAATTAGGTAGTTTATTCATGCTTAAAACACAAAAACAATGTTAATAGATCTTTTTAAACCGAAAAACATAAGAGAAAAATCGGAAAGGAAATATTCGGAAAAATCCCTATATGGAAAAATCAGAAAAGTCGCCGCTTTGAAAATTCGCTGTCTTCTTTTCTTACACCTTGAAAAAAATTCACTTTTCTACAAAATAATCATGCTCCATTCATTTAGCTCCCGACAAAATGCTTATATTCCGTTCGCCGCGACTTGAAACTTTCTGCCTGTCTGCGTCTCTCCGTTCCCTCACCGACAAAGTCAGAGAAACATGGAAACAGCACGTAAACATAAGAGAGACGTCAAGAGGCGAAGAGGGCGCAGAGAAATATCTACCGTTTGGCAAATGGACTATTTAAAAACATAGTTTTTTGAACTTTCGTTAGTTGAAAAAGCTCCAAAACACTTTTTGAGAAGGAGAAGTATATTTTGTCATTGAAATGATCAACATAAACATTTCCACTTACATTTTTTTCCGTAGAAACAGGAATTTTTAATTTACAAAAAAATAAAAATGAAAAATTGAGAAGTTGAAAAAAACCGGATTTCTTATGAAAATTTCTTGGTTTCCAATTTGAAAAGGCTTTTTTTCATTCTTCCAAGCTTGAGGCAGAAATCAAGGAATTGAGCTTGAAATAAAGGTCTAATTCAAAACACATATTTTCAAATTTTCAATGCACCTTGATCCTTCAAAAAGGACAGAAAACTTTAATCTCAATTTTTTTCTTCAAATAAAAAAATCTTTTTTTCTCAAACACAAAAAAACCATACCTAAACTGATTATTCGTGTCCCATTCGGGTGGATTCGCCAAAACTTCTCTCATAATTTCGCCAAGCAGTGTCGTCTCACTCGTTTCCGTCAGAACATCCGTTTGTCCGGCCTAAAAATTGTCATTTTTTTATTGGAAATTAAATTATTCAGTTGTAAAATATGATATGGAGAGAGAATTTTTTTAATTCATAGATTTTTTTCTTCTAATCAAAAAAAGACCTCAGGATACTGTAGTAAAATCGGCCAGACCAAGTTTCCCTCGTCGTCAAACTTCACACGTTCATGCTGAAAAAAATTTTAACTCTTGAAAATTAGACTTGAAATATGAAAGTTTTTTTTTTATTTGAGGAAAAAATCTTGTCTCAAAAAGTGCCCACACAAAGCGATAGTTTGAAAACTCTAAAAAGAAATGAATAAATATTCCTAATTTAAAATTAATATTTTTAATATGATTCTCAAGTCGGAATGGTGGATAATGGTCGCTAAAAAGGGAGAGGCTCAAAAAAGGCTGCAGAAAAGCAGCAAAAAGGGTCCCATTATCGAGCCTTTTATTTTTTTTTCTAGGATTTTGAAGGCTCAAGAAATGATGGAAAAAGGGAAAGGCAGCAAAAAATGGTGCATAAGAGCCGATGAAATGGGGCAAAACGGCAGCAAAATAGAAACCTTTGTCATCCTAAAGGGAACATTTTCAGGAAGCCTTTTTTTCCACCCTTTCTAACTTTGCCTATGAATGATGAAATATGAAAATAAATCATTTCGTTTGCAAAACTCATTGAAAAAAATTCTCAAAAATATCATGAAAATATTTTAAAAAAAGTAAATCAGCCACTTTCTGTTCATTTTGAGATAAAACCGAAATTAAAAAAAGAAAGTATAAATGATTTTTTCAAGAGTAGAATTTTATTATTCTTGAATTTTTGACGTTAACGGAACTTGTAGTTCAAAAAAGCACAGAAACTTGGCAAAATAGTTTGAAATTTGAAAAGAAAATCTTCAACACACAATTATTATATTAAATTCGTTAAAAAAACATAAAAAAATTCAACATTTCCATGACTGTCTGGTTATCTCCACGTTTAGCACACTCTATAGCTTTTAGACATTTTTAGACTTTCAGACAATGCTCATTCCAGCTAGAATTAACTAAAATTGCTTTTTAAAAAAATCAGTAAAAACAAAAATAAAACAGATAAAATAATGATTTCAAAGAGAAGACAGTCAAAATAAAAAAAAACTTCTAAAACTAAAAATTTTCAAAAAATATGAATATACCACAATTTTCTAAATTATGTGATTCATACTTTTTCATCCCTTAAAAAAATGAAAAAAATAAAACTAACAGAATGCATTAATGGTAAAGAAACGTCCAGCCTGGCCCAATCCATCAGTTCTGGGTTCGAGAAAGGCACCCGCGGATTCAAATTCAAATTTCTCTCTTTCAAAGCGTCGAGGAGCTTTTTCTTCTTCTCAACTTCTTTCTTTTCCTGAAGAATTTTAATTCTAATCAAAGTTTGAAGTGAAAAAACGACCTCAGCCCTGCTTTTGCGATCATTGCGCTCTTCGAGAACCGCCGTTTGTACGGCTTTGACTCGGAGTTTCTCCAAATCGTCGATTTGTTTCTTTTCCTCGTCCGATAGGTCGGCTAGAACATTTTTTAAAATTTTCTCTAATGACTACTTTGAAAATTTTTACTTATTGAAGTTTTATCAAATTGTTTCAGCTAGATTCAATAATTCGAGAAACTATTCACATCGAAAAAAATTGAAAAAAACGAAAAACGTTCAGAATTTTTTTAGAGCTTTCATTTGTAAAAAATGAAAATAACTTTTTTTCTAATTATTTGAAAAATGTTTTAAAAATGCTAATTTTTTTAAACATAATTGTATTTCGATTAGAAATCGCCCCCTTTTTTCAGATTTTCTTGGCCTAAAATTCCCAATATTCTACTTTAAAATTGTCTGAAAATGAACAATTAGTGAAAAAAATATTTCTCAAAAATTAATCCAAAATGGTTTTTTTGACTCTTTAAACGAGTTTGAAAAAAATCTAGAAAAATCACGGAGAAAACAAATTTTTTTAGTTTTTTTACTTAAGCCCTGAGTAGGAAATTTATTTCTGATAAACTAACAGTATTTTATGGAGATTTTCTAACAAATGAAAAGTCTGAAAAATTTACAATTCTCTGAAGTTTCCTTGTGAAAAGCGAAGGAAAGTTTGGAAGTTTCGATCCAATCCAAGGCGTCTCTACCGTATCCCAGTTCCAATAGACACTCAGCCCCTCTAATGACGCCCTAAAGCTGGAAAATCCTCATAAACTCTCTGAGAAATGGCAAAAATCACTTTCAAGTGCATGGGGTCGAACTTTCGTCCCACGGTGCAGTCTTTGACGGCACTCCGCAGATTTCCGAGGTGTTTTTGGGCGGCCGCACGGTTGAAATACAGAACGGCGTTGAGTTTCCGGTCGAGGCAGTTTTCCTTGATTCCTGGGAAATATTTTCATCGTTTTTTAAACTGATTTAATGCGGTGAAATAAGCCTAAAATGAAAATTTCATCATTTCAAACTTGCCTTTGGATTGAAAAAAATCGTACATAAATGTCTCGAAACCCCCCCTATCTCCATAATTTAGACTATTCTTAATAAAAATATGAAATAGGCTCGAAAAAAATCTAATAGGTGCCGCTGAAAAAAATTTTTTTAAGGAGCATTCGGGAAATTCGAAAAACCCAAAAAGTGAAAAATTTTTTTCAGGCGGTAATTTAAACTATGATTATATATTTATTCACCGTTTTTCTTTCAACTAATTAAAAAAATTAATTTTTTTGGTTTAAATAAAACTCGAATGAAAAAAATCCTTAATTTCAAAATTTCAAACGGCTCATCGCCTCGAGACCTTCATAAAAACTATCCATGCACTTTTAAAAACCCAAAAAAACTATACAATCCAAAAATCAAAAATTGAATAACCTTTGGTATAACAATCCGTCGCCCATCGGTACTTTTTCAACCCAAAATGTTTATTTCCCTCTTTTTTCGAAGCTTCTGCATTCACCGTCTTGTCGCCAGCATCGTCTTCGTCGTATTTCAAAGCCTGAGATCATATGAACTCAAAATTATCTAAATCTCAGAAAAATAAACCTGCAAAGCCTGAATGGCTTCAGAATATTCGCCGTCGGGCTTCAAATCTTTCATAAAAGCCGGATGCTTATCGATTTCCTTGCACCATTCATCAAAATCGAATGGTTTTTTCGGCTTGGGATCGGCGTTCTCAAACAAATTTCCATTGAAAAACATTTTTTTGCAAAGAAAAACCCGTCTAGCGGCCATCTCCTCCATAAATTGGTCCAAGTCATCGTCGAGCTTCTTCGCGAGTTCATTCCTCTCGGCTTCCGTAAGCTTTTTATTTTTTGGAAGTTTTATCGGAGCGCTCATCTGAATATGTCACTATAACATTAAAAAACTAAATTCCTCTTAGAGAATATGATTTCCTAACCAGAACAAAACAAAATCATCTTTATTCTCGAGTTACATTGACTAAGTAGCGAATTATCAAATTAGGAACAATGTAGAGCTTTTAAACAAGTCATTGTCATATTCAACGTTAAGTAACTTCAAAATAAGTACATCGTAAATACTTCAAAAAATAACAAAAAGAAAAGTCAAAATAGGAAGCAGAAAAAAAAGCGAAAATTTTCTTCAATGCGGAAGGTGCGCTCCATCGCCAGAAAAATTCAAACGATCGATTTCGCGGGGAAATCGAGGGGCACGCCGATGGCACCTGTCCAATTTCTTTCCGACGGCATTCCCCCCGGGAACTTGTCGAGTTTGAACCTCGGCAGCAGTCTCAGGCGTGTTATGCGCCAGGCAGTCTCCCCAATGTTGACACGACAAGATCATGTGGACCGTTTCCTGTTTTCTTCCACCTAACTTTTCAAGTATTTTCGCTTTCCCGATCGATCTCACTTTTTTTTCTTCTTCTTCTTCTGGACCTTGAACATTGTAAAATGCTGTCTGTCGGCAGCTATCACATGTTTTGAGCTTGCCCTCCAATTCGTTTCCGCCCAACTTTTTCTTCACTTTGAAAAAATCAATGAAATTTTTCAGAATGACCCGCTAGCGACAGTTTTTGTAAGACTTTCACGAAATCGAAAAATTAGGAATATTTGAAAAAAAAAAAAGAGATAAAAAAATGGTGAGCGTCTCCAAAAAGAATCTGGTAGACCCGCGGCTGCTGATCGGCAATCTGGTCCAAGTTCTTCCCGATCAGCTCTACTTTGCTTGTCTAAATGAAGATATTGGCGAACATGTAGCCGGCCAAGTTCTGTATATATCGCTACATGGCAAGGTTATTGTAAATTTCAATCAAACAATTGAGAAATTTTCTTTTTTAGTTCCACTACGAGCCATTTTATGAAGATTTCGGCCCATGGAATTTATCAGTGTTATACCGTTTGTGTATTCTTGTCGACAACATTGTCAATGTGAGTTTTATCGCGTTGTTTTTTTCATTTGACACTTTTTTTCGGTTGTAGTGGTTCTCAAATTGATTCATGAAAATAAAAAGAAAAAAATGAGAAAAAGCACTTTTTTTGTCAACTGGTTTCGTCAATCGTGTCATAATAATTGAAAAAGAAAGTTTTTTTGAGTACTGAAAAATGTTTCGAAATTCTTCTATCCCTATTTGAACCCTAAAAAATTTCTGAACAAAAAAGTACCAATTTTCGGAAGAGAATCAACTTATTTCAGTCGGAGCACCGACGAGGCCGAAAAGTGGTCATGTACTGCGCGGACAACGGTCGGATCGACATTGAGAAAGTTCGCGTCAACGCGGCCTACGTCATGGCGGCGTATTTAGTAGGAAATCTTCAGAAAACCGTTGGAAAATTGATGATTTTTGAGATAATCTATCATAACTACACGGCTGACAACGCGTATCTCGTGATTGAGGCCGCGCAGCCGCCGAAATTCATCGGATTCCGCGACGCCGCGATGAGCCACCCATCCTACTTTTTGCACGTTCATGACGTCTTGCGCGGTGTTGAAAAGGTGGATTTTATTGATTTTTAGGGAAAAATTAATGCCTGTCATTGAAGAGAGGCTCTCGTAAAACGCTGAAAAAAAAATCTGGAAAGAGGAAAAAATAAGGAAAATTAGAAGAAAATGTCTACAAATGTTTCTGGGTTATACGCAATCTTTGATAATTTCTTGGGAAAAATTTTGGTTGTCATTTTAGGGTTTTGACGTTGAAATTTTAGTGGCCACTTAAGTGACTGAAGTTTAGAGACCTCTTTAAAAGTAAGTGGTATTACTAGACTTTTTGTGGTAAAATAGTGGCTTCTATAGAGGTGGTTTTAGTGACCACTTTAGTGTTCTCTCCAAATGGTCTTTGAGTAACCTCTTAAGTGACCTCTAGATGTTCTTTTTTTCTGTTTTTTCTAGGGAATTTTTGAGACTTCTCGAGTAACCTCTTAAGTGGCCTCTAGATGTTCTTTTTTTCTGTTTTTTCTAGGGAATTTTTGAGACTTCTTGAGTAACCCCTTAATTGACCTTCAGAGTTTTTCCAGATTTCAGGTTTTTCATGAAGAATTTTCAGTTATAGTCTTTTTTTTTCTCTGTTTCATTTCATTTTTGCAGGCCTTACAACTTGGCTGGCTGGACTTTACCGATTTTGACTATTTGGAGTACGAACGGTACGAGAAAGTCGAGAACGGCGATTTCAATTGGATCATTCCCGGCAAGATTCTCAGCTTTTGCGGCCCCCACAGAGAAAGTCGTGTTGAAGATGGTGGGTTTTGACAACTTCTTCCAGACCTCAAGTGGAAAATTCTTCAGGTCTTCTTAATTTCATAATCAAGATTATTGCTAGAACTGGACTTAGATACATTTTTTTTTATTTAAGAAAACTTTTTGATTCTTCAAAGTTAACGGTAAAAGTTAAGTCAAAAGCTAATAAAATCGAATTTTCTGCACGATTTCGCTCAAGATTTTTTATTTATTTCATCAAAACTTGATCTTATTTTTCTATAACTTCTTAACGATTTCTGAGTTAGAGAAAAAAAAAAAACTTTTTTGTCCGTTTTTTTCTGAGATGTTTCATAAATCTCAATAAGAATTTGATCTTCTTTTCCTATCTTTCTCTCAAACTTTATTTCCGCAGAATTTTCTTCTTTCTCTCAACTGATAAAGATCTCTAGGCTATCCCTACCACGCGCCGCACGTTTATTTCGATTATTTCAATTCGCATGGAATTTCGACGATAGTCCGGTTGAATGTCAAGGTCTACGAAGCTAAAGAGTTCGTTAAATTTGCATTAAAAAAGTAGTAATTTTTACTTTTTCAGTTTCACCGACGCTGGTTTTGACCACGTCGACCTGTTCTTCGTCGACGGAAGCACGCCATCTGACGAGATTGTTCAAAAATTCATCGACGTCGTTGATAATGCAGAAGGAGGCGTTGCGGTCCATTGCAAAGCCGGTAGGTTTTAGAATGCGATCGGAAAAAAATCGCCAAAAAAATGACTTTTTTTGATTTTTTTTCAAAAAAAATAAATTCAGTGTTTAGAAGTTTCGAAAACTTGAGAAAAGACATCAAAAAAAATAATAAATATCGAGAAATAGCGAAAAATTTGAACTATTTTTTTCGGTTTTTCCATCCATAAAGCTGTCAAAAAAATAAACAAACCTGAAAAATTCAACCAAGTGAGTAAAAATGGTGTCAATGACGATTTAAATTAGAAGTTTGAGCCGATAATTTTTATTTTTAAATTTTAAGAACGAAAAAAACCAAAAAAATACTCACCCATTTTTCGCTGCAGTATAACATTTCAAAAAGCAAAAAGATCGTTTAAAAAGTGCTATTTTTTTGAAATGCATTCTTTTTACGCTCTCTCGTTCTTCAAAACTCATTTGAAAATAAAAAAAAACATTTTATATTTACTAGAAAATCATACGTTTCTGCAGTCCTTTTTAGGCTGTTTTGATTTTTGAATCCCAGTATTGTTGGTTTCGTGGTCAAAGCAATTTTAAAACTTTATTCTTTCGAAACTTTTTCGCGAAATAAGCTAAATTGGGAGTCGTTAGAAAAATTTGGTCCTGCAACGATATATCGTTATATGGTGACTTCAAGCGCGAATTCAACATTTTGGTTGGAAATTGTCCGAATAGTTTAGTGCAAGCAAAAGTCGTCATTTCGTTTTAAGACCTAACGATTCCGAATTTTCCAATTTTGTAAATTTCGCAAAATTTTTGAACGAATAACGCGCCAATTTCTTTTAACGATGGTAAGAGGGAATTTTGGGTCCGCGAATGTTCGTGAGCGTGAACTGTGCGTTTTGGTTGAGAAATGTCTGAATAATTTGAAAATTTGGGACTTCGTGCGTATGAAAAAGTCGCCATCTCGTTTTAAAACCCAATTTTTGTAAGGGCTTTCAAAATTCCATTTTTGAGTTCAAAAGAACAACGCGTCAATTTCGAAACCACAATCAATTTGTTGTAAAATGGCATAAACTGATTATTTAACAGGCCTCGGCCGTACTGGAACCCTAATCGCGTGCTGGATGATGAAAGAATACGCTTTGACGGCCGCGGAATGCATGGCTTGGCTCAGGATTTGTCGGCCCGGATCGGTCATCGGACCTCAGCAAGGCTTCTTGGTTCGATCCTCCTCATCTCCTTCATCACTTCTCATTTTTTTTAAAGATCGAAAAGCAACGATTCTGCTGGTCGTTGTCGAAAAACAACGGCGTTCACATGGCGAGGAAAGGTCGCTCCGGCGAGAAGAAAAACGTCACTAAGCTGGTGAATAAGGTAACACAGCCTTCTTTCTTATTTTGAAGGTTTTTTGAGACAAGCTTTGAAAAAAAGATATTTGAGTTTTGAAAGGCATGCCCTTGAGCTTTGAACGAAAAATGATGTTTCAGGATTTTTTTTTTTTTTGAAGTCTTTAGAAGGAATCGAACTTGTGGCTTTGAGATTATTGAGAAAAATATTTCAGGAATTTTGTTGCAAAATTTGCTGTTTTCAAGGTGCTACTATACTTCTGTTCTTGTTATCATAAAATTCGAAACTTTCCAAACCCATGCATTTTCAAAAATGTATACTTGAACAGGTGGACGGAATAAAACTGGCCCCACGACGAGACACCTCCCCCAGTTGCTCCCGAACCCTTCCCGCATCGTTTTGTGACGTCAGGTCCAGGGAAAACTGCCGTCCGCGACCGAACATTCTGCCGGTGCGCCGGAAGGACCGCCGCCCCGGCGCCGTCGTCCCCGAGGGCAATTCCAACGACGTTGATGACGAGGTGATTCGATTAGGGAACACTGTTAATTGGGATCTCTTGCTTGTGTGATTGATACTGTAAGATTAATTAATCTCATAATCACGCGAGGAAAATAAGCGCTTTTTTAAATCTTTAATCTTTGAGGTATGAGTTAAAACTTTTGGAAATGTGTATTGAATCGAAAAGAAATTACATTTTACACATATAAATCTGAAGGAGTAGATAGAGAGAAGAATTTTTTCAATTCAGTAAGTTTTCCGACGGTCAAATTACTGGAAAAAAGAGTCGGAGAAGGCTCCCCAGAGGTACGAAAAATCCGCTAATTCATCATGATCAGGTTCATTTTGCTATGAATATGTTCTTTTCCCAGGACTTCTTAATTTTTAGTTACAACAGTTTTCCAAGCACCAATCGACTTCTATAAAAGTCAGGCTCATATTTCCTTCAGTAAAGATGTCCTTCAGACAAAGCTGGACGAGAAAGGCCGATCTCAAGGCGACCGACTTCTGGCCATCAAGGCGCGAAGCCAACACGAACATCAGATCGACGCACCGCAGCTGACGACCTTCGGAAGGTCTCATCGATCGACGGCGCCGCCCTTGGTCCTCCCCAGCCAGGCCTTCCTCAACAAGAACCGAGAGCCTATCACGGTTCGTTATCGTCTCATATATAGCTCAAGTTTGAAGAGAGAATTTGAATTTTTTCCATTCCGAACACATTTTTGACACCATAATAATCACACTGACAATTTTTCAGCCATAGTTTGATTTTCCTTTTTTTGAAAGTAAATTAGGTTTATATGAACTTATTTTTGTGATAGCTCAAGTTTCAAGAGAAAGTTTTGAAAAAATATATCCTTTGAGCTTTTTTTCTAACTTACCACGAGAGCGCTTCAGTTAGAAGAATTCTTTTTTCAAAATTCAATCCAAAAAAATTTAGTTTTTCCTGTGATAAACCCAGAAGAAACGATCAGACAAGAAAAAAGCCATTTTTCAGCCGCCTCGGTCGAGAACGCGCTCTAACAACATTAACAACAACCATACGAATAATATTAACCAAGGACAAAATAGTCCAACCTACCGTTCTACGCGTGGCGTGGGAAACGCGGCCACAGCTGCCGCCAATGCGAAAACGGTGAGAAAATCTGAAAAATTTGACTGAAAAGGTAAAAAGAAGACGTTTTTTTGTACCAAGACTGACATATTGAACTTCACCATCAATGCAAAAAGTTTGTATTCTACAAACTAGTATCATTTCTAAACTTTTCACTTATCAGTTATCATTCATTTGAAACCTGTTAAATTCTAAAAATTGCTTCTTCTTCAAGAAGGATTTCCAGGGAAACGAGGTGTTACAATTCTCGAATTCCCTCCTCTACAAGGTATCATTGAGAGTTCAAAATAACCAGTTTTGTGTGATTCTGTGGTTTTTAATTTTAATTTTTGTGTTCGTTTCCAAATTTTGCCCAAAAAATGTCACGTTTTCGATCCGAGAGAAAGATATGAATTTTATCAATTTCGATATAACTTCATTAAGAAAAGGGAATTTCTCTGATTTTCTTATCGATGATTCTTTAGTTTCTGTTCTTTGTAGTTTCATTTTCAGTTTTCGTGGCGATTATCCAGAATTTCAGCCCTCATCGGCCGTGTTCCCGAGCATCGCCTCTCGACGCTCCGACGCGACGAGATTCTCCTCCCCGACGACGCCAATCAAGCCGATGACGCCGACGACGACGTCGGCGGCTCGTCTGAATCCTTTCCGAAATCATGACGTCACCTCCAGTCCGGTGAGGAATCTTATCAAGTATTAACGAAAATGTGTTTTTCAATTCAATTTAGCCTTATTATCAATTAATTATCTAGCTTTTTTGAGTTTCTGGGAGAGAAAAACTAATGGTAATTCAAGGGCAAAAAATGAGAGAGAAATAATTTCAAGCGAAAAAACTTTGATCTGAGGGTGGAAAGATTGGGAATGATTACATTAAGAGTTGTCAGTCTATAGTCTTTGCATGTCCGTATAGGAAAATAAAGCTGTGAAGTCGCTAAAAAAAATTTGGAGTGTAATCAAATCATTTATTTTGTTGTTTTAGTCTGATGTAATCGACTAGGCGGTGAACAAGAACTTTAAAAGCTATAACGAACAACCGCCTTTGGCGAACTAGAAGTCCAAACGTGTAGTCGAAAGAGTTGAAAGAATGGTCTTACGGTCCTTCGCCTCGTCCTTCTGCGCGTAGTCCATCCAGTTGCGCCTTGACGAGCTCAGAATTTAGCTGATGTTGTGCTGGAGCCCGGAGACCGTGCTCTAGGTGGAAGCCTCAGAATGAGAGCGACCACTTCGAGTGAAGATTTTACACGGAATGTAGTTAATTTTTTTCGTATATTATGCTCAATAGTATTGTGCGCGGAGTTTTTCCTTATTTATCATAAATAGGCGTAAACTTTCATATTGACTGACTGGATAACTTTGAGAGAAACTTTTTCTTGTTCTATAATCCGGAGCTCCTTAAGTAAACTTCAGCCAAGTTCTATCAAAATTTCAATCGAGGGGTGAAAAACGTTTATCAGTAAGCCCAAGAGGTGGTGTTGACAAAAATTATCGTAAATTTGAACTTTGGGAGGTAGTACTGATTTTAATTTATGAAAACTCAGGAGACCTTTGAAAATTCTCTGCCCATTAATGCATTAGAAAGCTATTTGGAGATAGTTCTGATGAGACTTCGCTATTTCAAAGATTGTAAAATACGCTTGTCGTGGTGGTGTATCAGCTGCGGCCAGTTCTGATGTATTAAGGAAAGTTTTTTCGAGAAAAATTCTGAACCTTTCCGCATCTGTATTTTCGTAATCTTCGTGTTCCACTCGTTCTTTCTCTCTCACTATCCAACGTGTTGCTCGATTCTGTGTCTCTGACGTTGTCGTGGTGGTGTTTCAGCTACGGCCGGTCAACGTCGACCCCCAGCGGCCGCCGAACTTTTCGGCCATTTCGGCCGTTTCTCGCACGCAACTACCCGCAAACGCTCTTCTGATCGTCCCTCCACAGGATGCATGGCCTGTCTTGCAAACCTTTTCCGTTGAGACTTGGTTTCTCTTCTTTTTTTTTCTTTCCATCCGATTAAGTAGAGAGAAGACTTCTCATTTTCTATGTCTTGAAAAATAACCACCCTTAAAAATATTTCCAAGAAAAATCGAGCCTTTTTGGTGAAGACGTGAGAACAAGCCCAATTTTCAAAAAAGTTGAAAAAATTGTAATTTGCGATGGAGCTCACAAGCCTTTTTATCAATCTTGGCCCTACTTTTAAAGCTATTTTCTTCACTTCCAGCCATTTTTTGAGAACTTTTGTTTAATCGAGATTTTTCTTCGTAACTGCGATAGTTTGAAATTGAAATTAACGCACCTAAAAGATTTCTCACGGTCTGAAATGGAGGTATTTGTCGAATTTCTCCCACCTCCGGTTCCTTTTCCTGTTGCTTTTCCTTTTCTCTAACAAACTTATTTTCATTTTTCGTTCAACTTCTCACTGTCTCCTCAACTGTCAAATATCGTTACTCATTAAAAATACTGTGAATAGTGTTCCCTGTTAATGCCTGTAACATTGTTGTATCTTTGGTTTTTTTTTGTTGAAATTGTTGAATGAATTTGTCAGTGTTTTCAATAATTCTCAATGCACGTCTGTTGGCAATTGATTTTCACGTGGTATTGGATGAAAAGTAGGGAAAAGCTCAGATTTATGTGATTAAAAAATTAAATTTCATCAACCATCTCAGGCAAATAATCTATGTTAAAGTAAATAAAAGTTACAAGTACCGTAACTCCAGTCGCCTGAACACCTAACTGAAAAATTTTTAAGTCGAAAAAAAGCTTTTTTTGGGATTTTTGTTTTTTGAGAGAAATATTGGGTGATTCAGTACTATTTTAAACTCGAGCGTCTTTTTTTTTTTAAATATCCCAACGCTTTAAAAAAGGTTCCAGAAAATTTTCTAAAGTTTCCAAAGATTTCTAGGGCTCTGAAAAAATGAAAAATAAGCGACTTTGCTTCATATGTAACATTACTGATCTTCTTTTGTAGTATTTTGAATCTTAAGATCTCTCGGTGTACGGTAAGCGCGGCGCGGAGCGACTTCATGCGGAGTATTTTCTCGATGGAAGCGTCGATGACAGCGAAAACGAACGCTCAGCGGAAGATCCAGCTCGCCAGGTACTTTCACCTTTTTTTTGATAATTTATTGATGGGAATGACGTCAGGCCACGCCCATATCCCCCACAAGGAGTTCGGGTCGAATTGGCCGCCAATGGAAACGCCTACGACCTTCGGCCGAGGGTGATCCGAGAACAGGGATCTCCTCCCGGGTCCCAACTTCCCCCCAATACTGATGCCTTGCTTGGGGTGAGTTTTTGTTAGGATATGAAATAGGAGAATCAGTAGAAAGCGAAAAAAAAAGGTTTGAAATAACCAGGGTAGTCCATAGTCCTTAGTCCAACTGATGAAAAAAAAAATTGGAAGGAAAGAAAAATCCACGGAAGAATTGGCCTGAAATGGATAAAAATTGATTTTATGTACAAAAATGGCTGCAAAAAAAACGATTTCGAAGAGTAGCAAAAAAAAAAATAAAAATGCATCGAAAAATTTGAAATTTAATCAGACCGAATATGTGCAGAAATTTGAATAAATTAAGCATATGAACCTCAAAAAAAGAAGCTTTCAAAAAAACTGCACAAAAATTGATAACTCATTGTTGAGTCTCCTGAATAGCTAGAAAACAACTCAAAAAATTAGTTAAGAAAAAAATGAATGACTTTGAAAAAAGTAGATTTTTAAAAAAATAAAAGAAAAATAATCTTTTTCTTAAACTTACGAAATGGATAAAATACTTTTTTTCGCATGACTTCATAGACCAAGTAGATAAGCCGCGTTAAAATTAGCTTCGAAAAGTTGCTCCATGGCTAATTTGCAATCTCTCGGACCTCGGTAACGGGAACCGGACGTTTCTAAGCGAATCTAGGGATCACTTAAGGGTGCTGACGCCGCTCAAGTGGTCACTAGACATGCTAAGAAAGGTCCGTTATCAATATCCGAAAAAATTGAAAATCCTGAGTTTCAACTTTTTTTTCCCACTTTTAAAAATCGATACTATCAACCAATGAAAAACATTAAAGTTCTCTTTTTCAGAACCGCCGGAAAAAGCGATCTACATGAGGCAAATAGAAACTAACCCGTTTTTTCTTTCTATGTACATTTTTGCTATCTTTTCTCGCATTTTACTAACCTCTCTCTCCTATTCTGCGTGCCTTCGATTCTAGGCTTTAAATGGAAGAATCTCGAAATTTTCGTCTAGGCGTGCCTGCTTAACCACAACAGTTCACTTTGAATCTCGATTTGCATTTTTTGCTTAGTTTTTAGCGGGGCTGTGAAGAAAATGACGTGGGAAGAAATAGCCGCGTTCTCCATGGATAATATTAGCTTTTTTCCAAATAATTTTCTTCACAAGCTCATATGTCAATTCCTCAGTTTCTGATTAGAGTTGTGTGCCTCCTCCAAAAAGATTGCCCGCTAGTCATTTATGTACTGCATTTTCTCAGTTTCTATCGTGCCAATTTTTATGATAATCAATAAAAAAAGTTTTTTTAATAATAAGTTTTCATTATCCAGTATGAAAAAAATCACATTTATAAGTTAGATGACCAGGCGGCTGGGGTAACGGTTATGATTTTTCTCTTTAAAATTGACAGTCTTTTTCCCCTTTAAAGTGTTCGACGGTGCCAGTTGAACCGAGAATTTTGAAGAGATCTTTTAAGAAATCCAAAAAGGGCATCTTTGGCCAAAGACTTCAGGGTCTTTATGAAATCATTTTTAACAATAGAGAGCTTGATTAGAAATCAGGATCTTTGCTTAAGTTTGGCGTTTTTTAAGCTTAAGTGACCACTTTCCTTAATTCAAACGGTCTTTTGAAGAGAACATATTTCTTTCTCTCGAGGGTATTCTTTAATATTTTTACAGAGTACAAGAACCAGAAATCGCTAGAGTCCACTTCAAAGTTCAATAAAAAGTAGCTTGCCAAAAACTGACCCAAGTTCTCCCTTCAGTGGGTTCTTAAAAGTTTTAGTTCATAAAAAGATTATTGGAGTTTTTGTTTGTACATAAAAATTCTCTCACAGTAAAGTGACCCCTCGTTTTCGAAGAGGCTTCTTAAGTGGACCTCCCAGAACATTGTTGATATGATCAAAAACTTAAAGTTAGGAAAACTCAAACATTTCTGAGTAATCAAGAATGAGGAGCATTTCAAAACAATGCCATTTTTCAAGTTGCAGGATTTATGAGCAACTGAAATTCTGAATCACGGGGTCCAGAGCAGCTGGCGGCCATAAATCCTCTTTTGCCCTGAATCATTCTGTTTTTGCGGAGTTTCAAAACTTACCTCTTGCTCGGTTATTTAAACTCGCCCGTTGGTCCTTTCTTTCTTCCAATTTTTTTTTGCTTTGAAATTTCATATCTAACAAGGGCTGTGTGCGCGGTGAACATCGAGTTAGGAATTGAGGCTTATATGGTAGATGGACCTAGGGGAGAGTGCTCCAAAACGAAAGAGAAAATCTGCTAAGCGCCATAGGGTACCGAGAAAAAGCTCGTCAAAGTTTTGCCGCCAAGTATATGCCCGCGCTCGGAGTGCTCGACCAGCAACTGGGAGAGTGGTGAAGTGGCAGGGTTCTTGAATGGCGCTGACGCTATGCTAGGTTCGATTCCTTTTGACGTCAAACTTTTTTTGCTCTTGTTTATTCAATTCTTCTACACTCTATCATCAAACAAAAACAGCAAAAAAAGTTTGAAAAAGTTCTAATAATTGGTTCATGGCTTTCGAGATCACAACACGATGGGATCGAAACAAAAATATAAGTGAAAGATCACTCGTGAAAAAAAAAGAATTGTAAAGCTGGTTTGTTTTATTTCTTCAAAAGGGAAATTATGTAGACGGACAATCATTTTTAATAACTTTTCTCCACAATTTATGAAACTCTTGAAACTTTGAAATCGTTTATCTTCAGCGCTTTAAACCTTTTCATTGATCTATGAATAGAATTAGCATAAAATGTGACATGAAATATAAACTCCAAAAAAATTAAATTCACTAGGTGCCGTTTTTTTCCGCTGATTTTTTTATTTGGTATCAAAAAAACTCTTAAAATCCCTGTGGAAAAAGTTACGAGCGCTTGAAGTAACCTCTAGACAAAAAAATCATATTTTTTTGTTGAAAATAGCAAATTTCTGACGTTTTCAAAGTTTTTGAGCTCAGATTTGAAGTCAGCGTGAGGAACAGCACCTGAAAAAGGTAACTTGAAAAAAAGTTTTTTTCTAAAAAAATAATGGTGTCGCAAAAAAATCATTTTCGTTATTTCAACGTCAAATTTTAATATTTTACCTTTTTTTCTTTGAATCGCTTCATTTTCAATACAAAACCCGAGTTGGAAGAATATCAATTTTTTTCTAAAAATCGACGCCAAAAAAATGGTCCTTTTCGAAAAATTTCAAGTCTAACACATTTCATAGCATGATTTAATGCCTATGTCAACTAGGAATTTCAAAAGAAAAGTCAGCCCACCACCTCCAAAACCAATGCAATTATTCACAAACATCTTGTTTCAACCATTAGAAGGTCCCCACGCGAACACATTTTCGAGCACTTCGAAGCATTTCGCCCACGCGACCGTGCTTCCGTTTAAAAAGGAACATCTGCTTCCGACTTTTTGTATCAGAACATCTTTTTCTCCTCAATTTGTCACTGTCCTTTTTTTTGATTTTTTTTTTTGAAAAGTATCCGTTTGAAATTGAAATTATCCCTGTTGTTGAAGGGCGCGATTTTTCACATTTTTTCCTAGAACATCCATATTTTCCTGTCATAGCCTCATAGGGAACACCATTTTTTTTTCTCAAATCTCATTTCATTTTTAATTTTAACTTTTTCTTTTTCAAAATGCCTGTCTAAATTTAAATGACCCCACTTACTAACAAGCTAAATTTTTCCGAACTTTTTTTTACCATACGGAAAATATTTTTCTTCTCGAAACTGCATTTCTTACTGACTTTTTCTCTTCAAAATTTCCGCTCAAAGTTGAAATTACCACTGCTTTTGAAAGGCGAGAAGGACGGTCCGACGAAATTCGACACCACTTTTTTTACAACTTTTGTTTCTTCGAAGGGCCATTGGTCTTCTTCTCGGCTTTTCCTCCTGGAATTCCAGTTTTTATTAGGATTTGAGGCTTGTAAATATATATTTTTATCAATTTCTTTTTACCATTCCTTAGGATCGTCAGAGTGGTCCCTTAAAGGGTATAATCTAGGTGGTGCTTATAGGGGTCCACTGGCATGTAGGAAATTTTAAAAAGTCGATGCTTGCTTTGCCTGAGCTTTCTGATGAACAATGCCTAAATGCGTAAGTTGTTTTTAGTCGGTTAAAAATAGAAATAACTCCTAGCCATCCACTGATCCGAGTATCAGTGACTACCTGGTTTTAATAAAATTTTAATAAATTGGTGCCTAATTTTGTGAAACGGCGAGGTTGACAATCTTTCATTTTCATATTTTTCTTCCATTTTTACAACAAATTTTAAGCTATGAAACAAATCGTATAGTGGAAAAATCTCAAAACTTGGCCATAATAGTCCTATAAACTTTGCCTTGTCATAAAAACTTCAAAGAGAATCCCACGGTCCGATGTTTTTACAATAAATATGACTATACTTGTTAGGAACGACTTGGGATAGTCTGACCTATCTGCGCTCTCTTCTCTCTCGCCTTTGATGTATGAAGACATGAAGATAGCCAGTAAAATAGATAAATTAGACAGCCTCGAGCTGTTGAAAATCCCAGAAAATCGTTACGGAAAAATCGCTTACAGTAACCCGGTTAAATTTCCAACGACTAGGCTATCAACCAACAAGATCAGTTCAAATTTGTCCAGGACAAGTCCAGTAACGCCTCATAAAAACGGGAAGCTTATCACCGAATAAACAGCCTCAGTTCTGTGATCAATACACGCCCTGGGAGAAGAATTCGAAAAATTGATACCTCGCCTATTTTCCAATTGAGTCAGTGAATCAATTCACACACGACCTTATCAATTTTAAAGTCACACATGATATTTCTACGCCTAAATTTACGCACGGATATGACGTCGAAAGTTGCGTAATCAAAGAAATTTGGGTATAAAAACCGTTTGCAACTTTTTTGCAAGTTTATTATTGAGATTTTCTGACATTTTTTCGTGTTTATGCTCCAGCGCAACCGACTTGAAACTACTCGGACCTCGGTAACGCAAACCGGGCGGTCCTGAGCATTTCTAGGGATCACTCAAGTGCGCTGAAGCTACTGGAGTGGTCACTAGAAAAGCCTTGACACGTCCGATTCACCTCCGTTTGGCGTTACCAATGTTCGAGTACTTGTGCTTTCGGTATAAGCTTGAAGTCTCTTGAGGTCGGGCGCAGCGTAGGTTAAGCCCAAAAAATGCCTACTTTCTTTGCGGGCCTTTTTTCACTTCCTTTGCTCCGTCAATGCTCCTTGATCATCTATGAAACCCAAAATGCGGTTCGATATGATGCAAAATTTTATCAAAAAAGCTGCGCTATCAGTGGGGATTCGAACCAGGAAGACCAAGTCCGAGAGCAAAGCTCATAGCCACTGCGCCATCGTGGCAGAGCTGATTCCAAGTGGGTCACATAGTTTTGAATGCAGATTAATTATCATTAAATATCTGATTATGAAGTTGTTACTTACGACTTTTACTGTTTTCTACTTACTTCTGAGAAAAAGAAACATCTTTTTCATATTTTGAAAAACTAAACTAGAGCGCCAGAGCTCAAAAATCAAATTTAACTTCAAGATTCCTTTGTTTCTTCAGTCCTTGACTCAACCTATGAAAAATTTTTACGACCCTTTTCTTCCTGTACTTTTTATCTTTCAATGTCCTTTAATGTACCTAGGGCCTTAAAAAGCAACCATGAGACATCAAAATGATGCTATCCTCCTTTTGAATGGCACACTTTTTGATGCTACCGCGCGCAAGTCGTTTTAGGTCGGAACATCTAGATGTAAAATTCCCCAGAGGGACCCAGGTTATGCTTAACTTCATATTCGCATTTTTCACTATTATTCAAGTTTTCCGAACTTTCAATGCTTGCAAAACCTACAGTAACGCGTCATAATCCCCATTTGACGTCCAAAGTCGAGTTGCGGATAAAAATGTCAAGAATTCTTCTACGAATAGATTTATCAGAGGTCCTGATAGTGAACGAGGAGCACGGCCCCCTGATAAGAAGAGCGTATTCGTTCGTCTTTTCTTTTTTTTTTGCCGATCTTCTTTTTTTCCCTTTCATGAATTAGACTAACAAAAGTAGCCGGATAAGAATCGAAACTTCTAATTACAGTAGGAAGTTTTAAAAATTTTTATTTTTTTTTAGGTATTTCTTTTGAAGGACTATTTTTTGAGGGTATGACTATAGTATGAGTAATATTTTGAGCAACCTGGGTCACCTTTAGGATAGAACTTAAGGTTGATTTTTGAGTAATTGAGGTCACCTTTCTCATAAACCTTTAGTAACCTTTTAACATACCAGCCTAGCTACCACTTTTGAACCATTTTTTATGCCTTTCATCACATTTTTCATTCAAAAACTCGATACCATTCAGAAATATATTTTTTTCAAAATAGACAGTTTCGAGGTCCTTTTTGAGTACTTTCCAAAAAATCAGTTTTTTTGAAGATTGAAATAAGAAAGTTTCTTTTTTTCTAAATTTCTCAATAGGCTAAACAATTTTGATATAAAAAAATTGCTCAAAGACCTGACCTATAAAATATTTCTAAAATTTGGCACCATAATCACTTTTTTTCCTCGACTTTTTTTATACTTCGAAAAAAATTTCAAAATCGATTCAATGATTATTTTTAAAATTCAAATCAACCTACCAAAACCAAAATTCACCAATAAATAAAATTTGGAAAACCTTCAAAAAGAACTCTGGAAAATCTGTCTTCTCTTTCTCTATGAAATAAATTCCAACTCTTGCCAAAAACCGATTTTATTGCTCGAAAAGCTCACTTGTTGATTTGATCAATTGATAAACTGGGGGTGGTGAACCGGGCCGATAAGGGAGTGCGCGTGAGGAAAGGCCCAGAAATATCTTTGCGGGTGGTTCCTTCTAGGGATCACTTGAGATTATCTCTAAAGTGGTCTCTTGAGTGTGTTCTTGTTTTTCATAGCAGTCTGGCCGTCAGTCAACCGCCACGAAAAACCTTCGAGAATAATACAAGTTGAGAAGTTAGTGACAGGAGATTTGTTTATCAGTTATTTTCGGTTCTTATAGACGGCTTAGCCATACGGAAAGTCTTGGAAGTTTGTTTGGTTTGATGAAAATTGAAGTCAAAGTATAATTTTTTTTTCAATGTAATCTGGCTAGAAGTTTCAAATTCACTCATTTTGCCTTTGAAATTGAGAAATTTTTAGATTTTCATTTTAATTTTTTCCAAATAGTAAAATCTTTCCCCCGCCAAAAATTTTTATAAATTTTTTTGGCTCCGAACGACTTGGAGCCAAAAAAAGCGGACCGAACCTAAATAGCAAAAAAAATAGTCCCAAAAAAATTATGTGAGATTGAACTTGTGACCCTTCGTTTCAAAGCCTAACTTTCTACCAACTGCTCCACCTCTCTCTTTTTACAATAGTATCTTTTTTTCTATCCCTTCTGTTTCTAATCACATAAATTCCTACAGCTAAACCCCTTCCTAATTTTAACCTTCGAAGCTTCAAAGTTCTTCTGACTCCGCCTCTTTCTCGCCCCGCCCAACTTTCCTAGTCCACAAAAAAAGTTGGCGACGGCGCAGATTTGTGCCGGACGGCGGTTACGGTAGTCATGGTTTTCCATGCAATTAAACTGCCTTTCTGGTTTCGTATGTACCAATTTTGTCATCGGTTTCGATTTACGTCACTTTTTGCTTTTTGCCATTATTAAGTAGGTGTTTTAAACTGGAATTTTCGGGAATTTTTTGAAGGTTTTTGATGTTCGCCTTTCAAAAAAAGTGTTTGAGAATTAGGCAAATTGTTGAATTTACCCGTTCTTTAAGAAAAAAACTTTTTTTCGAAATTTCTCAAATTTGCGATAATAGTGAAGAAAAAAATGTGAAAACTTTTTTTAAAAACCAAGTTTTGAAAAAAAATTCAAAAAAAATTTTTCTTTCTCAATTTATAAGTTTCAGGATTTCTTAAAAAGCAGAGTTGCACTTAAAAAAATTTCCTACATATCGATGAGATATTGAAAAAAAGTATATAAAGCTCCTCGAAACCCAAATTCTTCTCATTCTTCCGACTTCTTTCGCAATTATTGCATTATTGACGCAGATAATCGAGAAATTAATCAGATTATTTGAGTTCAAGTTTGTTTAATAGGATTAAAACCGTCGCATGACTTTCTTTCTTGATAACTCTTGTTGAAGAAGCCTTTTTGGCGCTCACTTTTATGCCGTTTTTTCGCAGCTTTCAAAAAACAAAGATCTCGATTTCAGGACAGGTAATAACTAGTCGTGGCAAAGATGTTGGTGAGGATTTTGGCTCTATTGGTGATTATTTCTACGATCAGTGCTTCGATCTACGAGCACCACCACCACCGACGACATCTTCACCCCAGACATGTTCGTCTTATATTTATATCCCAAAAAGAGTTTGATGAAGCCCTGCTGATAGATCCACTTGTGCATCCCAAACAAACCAAAAAAGACCACCGACTTTAACTCTCGTTACTAAATCTCAAAGAATCTAAGAAAAAAACCGTTCTTCATCCACTGAAATGATAAAATACAAGCTTCTAGGTTTTATCACTAGGTTAAAGGAAAGTAATTGCGAGTTTTTTTTCCCAAGAAATCCCACACATATAGCAAAGTTATATCAAATTTTGAAACTGTGAAATTTTCAATTTCCTTGTTAGGGTTATAACTCATCCAGAAGGTCTATGGTGCCGTAACTTACATAAATGGAGAACAGTCTCAAAAAAAAAAACTAGAGAACGCAAAAAAAATGTCAAAAGAGTTTTTTTTTTTCTAATAGGTCCTGTAATGATATGTTTGATTTTTCAGATAAAAAGAAAAAAATTTCAAGCTTACAATAAATTTATCAAACTTTTTCCGATATATTGAGATATTTCATATGCTAGGAAGATCTGTCGAACTACAGCGCCACCGAAAATATGCAAGACCTTCAAAGCACTATGAGCGAATTTATAGAAAATTCCAAGCTTCATAGTAAAATTACTGAACTTTTCCGACAATTTGGGCTGTCAATAGTATGTCGAGTTTTAGCGCCACCGAAACTACGCAAGGTACCCGATTCGGAACGAACGAACCGCCGACCAGTGCTCCATCAACGAGCACCATGTTCTGTGTGGACCAGAACGTCATTGCGACCGCAGCTGTGACAACATGTACACGTGAGTCTCTCGACGTCTTCTTCTGGATCCAATGAAGACGTCGCAGGCCGACCAACTGCGTGCACGTCACCAACCCCAAATGCTACTTCCCGAGATGCGTCTGCAACGAAGGCTTCGTTCGAGCCAAGAACGGCCAGTGCATTCGCTCTTCTCACTGTCCCAATACCTACTACGAGCCGGCCAGCGCCGTCATGGAGAATGCTGTGAGTTTTCCATTTCGGGTAAAAGTTGAGAAGCTTCTGCTTTCGGCTCCTCAGAAGGGGTTTGGAAGCTTTCCACATAGCTTCCCAACACCTTCTACTTAGAGAAAAGCCTGCCGGAAGCATTCCCGCAAGGTTCTAGAAGGCTTATGCCAGGCATTTTCCATTTTTACCTTCCAACTATCTTTCAAAAGATTTCATAAGACTTTCTAGCTTCCATATACTTTCTAACCTCCTGCTGATTACGTTTTCAACACCTTCCCGCCACTCGATTTTTTTTTAGTTTTGAAGAGCTTTTGAAACTTTAAAATCGAAATTTTTCCATTTTCGGGCCAACTAGTGCTGTTAGGGAAAATACTGTGAGCCTTTTGAAACTTTAAACTTCTGAGAAGCTTGAGCTTTCCGAAATATTCAACTGAAAGCTGAGGTCATTTTGACAAATTGTCATCTTTTCAAGCGGCGCTTCAAGCCATTCCAAATGCGGCCACGGACTTTCGAGACTAAATTACGATCTCTCTTTAAAGCCTAATGGGTGTTTTGAAAGTCCTAGATACACTGAAAGGCATAACACGATGAGAGTTCCAGGAAAAAAAAAATCAACTTCTGATTTGAGCCTTTTTATCGACTTAAAATTTCGTCAGAAAAGCTCAAAAGCCTCCCCTCCAAGTTCCAGCCTCACATTTTACTATTCGTTAACTGTCCTCCAAAAATAATCCCAAAGAAATAGGCCCTTAACAAAGCCGCCTTATCATTAACTAATGCCATTTTTTGTTCTGTGACTTTTTCTTTGTGACGCCGCAAATACCGTAAAAAACCGCTAAAACCTTAAAAGTCTGACTGACACGACTGCAAATTTTACACCGACTAAGAAGTCTGTAACACAGATTTTTTGCTTTATCATCACCGGCTCCTCCAGTCATAACTTGTTTGTCTGCTTGGAAACGCCTTTCGAGTCGACCTATTTCTCTTCGGAGAGTACTGATAACCGTTCCTAAGACGATTCCATGGCGCCTTGGAGCTTAGGACGTTCCCCGAAGACTACAGAAACTGTCAATCGATCAGAAGAATCAATAGATCATTGCAGCTTTGATGTTTGCAAAAATGAAAAAAGATCTCTTTTGATTTTTGTAAATTTTGGCGGGTCCTATATAAAACCTCTAAAGAACAATTAGCTTTCTGCGCAAATTCTCGGTCCCTATAGTGAAAAAAATGCGCTTTTTTTCTTAAATTAAAAAAACCAAAAAAATAATCTGTTGACTTCTAAAAAAATATTTTTTTAAAAAAATTTAAAAAGCTTTGAGGGGTCCCTTCGGAGGGGACAATGAGCTTTCAAAAAAAAAAAAACGGATTTTAGGCTTTCTAGTCGTTGTAAAGCATCACTGCGGGAGAATAAAAAAAATGTACGACTATCTGCGCCTTTAATAAGGAAGCTGTGTGCTTTTAATATAGGCCATTCCGCGCAAGCTTGTCACATTTTTCTTTCCGTCAAAAGGCCAGGTCAAATTTAACCAACTTTCGCTTCAAGACCTTTGTTTCTTGCCGTTATAAAAGCAGAAATGTGATCTAATTTGGTATACGGTCTTTTTGGCGGGAAGAAAAACATGACAAGCTGGCGCGGAATAGACTATAAACCACAGAACACTTTTTCGAGTACTTTCCGAAGTGAACAAATTGTTTGACGTTTATAAAAATAAAAAAAGCCACTGAGAAAACATCTTCAAAAATTTTTGACAAGTTCCTGCGCCTATAACAAAACCTGAAAGCGCCTTCCAAAAAGATTTTAAGAATATTAAGAATACTTTATGCTCCTTGGATGAGAAAAAAACCAAATGTATAATCCAGAATATTCCGTGAAACCATTAGAGCATTCAATAATCTCTTTCTGAGCAAATTTCAAAGAAATAATCATAAAAACCTCGTTCAGAACGGCGAGCTGATGGTGGAGTTCAAGCCGATGAAGTTCAGCCGCATCAACCGACACAAAATGTTCAAGCTGAGGAAGATCCGAAGGCCCGCCGGTCCGGAATACGACACGAAACTCTGATTTTCTACATCTTTCGTTGAACTTCCGTCAGAGCTTTCTCTGAAAATCGACAAGCTTTCCACCGATCTTCACAGTTTCCCACATAGTTGTATAGCAAATAGCTTTACCGGCCCACCCAGTATTACAACATTTGTAAACCGCCGATGTACCTTCCCCCCTTCATAATATTCCTTATACGGCCAATTTTAATGGCTCGTCTTGTAGATATCAACTATCGAACGTCCTCTTCGCTACTGTTTGAGTGGTTAATAAAACGACCGAAAAAAAAGTTGTGACGGCTATTTGACGCCTTGGGTAATAAATGTTCCGTCTGATGACCTGTTGTTATCTTTTCAAGAACACATTAAAATGAAACGACGTTGTTAGGACTTGAAACTCGTTCCGCGGGGTATTACAAGTGTTGCGAAACGGAGAATGGAACGCTTGAAGCTTCTATAATAGTGAAATAATGTAGAAGCAGAAAAATCTGGATTTTTTACGATACTGTGAAATGGGAATTCTTCAAAATTTTGTTAATATCAAGTCTCCGAATCAAAAAGGGAAAAGGAAGAAAAAAGAGAAAGATAAAAAAGGGAAGATTTATGAAAAGGTGAAAAAAAACCTGTAAAATTTTTCACAAATTTCGAAGAGGAACATAATCCAATAAGAATCTGAAGAAAAAGACGATTTTCATGTAACTTAAAATTTCGAAAAAACTATTTATTGACAGATACCGCCACGAAGAAAAAAAATTCTGAGGCTACTAAAGTGGTAACTAGATATGCCCCTTCGTTTCGCATTACAAATTTCCGAGTTTTTTCCTCCTTACGGCGTTTTTCTCGACGTGATCTCGCTAAATGCAAAATTGCGGTCAGACAGTAAAAGGAACTCAATTTTAGAAAGTCAGAAAAAAATAAAAAGGAATTTCGTCGAGATTACTTTAAAATACTTTGTTTCTACAAGAGGACATAAAAGATACAAAACCGCGTCATAAAAACCAGTTTTATTCAAAACAAAAATTTCATTCTATGCAAAAAATAAAACGTGAACCCTTTGGACGGCGTCATTTTCTCAAATCGAACGCTTACAAAAACCACGTGGCAACGTGTCATTTCTTCTTTTTTGACTTGGGTGCAAATCTCATTTCTACTTTCTTCACGACGCCGTCTTGCTGCTCCTGAACTCTACGTCAAGATGAGTTTTAAACTTCCAAAAAATTCCAAATTCCAAAATAGTTCTCTTAGTTGTAAGCGCTAGTAGAATAGGCCCGTGGGACTCCCGGAGTGCCGATCCTTTTTGCTTTGCAAATCGGATACGCAAAGTCACGCCGAAGCCCATTCCTGTGGCCGAGGCATAAACTGTTGGCAGCGCGATGCTGACAAAGCGATGATGGGACCCCCACGGAAAATGCCGTCACGGCCTTCGGCGCCTAGGAATCTTAGTTTTGACAAGGCCGAGCGGAGCTCTAGCGCACCGCCTAGTTAGTTCTCCTGACTGGATAAGACTTCCCTAACTTACTTGAGACTTTACATAATTAATCAACCAAAACATTGCAATTCTAATAATGCCAGCGACTTGCTTTTTTCAATTTTGAATTTATTGCAGGAAACTTTCAACGAACTTGTCGAGAGGAGTTCATGGAGGATCGACGAAAAAAATAAAAGCAGTTTGATTTCTTAAAAAAATTTTTTTGTTTAATCAATTTTTTTCTTCAGAAAGAACGAATGAAGTGCAAGATTAAGGAAAAAGGAAATGCGAATAATCTATCGAAAAATTACTGGAACAACTTTTTATGAGGTTTGGAAGTTTTTCGAAAAAAACAATTCATTTTTTTGTATTTATCACGCTGTTTCTGGAATTATCAAAAATCTATGAGTACTAAATCATTCGATTAAAATGAAATTTTTAACCAGTGTTATCCTATGACGTCAGGATTAGGGACCCAACTTTTTGAGCTATTTCCTCCAACCGTAGCCGGGTTACGGTAGGTAGGTCGACACCTGCGTATCTAAAAATTGACAAGTTTTCTTTCTAGACAAGTTGTACACTTATCGATAGGTAATGCAATTTTATAAATTTTTCGAGAAATATTATCTTGAGTTGCTGTAGAATTTTTCGTGATACGATACTTTTTGTCTTCGCAATTTTGGTTTTTTGGTAACCCTGTTCCCAATAGTTATTTCCCGTTGAAGTTGCGTCTCTAAAAAATTTTTTCGGTCGTTATACACCCAGAAAAATATGCGGAGCGCATTCCTGATTTCTGCGGAACGCGCGCAAAGCGAGCTGTTGAAATCATTGCCTATGCATTTGCCGTAACTTTCGAAACTTCAATTCCATATCAACAATATTTGTTAATAACGCCGTGTTCAGAGTAACTTCCGCAAAATGCAAAGTGTACTATGACTCTCCAAAATTTAGTAATTTTTTTTTTCTCTGACGGCTATTTTGAATTTTGCGGAATCACTTTGAACACGGTATAAACGAAATATGATGCCATGTTCAATTTGATTTCGCGAAATGCAAAATACCCGTTAGAGAAAGGATAAGGTCACTAAATTTTGGAGAGTCTGAGATCATTTTGCATTTCGCGGAATCAATTTGAAAACAGCATGACAGTCGTTTTTTTCAACTTTCTCACAACACGCAAACCAAAAAACAACGTTTACTTTGAACGGTAGTAAAAATAAAAACAAATGCCGTGTTCAAAGTAATTTCGGCGATTTCCAAATAGACGCGTTATTCGTTCAAAATGATTTCAGGAAATATGCGGATTTGCTATTACGGGAAGGCGCAAAAAAGTGAGTCCTACAACGATATATCGTTGGATACGCATTTTTACGGTGATTTTTACGCGCGAATTCAAAATATCAGTAGAAAATGCCCGAAGAATTCCAAAATTTTGAGTTCCCGCGAAGAAATTACGGTAAAAATGCACATTTAACGATATATCGTTGTAGGACTCATTTATTCTGCGCCTTCCCGGAATAGCAATTCTGAATATTTCTTGAAATCAATTAAAACAAATAACGCGTCTGTTTTGAAATCGCCGAAATTACTTTGAACACGTCGCGGTCAAAAAGAAAATTTTTTCAAAAAAGCGAAATGAGAATAGGCGTCAAATAAAACGTTTCGTCGTATTACTTCTGCGTGGCCACGTACGTAGAGCGCATCGTAACTTTGTCCTCAAACTTCCCTCTTTTTGCACAACTTCAACGGGAAATAACTATTGTGAGCAGGGTGACCGAAAAACTAGAACACAAAAAGTGACATTGCAAAAAAAAAATTTTAAGGTGGATTACCTATTAATCAATGTACAACTTGCCTAGAAAAACTCCTCAACTCTTAAATACGCAGGTGACCCCTGCCTACCGTAAACCGGCTATGGTTAAAGGAAATGGCTCAAAAAGTTGTGTCCGCAATCCTGAAGTATATATGATAACCCTGGTTATAATTTCATCAAAATAAAAAAAAAACCAATTTTTTTTGTACTCGCTGTTTTAGAAAAATTCCTGAAAATTCCAGAGACAGCGTGTTATTATCCTCTATTACCGCATTTGAAAGTCTTTTATCTTTGAAAGTTTAGTTATCGCGATGAAAAGAAGTCCGCCTCCCTCCATTCGCGGCGACTTTTTTAAACGAAATGCGTGGCGGACGAAGTTCTAACTGCAGGCGAGACAATACCAGGTAACAGCCCAAAGCTCTTAAAAGCAGCTGAGGGTTTTTTCTTCTGTGTTGAGTTGCAAAGGGAAAAAGAAAGAACAGTAGGCTAGCCAGGCTTGTGCGAGGTCTGGATTTTCAACCTAACGGCCTCCGTTCGTTTCCATAACTTTTGATGTACTTTAACGAAACAAGTGAGAAGTGTTTTTCTGGTGAAAAATTCGAGTTAAGATGGCAATGTTTTTGAAGAAGTTATACAATTTTTATCGAAGCCTGGCTTGGCCCGACCCGGCGCAAGCTTCATTGCTTCGGGCTTCAATTGGTCGGACTTCGGTAATGCAAATCGGACTCGTCCCGGACTTTTCTTGGAATTTCTAGTAAACTTTTAGAGGGTTGATGCCGTCCAATGAGTTATTAGAAATGCTCAGAAACGTCCGGGGAGCGTACGGTTTGCGGTACCGAGGTCCAGACTTGGGCGTCTGGCTGGACTAATTTTGAGAAGAATCTCGCGCTGGCTTGGGCCAGGCCAACTTCAAAAAAGTTTCAAATTTCATTTCACAAAACTTTCTTCCAAACTCTAATTTCTCACCGAAAAACGCTTATTTTCAAATTCGTAGTTTCTGTTGAACTTTAACTGTAAAAAAAAACAAGAAACATGATTTTTGCTGTAAAAAGAAGGTTGATGTTCGACTTGAAGAAAAGCTTAGCTTTCGAGCCTGTTTTGCTTGAGGCTTCGCTAAGCCCAGACCGGGCTCAAAGGATGACTTTGGCCATTAGACTGAAGAGCCGGTCCTCGCACAAGCCTGTCTCGGCCCTCGGTAACGAAAACCGAACGCGCTACGGACTTTTCTGAGCATTTCAAAGGACGCCATTGAAGTGGTCACTAGAAATGCGTCCAGTTTGCGTTATAGCCGACTCACGGCTAGCTTGGGACGCAAAAAGTAGTGACAAGATCTCCAGCAACCAGGCACTGACTTTTTTCTCATCTTGGCAGGACCCATTTTTCGATGGCCCAAGCCAGCCGTGAATTAGCTCTATGTTTGTTTTGGCAGATAATGACACCTTTTTTTCTGATTTTTTGTTTCTTTACTCGTATCTCTTAACATTCTCATTGATAGATGCGCGTTTTCGGTGTCGTGAGTGAAATGGTACAGAATATAATGTTGCCTTTATAATCTGTGCAAGTGCCAACTTTTTTCTCTATTCCAATACCAAATTATCCTAGTCTTTATCCGAATTTCAACAAGTCAAAACGACTCTTCTCTGTTTCGGGGCTGAATAGCTAGCCTTTGCAAAAGAGCCTTGATACGTTGTGTAATGGTTGTTTATATCTCATTGTGTTAAGTGAACATGTGCTCTTGAGT